TATCAGTATGTAAAAATAGATAAATTAATGATAAAGTAAATATTCAAGATGATGAATGTATCAATATATCATTCGCAGTGAGCAGCTTAGAAAATATTTCCATGCAAATGCTTAAAACATTCTACGGGAGACAAATTTTCGGGCTGCAGATTTTTTAAACGGGAAAAAAATTCCTCAGAGTAACATGTCTGAACAACAGATGATAATCTTTTGGTCTGAACAAACATCATGCAACTTGGGAATGCTACAAGTCAATCCCCCCCCCCCTCCCCTCCCTTTTAATTTCTCTAATGGTCAGTGATCTTAAGTCTCCTGTAGAGTAGTCGGGGTGAATTTCAAAGCTACAAAATGTTTTTTAATTTCATATAAAAGAAATTTGCTTCAGTTTCGTTCAAGAAAAGTCCCAGTCAATCTAAGGACGTTTGTTTCTACTAGGGTGGTTTCAACGGAAAAAAAAACCTTTTCGTCGCTTTTAAATGTATATTTCGGCTTAATCTAAAGATCAACGTTACAATCTGGGTAAAGAGTTAATTAACCTCAGAGAAAGATTGCGATTTTGTTTTCGTGTTCATCCTGTCGATACTCCTTGATGTGATAATGCGCAAGGTGATTAAATTTTTCTCTAATGTTGCTTTAATAAGATTTAGCAAAACATTGTGTGAAGTTCCCTTGCCACACCATTTAGACACCAAATTATACGATTACCATTAATGATAGTAATATCATCGTAGAACCACAATTGTCATGATAATAATTATAGTTATAATTATCAGTAGTTGTAATATTGGTAGAATTGATAGTAGCATTAGCAGCAGCAGGGGTAGCAGCAGTAGTAGTAGTAGTAGTAGTAGTAGTAGTAGTAGTAGTAGTAGTAGTAGTAGTAGTAGTAGTAGTACTAGTAGCACTAGTAGTACTAGCAGTACTAGTACTACTACTAGTAAAAGTAGCAGTAGTACTAATAGTAGTGGTAACAGTAGCAGTAATGTTTTTATCCATAGCTTATCTTGTTGTTGTTCATAGTAGTAATCCTATATCTGTTTGTGACACGCAAAAAACATTGTTCCAACTCTCGATCTTAATTTAATACTACATGACTGTTTTATCTCATTTAGAGCAGTCCGTTTCGACCCACACTTTGGGAGGCGAAAACAACTGAAGAAACTGACAAATAAAACCTAGTTATTTTTTTTATTTGAAAGAATTCCAGCGTCAGTCCTTATGCAAACAGGTTTATCTCATGTGAGCAGCAATTATTTCCTTGCCATCTGACCGCTTAATCCATACCTCTCTCGACAGACTTCAGTCTGAAACAGTAGGGCTCAAAAAAAGAAGAAGATTCGCAGACGCTCAACTGGGATTTATTTCTGGTGCCCAATCCCCACTACAGCTAACAATGCACGGCGAATAATTTTCCTCTTCAAAAATATAAACACTGCCTTGTAAGAAGAACATTTTAAAGCAAGATTAGGGTTGCGGGAAGGATTATGAGATTACGCTCGCAGTCTGCTTTGAAATCTAATTGTTTATTTGTTTTAACCAAGTTTCAGCAGATTATGGCGTAACTTGAACTTAATGGTATGATGCCAGATTTTGCAAATTTCCGGAGTGCTGTAACTTTCAAATTATCGAAATACTCCTAAAGACGATTTGAAAAACAGAACAAACCTCCGCGCTGATGAAATGGTTTTACTCAGTGGTGGCTGCTCCGGGAGAGATACAACTCCATGGATGAAAAATGAGATCTAGTATTGTTCCATCCATAAAACGCACGGGGCTCCTGATTCAAAATTACTTCTATAAGACACGATAAGAAGCTCAGAAGGTGCTAGCACGATTTCCTCTGCTTTACGTCTCTAAAACACCTTTAATTGGTTTTGTTATTTTCTTTTTTTACACTAGACAAAAAAAAAAGCAAGTATAAGCTGCAGCAGAAGTTATAAAGAGTTTTAGCGTTTCTGATCACTAAATATGATGAAGAGAGTTGGAGCAGAAGCGAATGCGAACTTCACTTGCTTAATTTCCTTTGTATTTATTTCCTTTCCATTAAAGATAATGGAAAGATACTAAAGATAATGCTTGCATCCATTCCTTTCAGAGAGAGAGAGGGAGAGAGAGAGAGAGAGAGAGAGAGAGAGAGAGAGAGAGAGAGAGAGAGAGAGAGAGAGAGAGAGAGAGAGAGAGAGAGGGAGAGAGAGAGAGACAGCAAGGGCAAGCCTCGCCAAAGGAAAACTAAGGAAACAGGATGTTCCCTTTTCTTTGGGGAGCAACAGAAAGAAATTCTGCCAAAGGGTGTGCTCGAGATACTTCCACGACATGCTATGTTAAAGGAAATTAGTCTTTTTGCTTTTTTCTGATCAAGAGCGGCTGACTGAAATTTAAAATCGTCTTTAATACATTTTATTTCTTACCAAAACTGCATTTTTTTGGATTTCGTGACATTCCTTCTTGTCATTACATCGAATTAAGACCCGTTCGAGGCAGCAATAAATAATGTCCCACGACCCTTCCGTATCAAAGATCACCAAAGTTTACATTTTTCATATAAGTTCCTCCATGGATTAATTTCTTTGGTTCATATTTAAGTTCCGAACAATAAGAGAACAAAATATGATTTCCAAATTAAAGTATCGACAACTCTCTATCTGGAGTCTTTTCCAATGATCCTCAGGACGTGCATAAATTATAGCCTGAAATCATACCCCGTCTCGCGCTCAATCGTGAGGGGCGTCTAAGCTTCTTTCACAAAGACTTGCCACTAGAATTCGAACCACTGCTATATTATGATCGTAAGCCAGTGTCTGGTCTTTAGAATTATCTCTAAATCAGTCATTTATTACCTAGCCTGCATTCGTCTGACATCGAGGCATCTTAACGTAACTCAAAAATAAACATAAGATATAGTCCCATCAGGGCATGGCAGATATAAATGATATGCCAAGAGCCTTACAAAAGACCGATGAAAAAAAAACAGTTCGAGGTCATCGGTGAACTCATTTTTCTGTTCATTTACCGTATACTCATTTATTCGCTTATTTATCAGAGAACGGAGAACATAGTATGATATCTGGCAGAGCAATGAGTCGACAACTGCCATATGTATAGAAATCACATCCCTGATAACATACACAGCTCCTGCGGCTTCCAGGAGCCACAGGGATTACAGTCAGCTGCTTTGTTGAGGTGTTTGAGCTACTTCTTCCAGGTTCCAGAAAGTGTCGTTCAGACTACTGTTCCTGGTAATGGATAATTGTCTATCTTCTCTCGCTTTTTTTGTTCTATCTTCTCTCGTTTTTTTCGTTCTATCTTCTCTCGTTGTTTTTCCACCACCCACGTGGCAAAGGGACACGTGACGTAAGTTATATAGCACTGTCTTTCTTCCTTCCCTTTCCAGAAAAGCTATGCTGAAGGTGTGTTATGAAGGACATGGTTAGATTTTCAAAATTTATAGATTATGTTCTTGACGTTTTCGGGTTTCTTTTCTGCAATTGCTAAAATTATAACTCACCTGCGTGGATTGTTGCCTTACTTGATTTTCATTCGCAGGTCAAAAAAACTGAGATCAAACCTGTAGATTATTAGCATTATCATTGCACCAGTGTATGATCTTTATCATTATTATTTTAAATATTCGTATTATCATTATCAGCAAGACATGCTAACTGGAATATAAAGCATATTATAATCTGTTCGTCAGCCAGTGACTAGCCTGACGGATCTTCTTTAAATAACTTATTTATTTACCAAGCTTGCAGTTGTCTGATATTGTGGTGTCCCGTCTCAAAATCACACGGAATTAGGTCTCATTTGTGGCAGAGACAAATGACTGCACGACCTTTGTGCAAAAAGACCACCAAAGTCTTTCTTTTTTTTCATTCGGGAAGTTACCAAGTTTCAACTGCATATGCTGGAAAACAGAATGACATCAAAGAAATAAGCTAACAAGCGCATAGGCTTTTTTACTGGTTTTTCGGGCATTTAGCAATTGAATTATATCGCCAGAAGGAAAACCTTTGCAGAGAAGAACAGACCTCTTTAAACCTCTTCAAGTTAATTAAAAGAAATTAAAAACTGAGAATATGACATCCCAGACAGAGAATGATAAATGGACATAACTATGTGAGATTATATCAGGAATATTCCTTCAAATATCATCAAATTTAAGCTTTTTATTCCTCTTGATCAGGTTTATAATCCAGGATTCAATTTCGGTGAACAGCAGACTGGTTCTACCCGTCTTAGACTACAACTGACTGACATTGTAATCAGCCATCGCGCCCCGTAAGCACAACATGATGGTTGATAATCAAAACGAATCGATGGCTTTTTGCAACTCAATTTATCGATAGCATTTTCTTAGTAAATTAAAACGGGATAACTAATGTAGACGCTGTGTCTCTGTTTAATGCTCTTCCGTACGATATTCAAATTCTTAGTGATTATTACAACTTTAGATTAAAATTATGTGAATTTTTATCATTGCAAGCTTTATCTTCAATTAAAATTCTTCATTCACATATTTTTCATTTTTAATGTGTTTATTTGTTTTTGATTTTTTGATATCTTAACCGTAAAGAGATATATATTTTCCACCAAAAGGTTTTTGAATTGATTTTGGGTCTTCAATGTTTTTGGGTACTAACGGATCACGAAGAGCCATTTTCTGGCCACGAACACGCTTCCATGCATGGCCGTCAAAAACACAGAACTCCCGAAGAGAACACATTTCACATTAGACAGGTTGGAAAGAGCACTGAGTTCGAAAAAGCGTGGTAGGGGGTCGAAAATTAGCAGTGGCATAGTAGATGATGTAAATCAGAAACCGTCAACATTAGGTCGGAAATCCTATTTCGATTGCTTGTGTTCACAACAAATGGCAAAGGAGCGCTTCCGGAGTTAATAAAGTTTACATTTTAGTCCAAAGTACATTTATACCGGAAAAATGAACAAATTAAAGCACCTTTAATCGCGTGAGACATCGCGTGATAAATCTCATGACCAGCTGAAGTCCTAGGCTAAGCCGCGACTTATGAGTCCGCAATCCAAACTAACTAGCGGTCATGCGTTGGAGAACAAACATGGCGTTGAAACCAATTTTAGACTTGAAACAGTTCACTTTATTTTTACAGGTTATATCACGGCCAGAATAGCGCAATGGCAGCAAACGGATATGTGAGAGGAGTGGCAGTATTTGTGAGTTGTGGATTTTCATTTGTTTGACCCCGATCCTACTGAACTTGGGCAGGATTCGAACCAAAACTGCGACACACTTGTAAAGTGTGAAGATGACCCTCGTGTCAGCGACGTTAACTTTGCATAACTAAACATGGATATTGCTCTTCAGTTAGGAAACCCATAAAACATCGAGTGAAAGGCAGAAAGGGCGTTGATCTTGTATGAAAGAGGAAGTTCAGCTGGGCTTTTTTAATATTGCTTTAACGCTGAGTAATGAACATGAGTGCAAATGAAATCGCAGTCGATGACGGAAAATCGAATGAAACCCAAGTTATGGAAGAGAAGGAGACCAGTGCGGACTGGATTTCCCGCTTATGCTATGAACATGGACTTTTTTGCGCCACGCATCCAAAATTGGTCATAGTATTTACTGCGATGGTGGTTTTCTCTTGCAGGTAAGGGAAGTATCACGGTAAATAGTTGTGGAACATGTGTAACATTTCTTTCATAACAGATCACATGGCATGGGATTTGCATGGGTGATTCCCCTTAATTCTCTTAATTAGTTTTCGTTTGTGGAACTAAATTCGAAACCTAGAGTATTTCATATTTTATGATGCGTATTCTGAAACCATGCACAGACGTGTACCGTATTTTTCAATTTTGAATTGTTTACTTTGCCTGTCACGTTCATACAACTTTTTATAGGAATACTAGAAATAGACATGTACTTCAGAATTTGGCTTTTAAAGAACTTTTTTTTACCCTTGAAGCCTGATAAACATCATAATTTCAATTATTTGGTTTCCCAGTTATACACAAGTCTACATGTATGTGTTAGAGAGGGGAGGTATTTGTTAGTTTGTGTGTCAAGGAAAATGGGATTGGATTTATTACAGTTCGCAAGGCAACCAGGTGGACAGTCAGACATGGTTTGATGCCACTCTGGTTTAAAGATTTGATGAATGTAACGGAGAAGTCACAATTCATAGACCCAATGTGTTGCCAATCCTGTCTAGTGTCTTGATCAGGGGTGATCTAATTGCTGCGACAAGAAGTCCTTTTATATGCTCACTAAATAGCTGCCATTTTTTTTCTGATGAGATATAAATAGGTTTCAGGTAGTAAGCCATCATCATTACAGTTTAAAGGAGTGTGGGTGGGGTTGATATGCCATGCACCATCCCTTTTTTTTTTTTTTTAATTTTTTTTCATGTATTAATTACACTTTTCCATTTATCCAATAGTTTACTTATAAAAGTTATTATTGTGGAGTCATCATTCCTCATTTTAATTTTGACAGTGCCCCTCTCCTCTCAGTACCACTGTTTGGAGGTTCAGCTGCTATTGAATGGATAACTCTAAGTTCATCTGGAGTTTATGTTTCTGACAGCCAGGGTAAAACACCAAGGATCTTACAGGGGAATGACAATACCATACCAAGATGGGTAAAGAAAACATCATTTAGTCTGTGTATTTTGGTGAATAATTTAAAGAAAGTTACAAAACGCTTAAGTCTGTAATGCATATTTTGATAGAAACTTCTGTCATCTTCATTTAATTAATATACAAAGTGTGGGAAGTTGAATTATAATTAGAAAAATGCTAATTATGATAAATAGTAACAACATGAAAAGAGGTAAAGCATGAAAGTGTGAGAATTAAAAGGATAGTTTTAGATTTACATGGTGTAATTGTTGATTGAAGGATGTTTTGTTCTCTTTGAATATGAATAACCTTTTTTATCTTGAGTTGAAAACTGGTAAAGGCGTGATCCAAAACATGGAAGTTATCTGATCACACCTTTACTGGTTTTAAACTCTTTCTTAAAATTTTGGTGAATGGTGGATTATAACTTCTTGCAGTTTGTAGGAGATCCAGTGTTATATATACAACAGTTTATACTGATGGCACATGTGAGTCCATGGAGACCACATCTTCAGAATAGTTTGGTTATCAAGGAAGCACTAAAACCTGGCTTCAACATCACAAAGCACATCACCGATTTTCAGCATAAGCAGGGGTATGATTTATTACTGCTACTATTACCAAGAACAGAGTACCTAGACCTACTAATAGATTACACTGTTACCTTGACCTATTTATTTCTTATCAAGATCTGCATCACTACGGGTAAGTGGAGGTTGGGTGCCTGACACATCCACTATTGGCAGCCAGCTCCTAGATGGAGACTGCTCTCATGGCTGGCAAATCTTAACAACCCAGCCCTGAGCTTCCACACAGGAAAAGGAAATAGGCACCCATCACACTGAATAAACAGTGGAAAGAGGGAGGGAAGAGGTGGGGAAAACAGCCTGGGCAATAAGCTGCCACTCCAAACAATGCTGAAAGTTCACACTCAAAGCACACACAAGAATGCCTCAGACAAAGAGTACATAGAATTCCAATGCATGCACATATGCAAAAACTGCTGACTACTACATCTAATGCTGATGCTCTTTGCTGTTAACTCTGTTAAATTGCACTAAACTAACTAGAAGATTAAATGTATTTATTATTTTTTTTGTCAATGTTTTCCTTTTCCTTAGGAGTCACTTGGTAAAATTGAATGATGTCTGTTTACAAGTGAGTTCTGGTCCCAGCATTTCACAGTTTTCTGGCCTTGGAATAAATGATCAAAGATACCTTCCAACCAAAGGGTGCCTGTTGCTGTCACCGGCAAATCTCTGGAACAGGAGCAGAGAGAGGTGAGAAAGAGCTAACAATCCTCTGTTGACTAAAAAGTTAGTTGATGAAGCTAAGAAAACTTTGGGATGTTGGTGGCATTAGTGGACTAACTGAGGTAAATCATTGATCTGTGAGACACTGGGAGATTATAATTCTTGTGTAAAACCATCATGCAGGGAGATCTTTCTCAGTAGCATTTTGGGAAACTCAGTCTCTTAACTCTTTAAAGAAAGCAGTGCGCCATTTTTCATAGCTGGGCATGAACACAACTGTTTATGAACAGAATATTATTTGCAGAAAAATACAGTTAAATTGTACATTGTATCACACATTAGCAGTCTGTTATAAGGGCAGATTTTGTTGTTCACATGATATCGGCATAAGCCATGAAAAGAAAGAAAAGGTCCATCAAATGATAATATTATATAGATATATTACATAAACTAATTACAATTGGCATCACTTCAACTTGTGAATCTATTTACTTTTGTTTCACATGTCTACTAGACTAAGCTGGTTATCCCTTTCTCTCGTTTAAGATTTGATCAAGATGCTTCAGTTTTAGATGACTTATATCTGGTTCCCAGGAGGACTCCTTTTAACATTGGCCTCAAAGGTTTGACTCAAATAAATAAATAAATAGAAATAAATTTATCATGAAGATAGCAACTACCATAGCTAGTTATTAGCTTTTAACATAATGTTCTGTCATTTATATTATATCTCTTGGTATCCTTAGGAAGTACTCAACTTGGTAACATAATCACTGTTTTAATATTGATCACTGCACAATGTATACACATGACATTTAAATTGAATAAGTATGAAGTGTGTCAATACACAAGGAGGTCTAGAAAGTTTTCATCCCCACCAAAGAGAGGTTATTGTGCCTACTCTGCCCTCCTTCGAGGAAGGCTGTAGACACTATGTTATGGTGTCGTGTAAGTCCATAAACCTTCCCCCAAGCCCCTTACAGTTTTCAAAATGGCCAACTATCGTGGGACACTCGTAACATCTCTTGTGACTTGTCCTAGTTCAGATCTGACACTGGCCACTGTTTTTTGAATTCATGTCTGGTTTTGTTGGGTTTAGTTTGATGATTGTTCAGGGTCTCACCTCTGCATTTCTCCATTGTTATCTATTTGAACGTAATAGCTATGTGATCAAACTTTCTCGCATGTGCATTTTACTCACGTAACTTACAACAGTAGGCATGTGCAGTCATAGACTGCCTTTTATTGGAAAATCTTAGAAAGAGAAGGGCCATAAGGCAAAATGTTCCAAAGAAATCACCTGGAACTTCTCGATGGAGGGGTTAGGCAGCTCAGAGTTTATTAACTCTACACCCTGTATGGCAGATGTGTGACAGTTACTACTTGGAATACCTTATTGAAATGTAAGCTTAATGCTAGTGATGAGATTAAAATTCCATTCACTGTTACAGAGTACATACTTGGTTTGCCACTCAAGGAAACTGGAATCTTTCCCAGTTTGAAAACAGATGGACCAAATCATGTCATCCAGTATGGAGTTACACTTGTAATGTCATCACACAACCCAAGGTAAAGCAATATCCAGACTTAAGTACACTGGAGCTTGTATAGAAATCACCACTGTGTGAAAAATTTTGTTTGGAGAATTGGAAACATCGTACACGTATGTTTAGCAAAGGTACAGACTGATATAACATGAATGTGTCATTGAGGGAGACTATCTTCCTGAATCTTTAAGTTTTGGCTCGTTCACTTCAGGTACATTGATCAACTGAGCAAAGAGTTGAAGAAGGACTTTCCTCTAGCATCTGCCACAGAAAAAGATGAAAATGTGAACAAAGATGACATTGTGCATATATACTACAAGGTAACAATCCTGAAATTCTCAAAAAATTGTTAGTGAAGTCTACATTCTGATTGGTTCCTATAACCTATTTTGTTTTACAAGATGGGTGTTTACTTGGCATGAATATTTGCAATGTTTCCCTCTTTACTTTATGAAACACAAATGTTTGATTTCTTGCCACCTGAATCAGCTCACAACAATACAATAGCTGTAGATCCAAGGAGATGTGAGAATGTGGTGTGATTTGAGAACACCAAGGGCATACTGCCAAGGGTTTTAGGGCTACTTTTTTGTTCTTGTTGTATTTTGACATCATCCATGATGTTGACCCAGCAGTGGATTCACAGCAATAAAGAATTTACAGTACATTTATTTGTTAATGGTGAATCCTTCACTTCTAGGCTTTTCTAATGTTATTCTGTTTTTTCTTGTAATCCACAGGGTGAAGACAGAGAGCTACTTGAGCTTGCCCCACTTTGTGTTACATATTTCATTGTATTTCTATATTTAGCATTTTCTGTTGGTAAGTTGAAAATTAGTATGATTTTTTTTCTTACTAATTATTTCAATATTACTTTGTGCTGGTGGAAGAAAACAAGTAAGTTGTCTTATGTACATGTAGATGAGCTATCTTGGATATCCTAGGTTTCTATTTTTATGGGTCTGTCTCATCAAACCATCAGTAATAAGCTGCCTGTAGTGTTATGTACCCCTTGGGTGGTTGGGGAGTCATTACTGGAAGAATGACATAGCTCCTTTCAAGAGGAGCTTATGAAAAATCTCACAGCCATTATTATAGTGAAATTCTGGTGCCACAAGAAAATATGATACCTGAGTACACCAGATATGCATTTCAATGTGAAATTGAACAGCCCATAGGTTATCAGTTTTTTCAAGAACTCGCAAAAAATTTTTAAATCCTAAATTGTGCTTTATTACAGGAAAGATAGAGATGGTGAAAAGCAAGTGGGGTTTGGCATTCAGTGCTGTGATTTGTGTGATAGCCTCTCTCATCATGGCCTCTGGGTTGTGCTCATTCTTTGGCCTTGTTACCACTCTGGATAGCAGGTAAGATGCATGAACAGACTCACAGGATTACCTTTTTGGATCATCACTGCATCATCACTGCAAACCAAAGTGTTACACCTGTAATAACGTTGAATCTTTGTTAGACATAAAAGTAATGCAGTCACTTACTTTAGATGCCCTTTGACCAATTTAATTTTCATGCTGTAGCTGCCACTATATATATATATATTTTTTTTTTTTACATATAATGCATTCATGACATTTTCCATTTCTTGACTTGCACAGTGAGATTTTTCCATATCTTGTGATTGTGGTTGGTGTGGAGAACATCCTGGTAATAACAAAGTCTGTGGTGTCAACTCCAGTGGACTTGGAGGTCAAGATAAGGGTAGCCCAAGGTATTGAACCATGCTCATAGTGCAAAACTCTACATCCAAGATATTATGATAGATTTAATACATTCTTGAATCTCAAATTCCTTGTGAAAGACCATGAATGGTTCAAGATGCAAAACATGTGAAGTCAGTCATGAAATAATTGTTACCATATTTTTTTTAGTCAGAAAGATGGAAATAAGGAAAAATCTAAGTTTTCAATGAGGAATTAAACTGCAAACCTTTGGAATTGAATGGTCACAGTTACAGAGGCTATTTCAAAGTTTTTATTTGACATGTAATCTTCAATGATACTGCCAGGATTGGCAAAGTAAAAAGCTATTTTGGTAGTGAAAAGAAACACAGTGAATTTGTGGTCAGTCCTATCCTTTTTTTTTCCTCAAGCAAGAGACAAAGATCTCAGACAAAGGTCCTGTATACCGCTGATGTGTGTGTGTGTTTGTCAGTCATCCAAAGTTTTAATTTGTTTTTTCACTTTTCAGGGCTTAGCAGAGAAGGCTGGTATATTGTAAAGAATCTTCTAACCGAGATGACCGTTTTGTTAGCTGGCTTTTTTACTTTTGTCCCAGCTGTGCAGGTAAATGCACTAGCTTTTTTTCCCTCAAATTTGCGCTCTTTTTTATGTATATCTGTCCCTCTTTCCTCTGTCTAGTTATTTCCTCAGATTCGTTTTTTCGCTTTGATTTGTTGTGATAGTTGTAAAGAATAAAAGAAGAGAGGCAAGTGCACGCAAAAATCGCAAAAGCAAAGAGGGCCAAAATTAACAAATTTAATCTTGTTGTTCAATGCGTTTCTTTTTGTTTTCAGGAGTTTTGTTTTTTCGCCATGGTATGTCTGCTGTCAGACTTCTTTCTGCAGATGGTTCTGTTTGTTACAGTCCTTTCCATTGACATCAGGAGAATGGAGGTAAAAAAGATGCACTGCATTCCCACATTTATACGTTTGATTTACACATACACCCCTCCGCCCAAAAAAAATTGGGAATTTTTTTTTTTTCAAATCTAAGATTTCGTTGACTCGGTTGAAGCAAAACTTTCTTTAGTGCTACTTTGTTACGAAATAAGGAGTGCACTTTCGTGTGCTGATGTAAATTTCTTGGCAGTTAAAAATTTAGATGCCATGTAAAGTGTATCTGTTCATTTGTGTATACTTTTCTTTAGCTCTCGGATCTTCAGAGGCAGCCAATACAGGTCAGGCAGAGGAATCCGTCAGATGGATCGCACCAAGGTCAGTCACTTTAAGTAGAATTTGAAAAGAACAAAAACATGAAAGAAAATTTGCATATGGATCATTGAGTTGTGGAATTCTATAGCTTTGATTGGCTTTTCTACCACACGATTAATAAATAATCTAGAATTGGTCTAAATTATTTAAAATATTCGTTCATTCTGATATTTTCTTTTTCTTTTCTTTCTTTCTCCGACGTCAGCACAAACTCCTCCGTCACCAGTGCCAGGCTCCCCTCAATCCGGACAACCAGTGCAGTTTTTCGGCCTGTTACCCCCCCTGCCGCAGTCGTCACTGAATAATCAGGGTGATACTCCCAGGCAGTGTCCTGTCTTCTCTAGGAGATTACCAAGGAGGCTTAATTTTGCGTACTTTTGGGCAAGAACAAGAATAGTACAGAAAGCTTGCATGGTAAGGCAAACTGGTTTTACCATTTTATCCGCTAAGCAAGCGGCACAAGTAGGACTTTGAGAAAATCATGAATTTTGCTTTTTTTAAAAGTTTTTAATACTTTTCTTTTTGTCCGTGTTGCAATCGTCCTTAGCGTCCCTGCTATAATTGCTACAAAAACAGACGAGTTAGGCTTATGGAGTTTTAAACCGTTCAAGATTCGAAAGCTAATTTTGCTAAATGAAAACGGTGATCATGATCATCTTTACAATTTTTTTTCTTTTATCAAGGCGTCAATAATCCCATTACGCCTGTATTTACTGATTTTGAATCAGCATAACCTTCACCTGTGAGAGAGCATTTTGATTATGCATACTGGCCTCTCCCGGAGAATGAAATTGTTGACATGTACAAAGACAGGAACTCATCACTTGGGCTCCTGACAAAGAGAGTTTTTTTATAGTTTTTGTTTTCAGAATACGGAATAAATGACTTAAAATTGACATTTTTATATTAACAGTTTAACTGTTTTAACTCCCAATATCTCACTAGTAATTCTCCTTACGGTCTGTCATACAATTCCTATGGTGCTGGTTCGGAGAATTCGATATTGGATCAACTAATAATCCCCTTTTTGACATTTGTCTTCATTCTCATCACTTTTCTGCGTGATATTGTAGTGATATTGTAGGAAGAAATTCTTCCTCAATCACTGAAGAGAGCTAAAGGGTTAATTACACAGCAGCTCTGATATTTAGTAAGGGAACAAAGGAATGAAACAAACGCGGTGCTTGGTAGTCTTGATATCGCCGCGTGTTCATCACTTTAAAAGATAAACTTTTATAGGCATAAATCGTTGAGGTTTTTATTCGTTCATAAAAGATGGTTCTCTCAATTTCTACGTTTTAATCCCTCACAGGTGTGCTTCATTTGCTATTTTGTATACATCTTGAAGTCTCCGGGCTTAGATTCGGTGGATACCTCCCGAGATGTCCAGAGTTCAATGAATACAGATGAGTTTACAAACATCAAAGATTCCTGGTTTGATCACAAAGAGAGCAAGACAAGATTCCCCGAAGGAATGAACGAGAGTGGAAATTTGTTAGGATGGAAAGGCAAGAGAGAATCCACAAGAAAGAAAAGACCAGGGTTTTCTTTCAAGTCTCCGTCAGTAGAGTTATGGAGAGGTCTCTATCAACGGCACTGGCCTCAGGTGTTAAGTTATTACAACATAAGTCTTCTGGGCAGGTAAAGATCGATTTAAAAAATTGGATACAGTGGTGAGAGCATATGAACGTCCCACCGCTTTTACTTGGGTCAGGTACCCAAACCCAGTGTCACATGAATGCTGGGTTTGTTACTTTTCCTCGTCCTCACTCCAAGGGTTTTCTTTGGGATCTTCTTCTCCACACTCCACACAACCTGGAAGCAGTAGTCGAGGAGAGTCACTTCATGGATATGCAGCAGCCACATTCTGTTGTATTTCTACTTGATCCAACTTTCGATCACTAAGAGTTACATGAACCGATTATTTTTAATTGCCGTCTGGCCAAGGAAATACTGATTAAAGACGTTTTTTCTTGAGTGCAAGACCATGAAAAGACTAAGGTCCCAAGAGGAATCGAACCTTAAACCTTCCGTTAGGATTGTTACGCCACGAGTGCAAAATTTACGTTCTTGTTACTCTATTTACGTGTGATCTTGATTGCGGTCACAGCGATGTAAGACTCCTTGGTATGGAAGTTAGTGAAAACAAGAACCTTGAACCCTTTGATGAACAAAAATCGAGGGTTTATAATCTATTACGTCAATGCTGTGATTAGAATAGAACTTAATTCAATGAATTAACTTACCAGTATAGAGCAACCCACTCCAATAGTTGACCTCTGTGCTCTACAATAACAATCTAACCCTCTGCTGTGTTGTTTTCAGGTATGTGACAGTCTTACCGCCCGTTCATTTGGGATTCAACATCGATACGGACATTTTTGTCACAGACCTTCCAGTGGATGGTGACCCACTGTCAGCCACCAGTCAAGGGTTCTCATCAGTAGATGGCACAGGGAAACTCGATCATTCTTTCGACAGTGTACAGGAGACCACCCCCGCGCGAGGCTCCGTAGCTGACGAGGAGGTTCGAGATGCGAGGTATTACCACAACGCTCTGTCGTGTGTGGTACTTGGTGTTGTCGTCATGATAATTCTCTTCTTCGTGTGTAAATTTCTGAACGATCTCCAAGTCAATCCCAGTTCGCGACGAGGGAGGAGAGGAAGAGGCCACCGATGTGATGCACTGGTAGAGTGCGTACCCATCACTCTTAGAGGGCACACGCAGGTATGTACAGCGTGTAAACAATGCGTTATTACTGTAGAGTGATACATTGTAACCATTATAAGAAAGGTTCAAACGTCAACTCATTCATGAGCGGATATTGATCTTATGAGTGCGACTTGAGCACGATGGCTAATGCCATTGGATGAATCCGAGCGAGCCAAAAATGACTCAAAAATATGAATTCCGTCAAAACGTCCTGAACTTATTATCATCATCATTTTCATTATCACTGTTATCGTAATTATTTTCATTATTATCATTACTATTACAGTTATCGTTCTTGGTGGTTATCATTCCCTTTCCTCGTCCTCCTTATTTTCGCAATCATCATCATCACTCTTTCCTGGTCGTTATTAATGTTACTTTTGTCTTTTTTATTACTTCATTGTAGAACGTGGAGCATTTGAAATGCACTGTAACGTCCATCGTCAGTGTTTGTTTAAGCGGCCAGATATGTGTTTGGGACATTGCCACTGGAGATTGTCTGAGAGTTATAAACAGAAGGAGGTCAGTTTATTTTCCACTTTAAACTCTCTTTTGTTCATTCTTCCACTCTCTGGAGTAAGTGATAAATATATTCTCCTCTTAAAATATCAGTATATTGCCACGGGGAAAGGAAATGGGCGGAAAGAAATACAACTATTAGGCTTTGTCTGATTTAGCACCGTTTACACCAAATTTTGAGTGCTAAACTGTGAGAAACGTATGGCACTAGCAAAATAATTTAAATTGAGATCTTTGGAGTAAAAGGGTTTCAGTGTTGTGTAAAAGCGACTTCTCTCTCTCTATTTTTATCGTTATTTTCCGAACGGTGTTCGCGTTCTCCTTCCTTTGCCATTTTTCTCCCTTTTCTGGGCTATTTTTCAGCAATTTTGCGGTTCTCTTCCATTAAAATCGTCGTAACAATATTTTGAACTTTACTTGAGCGGCTGGGTGGGCGTGGAAGGTTGTAATCTAGCACCAAGGCAGTCCTGATTTCCATTGATTCCTATCGGGGAGCGTTTTGTGGAATTCCACGAATGCGACTGCAAAGGAGACTATTGAATCGCAGTAAGTTGGGAAAATATTCATATTCCTTCGCAGTCCATTTCAATCGGACGCCTCACCCAAGCCAAAACCAAAGCGTAAGAAATCAAAGCAGAGGCGCAGCGTGGATGCAGACAGTTCTTATACAACACACCGGTCAATGGACAACCTGTCGGCTTCTAATGCGCGTGTCAGCCCCAGGCCTCCATCGGACTTTGAGTATGCAACCTTCTCCCCCTTCAATGCGGATGAGAATTGTGCAGTTACAACAAATGAAGTACGGCGCTTAACAAAACCTGAATCGAAGTTAAGAGAAAACGAGGTTGAAAATTGCAACTGTTCGCGTGACCCATCGCATATTTCAAGTGGATGTCCAAAGTCATCGGGGTACGACTTCAGTAAATACGCAACCGACGTTGACACTTCCTTGTGGCCTTCACGATTGAGTTCCAGAGGTTCCTTCACTAGTTCATGGTCGAGCGCCGATGGAGATGATGTGGGATGGCCGTCGAGTTCCGAAGGATCTTGTGATGAACAAGTCAAGCCTGAGATGCACGTGCACAGTGACAATTACTATGACGACCACTCTAACGGAGCCTCGGTGTGGTGTGTTGATTGTAAGGATGATTTGATGATAATCGGCTGTAGCGATGGAACAATTGAGGTATTCCAATCAGTTAAATAATGTTTCAATATTATCAGTTTAATAAGTGATAAATAAGTATCTTGTCGTATGTCTCTCTGATAATGGTCAGCTGACCCTAAATCCAATGGGTGTGTTTTGTCATTCTTTACAAGGTTTTCGTTATTATCTTTTGCAGATATGGAGTTTGTTATCTGGAACGCAGGTTTGTGTTTCACGCGAGGGAAACATTGGTGTAACAAAACTCAGCTTTTTACCGGGAAGGTAGTGTAAATCAAAAATTCCTCTTAAAGAAACGATTACCCAGTACGAATATCTCACTCCAGTCTCTTCTCTTTCTGTTTCAGTCCTCAGATCGTTGCGGCCCGTTTGGATGGCACTTTAGAGTTCTTAACCCTCGGGACTCCCTGCAGAGCCGACTTGACCATGCCCCTTTTGGAGAGCTCCCCAATAAAGCGTTCCTCGCCAAGGACTACCCGAAAATTAAATACCCAGTCAGGCAACGTTTCGATGACACCACAAAGTAGAGACCCTGCGTCAATTGGCGTCAATGGCTCACATGCATATACTTCACCGGAGCCTCCACTGTGCAGGATAAGTCACAAACTTAGGGCTCATCATCAGCCTATTTGCGTATTAGGTATCATGGCAGGCCGGGTCATAACTGGAAGTCACGACAGGACACTCAAGGTATATATACCCTGTGTTGCGTTAAAACGCTAGTTATCCTTGCATTTTTGGACAGGAAAGTTGAGCGCTTTCACTTTGTAGCCAATCACTTTGCCTTCAAAGAAAATAACTCTAATTCAAACGTTTAATGGAAATTTTGACAGTTACGTGACTGCTACAAATCTGATTGCAGGTCAGATGAATTCTATGAACTACAGCGGCGAAAATTGAACTGCTAAACATTTGTCTTTTTGTAGGTGTTTCGGACTGACGATTGTGTTTGTGTTTACACATTACACGGCCATGCAGACAGCATCAGTACTCTTGCTGTGGATACGGTAAGGAAAATGTCATGTCTGTGCTCCACTCCTTTCCCCCAAGGAGTTTAAATGCATCCCGGTGAACTACCATGGCCACTGGTGTGGGTGGGAGGAAGCGGGAGGGGGCTAGGCAAGGGGGTGAACCAGAACTCCATCGAAGTGAAGAAGCAACACTCCCCCCCCCCCCCTCTCTGTTGCTTCGCGCTTCATTTTTCATTTGTCTGCATAAACGTTAGCTGAATGGGCCACTTGACCCGTTTTCTTCATAAACAAGTTTGCCTCCTAAATTTTTACTTAGCATTTATCACAATAAAAACATCAAAATAACTGAAGAGGCTCATTCTTGCGAAAGAGACCACGAAGGGTTTAAGTCATAGCTCTAGTTTAAACAAATCTGGTCGTGTGTTCTTCAGAAAAATGGAAAGGGAACTTTTATCGATTCGTGCATGCTATTTGGCGTCATTTATCATCTATTTTCGTGATTTTCAATGGACAATTGAAGTTTCTACACGAACAAGGGATTTATGGATTCACTCTTTCGAGTGCAAACACACTTCTCGAAGGAGGTTAAAAATTCCACTCGTTTTAGACGAACTCAAGTGCTCAGGTATTGAATGTTAACCAAGGTATTGTTTTTTTTTCAGACAAACAACCGTCAAGTGATCAGCGGCGCTGCCAATGGTGGTGTGCGCGTGTGGGATGTAATCAGCGGTGAATGTCTGCAACACTTGCGTGGCCATGTGAAGTCTGTGACCGCCGTCACCTGTACAGCTGAGCACTTGCTAAGTGTGAGCTTGGAAAGCGTGCTCTGTATTTGGGATCGAGCGCGTGGCGAGTGTTTACATCGACTGAAGCAGGTAAGGGGGAGTGAGGAAGCTTCCTAAAGATTGCCTTAGAACCGAAATTAAAAGAGGACCAGGTGAGTCAGTGGTAACTTGAAGCAAATTTTGCAGTTTGCGTTGTGTCAGAGGATATACAGGTACCAGGCCCCCATTAATAGGTGCCTCAGACTCCACAAATTTTTACTAGTTCAAACACTCCCTAAAGAGATCGTTTTCCTGAAATGCTTTTCCGTGAAAGGTGTCTACATTTTGTATTTTCGCGTCCAAGCGCAACTGGTGTGATGAGATAAAAAAAAATGATTCAGCCATTGTGGTTCGTAAGTCGAAATCTTGTTGCAAGTGCAAAGTTATACATAAGCTTGCAAATAAAAGTATTGAATATTTTTTTCCCTTGTAGTTTCCAGATCTCTGCTCGAACGTAGTTATGTTGTCACGAACTCTATTTATCACCGGCGGCCAGGTTGGTGAAAAGTTTTTCTTTTTTCCTTAGTAATGTCGTATCATAGGCTCTTATGGCTCATTTCTTTCTCCGCAGTTCATTTATATGATTTTCTTATATTCACAGTCATTAATTCATCACTTCACGGGTTTATTTGGAACCAACTAAGTAACCAGCTCCCAGTTGGCTTGTTAGTTCAGTTGGTAGAGCGCTGCACCGGTATCACAGAGGTCATGAGTTCAAATCCCGTACAGGCCTGAATTTTTTTAAGGCCTTATTTTCCCTGTTGCAAAGGTCGCTTTCATATTCAATTACTTGTTATTAACCCTTTGAACCCAAAGAGTGACTAGCATGTAACTTCTCCTTACAATAGCACCCCAGGATCACTCATTAATCACCAAGTAAAGAAGCTCTTGATTGTTCAACAATTCTCTTGGTCAGCGGCTTAAGATATGTACACAGAACAGTATGGAAAACATGCATCATGATGTTAAGGTGTAAAGGGTTATTTTTTACTTGAAATCCCTCTTTTTTTTTTAAGGGACACATCTCAGTTTGGGACGTTTTGACTGGGAGACGCGTGAAAACGGTTCTGCTCGGAAACGATGACACTTCAGTGTTCGTTCGTTTCGTGAATGTGTGTGAACACGCAACTGTCGTATGTGATTTCGGAAAGGAACTGAAAATTGTGAAGTTTCCTGCAGTAATGGACAAGGCAAAATAATGTGAAGCAATAAAATTAAATAAAGCTAATTTAGGTAGAGAGTTTAACAGTGTGACATAATTTAGAGGTAACGAAATATACCTAAGAATTATGATATACCAAAAGTGAGGTAATATATCCCAAAAATTAGCCAAATGAGTTAATTCAAACTTGGGCATTTCGTGCGATTATTTTAAAATAAAAAAAAATTGCAGAATTGATGCTAGGGTAGACTTTGTGCGGTTACATTTCCTGCACGGAATGATTTTAGTGCCATGTTAAGAAATATTAACAGAGGGCTGAAGAATTTAATGTGCTTGTAATCATTCAATTTCCCGATTAATCTTATTGAAAGGAACTTTCACTCGAAATTCCCCGAACTTCGTGATTATGCAAGTCTGAGATGACCTCATTGATCACGCTAGAGGTTTGTAAACTTTTTCAATGTTTCAAAACGGTAAAAACCAATTGTTTCCTATGTATGGTAGACAGCGATATTTTATGTTTTCTAAAACACAGCGTCAACGTGCTGGATATTTAATAGAATGGTAATACTAAAATTATATTTTCAAAGTTAGAATTCTGTTACAGGAATGATAGACGTGATGCAATCCTTCGTCGCGATGAATTTTAGCACTAACCAAATTTCATTTTAAGTAATGGATGTGCCATGTTCTTGTGATGTTTTCTTTCATAAAAACTGAAACAAAAGTCTTTCATTTCTAATTAAATACAAATATCACGCGAGTATACTTTTTCTTAGTTTATTTAGCTACAAATTAAGCATACATTGAAGAAGTATTGGTGTAGACTGTAGTGAAAAAAAAACACCAATTTAGAGTAAATGAAAACCATCAGCTTTCTATCTTTGAACGTTGTAATAAACTAAGTTATTAAGTGCTATCAGATTTTCCTAAGCACCAATCGGCGCAAAAGTTGCGTCACCCAGTAACGCAGTCTTTTTCTTAAGAAATCAGTGCTCCTAGGCCTTTCTCAGGAATATATTTTGATCCGGAACTTTGCCAGCGGGAGTAATAAAGAAACGTGATTTGACACGTGCCAAAATTAAAATTATACGACGCAAATACTGCTTAGCATTATCCAATGAAGCTGTTAAGATCTTGAGCGCTATGGTTACATCTTTACGTTTGATTAGTGTGATTGCTTCATGCCTGGAAAGTGAGGGAAGACCACGGTATGAATGGTCTGTAGCATTCTCCTTGCTTGATAAGAACCCAAATGAAATCTTGTTTCTCTGAGGAGAAGTAGACAAACAAGAAGTTATTGAAGGGGACAAGAATTCTGGAGGGACTACTCCCAAACGACTCATCTTTGCAATAATAAGCCAAAAAAGAGAGGAATCCGATGTGCCTACGATTTCAGTTTAATTAACTGTACCTTTACTGCGCATGATCCCTCTGCAGCCCTGGGTTGTCGTAGTAAGGGAAGCTCTCTCGGGTTCCCGTGGGTTGCGGGTCTGGGTAGTCGTAGTCCCCACTTGTGCGGGATTGCGGGCTCAGGCTCGCGTTCATTTGCCGAGATTGAAGCTCATAGGAGCCTGTTCTTTTGCTGTCTTCCTTAGAATTCTTAGGGAAAGTGACACCCGAATTAACGGAGCGTGTGGTGAAGCTCGTGTTGTTTTTATCCTCAAGATCTGCTTCGTACCGTCTGAAATTTATGAAATAATACGATGTTAGCCAGTCCACACACACAGACAAAATGACACACAGTACCGGACTTTTTCTTTGAAGCGCAAACAACAATTGCTGTTCCTCCTGGATGGGAAGAGGGTGTTTCATCGCACCTACCCCTCCGCTAACCCAACATTATACCTAACAGTTAACTGTTGTTGGGTAAGGGAAATGGTAGGAGCGCAGTTGCTCACTGACATTGATCAAAAGCCGCAACGACTAAACCTTTTCTTAGGGTCTTATTACATCTTTCGCCATTTAATGCGTGCAGATTCTGTGATCACCAGCTGTATTTGCCACGCATTTTCAGGGCTCGCGTTGATACCGCAAAGCTCGCAAAAAACTCTTGCGTTTCACGTATAAACAATAGAATAAAATGTATGCACTCGTGGTTGTGGACAATCCAATTGCAAATGACTTACTTATTTCGGAGGTGGAAGAATAATGCAACAATGATGAGGAGGACTACAACGCCGAAGATAACGCCAAATATGATTCCAAGTTTCTTATTCTTGTTGTCATCTGTGGAAATATAAATGTAGAGTCACAACGAGATTATATGTAAAACATGTCATTCGCAAACTACATCTCACAGATCGAGCTTGTCGTGATTTCTGCGGCGTATACACCCTCGTCAAGTTTCCTTCCCGGTTCACCCTCTTAATTTGTTTTCTAGGATGGAGAAACGTACTTTATGTATGAGTAACGCATCCAACATGAGAACACAGAATGTTCAAATTATGTCTATTTCGGGTTGGAGCCTCATTTGGCCAACCTATCGCGTTTCCATTAAAACTATGAGCAAGAGCTTTACACAGTGTTATCGTTTGCATTGAACTGAAGGTTTATATCAACTGAAACTAGCAAAGTCTGTGCGGATATAAATGTTTATTCTATAGATGACTTTTGTTCGAATGGTTTATGAGCCATCAGTCACCAACAAAACTGTGCACCTAACTGTGCAAGAAAAATGTATCAGCTAGGACAAACCATTCTAAAATTGCCACAAACATGAAAACACACCTGGGTCATCTGCAGGTTCCGGAGAATATTCTAAAAAAAAATAGAAAGTTGTTGAGCTTTATTCATTTTTATTTTGCAGTAATTTAAGGTGGCTTGGTGTTTATCATTTAATTTTTCAAACTTTACGAGGACATTAATGTGCTGACTGCAATCGGGTTCAAAATTAAAACAAAAAAACAATGAAATCCACAGTACTCGTACTGAAGTTGTAGGCATACAGAGCTAAGTAGCGACGATTAACAGATTTCACTAAGTGTGGTAACATCGACCAAAGGAAATAAGAGTGATAGCCTCGTCCCATTAAAGAATTAGAGTTTAACTTATAGCGAACTGTCTTGCTCTCCATTAAATTTGGTTTCAACCTCACCACAATTCTTTACTCCGTCTCCGCTGTATTTCTCCTTACACCTGCATTCAAATGAGCCTGGTTTGTTGATGCATGTGGCATGGATATGGCAATTATGCGTTGCTTTGTCATTACATTCATTGAAATCTGATATAAAAAGGAGAAAAGTAACATAGCTTATTTTTATCACATGAGGCGACGCTTAAAAGACATTTTGAATAGTGAAACAAATGCACAATCGACATCAGTCACACATGTACGCAAAACATGAAACAAACGTTTGTAAAATGCCGCGTTTTCCGTGAATTCAATCTTCGTTTTCCGTACGGCGAACGCTAGTTTTTTTGCCGTGTTACTGTATTACCAAAACGAAAAGACACTGAAAACCTAGCGAGTTAATTTTTGGAAACAGCTACATATCAAAACCTTTCTTTTAGTCTATCCTTCTCAGTCAGTGCCAACTGAGCCTGAAAAGGCATAGTACTCTTTTGTCAGCAGTCTCTCGCCAATAACACCCCTCGTCTTGAACTTGTTTTTCGCTGGCGATCTGGGTCGGCCAAATATTACACAGTTTTCAGTAACAACCGCTTAAAGCTCTTTTAGAAGAAAATCCTAATAATGATCATGAAAGAAACGCAAGTAGTATCCAGTATATAATTAAAATGTTCTCGGTTTTCAGATCCATGATTCCCCGGTTTGACCGTAGTTAACATAATATACCCGTGGCAGTATGTGAGTCCCACAAATGCTTTCCGAGGTCATTTTTATAGGATAAAACGTAAGAACCCTGAACCAACCTCCGACTGCAGCGTTCGATGGATCGTAGCTCATATTTCCCATCTCCCCTGACGTGGGCAAGTCACTTTTCAGAGCGTCTGGTGTAATATCCGTCGCATCATCGGCAAAAGTAAGGTCAACATCGGCGAGAACACTTCCTTTCCTAACATAAGTCAGATCATTGTGTGCCTTAGTATTTTGTGAGGCAATTTAGACACACTGAAAGGCAGTCGTAAGTTAGAAGTGGGACTATCCATACTAACCAGAATCTTTTGACTTTAGCTTTTACAAATTTTTTGGTGAACCTGCTTTTGCGCCTGTAGTAGTCGTCTATCTGCGAGGGAAATAGAAAAAGCTGATGATTGGACGCATAGATTACCATTATTGTTTTCATTTGGATGTTCATTTTAATGCAATCGAGTTAGAAAGAAGGCTCCGGGAAGAAAGCTTTAATCGCTATCATCCTAAAAAGGTAACTCTCAGATATGTACTATGCTATCGCAACGTTGCCTAATCACATCTGGGGTCTGGACTCTGTTGACACCATGACGGCTCTGAGAAGGACTTTGTAGGGACAAATAGAAGACGTAAAATCACCCAGGAACTGAAATAAGGATCACCTATCCTTTAGGAGTTGATCTCCGCGGGTTCAGAGCGGAGGGTGAACAGAAATCACGTTTTCTAACCTGTAGCTCGACTCTCCTGGCCAGTAGACCAAATGCGACTGTTTCAGGATTTGCCAGGTCTTCCTGCCACACAACTCTCTTGGTGTTCACTCGAATCAATGTCACAACAAAAACGAATACACGCACATCTGACAAAGAAACGAAATCGAAAATGTTTTCCAACAGTGTGAAAAGTCTAAATCTTCTCTACGCAGAGTAGCGTAGTAAGTATCGGAATAGGACGTTTTGTTTGTTTTTATTTACCAAATGCACTATTTGTTCAGTTTGTTTGTTGCCTGTCGATAAGTATTACTCAAATCATTTTCCCACTCATCTTTGACAAATTGAGGCGCGAATAAAAGGCTTTTGGTGGTTCAAGTCGAGTTGCTAGCAATTTCCAAGGTCAGCTTTCGAGCCTAAACAGTTTTAATGAAGAGTTGAATGTGTGATTATAAGTCGTAATATTTCCGCATTTTATGAAAACTAAGTTACAAAGGCATTACAAGTCACTCATAAGAGTTTTCTCTCACCTCTACATTCGCCATCAGAATAAAATGTCGGAGGCGGGCACACACATTGGAATGTGCCAGGCTGGTTGGTACAGACACCAGCATTGCAAGGTGTGCTGCTGGCGGTACACTCGTTAACATCTGAAATGTAAGAGTTTTTGGTATCATTAAACAAAAAATTAAATTACAAAGAGGATGGTGACTCTCTCCTTACCCGCGTGACTTACGTAACTTGAAGCGAGGTTCTGCGTGAATCGTTCGTGTGTGCGAATGTTATACCTACGATGTTACATTACCGAAGCACTTAAGGTTCATGTTTTCGCCTTCTCTAAAAATAATCCAACTTGGGGAATAATGTCTTATCTAAGACGAGAAACTCGTATGGTGGAGACAACGAAATAACGCAATGCCCTAAATGATGGAATCGCCTTAGGTGCGTAGAGCATGCGCACTTACTTTGCCTCGGTGTCTTGTTACACGACAGGCAAATTACGCATGCGCACTTATCTTATGATGACTTTTCTACGGCGCAGAATAATAATTCTATACCTGAGCAGGTCTTGTTGTCAGATTCAAGGGTGAAACCATCATCACAGGAACACGTGAAAGATCCATTACTGTTCTCACAGACTTGGCCGCAGTTGTTAAGGCTGGGAGTATCACACTCATTCACGTCTGTATTGATAATAACAAGAAAAACTGACGAAATTTCCCGAGGAGAGGATTCTCTTTCATAAAGATTACATATTAGTAAATTATTTTGGACCAGGGTCGGCATAAGGCACGTGATCTACTGGAAAGAAGCATCCAAAACAGACAACAGATTTAATGGATTTTACATGTCAATCTGGTTTGAAATAGGGAAGGTGTCGTTCCAAGAGTGTGGTTTGAAGTAGAAGGTTTCAGGTCTGGAATAGAAGATGGACAATCGAAAAATTTTTGTAGTAGGGTAAGGGTCTTAAAAACGAGTACTATGCATCCCCACATAATATTTTGAGAGTATACCCTATGAAAAATTCGTCAAGATTGTTCTGGGATATTAAGGAGAAGGAACTTAGGAGAGAAAGACGGATGAGTTCAGCCATAAAATAGCCAAGAAAAATATATTTTACCTCTGCAAGATTTCATATCCCCGGCTAAGGCGTATCCCGGGTAACATCCACATGTAAAGCTACCGTTAGTATTGAGACACTTGACGCTACAGCCATGGTTTCCCATCATGCACTCGTTGATATCTAGCAACGGACACCGACACAACGTTAGTTAATTCCTCTTTACGCTTAAGTTGCTTAGAGGCGTGTAATCGTTACGATCGCAGATTTACGTCTTTGCAATCAATTTGCTGTTACCTTCACACGTCTTTCCATCAGCTGTGAGATTGTAACCAGCATTGCAAAAACACGTGATCTCTCCTGTTCTGTTCACGCAGGTATCGGAGCAGCCGCCATTTGTTGCGTCACATGCGCTGGCCTCTGCCACTGTGAATGTAATGAAACAAAATTAGGGAGAGCATATTACACGGGCGCGCGTGGATACGAGTTTATCCTCGAGTGTATATAGTACATGTATCTCTCAAGAGTGAGCGAACAAGTGAGAGGCGTCATCAATATGAGAAAATAAATTCGTATCCACATGAGGGCATGCGATGTACTGTTATATTGGTTGCATATTTCTAAAAATCACGGACAATTTTGAAACATGTCTTAAGAGCACCGAACGCAGGGATTACGTGGACGTAAAATCAGCTTAAAAAGCTGAACTTGAATTAATTCAACTTCTGACAAAAACAATGTAGGCGAAAGATTGGAGAAGATGCTTTTAGATCTTGATAGTTCACAGCGGAATAAAAAAAAAGAGATGATAAATTTTCTTGCTTGCTTGTCAAATAGAACACGATAAACGTGTTTCTAAATAGGAGTGCGAGTTTAATTTCGTAATGCGGGCATCCGACAACTTCATGAATGCCTGGAATAAAAAGGGACACCATTTAAGCTTCTTTTACAAGCAATTCTACATCGCAAAAGACCTCTCTACCTTTGCACGTGACGTTATCCGCATTCAGTTCAAAACCAGGCGGGCATTTGCAGATGTAGGATCCAATGCGATTGTCGCACATGTGTTCACAATTATGGCTGCCCTCGCATTCGTTTATATCTAAAAAGAAGAAAATTACTTTCGGTCAATACATTTTCAAGGATCAAACAAAGTTAGGAAAACTGTGTGGAATTAAAAACATTCTTTCACCGAAAAACTACGGTTTGCGCCTACCCCACCCTCGCGCCCACCCACCAGCATTTTTTAAGGTCTCTTGTTGAAGTTTCCCAGTACCCACTGAAAACAAGGTGAACAAAACAGAAAAACGCAAGACAATGACCCGTCCACGGGTCAAACCCAGACTTCTCTCTCTGAAATCCGGCGCGCAAACCATTGGGCCCAGCGTCCCTTAAAGTGCATGACGGACCTGCGAGCAATCAATCGCAATTCTTTTCAGTATTGACTCTAACTGAGATGTTCGTATTCGTTGAGATACATACCATCACAGGTTTGGTTATCAGCGGCAAGTTTGAATCCATCTAGACAGGAACATTCAAAGGATCCTGGCTTGTTATGACATATGTGAGAGCACTGTGCCACACCGTTAGTACACTCATCAATATCTGCAGGAGAAGGGATTCGCATTAATATATTTTTTATTATCATAACAGTAATTATTGTATGCATTTTAAATATTCATTCTATTTCAATTTTAATTGATGAGTTGTTCTAAAACTATGTGTTGAGAATCAACCGATATGTGTTCCTTTGGAGAGAGGAGTGCAATTACAACTTACTTTCACATCGTTATTATTAATCGTCATTCATTCATTCATTCATTCATTCATGCATTCACAAACATTATTACTCTCTTAGTCGTTAAATGCCAAAATCCGTCGTCGGTTAGAATATTCTTAACCTCTCTAGGATATCTAGTCGTTCTCTACGTGTTTTCTTTCTTGTTTTTACTCTTGTTTCGCTCTCTGGCTTCTTTCCTTCTTCTCTTCTTTATTATCGATAAAGATTCTTCTTCTCATCCGTCGTCCCTCCGCACATGCTCATTGTTCTTAATCCTTCCAGTTTTCTTTTTCTTCGTATTCCTTTTTATTTTCTTTTTTCCTTTCTGGTCTTTTTCCTTCATTGTTAACCTGGTCGTTCTTTAGTTCTTATCAGAAAAAGGCAACACTCAGATGTTTAAGTGTTACTCATTTATAAGTTAACCACCACTGCAATTCACCGTACCTGTACAGTTTTTCATTGGATCACCTTCAAAGCCAGGGTGACACGTACAGTTATATGCACCTGGTAAGTTGGTGCATAATGCATTCTCCGAACAGTTGTTAAGGTTGCCTGCATCTTGGCATTCGTCTATATCTAAAGAATACAATCACAGTTACTCCATTTAATTTAGCACTTCATTTACGGAATTGTAGATGCGAATTTCGATGAGGAAAGTAGCAGTGCCAGTGGTGGTGTAAAAAACTTTCCCAATTTCAGAAACAAGTTAGGTTTCAAGCATATCGAAAAAAACGTTTTGAAAAGGGCCACAATCGTACTCATGGATCCAAGTGATTTTAAGCAATGAAATTTTTTCAGCAATAATCTCAAATGTCTTGGAAATTTTTCATACTTTATAGAGACCGCATTGCTCAAATTCGAGACCACTGCGAGAAAAGTGAAATGATTACCGAGTTCTCGATTGAAAAAGGACTTAACCTGTTGCAGCGATATGTGCCAGAAGCCATCTTGCATAGGTTTAATAGTGTTTCTTTGAATTGAACTTTTAATTGAAATTGAAAATACCTTCGCAGATTCTTCCTTCCTCACGTGATGTATAACCCTGTTTGCATTCACATCTAAAACTGCCAAACGTATTCACACAGGTCTGGTTGCACTGGCTTAGACTTTCATTTGCACACTCGTCAAATTCTAAAAATAAACAAAGAAAAAAGCAAACTGATCAAAACTATAACAAATGAGTAAAAAAAGAAAGCTCTCTAAGGATGTGTGGTAAATTCATTTTATTGCATTCAGCAAAGGAGAGTTTTTGGACAAGCCATTGTATTGTTAGGGGTGGATGGTGGACAGTTACGAGTTGAACCTGACTAGGTGCAATTAAGATGATATTTGAACAACTTTTTGATCTTAATTTAATTCAAATGAGCCTTCTCTACGGAATTTTTGCTGACGTAAATTTTACGAACCCTAACCCATTTACGATACATCAAAGTCCTTTCTCAGTTTAACCTGATGGCAAAAACAAGAAAAAAAAAACACCTCTTACCGAAGCAGTTTTCACCATCGCCGGTTAAACCTGGAGGACAGGGCCCACATTTAAACCCGAATGGGTTCCTTGTGGTATTGCATGTCACGTTATCGGCGCAGGGATCATCTGCACATGCGTCAAGTACCTCCATCTCACAGAAGTCACCCTCGAATTCATCACTGCAGTTACATCCCACAATGCGAAAGGCGCCATTGTCATCTCCAACAAACTCCGTGAAGTCGCAAGTTCCATTGTTCTCACACCTACACATGTTGATTACAACGGGATGAACAGATGTGTCATTTTTGGAGTCCGTGGCAACAAATTCTAACGTGATGTTAGACGCATTGACAGGCGTCCAAACGAAATGGCCGACATTTTCTGAAGCGTTAAAAGTGAAAGATGCCCCCTCAGGTAATTCTTCAGCCTCCAGCGTGACGTCATCGTTGTCAGTATCGAACACGCTTAGGTTAAATTTCGTCATCTGATTCACAGTTACGCTGATTTCAACTGGTCCTGTAATATTCGGAGGAGTGTTTTCTGGAAGAGAAAAAAAAGTGTTTCATTTGCTTTATTATTGATCTTCTCCATCATAGCAACCTTCCAAGAAAATAGATCCAACCCCCCACCCGCTCTCGCCCCATTGGTTGGCCTAAGAAAGGGGTAAGAAGACCAAAACTTCCCCGTCCCTCCCTCCCTCCCTCCCTTCTTTTTGACACCACTAACAGCATGTCATTCGAAGCTTAAAGCTTATTGATCAGATAGAAAATTCTTCCCGAATGTTGTAAGGGGACACCCCTGCAAAAGTAAATTTTCATCGTAGGTGAGGCAAAGAGTGACTTGCGTTTTTGAAACAATTTCTCCTATCCGTTCTAATCCCTTAGATCCGCCTTATTTCCCTATCCACAGTATTGAAAAATAAAGCTGGAATGCATTCAAGTTTCAATGAATTACTCCCAGTCTTTATAAGCTTGAGGATAAGAAATTATACATTATTAAAATAATGACATTTCCTTTTTTTTTTCTTGTTTTCTTATTACCTAATTCTGCTTTGGCAGCCTCGGCTTCTTCTTCAAATCCTTTGGTCTCCTGTCCAAGCTCTTTGTTACCAGTTTGCATCACATCAAAGATGCATTCTCTGTTGTCCCCACAGATCGCTCTGATCTCATTCGTAACAGCAGACAGGTTCAAGAAGGCAGGAACAAACATGTCGTCAAACGACACATTCTGCAGTGTACAGTTGGAGGATACAAATAATCTTTCGTCATGTGGAACAACCCCTGATGGCAACAAGACGGAGAAACAAAAAATAATGAGTAAGCATTAATCATGATCAGAGGGTATTCTCAGCTTGACAAAAATTGTGTTTGGATTCTTTGAGGGTCTCAGTGAGGTAGTGGCTTTTACGACTAACGGTTAAAGTTTTGGGCATTTTTCGGCTAACGTTTAATATAAGTTCATTTTTATGGCCCCATTGAGACCCTCCTTCCATAACATTTGTAATTTTTGCTTTATAAGAGTGAACAATTTCTAGAGTTGCTCGTTTATTGAGTATTGATAATTGTACATGCAATTAACTGTTAAGTCTATTTTTGTGCTGTAATTAGTTCTAGTTCGTTATTTAATCTATTAATACTTGGCATTTTCATAGACGTGAGGGTGAAAAAAATGATCATTTTGAGATAAAACGGAACGAAGATGAAAAAGGTAGAAAAAAAAACTTGTTCTCGTTTTTTATCGTCAACCCTTAATATCGACCAGTTTCACTTTATATCTTTGAACTCGTAACGCTCACCGAAGACTTCCCTTTCAATTTAATTTCACAACATTTTCTTGGTGATCCTTGTTGCCCAGTTCTCTTTGTGATCACAGAAGGTGTAAACATTTATGGCTCACATTTAATTTTACTATGTAAGAAAAAACAAACAAACAAACAAACCATGATTTTCATGGTGTGAATAACAGAAATGTTTTCCCTACGCCGTTCATGTAAACGTTAGACTTACATTGTTGTCCCAAAGAAAATATCTCTTGCTCTGTAGAATTACTCGGTATCATAGTACCATTGGGATATATCAGTTCATCTGTCTTGTCGCCATTGAAATTTCCCAGCAGTCCCTCGGTTTTGTTCATCATATCGCTAGGCGCCTTGACACTCAGTTGAAGAAGTTCTAAGCCTGGGGACACCTCGATCGAAAGGCCTGACGGGAACGATATGATGGCAGTTTTGTTGTTGATGGTACTTCTCTCGATCGACATTCCTGTGAAATCTTTACCCTCGTCAAAATCAGAAATGGTGAAATTCTCACAGGAACCGTCCATTCCTGTGATGGTAAAGCTGAGGTTGCCAGGGACAGAGTCGTCAAACACAATCTGCCCTTTGTCACTGTCTCTGGTTTTGAAAGCGAGAGCCGATATGACAGTTGCGTTACTCAGTCCTCCCTCGGTCGTTGTTGGCCTTTTTGTCCTGGCGTGAAGGTGAAGCGAACGATCCCGCGTCCGAACCAATACATAATCTCCGAGGCCGTTGAAGGTGTACTGAAAGCCGTCAAGCGTAAGCAAGTGCGGGTCTCCCCAGAAGCTAACTGGAATAAAGAATTTAAAAGAATTGTTACGCTGGTCAAAATTAGGTGAGTCCAATTATGGAGCTCTGACACATTTTCACTAAGACAAGATGAAAAACATCTTTCTGTCATTTTTTCCTGAATCCCTTGATGCATGATGCATGCAAAACTTAGAGGAAACAAGTTAAACAATTTAACAAACTCAAGACTGCAAGACTTGCACCAAATATCTAAACGTTAAAATTGTAAATGATTAAAAAGTGTCCAACATATCTCATGTTTTCTCATGTTATTTTATCTTCCAAATTTTCCTCTGCTTTGGTTTAATCGAATTGAACTATAACAGCCTTTGTGCAACCTGAATTTCCCTTGAATATGGTTTAGTGTGCATAGCTTAGATGAAAATTCTGAACAGTCATTTGTGATTCATTTATGCTCAAAACATCCCTACCGATAGTAATTCGTAGCCAAGGAATTCGGGGACGGCGTGGTCGGCATGGTCTCCGACGACAGCCGCCCGCCAATCGACTGCACGAGCACGGCTGCGGAAATTCGGGGGCACTAGCAGCGGTAGTCAGCGGTCGCTTCTCGTAAAACAAATTGCATAGTGACTCTCCTTCGCCGCAGCAAACCTCAAACGGTTCGATGTCACCTTTCTGCCTCATGGCTCGATTGCGAAAATGATATCTGAGAAATTAAAAAATGAAAACAAAACATGCCTTACACTGTGTCTTTTGAAAACAAGTCGTTATTATGGCCTAAGGGGACTGGAGGATTGTAGCTGTGTCACAAGAACATAAATCTGATACTTCCACCCCCTTCCCCCACCCCTCCCACCCTGGGCTCTGTAGTATTCTAACGATCTTCCCTCATCAGTCAAATTTCTATAATTTCCCTCAAAGAGAAATGATCCCCCTCCGTTTCCCCCCTAAAATCCTACAACCCCCCCCCCCCCCTGCCATAGGGACTGGTCCCTAGCTGGTGGTTAGGAGTGAGGGAACCGGATGCGACAAGTCGCGGGTGCAAGGAGATGCAGGGATGCGAGATCAGAAATCTTGCAATATAGGATGAAGATTTTAAGATGTGGAACAAGGACGCAGGATACAGGTTTCTGCTACTCTCACTCTTTAACTCTTAGACCAGGCCACGTTTGCCTGGTGAGACAGTAATAGCCAAAATAAAAAAATAACTTCCTCTGGAATTTCACTGATCAACGGAAAAATCTCTCTGATTTGTCCTGACTAAACTGGGTCCATTTTTATCATGCCTTTCTGTTTTAAATTCAGTCATCTAATTTACAAACCTGTAAGCTCTTCCAGCTTGAGGCGGCTTTGAAACAAACGCACCTCTTCCACTTCTTCTTCCTCTTTCTCCACGAGCGAGATAACAGCACTGGTGACTCGCACCGAACACACTTGTGGGAAATCTAAGCTCGTAACAGTCAATTCTTGCACCACGACTACCAGCAGATGAGCTCATTCTCCTGTAACGGTTGTCCTGGCGCGCAGATCTAAAAGTTGCAGGACAGTCGGTCAGTTCTTCAAGCCAGTCTTCGGGGTCAGGCTCTTCATTGTACCAGTTCATACACTTCTGTTCGTTTGTTAACTCTATAGGCTCATCTGGGGCATTTAAAGATTTGCAGAATGTCCCACGAGTTTTAATTCCGTCGACATCGAATTCTTTAGAATCGATCTGGAAGATATTTTCACCAAAGGAGTCTTCGTCCTCAAAGCTGTACTTTTTGTCCTTCGTTGCGTAACCAACAGCGCACTTTCGTCGTAGCCTTCGATCCCAGTTCATTCCACCGTCTTCGTAACTGTAGATAACGTACGAGGAGGTTCCATTGGTGATGAGAACAGCCTGATAAGAGCTTTCCTGAAGAAGAATGTTTAAAGTATCGTAAATGCACGCGATCACGAGTAACAATGTTTTAACTTCAAAAATATGGTGTAGAAAAAAACTTAATTACAATTGGAATTATTTTCCGCCTGGATTGGTGTACGGAAACTGAGGTCCTTTTAAACTCTGCAAAATGAAAGACTTTAAATACATTCTTCATACAGAAGAGCACGAATAACAGTTAGGGTTTTGGTACGTTTTATCTCAAGATCATGATCGTGTCAAAAGAAAAATCCCTTTGCAAAGCTGTATAACACTATATAGGGTTCGGATAATTGTGTTTTGAACAACACGGCTAAGCTGGATTATTTCCTGCACACAAATTGAAACTTTTCTATTTTAAAACAAAACAGCTATCATGATAATTACCTCATCGGTGTATGGATTGAAGAGAAACGAAAAAATTCTAAACCGTGCAAAAGGTGAAACTCTCTCCCAGGTTACCACCAACATCCATGTTGCGTTGAACTCGGTAAGCCCTGAGCAGTTTTTCAGCAGAGCTGAGGTATTGTCCAGTTGCTGCAAAATTCCCAACAATAAAAAGTTAAAATTCATTATTAAAATTCTGCAGGGGAATAGAGAAGATCTTTTAATAGGGGAGAGCGGAAAGCGTTGTTCTACACTCGCGTTTTCAAGGAATTTAGGAACATACCAGGATGTCTTATTAACTGTTTGCAACTGATTTTTTTAGACCAGAAAGACAAGTTCGCGTGCATCCTTAGGGTCCCACTTAACTATGCACAATACTATTGGTTTATAGAGACAGTAATGGTTGGAAGTTAAGCCAATCCGCTTTGGAGTGTCAGCCCTTTGCATCAATCGACGTAACGCCAGAAGGATTTTTCACTCTGAATCAAGGCCTTAACTAGGCAACATCCAGCAACAAAACATTTTTTTTCAGATCCTAATAATTTTGCTTGTTTGTTAGGTGGCGTTTGTGATATAGTAAGACATCTCAATGTAAACGTATGTAACATACCTACAGCTTTAGCTTCTCGTTTACCTACAAGACATTACCTCTCTGAATTCCGATGTGCTGCGGTCCACAACTTGGTAAGTGATACTTGTAGTTAAGGTAACTATATCTGTATTGGCCCAAAATACAGCAATGACATTCTTTTTCAGGCTGGTCAGCCTCTTCGGTTCAGAACGGTAATAGCGCTTGCCAATAGAAATTAAGCCATTATGGTAAATCTGCTCAAAACAAAATTTACGATAAAAATTATCGGCTCACATCGTCTCATTTTAAAAAAATATTTCGAAGTTGTACACATAAAATACGTGTTCCTTAAAAGAGTGGAACAGATTTGCTTCAAAAATTGAGGAAAAGCGGTAGGTGCTGGTAACGTTTAAGTTTTGGTATCAGAATATTACGAGCATTTATTAATTTAAATGTGACCTACGCCTCGTTGGATAAAAAAGACTTATGCATAAGATAGGTATCACGCGATAGGCCCCGTCCAGAAGCTTATTGTTCAAAGGCATCTGAGCGAAAGCTTATACACGAGGAAAAAATGATTATATTCAGTGGGTATAACTTAAATTAAATTCTTTGTTCGGTAGTTTGTAGTTTCTAAAAGCCACTGGGTCGAGAGGTCAATGTGTGCGCTCTGATTGAGTCTTTCTATTGCTTAATTGAGAAAACTTTTTCGAGAGAGGCATTGTTAGATAATATAAATCTCTCGGTGGCGTCTCCCTCAGGAGCATAAATAAATAAAATTTGTGTGATGAATATAAAATGCGATGGACTTGTATCACAACCAGGAGGAGTAGCATTACTTCTAGAAACAACATGCTGCAGAAACAAGTATCAGCTCCTGTGGTATGCACCATTAAACTCACGGGCCGGCTTTACTTTTATTCACTTTTGAGGTGGAATGATAACGCCCTTTATAATCCACCCACGAACTTTCGCGCGTTGCTATCGGCTACTTTACGTCACGTGGTACAAAATCGCCCAACAATTATCACGTAATATATAACCCCCGTTTACGTTGATGCTTATCCTTCGACCATTTTCATTGAAAAGAAACAAAGCCAGCGCCAGAGTTTCACTTTGAACTCGTTTTGTAGAGTCCAGTGATAGTTGAATTTATAAAGCTGATCTCAAATGCTGCTACGGAAGCAAAAGAAAGTCAGCAAATTTGCTGTCAACTCACGATATGAAAATTACTTGAAAGGTTATGAAATAAAGAAACTCCTTTGACTGAGAGATTGTCCTAAAAATTTCATATTTTCCCTCGAAGCTTCGTTTCCTGGCCAAATATTTTTTTTCGGACAACATCTAAGCCGCAGACAATAACAGCCGACATACCAGCCGGCAGAAGGGGTTTATTTACTAATTAGCCTTAAGCTTGAGTCGAGACTCTTCAATAGTTCTGAAACATGGCAAACTAAATAATGTCTATAACACTACAGTTTTCACTGACTAATCAAAGAAATAATAAATAGATTAGGGTGATATCATTTTACATAACTAAATATTACACCCATACTCACATAAATGTTCTTGTACAGTTCACCAAAGAAAGGGAATCCGCTGGCCACCTCGATATGGGTTGGAACACGACGATATCTGATCGGCTGAACCCATATCAATATAACGATGATGAATCGCTTAGCTTTGAAGGAAACCAAAAGAAGTTGTTGCGTAAGGTAAATAACAATTTCAAATACATTATTCTCCGCTTCTTGTTTCGATGACCGGGATAGGATAAACTAGGGCAGCTTTCAGTATGAGTCACCGCCGTATAAAGGGTTTACCTCTCGCTTATCTTTGAGAGCTGTTGCAACTTTTTGTATTCTCCCCACATATATTTCACCAAATAACTAGCATTTAAACAGTGGAATTAATAATTTGTACCTCTGCATCTGCCATTTCTCTTCTCGAAACCAGGAAAACAACGGCAGTTAGCTCCACCAATGGTGTTGATACACTCAGAGTTCAAAGGGCATATCGCATTACCTCTGGCACATTCGTCGATATCTGCAACGGGATAAAACAACAAAAAGTTTTACTGCAACAAGGAGATAAAGTAAATATATTTTAATCTTTTGTGGGACTTAAAATCTCTGGAAGGAGTTCATTGCTCAGATCGTCCGTATATCAATGCTGCTCTTTAGTTGCACTGAGCCCGAAGAGTCTCCATGAGGAGTTGAACTTCGGGCCCCAGTATTCGGGAGCGTGGATAACGCTATCTACTGGATAAATCTCTATCCGGGGATAGCACAGTACGTTACGTTAGAAATCATCCGTTCAATAGCGATTTATCCCTCGGATCGAGTTATCCGGCCTTTATCAAGCTGGACCCTGATCTTAGGATTTCACGATTCAATGATGAGTTACAGGTAACGCTTTGTTTAGCCATATGTGACTTGGGTCCTGCATATTACTAGAATCAGCAAAGGTGAGACGTCATGTTTATAGATAGAATATGAAAGATGTTAAATTTTGATTGAGGTAAAGATGTAAAGAAATATGTTTTTGAGTTGTCTCGAGCGTAGAACGAGGAAGTGTCTCAGCAAGTCTCCACGAGAAATCGAAGTTCAAACTTCCGCACTCGAACTCTGTGTTTGGATGCCCTACAACTGAGCTGCAGAAAAAAACTCCATTGTGAGTGATGCTATTGTTAGACGTTCAAATGGGGGTTTTACTTTAGAGATCAAGCAAAGGACTCACCTGTACAATTAAACAGAACTTTCGGATCCACACTATTGTTGTAAACAGCCTCAAAACCTGGTCGACAGTTGCACTCAAATCCTGGAAATTTGTTCTCGCACTCTGCGTTTTTATCAATCCTATGGCAAACATGGCGATCCTCTTCACATTCGTTAATGTCTGGAAGAAGAAAAATAAATTTTCTGGAATTATCACACAGATTCAAAGCTTTGTGTCTCCATTTAATGGAGCTTATTTCCATACAAAAATCATGGATTCTCATCATGATGTATCTAAGCTGAATGTTGCAGATTCAAAGACACTTCATTTCATCTTACATGCAGCTAGTCTACTGAATTCTTTGCCAATTTTCTCCGTATCCATAAAATTCTTTTTATTCTGTTTTCTCCATTTTTCCGGTGAGAAAATTTGAACTGAAACTATTAACAGTCCTAGTTAAAAATACAGAAAACTGTATGTTTTGCGTAGACATTTAGGAGCCCACAAGCCTATGTATCAACGTTGAATATTTCCCTCTGGATGTAATATATGAACATACAGAATAAACATCCAGCAGAAGTACACCAGTGACAAACTCAACGCACACGCCTAGTGTGAATATTCAAAACCGAGTGAGGCCAACACTGCGTGTGCCGGTGCGCATACCCTTACCACCCCAACCCCCCAAAACAATTTTGTCACTAGTTAATCTTACTGAGGAGATTATTAGCCACTGATCGCAACTTACCTTTGCATCTTTTTTTACGATCGTCATATTTGTATCCATCTGGACATCTACAGTAGTAAGATCCTGGGGTATTTATGCATTCTGCATTGTAGAGGCAACTGTTGTCATAAAACTTCTCACACTCGTCAAAATCTGTGGAAATTCAACATAATTTCTACTCGCATTTTATTATAGTCAGAGGGACGTTAACTTTATTTTTTTTAAATTTCTATTATTTATTTTTTTAAATTCTCTGTATGCATTTTATTGCTGTTTCGATAACCGAGTGGTATGACTGGTAAAACTAATCATTTTTGCAGAGCAACAATGATAATTCTAATTGAAATAAAAGAGAGACTTACCTCCTTGAAGATATAATGTTAAAACCTGCGAAGGATTATGTTTCGAATGTCACAGACGTAGCCAGACTTACAGGGCATGTGTATTCCTCGTACTTCATCCAATAGGTCATAATGACGCTCCTCCGCTCCTCCCCACTCCTCCCCCCTTACCCCTTTCAGCTCTTTCGGCTAAATGGTCGCTCTATATCAAAATGATACAACTACGGAAGAGAACACATGAGAACTATCATACCGTCACAAGTGTTATTGTCGGCATTGTGGCGAAATCCTTTTGCGCACCGGCATTCATATGAACCAAGAAGGTTTTTGCATTCGGCATTGTCTGGGCAAGTGAAACAACCCTCTTTGCATTCGTCTATGTCTGAAAAGTAAATAGTTTGGATTTGTTAACATCACCAAGGGCATTTTTATTAGGGAACAAATTTGCTCTGGTTGCTCTAAACGGAAGTATAGCAATGGACGTTTCAATTTAGACTGGTTGGATTAGCTGACACAAGGAACGAGATTAACCCATAATCTGCAGTTTCTTATCCTTTCGTGGTAAAAAATATTACATAACAATGCTTTGACATGTCATTTATTGAAAGATAATCTTATTACCACCCCCTCCCCTTCAATTTCCGTTGCACCCCTCTCCCTCTCATACCCCAAACCGAGCCCGACGTTAGATACCAACATTTGGTATATACCACACAAGCGAAAAGTGCTCTTCGCGCGCGCTGATTGGCTGGCTCGGAAGTGGATAGTAATTGCTATTCACCTCCAAGCAGCCGATGAGACAAAATCGCGAGTCAAGATTAAATTTCCGACCATATCTCATTATATTAAAAGAAATAAACTTATAGCGGAGCTCGCAGAGCGTAGCCCCATAATTATACAAAATAGTAGTAACCCATCAAGCCGAAAAAATTTGGATGTACGACCGTGCGACCGTACAAGGTGCTACTTTTGACATGCATGGTCAACTGTACCGCGGGCACGCCAACGCCTCGGCTTTGTTCAGTTGTCCAGTGGTCAGTGCACTGGGCTCCGAGTCGGACGACCCGGGTTCTAGTTGTGCCCTTGAGACGTGCGGGAAAAAATGCGCGCTCCATTTTTAGGCTTGGCTAAATCTATATCTTATTTTGGTATCTGTGTGGTATATACTAAGACAATTATCCACCTCAGTGTCGGTGAAAGTGGTGGATATTTACCGCGCGGTTTCGCAGCTTGGTAAATATCCACCACTATTCACCTCCATTTTGGTAAATAATTGTTGAATATAGCTTACCAGCACAGTATCTTCCACGATATCCATTTTTGGGACAGTGGCACTCGTATGTTCCAGGAAGGTTAACGCACAGCGAATGGGAAGGACAACGGTCTGAGTTTTGGCGGCACTCGTTTATGTCTATTTGAAAAGCAAACAAGTGAAACAGGAATTAGACAAAACGTGCTTAATTTATAGCGAAAGAAACTAGACGTGTGGTGTTTACAAAAAAAGATAAGCCAAAAACCCTTTGTTGTTGACGTAGAACTTAGAATGAAGAAAAGGAAGTCTCCTCCCAGCACAAGTAAAATAAAAAATAACTAAAATTCTAACCATGGTTGGTGTTTCTATCTACAATCCAAACTGTATACCTTATTGTGGGACGCGGGGAGCATGGTAGGCTAATACTCGGCAGTGTGTAGTGGTATATTAATCTTGCATTACAAAGGGTAAAGCAAATTAAATAATTATTCAAAGAGATCTCCATTTTAGAGGAATTGTTTGCATCGACATGTCCGCATCTCTGTTTGTATTGAAACCTTTAGTACCCAAGGTCTCTGAACTAATTTTCCTCATCAATTTCCATACAGCTCTTTCGGGATCAGTTAAAAATTTGTTTTTTTTTTTATCCAAAAAATCTGCCTAACTGTTGTTTTCTTTTTTCATCCATATAACTTGTCTGTGATGCCATGTATAAATATGGCAAGAAGAATTACAAAAGTATCAACGAAGGAGAAATTTCAATTGGACTATTTTGTTGATAACTGAAGGCAAACTTGTTACTATCTAGAATTATTTTAGATTAAATGTTACCTGTCTTCTTAAGATAGATGATATGCTTGATGATCCAAACCAGAGAGTGACGGAATATAACAAAGCTGTACATGGGATCATCGCCGCGTAACTGAAACAAGTGCTCCAATTCAAAGAAATGATATTTTCGGACTATTTCCAAGTTGTCTGACGAATAGGTTAAGCCATTGAGAGCAAAAAAGTAGCGAATATCGAGGTGCAGAATTTCGATGATAAATCGCTCAATTGTGAATTTGTAGACGGTGGTAACGTGCACGGCATTGATCTGGCACACAAACGCCAAGGTCTTGTTGCTTAGTACTTCATTTAAGTCCAGCACAGATTGTCTAGTCTTAGTAAGGAAGGAATCAAGTTGGCACATGGACAGATACGAAATCGGGACTTGAATGTCAAGAGAATTCACCAAAAAGTGCTGGCTTACGCCCAACATCTGACTCATGGCTTCAAACGTGCGAATTATCAGCAGTTTGCGAATCACCACGTGAAATTCTTGAACGGTTAGATTATAGGACAATTCAGCTTCGGTTTTGTTGAGTTTGTCAGCGACTTCACCCAGGGTCATATTTAAATTGTTTGCATAACGTACTAAGGTGTATCTTGCGCAGAGGACCTCAATTCTGAGGGGACTCAGGTCATGAAAGATGATCTCAGTCAAATTGAAAAACTCAATCAGGACTTCAGCGGTGACATTGTACGACATCATTATTTTTCGTACCTCACGTTTAGCCTCCTCCATCGCCTCTCTATTAAGTTCAAAAACGTTTTTCCTCGTCTTCACGATGAACGTTACAAGTTGTGGATACAATTTGTAATCGTAAAACTTCATAACTGTCTTATTCAACAATTCTGCAAACTCTTGTAAGGTTAGTTTTAAGAGATCCAAGTCTCTCGGGGTCACGTCTATCAGAAATGCAGTTAGGTAATGTAAGTTCATTGGAATTTTGGAACGGACCAGATCCAATACAGTTGTCATATTATCCAGGTCATCCTTAATTTTGCTCACCCAAACATCCAACGAGTGCCCCACCATATGGATTCTCATTTGAAGCCCACTGACATAATCTTGACCGAGCACCGCAATCTTTATCAAGCGAAGAAAGGAGTAGTGTTTCACTTCATCTGCATCAGGCACAGCCAGGATGGTCCCGAGTTCTTCCGCGGTCCGGTTGAGAAATTCAAAAGCTGACAGACTGATTTGCAAAACGTTGTCGTTATTTACGAAAAGCAAGAACAGCTTCAGAATGGGTGTTGTATCCAAGCTCACTTCCCGTATCGAGGCTAGTTCTTCCAGCGTTTCATTCCCCTTGACTCCGAAAGTGTTGAAGGCTTTTTGCCAGGTAAAAATTCTTCGTAAAACAGTCTCCACCTCAAAGACAAACACACCTTGGACAACATCCTCGAATGTGATATCTTTAAACTGAGATGTATTTAGCAGAAACAGAGCGACCTCGGGCAGTGTGAATTCCAAGTATGCCAAGCATCCCGTAGAGATATTGTACATAGATGCAATCTCTTCTTTCGACGAGCTGTTGGCGCGCTTGCTGAGGAGGGCCAAAATGGTCCCTGGCTTAGAGCTGTTCGTGTAGCTGTGATATTCGTAGACTTTTTTGTTCTCCAGCTCAGTAAGGTTAAAGCTCATCCTGCATTCTAAACTTGGAGCAATGTATTCCGTTGCTTTTACTTCCATATATCCCAGGAAAAATAGCAGAAACCAAAGAATGCCCTTGGCAATGAGACCGCTCGTGTTTGGAACTCCTCCCATGATTAGGCAGTTCCTACGAACCTTCGCAAAAAATATTTCAATTCGACACTTGATCAAAATATTTAATTGGGTATTTTGGTGAACTTTCATGGACTCATTCTATGAGATTTGTCAGTTTTAACTGAACGTAAAATACCTACCCCTGGACACCGGTCAAATATGAGGTTTACTAGATCCACGTGCTTAACACCGAAAAAAAGTTTTATCAGAAAAATATCTTGATATATCTGGAGCTATATAATGTAACGATTAAACAAAGCATAAAATTTTAATCTGGGGAGATAGGTTTGGGGAAAAATTATCAAAACTTATCGAGGAACATATTTACAGAGATGACCAACCTTGAAGTTGGAGCAAACGTGGAACCAGTCACGTGATACAAATAGTTATCAAGAACAATTTACTTGTACCCTGGCATTAGTAAAACAATCTCATAGAGACAATTTATATGCCCTCAGGCGATGGAAACAATATTTTTCGCAGTAATTCTACATACGACAATGCTGTTAGTTACCGCTGTTTGCGGTCCGGAATTGTCTGATTTGTTACCTGTTACGCATGGCGTGCCTCAGGGCGGCATATTAGGCCCTTTGTTATTTCTTATTTATATCAATGATTTGCCCACTGCCATCAAGCATTCGGAGGTAGCCCTATACGCTGATGACGCAGTGCTAAATTGTTATGACTCAAACCCAGCTGGTCTGGAGTGCGCCCTGAATGCCGACTTGAATGCTATTGCTAGCTGGTTAAATGATAACAAACTTACTCCTAATGTTGATAAGACCAAAGCTATGCTTATTGGTAGTGATTCCAAGCTTCGCAAGTTAAACAGTCTCTCGGTTTTGTTCTTGGCAATCAACTCGATAGTGTTAAAAGCTTTAAGTATTTCGGGGCTGTATTAGCCTCCAACTTTACGTGGACCGAACATGTGGAACATGTGATATCTAAAGTGAACCAGAGATTAGGTCTTTTGCGTAGAATTAAGCATTTGTTGCCGTATAACGCACGCCTTCTTTATTACAAAAGCCTTGTCCTTCCCATCCTTGATTATGCTGATATGGTATGGGGTGATAAGGATAACGCTGTCTTAATTAATGAACAGTCTGCAGGTGTTGCAAAATAAGGCGGCAAAACTTGTTCTAGATAAACCATTGTACTATTCCGCAACCGATGCTCTCAATCAGCTCGGCTAGTCAAATTTAAAACAACGCAGGCACTTCCATCGCTGCTTGTATGTTTATAAATGCATGAATGGAATTACATCTCACAAATTGGAATTATCTAGAAACAGCGATGTACATAGATACAACACTCGTTGCAAAGATCATCTTAGACTTCCACCAGTTAAACGGAACTGGGGTAAACAAAGAACCTGTTATCATGCCTTTAAAGACTGGAATGCCTTGGACAGTGACTTGAAGAACTCTGGCGCTATATGTCAGTTTAGGAATAATTTTTTAAAATGTTTTAATCTATAGCTTACTTTTGTACTTTTTTCAATATCTGCAATTTTTATTTACTTTGAACAATTTAATGTTATTTTGGATTAGGACCTCTCTGTAGATCACCTACGGATGAGAGAGCTTCCTGTTTAAATATCATAATTATTGTTAGAGCGGTGCATCACTACTGAAAGAACTAGCGCGTGGGTAACCTCAAAAATCATAAATGGTTGACTTTAAAATGCATTAGGTTGTATAATTTGCAACAGTTTGAAATTCAATAAACTGATCACCGAAGGAGGTAAGTAATATTGGCCGAAGAAGCGTTAATTAAGCATCAATGCTGAAGACATACAGGCGCCCAAGCGGATAAGATGAGGTATAAAAATAGATTTTTCTTAGTTAACCTTTTCAATTTAGCACTTCTATAATTTTTTTCTCAGTTTTAAAGAAAGCTCATTCTTCTTTTTACCCCGAGGTCATTGCTTGCTAAAAAAAAGCACTTTGCGACCACTTGCGTATCGATCTATCAATTAGAGATCACTGTTTCCCAACAAAATCACGAGCATCAAGAGTAGCGTAGCCGATTCCGAACTATTTATTTATTTCGTTCTATCTTTAAAAATCATGGCCTCTAAACAAAAACAATTCATACACAAACAATATTGAAACAACTCTGCATATTATGTTGGAAGTTCGTGTCACTTCCAGATGTGCGGGAAGAAAGTGGCTTAAAGGTCACGCTTGTGAGCAGAAGTTCTCTGCTTTTTAATACGAAGTAAGCCACGACATGAATTAAACGCTACTTCAAGTGGTAAAAACATTGGTAAATGTTTGACATGTATAGTTCTAGAAACAGGTCTTTTAAAGCAATGTTTACAAAAGAATTTTCTTTCTGCTCTGATGAGTGACGCATAATCATGCTATAAGACGCATGAGATTTTAGAGGCGAAAGTTCAAGAATGCCGTGGAAAAAGCTTTGTTTTTTCGTTGCCAAAACAAAACCACGACTGGTCAAAAAAGGAAATGCAACTCAAGAGTGAAATTTGGTGTCGAGACCCCCGGCATTTCTACCTTGAGAGTATTAAAGGTCACTTTTAAAAATCACAAAGCTAAAATCTATAATACACTTGAGTCTCCTTTATAATCGATCGCATCATTAAAATTTTACCATCGATATATATGCAACTGAGCGTAAATGAAAGTTTCTCGAACTGGTAATCTAAATGAAATTAAAAGTTGTACGTGTTGAACTATGTATATGTTCGTGGATAATGCTAGCTAACTCCTTTAAAATGCGACTGAACATCATCAATAACGAAATGTTCGCAACATCCTAAACGTAAACAAGTACTGTGTTACTTTCTTCCTGAATCTTCTTTTAGCTGTAATTAGATATTTGGAAACTACGGAAATAACTGAAACAAAGCTTCGAGAGTTCAACAAAGCTCCCAAAAAACACCTCAGACTAAGTCACGGTTTTCATAACTTGTAAACTGCAGCTAAAATTTTTAAAGAAGGTCGTTTACAAAGCGAGACAATCTTATCCAATGAATCTTCGCCATCCTAGCCCCTTTTAGATTTGCTCTTCTCATTTTGAAGTTTTTCTTTTTTCCTAAACTGACCCTTTGTTGTCCTGCGGTAATGACGATCGAGAAACAGCGTGACGTGGGTGTTTAGGGAAACTACCGAAACTATTAAGGCTCTGTTAATTCTTTTCTTAAATACAAAATACAGAAGTCAGTTGGATTCAAGAATTGAATCATGAAAGTGTACGTTTTTTTAACTTTTACCGAATGAATTCGAAAGTGCATTTTATAAAGTAGCAACAATCTGTTGTAAACACCCGCAGGGCAATATCACAGAACGAATTCCTTTGCATCCGATTGCGCAAAAAAACATATTTGTACTAAGTCAATTCAAACCAACCCTGATCTCAATATTAACTCTGCTGCCTCATCAAAAGAAATTATTGAGTTAAGAAATAATTTTCGAGTCCATTTATTTCTTTCTAGGCATGACTCAAGTTATATCGCCATAAAACGGGCAGATGCAAAGCACTGCCTTTGCATTTACAAGTTAGAAAAAGCGAGACCTAGCTTCCTTGATTGAAAGTATCATAGCCATCACTGAGGTTTCCTCTCCCTTTATATACTACACGATTCCTATACACGACACGATTCCTACATAATCGAACAAAAGAACACTTGACCAACGACAACTCATCGGTAAAAAAACATCTCACGACACACCATCGCAACAACAGCCATAACATTGAAGTCAAAGTAATCACGCGTGAAAATGACCCCGTCAATCTGCAATTGTACGAAGCGTATTACATCAGAAAGCACAAGCCGGGACTGAACTCCCGTGAGGAATGCACTGAACTTAACGATCTTCTATTTTAATAATTCATTTTAATGAGCTATTTTAATTAACTGTTTTTAACACATATTTTAGAACATTTTATCACGCCATTAGTTTTCATGCGTCCTACTGGCTAGATTTACACTATGCTAATGTACAGTGGCACCTCCAACGCTTAAAACCATAGCGCCAAATATTTTATCGTCCTCCCTGATGATGCCGTAGAACGGCGAAAGCTCGGAGTGAATAAAGAAAGAACCACAGTAGCACTTAAAGGCTTCATTTGATCAATATCCCACTTTATATACTATGATACTGAAAATGTCCTTGTCCGTGGTTTGTGGGATCGTAGTATTCTTAGAAAACGTTTGAAATTTTCAAGAATGGAGAAATACAATCAACAATACCATTATCAGCCATATGAATTTGGAGTGTTTCTTTTGCTGCAGATAACGAAAATATCGCTCAATGTGACCTCAAAAAAATGAAAATTGTCCAGTAAACCTACCGTTAATATAGGGATGTACGGTGTTGTGAGGCTGTTGACTGCTTTGCTGTCCGGAGCCGGTGAGCAAAGAAAGTCAAAGCAAGGACGCGTCTCTCAGTGAGAATGAAACAATGCTACCTTGATTGTTGATGATAAATGAAAACTGCTAACCACGATCCACTCAACCATTAAAAAAATATCTTTTATTTTCCGCCATTGAGGCATGCCTCATCAACCTTTTGTTTAATTCAAACGGTATTGGACATGAAAAACTATGTTTGAAAATACTCAAAAGAAACACTTTTCCTCTCTATCTGCAAAGAATTTTATTCTTAAAAATTATCACAAATTTTCTTTTAAGTCTTGTTCTAAACACAAGCTTAATGTTTTGCGATGCATCAAATACATGCTTGTGGGTGCTTTGTTTTTTAATCAGTGTCGTCATCTCAAATTGAATTGTGTGTTTACCACAACGGGAAAAGTTCAGTAAATTCTAGGGCATAATTGTTCTATTACGTCAACAACCACATCGCCGGAATGTTTTCGATATGACTGTAAAATCAAATGGGGTTTTTATATTTGAAAACTGTCTTTTCGTGCGGATGTACGACATAGGGAGGGTTCTAGAAAACACTTATTTCTTTAATTCCTCAACCACGTAATGAAAACTCTGTCGATCCGCTAAATGGGGCGTAACTAAAGACGAATAAGTTTATACACAAATCTATGGCTTGTTTGATCGGAATGGTAGAAGCTGATAAAGCTGTGTTATTTGTCAGCCGTTAGAACCAGTAAATTTAAACATGAAAAACATGTGAGATTGTTAATTTCGAAGTTTCCGCAAGAGTTATGATCTTCTCGCCTTTACACGAGGAAGGTGTAATCAAACTCTTTACTTGACATGCTTAACTGGAAGCGTCGGTTACAACAGTCTTTAGTTATATAGTTACAGTGTTAAACTATAAAGAGCAAGAACTCATGATACTGGATGCGATTGAAACAGACGACACCAAGTATGCTTAGTCAGTTAACCTTAACTAGCTATCAGGTAACTTCCGTTCTCGACGAAAATGAAGAAAATTGTTTTGAGAAGAATCAATAAACGATCGCTCACCGCTCCCCCCGCTACTAAACCTTGAGGTAAATCGGCGGAGGTCTCCTGTCTTGGCATAGGAGGCGCTCCAAAACAATTCTTCATGTAAACATGGAATTTTGAATTACGTGAGGCACACTAATTGATGATGTCATGATATGTATTTAATCAATCAATCAAAGACCTAATTTAACTTCGAATTTGGGCTTTTTTCTCAAGGCGCAATTGAAGAGGAAAATGTCCTGGGAACGAGTTTGGGAGTTTTTTGGATGATTCTTCTTCCTCCGCATTACCGTCATCAAATGATCATTATGTTGGGAATATAATAACTAACAAAATATTTATATACAGAATTACTTTGAAGACATTTTTTCTTCTCGTTTCTTTTCCTTTTTCCTTTCAGGTTTTTTCCCTTCTTTGCACGTTTCTGTTTGGTCAGTCCATGATCAAATTAGCCATAAGTTGGTCTTTTGCGCGGAGGTTTGGAGGTTTCGCCATATTGAAATCCTTACAAAATTCAAAATTCGAAAATTTTGCAAATATTTTGCTGAGAGGTCGGAAGTTTGGCTTGATTACAAATTTGCCTCTTTCCACCTTGCAAGTGAGTTAAAACTGTTGCGTCTAAGAAAACAGTTGAGAGTTTATCATTGCTACTTCATTTTTAAATTGCGCTGAAATTATTTTAAAAAAACCGTGATGTAAATAAGATTCTACAATCGCATGTAATCCTTGGCGACTGCTTCAGTGGAAGTAATTCGTGAAATAACAGTCGAGCAAGCACAAGAAAGTTGTGAAATATAAATCAAGGCGAACATTTGCATGATTGTGGCTGCACTAAGGCAAGATATTCAAAGGTATTTCCATCGAATATCAATGACAACAGTGCCCTGAGAAAAAAAAAATTTGCACGGTTGGATGTCACCCTATTCATTTGCGCCATGCGTGTGGGCTTACTGTCTTCGTATGAGGTCTGTTAATTTTGATTTTCTGCGAAATATTTACAAAGTTTAGAGGGACTGGATGTACGCTGGACACAGCACGAACCCAGATGCATTCAATACAAGGCGAGGGAAATCGCATTCATCTCCCAGGAAATTAATGATGTTATTTCTAATTGATATTTTCAGTTCGACCGCGGTGTTAAAATTAAAGGAATTAAGGATAATGAAATGCTAATCGCCTCTCGAATTACCGGTTTGTGATAAACACATTTCTGTTCTCACAAAAAATTAAACCCAAGTGCCATAAATGTCAACTATAAATGCGACAATATTTCTGGGAGTGCTTCAATTTAAAACTTAAGATTTATCTTTCCCTCGCTGCTTACATTTGTGGTGAGCTTCCTCGTTTTATTCTATTACAGCGAGGAATGAAAAATTTCAGACAGCAATAAGTGAAAAAGTTAGGAGTAGCAATATCAGTGTTTCACTGCAATATCAGTGTTTCAAAAATCAATAATAAAATGGAACGTATAATATATAGGCAGACGTTCGTCGCAGTACAATCTATCAGTCGATTCCTTTTTTTTCTGACAAATAGAAAATTTGGTTATCAAAAAAATTCACTTTTATGATAATCATAGAACTAATTTGTCTTTTTTAAGATCACCCTTATCATCCCACTGTTTGTAAATGCAATATCCACCGAGTTTTGTCTGTATTAGGTTACCCTGAAAATTAACGAATCAAAAGAGTTTGTTTGAGGCAGCTGTCGACACCCTATTGTTGAGAGCGACTCAAAACGAGGGTGTTTGTCAGCCGAACTACAATTAACCTAGATCAAGTCAACGTTTCCCCGAATCGTTGGCACTTTGCTCTTTTCCTTCACCGAATCTCCGGAAATTACTGACACGTTGGGCTTTGCTGACTGACAATCGGATTCGTGGTGTTTTCTGTTCGTGCGCGTGACCGAACTGACGAATTTGTTATGTTAACCGAAATGTGAAAGTTTCTCAATTTGTTTGCTTTCTGCATCCCAACTTTTTCACTGCGGCTTTTCGCTGGGGCGAAATAAAAGTCGAAATGTGGACGTGAGGTCAGCGAAGTTAGATTGAACATGGATATAAGGAATATGTATTTTGAATTTTTTCCGCGAATCTCTATCTTGGTTGTGTTGATTTGTCGAGTTTTGGTCAATGATGCATCTTCTATTGATGTCGGTGAGTTACGAACTGTCTGTCTTTTTCTAATCTTCAGTAATTTACATCAACTTGGCAACGGTTCACTGTTTCTATAAGTTCAAAGTTTGCAGCATATGTCTCAATCTGCCGTGTTCTATTGGAACAACCGCACTATTTTTCGATCGAAAATCGTTGCATATTTGGGATAAAGGCAAAATGAGTTACGTGAGGAAAAAATACTTAGTGTACAATGTTTACAACAGGACTAATGTCCTTTTAGGATTAAAAACGACAATTGTTTGGAACTTGCGCAAGGCAAAATTGAAATCGTCACCTTTTTGTGATGAAAATTTCAATTACACTCGTTTTTAAAGTCACAAAGGAAATGGAATCTTCATCACAAAGCCCTGTTACTTATATAGTTTGAAAGACTGATAAAGCTTTTACGACGGTGATTTCTTGAAAGCGAAAACGTATTGAAAAAAAAAAATCAACCCACTATCTTTGTATGTGATGAATTTCTTTTTATTATATTCTTCTTTGTTTGGCAAACTGATAGAGAGGCCTGCGGGGTAGATCTAGTCCTTTCCTTCACGATTTTGTTTTCAAAAATTTAGACCTCAGCTATAGAAAACACATTTGTTTATCAGTTGGCGTTTGTACATTTTCTCTGTTTTTTCCCGTTTCGTGCATTGTCTGATTAGTTTTTCCATCATCTCGATATTTTTACAGTTGAGACTGTTTTGATTCAGCGCAGTCAGACGATAAATGAAAGAGCAAAAAAACGATTAAATAACAACTTGGCGTTGTTATCCACTCTACTAGGAAGGCTTACTTTAAGTTAAGCAATTTAAAGTAGAATTACAAAACCAGAAATCAGTTTCAGGGTTAGTTTTTGAGGTTTTCCACAACACTATTAGAACCACTTGTGATTCGGGGTGACCTTGTATTCTGCTGACCTTTCGCATGAACTTAAAAAGGCCCGAAAAGTAGGTTTGTGGCCTCTAAGAATTATATTTTTCAGACCATTTTCCCCTTCTAAGTTTCACATTTTGATGACGCGTGTTTTCCTATTTAGGAAGGATTATAAAGTTCCGATAATCCAAGTTCCCAAATGGATTTCACCCACGATAGTAAACCCTCTTTCCATCATAAATCCGTCTTAACTCATACTATTAATCTGAAGAGTCCCCTTTTCAGGTTCTATATCAAATTTTAATAGCTTCTTAAAATGTCTTCCCAGTTTAATTGCGTAGTTGCCTAGATCTCAACCTTCTTTTATCATGTTTTAATATTGCTCAAGTTCGGAAATTTTCTTTTTCTTTTTCTTCAAGAAAATCTCAAAATAGGGTGCTTTCCCGAGTCTCCTGCATATCGGGAGTTCCGGGTATCTCCAGGAAACTATCGCCCGTGGAGTCTCACACCGTACGATTGCGTAAGACTTTGTGGCGACTTGAAATATCCTCTCTCTGCTCTACAAAATGGCAACTTGTGTTTTTGTGCAAGTACTTTTAATTCCTCGCGACAGCAAAGCTCAAACTGTACCATAGACTGTACTGGCGACAGCAGCTACCACTGCGGTGGAACTTGGGAGAATTTAGTGTACAACTCGAGCTCCTTCAAAGACGAACTAGTGATAAACTACTCCAGTTCTCTAACCGTTTTCAAGTGGATTAATTTAATTGCAGTTTTTGTCAATAGAAGCTCTCCCGCACTACATGTGGCTTTTAATATCGGAGATGGCAATGGGGAATTTCTTGGGGAGAACGCGGAATTTAGATTTAGAGCTGTTTATTGGGGAAAAATCATTGTCAAGGCTCAAGTATTGAATGCATTCTCGGTGGGTTTTGTTCAGCGTGATATTTTCATTAAAGCTTTCCCAGGGAGAGCAGAGTTGAATTGCCCTTCGACTGTTAGTACGGAACACACTTTCCACTGCACAGCGAAAATTTACGAAGGGACAACATTAGCGGCAACATGGATGTTTCAAAATGGAAGTGAAAGGAATATTTCCTTGCCAAGTAAGTTTCAAAATGCGTTCATGTTTGTTTTGGTGATAATGGATTTTTCATTTAATTCAAACCTTCGGTTGGTTCGCGACCGCACAAATTTGACAGAGTTTGTTTTGAAAAGATAAAACTCAACAAGAATTATGACGCGGAGGTTATGAAAAATAGCATCTTGATTAATATGACATTTCAAACAAAGCTGAGTAAACGAAACGCATTTATGTGTGTGAAAATAAAGAATGTAATCTACATTTTACATTTTATTCTTATTCCAGGGGAAAGATACAACATGTCTTTAAGTTTCTAAGCAACCCGTCAGGTTGTAAGTCAAAGGTTTCCACGAAATTTGAATTGCTCTTCTGTTGTTATCAAGCCTTGTTTTCCTTTAATTTAAAACGTACAGGTTATTTCATAACCTAGATTGATATATGTTATTGCAATGAAACATCCTACATATATATCGTAGCCTTTTTTGTTTATTTTCCTCATTCATAAAGTTCTGACCGTCTTTGTTTTGATTGACACTATCAAACAATATTAGTCTTGCTTCGAAAAATTGCGCCGGATTTTCTTTCCGTCTCGTACAAAAAATGGAAAATGAAACAGATAATTTTTTCTCGGTTCATTCGTGACAGCGAACCTTTTCGTGATTGTTCACTTTAATTTTTGAAGAATATTTCACTTTACTTATCTATATTAAAAGAAAACATTACGCTTGTGCGAATGAGTTTGGTACCTATTCCAGCTGAGTCGAGGCAAGTATCTCCTGCGCCCAGGTTTGCGTAGGTTGTTGAAATACAGAAGAGATATTACAACGTTTTATTTACGCCGTTGTTAAAAGCACATAAGCTGTTAACGATCCCAGAAACATTATGGCGATTTTTTTTGTCGTCTCCGCTAATGTAATGGACTTTTTGTTTAAAGTAAATATTCAGTAATTTCCTACGCCGGACATGCGTTTATTTGTCTTAATTTAAATAATATCGAATGAAGTCCCCTTCTTTAGTAAACAATTTTTTTTTAAAATATCAAGTACAAATGTTAAAACTAAGATCAAAAGCTAAATTATCCATAAAAATAGCAACATCTGAAATGTCAATTTATTAAAAAAAAAAATGTAGCAATGTGGATAAATCTCCTTGTCCAGCAGGATTTTGTTTCAATGTCAATAAGCGAGGAAGCTTCGAGCTCCGTATCGAAATCTAAAATCTGCGATAATATCTCGGAAAAGACAAAAGTCGAAGACACATTTCAGTCAAAATTGGCAACTATCTCCGAAAACTTGATACTTATTGAGATAATCATCGATACTGTTTCCGAAAATTTCGTTTAAGTAGAACCCATCAAAACTATCCGCGTGTTCAAATGTTTTATGAAAGGCTCATCTTTTCCAAAATGGTCAAGAAATCTTTAAGAGAAATTACTTTTTGGAGAAGGAAAATTACACTTGTCTTGAGTATCATCAATAAATTTAAAACAAATTTTGCTTTATTTTGTATAACTTGAGATAAATATACATGATTGCTGGAAATTTTTTAATTTAACCACAGGTAGCCCCTAGCTATAGATGAAAGATTACAAAAGCGATCGTGTTTTTTACGGAACCGTCGTATTTTAAAACAAAAAAGTGTCTGGGATTGAAAATGATAGCTAACCTCAATATAATCGCACGTGTTTCCTGCAGGTGTGACTCTTGGGTTGATTCACAGCCATTTAGGAAGCTTTTACCTCCTACGATTTTTCTTTCATCAATTTTTTTCCCGCGTTAGGTTACGAATAGCAACCGCAGGCTTCAACCTCGGGGAAAATATTCGATCGTCTCCCATTTCCTCGTAGATCACGGACGAAAGTCCGCAACCGTTTCGTTGTCTAGATCTGTTCTCGACCCGCTTGTACACTAACAACGAATCAAGGGCCGAAAATCTGGCTGTTAGGAAAGGAACTAAAATTTGTTCACGAAATACTATATGAAGAAATCTTCACAATACCGACTTATCTACGTTTGCTACGCTCAGATGGAAGGGTATTGATGTTACTGCGATTGAAAGACCATCACCCATACCGAGCGTTGGTAATTTAAATCCTCTCATGGTTTTAGGGACACAAAGGGGGAATAACACATCGCAAAATGATACTCAAAGAGAAGAAGAACTCTCGGCTTAAATTCCACGCGCGTGCTCGCAATGAGTGGAATGGAAAGAAAATAAGATGTTCTCGTTCTTAGTCATAACAACTCGAATTTACCATTTCAAAAAAATTTCTTCTCCATCTAAACAAACTTCATGTAAACCACTTCACAGGTCCCCTTTATGTACGAGCTGGCTCGCCAATACCTCAGTGGCAAGTGCAAAATCTAGCATCCTCATATGGTAGTGGAGTGTTTTTACTTCCCTCGTCCCAGTTCTCTTCCGAAGCGCGCCTTTTGGCTCTGGAAATATATGGTCAAACAGCAGGACAAATAAAAGTGTTTGTAAGTATCTTCTAAAATCTATTAAAATGAATAGAGGTTTTCTATAACAAAACCAAAGCATCACTCTGGAGAAGACTTGATTTCTGTACTCTCGAGCTGCAAACCTCCATATGGCCCTATCTTGTTTCACAAGGACACGAAAATAAATAGAGGTGTTTTTTCGTCTTGTTGCGAGCGTAGGACAAGGAAAAAATATTGAGTCTCCATGAGGAATCAAACCTCAGACCTTCGGATTCCGCGCTTCGATGCTCTACCACTGAGCCAGAGAGACTCTACGGTAAGTGAGGTGTTTTACGAAGTTCATACTGCGAGGATCAGTAATGTCGATAGCGTCATGTTTGTAAAAGAAATAAAGAAAGATGTTTTTATCGTCTTGTCACGATCGTGGGAATTTTTTCGCAGCTGTCTTGTTTAAACAAAACATTGCAGGCTCTTGGGAATAGAATTGAAGGAAACAAGACAAAAAAATAATGGTGATTTGATTTTATTCTTTTTTTTTCCTTAGGTTGTGAGACCAGTGTGTAATTCACCAACATCCTTCTACTGTCTAGTTAATCAGTCGTGTACGAGCCAACCGTGTACCTCTCAGTTCATATACCGGTGTGTATCTCCCTCTGCCCTCTGCGTATCAAGTGCTTCTTGTACTTCCTCACCCAGCGGAAACTGCTCTCAGTCCTTCAAGTCAACGACACGGCGCGCAAGTCACTTCAGAATCACCGCTGACCTAGGTGTTTTGACAATCACAACAGGCTACAATCTGATAGTTCTTCCAGAGAACCAGACTTTTGACGTTTCTCCCGGGGACATGATCGCTTGGGGACCTGCAACGGACGGGAAAGTTGCTCATAAGCCAGGGGAAAACACAGTATACAATTTCTCACGCGTCAATGCGAAAACCCTTCAAAATGGAGCGGATATTTATAAAAATCAGTCAACTGAAATTTCTGACTTGGATTACATGATCAATATTGTTGGATCCCAGGCCTCAATATTCGAGCTAGACCACCAATTCAACCAATCTGGAGTGTACTGGGCCCGAGTCACATTTAAGGATGCTCTCGGAAACACTTTAGCACCGATAACTCGACAAATTCTAGCCCAGACTCCCCTCGTTGAAATCAAAATTGTTTATCCATCAGGATTTCCCTTTTATGGAGTTCGAACTAATCGCAATATGACGATGACAGTCGAAATTCCCACAGATTCCAATGTGACTGTGTCGTGGACGCTTCTCAACACGAGCACTTTGTTGAAACGCCAAGAATTGCAAAACGCAGGACAGAGTTCTTTACGAGTTCCGCTCAATATTACATTCTCCAGTTTAGGGACGCACGTTATTCTTGTTGAGGCAGAAAACATGATAAGCTCGGTCAACGCCACCATTTTTGTGAACGTCCAAGACTCCATATCTTCTCTAAATGCTTCAATAATTTCGGCACCAGTCTACCTCGGCACCCAGTCAAAGTTGATTTCCTTTGCTATTGGAACAAATGTTCGGTATAAATGGAACTTCGGCGATGGTGCGGTGACTTCCTATATTTCCAACACAACTGTTCATCACCGTTTTGCAAGAACTGGAACTATAAATGTTTCTGTTATTGCATATAACCTTGCTTTCAAACGGACAACTTGGTTTCAAGTCCAGGTCCTTCACCCTCTTACTATTTTCGTACCTAAGCAAAGTTTTGTGGGATTGAAATTGAATGCATCATGTTCACTGGTCGGTCCTTTTGAATCAGACCAATACTATTACTGGAATTTCGGAGATGGAGTAACTGAGGAAGGAACCAATAAAACGCAAGTCTTCCACAACTATACCAAAGGTGGAACGTACCTTGTCTCTGTTAAGTTAAGAAATGAGGTGCTTGTCAACGCAAGCTCGGAAATTCTTGTGATAGAACCAGTTTCAGGACTGACCCTTGATAACTTTACTGGAGTTGAGCTGTATGACAATCACACTTTCGTTGCCAACACTACCAAAGGAAATAACTTAACTTACGAGTGGTTTCTGCACAGTAACAATTCCATAACAATCATGATTTGTACAAGCAACTCGATGGAATTCCATTTTAACCAAACAGGTTTCTATACCATCAGTGTAAACGTTTCCAACGCTATATCCTCTGCATTTGCTTCGTTCTCGTTTTCTGTGCAAAGGCGCATAGAAGGACTGGGTATCACCGCATTCCCGAATCCTGCGCCCTCAAACAGTACGATAACTTTTAACTTAACCAAAGGTTCGGGAACTAATGTTAAATATCGGCTAGATTTCGGTGACGGATTCGTTTTACGGGAATTTCCCGAGAGCTTCCTCTTTAACCGAACATTTCTTTCCGGCCAGTGGCAAGTGATTTTTACAGGAGAGAATGCTGTTAATCATGTGATTGTGTTCTATAATGTGACTGTTCAGGATCCTGTTAAAAATATCACAGTCGGCGTACAGCCTGCGGCTTTATTTCATGGTAGAGAGCTTGTGGCAGTTGGGGAAGAGACGCATTTATTTAGCAACGTAACTGAGGGCACGGATGTTTACTTCCTCTGGGATTTCAATGACAGCAGTAGCTCCTATCCACACAAAGGTTCTTTACTTCCCACTGGAGGATCCAACCACACCATTACACACTCATTCCCGAATAAGGGCCCATTCAACGTAACAGTGAAGGCTTATAACGTTATAAGCCGATTATGGTCATGGATTTTCGTGTATGTGCAACAAAGAATCGAAGGATTCGCTTTAACTGTGACCGACCCAGCTTCTCCTGGTGATGAAATCACTTTCCGTTTTTCACAAATCAAAGGAGATAACGTTAGTTATATCATCAACTACGGCGACAATAGTACAAGTCAAGTCGTCACGACTGATAAGGTGCTTAAAACTTACAACAACACCGGGGTGTATAATGTAACGGTTAAAGCAGTTAATCAGATTAGTTCCGACACAGCTGTAAAAACAATAACGATACAGCAAAAGATTCAAGGCTTGGATTTCATTTCCACGATAAATCCAGTAGAAATTGGATCACCCACAGTGATATCGTGGAAAATCGCTGCAGGAAGTGATGTCAAGTACGTGCTAGATTATTCTGATGGGAGCGCTCTACAAGTTCTGAATGCGAACGTTGTAGGAATGAACGTAACTATTCACCACAACTATACTTTTTCAGGAGAATTTACAGTCAAAATTACTGCGTACAACCTTGTGGGGCCTAATAATACTATACAAGCCAAAGCAGTGGTGGATGAGAGCATAGTGGGTCTTGTAGCGTATGCCCAGAACAGTACTGTAATTATGTACGAAAAAGTTGTAATTTTGACGTCGATCCTAAAGGGAAGTCGAGTAGAGTATGAATACAACTTTGGCGATGGCTCTGCGCTTGTTACTACAAAAAACAACACAGTGGCGCACACGTATAGAAAATCTGGAGCGTTTAATGTTTCAGTCACAGCTCGCAACGGTCTCGGTATGGCTACCGTATATCTAAATTCCACTGTGGAAGTAGGAAAACCACGTGCGCCGTTACAGATCCGGGGACTTAACGTTTCCTGTCAAGCAACCACCCCTGAAAATGCAAGTGAAATACGCGTCACTTTCGAGTACGGATACCTGTTTCAGTGCGAGGTTGACTTTGGAGATAATTCAGAACAGAATTACTCAGACTCAAACCTTCCGTCCCTGCTGCTGCACATCTATAGCAGTGTGGGCAGTTTCGAGGTGATCGTGAAATGTCAAAATGAGTTAGGTAGCGACGTAGCTCAAACGATTGCTTATGTCGATGAAGTCATCACTGGACTAAAATTCAAAAGTGGAAATGGTGTAATTCATAAGGAATTTGGTCAGTCGGTTGACGTCGAGTGGATTTGGGCAACGGGAACAAATATCAACCTCAACATCGTACTGCATGGCCACGGTCCAATAGAAAGTCACCGAACTAGTAGTACATCAGAGTTTATCCGGCTAGGAAACACCCTATGCCCGAGCCCGGGAAATTACACAATCGATATCACACTGTCAAATTCCGTCACATCTCCAAAAACGCTCACAGCTGTAATTATGTTCACAGAAAGAATATCAGAACTATCTTTGAGCTTTAACCCGGTTGCAAGAACTGGGTATCCTGTGCCGTTTTTTGTTACTGTTTCTTCAGGGCTGGATGTCAAAATTCTTTGGGATTATGGAGATGGAAGGGACAGTGAAAACCACAATAGAGGCTTTGGAAATCAGAAATTTATCTCCAGTCACTCGTATATGTTGCAAGGGACCTACACAGTCGTTGTTTTCACGTCAAATTACAATTCGGGAGAAAATGCAACGGATAACGTGACCATTATGGATCCTGTACAAGGGTTTTCGTTCCATCAAAACAACACCTTGATTTGGCCTTCAAGGAAAGTCGACTTCCGATTTGTTCGAAACTCCTCCTCGTTTGACTTACTTGGCGCAAAATACGAAATCGATTTCGGAAACGAAAAAGTCTCCAGAGAACGAACTATCGATCCCAAAGAGACAAATTTTACTTACAGTTTCTCCTACCCAGAGCCGGGTTGTTACCAAGCTAAACTGATCATATGGAACTTAGTAAGTCGTGTCGAGTTAACAGCACCTGTTAAAATCATGGAGCATATCACCAACGCTTCACTGAGAGCCATGCATTCTGAATACTCTGCTCATCCGGGAGCTGCGGGCGGAGGCCCGACGGGAAACACGTTCCCATTTGAATACCCAGTGTCCTTCAGTATCACTCAGGATACGGGAACTTGCTTAAAGTACGATTGGAACTATGGGGTTTATGGTGAATTACGAGAAGTCGCAAAAGCAGTTACAACGCATCGTTACCCTTTGCCCGGAACCTATAATGTTACGGCTAAGGTTTACAACAGCCTCGGGACTAAGTATTTGCACAGGACAATTACGTTACAGCATTCCGTGATAGGATTGTATTTAGTTGTCAGTGGGCCAGGAAAGCCTGGGAGCAACATCACTTTCGTAGTATTCTGCGCGAGCTTGGGAACAGATTCGAAATTCGTTTTCAACGCAGGCAATGGGAGTCAAAACGTCACTCTTTATCGCAAGGGATTCACTAATAACACCCAGTTAAAGGCGGAAAGACTTATTGACCCACATATAATACTTCCATTTAATCCATCGCTTTATTATGCAAGAGTTGTTAACCATGTTTACTTAGATGAAGGACAATTTAACGCGCAAGTGTGGGCCTGGAACGAGGCCTCTAACCAAAGAGCTGGGGCTTCAGTTCTAGTGGCCAACGAAAATGTCCCTATTCCTATCGTTAAAGTGATTGGAGGAACAAACAGCCCAACGAATGATGCTGCACTGAGCTATGGAAGGCAGTTTACCCTGACCTCGCAAGTGACAATTCAAAGCGAAAAACTGTTCGTCGCGGCTTTTAGTTGGGTTGTTTACAAAGCAGACACATCATCGCCTCATCTACAGCTCCCCCCTGAGTCAGGAAGAGAAGTGGGGTAAGTTGTAGTCTTGGGTCGTCCATTTGTTGACGTCAATAACCATAAAAAATGAAAGCAGCGTGTTACAATTTTTTTTATTTTTATTACAAGTTTATTTCATAAGACGCCGCGCGAACTTTTGCTGATTCCTGAGGGAAAAAAAGTTATCGAACAATTTTTTTCAAACTTTCCGTCAATGTTCCCAAATATTTTTGTGTCGAAAAATACAACAACAAAGATAGGTCACCGTTCATGTTTAAAAGATATGATGGGCCAAACTTACCCCATATGTGTCTGTACTGGCACCAATCACGCACGTCATTCCATCACTTTACGGTACATTTTGCGATATCTGAAAGCAAGGGCTTTTAAAGCAAAACTTGAAAAAAAAACCTGATGAGTAGAAAGTCTCTAGCGTATGGAAAAATTTGACTTATAATTTGCGGAAAAATAGCGCAATTTCAAACGACATAGACTTAAAACCCTTCTTCCATCCTTCGTTGCCTTCAATAAACGAACGAAAGTCATCGTAACACTGAGACATTTCACATATATCTTATACTAAAATATACTAAAATATTCAGCGCCATAATATTATCGATGATATTATACATTCAGCTTCGGATAGTAAGATGCATTTTTTCATTCGTTTTTCACAGTCTGCCTCCAGACGTCTTGAAAAATCAGTCCTCATTGGTTATTCCCGCTTTTGGCCTGCTCCCTGGCGAATATATCTTTCGACTCAAGGTGACAATAATTGATCCAGAGATCGATAACGCTGATTTCACCTTCATCAAAATTTCTGGAGCTAATATCGAGGCTAGCATTGCCGGTGGGCATTTGAGATCACATGATTGGGGACAAAGACTCTTTTTGGATGCGTCCGAGTCACATGATCCACTGTCCCAAGGAAACGAAAATTTGATTTTTGTTTGGTTTTGCCAAATTACCAAAACCATTGCTGGTATCAAAAATTCTGGACTTGGTTGTTTTGGCAATGGGGATGGCCAGGTTGAATACACGGGGATAACATTTCCTGTTGAAGCAAAGCAGCTTTTTGAATCAACAACTTACGAGTTCACAGTAAATGTGAGTTCTGTAAAGACCGGTCGCTGGTCAACAGCAAACCAGCTGGTGATAGTGTTAACGGGGAATCCCCCTGACATCAAAATGCGGTAAGAGAGAGATGTTTTTAATTTCCAATCTGTTTTCATTTTTTGCATCGTTAGCCAAACTAGCTACTCTTTGGGTTAATCTTTCCATATTAGTAATTTTCTTCCGCATTCAACTTATTTTGTGGTTTTTTTCGTGTTCAAAATAATCTTTCGTATCTCAAGTTTCTTAATTCTTACCTTACTGTCGGTTTTAGTTGTGTTTCCAATTGTGGGAAGTACTTAGATCCTTCCAGAAGACTTCATCTCAGCACAGAATGTTTGGATTGTGTCAGGGACCAACCTCTAACCTACAGCTGGTCTGTAATGAACGGAAATGCATCCGCGCCATTTGCGGTTTGGCCAGAGCGAGCTCTCACTCCTCTCAACTCTCCAGAAGCTCTTATTCTTGCAGGGACATTTAACAACAGCAGTGAATACAGAATCAAAGTGACCGTGAGTCGGCCAAACTCAGGTGATTGTTTTCATTACACTAATAATCATCAACTGATCATCTAAGATGAATATTAATTAATTATCAATTACCATTAACTAGTCGAGAAGTGCACTACCAGTCATTCAGAAGTCAGTATACGGCGTGCTTTTATTAAGTTGAAAACATTTAGGCCGGACACTTGTTCAGGCCAGCAATGCAATACGGCAATGAACTAAATTGTAAAAACTTTACGAATCGATTACAATTTGCACAATAATAACTTAGGATTAAAAATCTATGATGCTCTATTAATTTGAAGCTTTTGCATAGGGGAGAAAAAGCGGCTTGTAACAAAGGTGCATATTTGAGAAGAACCGTGTAACAGAGCGTTTGCCATGGAGGCATAGCTAGGATTTCACACAGTTGACAGTTTCGAATTCTCGTGCGTCATAACTGACGTAGCTGATACTACTACCTCCTTGAAAATCAGCAAGCTAATAGTTAGCGGTGAGAGAGATTGGCACTAGTTTAAAGGACAATATCGACTGTTAATCGTATATTGCAATTGTTTGGGTTGGAGTACATTTGAAATTGTATTTATTTTATACTCCTCCTTGAATTAACTCTTTTACTGATCCAGCGGTCACCTTTACAAAAGAGAAAAGCTGAAGTATACTCCTTTGTTTAAATTCCTTGCCTGTTCTTAATTTCACACGTTTTTCTTCATGCTTTCTTAAAAGCAAGCCAAGGCATCGCAGAATATATCATACTCACAAACACCCCACCACAAGGAGGCACATGTGACGTCACACCCCGGGCAGGCAGGGAACTGGATACGAGATTTAATTTCTCGTGCAGGGACTGGCAGGATGAGCATCAACCACTGACTTATGAGATGTTTATCACACACCCGGCTGACGGAAAGGTACCAGGTTCCCCTCGGAATGGTGAACTGGTCTTCTTTGGTCCTTCATTACAGGGCCAAGAAGTGCTACTTCCGGTTGGCAAAGACGAAGCTCGCTATTTCATTAGTGTTGTCGTGTTGATAAAAGACGCCTTTGGAGAATTTTCGAAAATAACGCTGCCAATTCAGGTATTACTTTCGTTTTGGAGAAAAGCAATTAAATTATCATCCGAAGTGACACGAGGAGTTCCCTAATGTATCATGAAGATGTCAAATTTGAGATGTTTTTCCTTGCTCGTTTATAATTTTTCAGGTTAAGCCGAGAAATGTGACTCAAAAGGAAATTACAGATAAAACCCTCAACGAAGATAATCAGCTAGAAAAGGAAATTGGTCGCGGAGCACTGCAAGAAGTTGTACAAATCATACACGTCATTAGCGACATACTCAACAGTCATGATGGCGACGATGTGTTTGAGGAGGAGGTCAAGAAAGAGGTATGTTTCAGTCAGAAAATCACAGTAACGTTTTCACGAAAGAAAGAAATGAGCAAACAGTGCACTGTTTAGAGATTACTGATCAGAGAACTGATCTCAAAATCTCGAAACCTTCCGAGAACAAGAGTTACGATGAAGTTTAAACGAGTGTTTAATGAAAAAGAATACGACGACAAGTACCCGCGAAATGCTACCGCTGAACCATAGGAACGTCTTGTTTAGGTGTTTACATTTAACGCCGCGTGAGATAGGGAATGGCAGCACACGTTTATAAAACGACCGAACTTCTTCCTACCTGCAACGACATTGATTATTCAGATTTCTTTAACTGGGGTTCTCAAGCGGTATCTCATTGACACTCTTGATCGGAAAATTAAGGAGCACTATGAGAGAAATCCAAGACTCTGGCCGAAAACGCTACGCCTTGACGGCAGAATATTACTCCGATAACGTAGACCTTTATTAGATTTTAATTACGCGCTCTGCATATGAAAAGAGGAGGAACGTAAAAATTTGAAATTCAGATAACGGAGTAACAATTTCTTTACTTACTAAAAATCTGGCATACGGTGAAATTGAAAGTTAGCCGTCTTAAAATTATTGGTTGATCACTTTGTCGTCTCTTTTTAATAGGTTCGGTCGGCGATGGTCGGGTACCTGGCCGAGATTCGTCCTCAAACCTTAAATGATGTATCAATCGTGTCGAGGTCTTTGAACTCCGCAACGGCTGTTCCCTCTGAGACTGAAGTAGAGGCGCAGGTAAGAAACCACATTTGTAGAACTGACAGATTGGGATCAAAAAGTTTTTAGCTGCTTGATCGAGTCTGCTTCACTTCTTGCAATCTAGCGTCTCTACTAAGAGATCATCGAATCTCGAATGGTTAGGACTTCGGCTCCACACTCCCATGTTGTAAAAAGTGGGTTGTACACAAGCGTGGTCTTGTCTGAACAATGCATGTGTTCGTCGTTTTGGCTAGTGGCTCCTTAATGTTATTATTCATAAACGTGCAAAATTAAAACTAAGTTTCGTACGGTATGACTTAAGAAACTTCCAGGCCCTACAAGGTTAAAATTTTTCCATAGCCGCCATCTCCTTTGCTTTATGTCAGATTCATTCAAACCAATCAGGAAGCTAACAAATGTTCATCATAACAAACGTTCATCACATTACCAGCAATGCGAGTCATATTGCGTCTCAAATACCGTACGTCAATCAAAGATTACTTTCAAAATGGCTTCCCGAAGATACAAAGAAATGTATGGGATCTGAAATAAAATCTTATTTTTTGGCAGTTTAAATAAATTAAATTCTACGTGCAACCTTTACCTGAGCTCGCGAATGTCCTGTAGGACGCGAAGAACGACCACTTTCCATCGTTTTCTTCGTGAAAAAAGTCGCCATATTTACTTCAGCTTAGCAGCCTAGCATTTCCACGCTTTTTACCGCTGTTTTAACAATCTGCAGACTCCTACAAGCGCCAAATCGCGCCAATTATAAAAAACAAAACTTGTATCACTGTGAGCTCATTCCAGTCTGATGCAACTGATGCGCTCTGTAGTCTTTCCACGGTAACAGTGGGGTTGCTGTATGCCCTAGAAAGTTTTTAATGCAGAAAACAAAACATAAGATTGGAATCGAAAACGTGTTACGGTTAAGACGATCAAACCATCTTCTATAATGAAGCTCACATTTAAGCTTAAAATCACCATCGAAAACAAACTAAATATACCTGATAAGATGCTCATTCAAATGAGCCGAAGGCTCCCACGTGCTTGTCCACAATGGCCAGTCCTTCCATTTTACTAGGTATTCAAAGTCCTGAAATTGTCAGAGATTGATTAGAGCTGTTTATGAACTTACTTCGATTGTAGTATAAATTTCATCCGAAGTAAAATATAGCTGCAGGAACATAAAAGGGTCAATACACATACCTCGTTCTTCAATCTTCGCCGGCTGATAAGTCTCTCCACAAAATAAACTTTAGATCCGCTTTTAAATTTTCTCCTTCCTTTCAAATGAACTTCTAAATCCACTGTAGAAAGAACATTTAGTGCTTTATAATCAACTCGATTCCTCCGCGGAAATCTACTTCGCTCCATGTTTACATGAAATCTGACGCCATAGCGCATGAACAGTAGAACCTGAAGAAACTACTGACCTCGCGGACCGCGGGAGTAAAATGTCTCGGATTGCTGGTAATGATAACATTTTTGTATATCAATAATGGTAATAGGACTGAGTGGAGTCCAATTCGGACTGTAACCATACGAGTAATTCACAAAATCTAGCATGACTCCTATACTGTTCTATTATTATGTAATTGTTATGCTCAGGTTCAAGCAACGAAGCTGCATACTAAAATGGTGGCCTTGATGACAAAAGAGTCCCAAGCAGAGGAGGACGGGGGCATCATCGAAAACATCTCTGGTGAAATACTTGAAGGACTGTCTAATACATTACTGGCTTCTACCAAAAGTAGTGCTGAAAGTTTGAATGAAACGACCAAAAACGTCACAGAGGTTAACGTTCTGTATTTGTTTTATTTCTATGCGACAATGTTCCATGGGTTTCAGTAGAATGATGCCACGTCAAAATAGGTACAATATCGAAATAGATGTAACACTAAAACAAATCGCGCGAGCGTCTCGCTGATCCTGAGGTTGGTCACGTGCACGATCACTTGAACTCCTTTTTGTATTTTTCCTCAGTTTGATTGGCAGTCGAGATTATGATGGTTTTATTTCAAAATACTGTTTTCTAGGTTACTTGTAGAAAGTTTTTCGACCGAGAGTTAGTTTGAAACTAAATCATCGTACACGTAACGGCCGATTAGACCACGCAAAATGCCAGAGAAAGCCACTGAGAATTCAAATGAAATAGAAGAAACCAAGCGCGAGAATATACAAATGACCGAGTTTCAATTCCTTTGTTCTTTAATCTACTTAGTCGAGGGTGTAGCAGAAGTCTCCTAGGCCAGTCATAAAGCGTAATGAAGAATAGCCAACCTAATCAGGAATTTTTTTAGGCACACAATTAAAATTGCCTCGCAGGAAATCAATCTCATCCCTGGTCATGATTTCCGCTCTACATTCTAAGAAATGGAATTGTGTATTTTTTTATTCCAGGAAGTCACATTCAAAGTCCTTCAGCTTGTGGATGACGTGTCAGACGCAGTGCTTCGCCCCATGACACTCAGCCAGAAACCGCTGGTCATAAATACCAGGAGCGTGGCTGTTGGGTTGTCTAAACGAAAGCCTGATAACCTAGCCGGGATCGCATTGAATGTGGGAGGAGAGAGTCAGTTCGTACTACCTCACAAAGTAAGCCTGGTTAATGAAACGACCAACTCGTACGTCACAACCACGGTGAGTGTTAGGATTTGGGGTTTTTCTCTTCTGTATTGTTTTGGTTTTAAATTGTGTTTTTCATTGTCTCGATTAAACTTCATGAAACGCCAATAATCATTTTTTGACCTTACTTAGGTGACTGAGTTATCTACCAATCCATTCCAAAGTTCCGGTAATTTCACGTTGGTCAAATCGAATCCTTTATCTTTGGTGCTAAAAGGGAGTGACGGAGAGGCTATCCCTGTTGAAGATCTGACATCACCAATCGATATATTACTGCCTCGAAAGGAATCTTTGCAGGTACCTATATCCCACTGAATGATAAAAAGTTGTTACCTGTTCGAATCTAATACTTCATTCGTGAGAAGCATTTCTTTGCTTGTAGGAAATTATGAAGCCTCGCTTTGTTGTATGTCCCGCAACTTCATGGTGAAAGCGATTAAAAAAAAGAAAGAAAAAAAATCCTCAAATCCTCTCGCGGGCTGAGAAACACGCGTCTTGCAGCGTTGATAATGAGGCTCGCATGTTTAGGCACTTTCCTAACTTTTCTCGCCATAGGTTGCGCTGAACATCTCACAAACTCCTTCTTCCGACGGATCAATGACGTTTCACAAAGTTTCCGTTCCTAACAACGACAGCGTCATTATAGCTAAAGTTCTCCCACAAGACAAGAGGTCAAAATTTACTCTTTACATTCGCTACAACGAACAGCCTTCACTAACTAACCATGACTTCAAAACAAGTCTGCCATTCGAGGATTCTACGTTGGATAACTACACGATGTTTGTGTTACAAGAGCAGATGAAAGGAAAAGGGGATTACTACATTGGGGTGTTACCCATTGCGTATGACAGAGAAGCGGTAAAGACAGTAGTAAATTATACTTTTGACGTGATCTGTTCTGCTTGCTATTTCTGGGATGAGGAGGTCAAGGAATGGAGCACTAAAGGATGTCAGGTGAGGAGTGTTTCATTGTAGCAGAAATACTTTTAATGACGACTTAAAGTATCCACGATTCTGCTACCGTCATTTTTTCAATTTGGTGTCGTATAGTATGCTATCTATGGTAACCTCCGAAAACACAAAAAATATCCGATCGCAAAAAAGTGAACGGGAAGATTTAGCATTTAGACTTCGTATTAGATACTCTTTCTTTACTTTTTTCTTTATTTTTTTCTTTTTTTTTACCGATAATAAGTCATCCAAAACTTTAAATTAATTTAAAAGTGCAAATGGAATTTTTAAGCCAATAAACTGCACCAAATTTGTGTGCTATGTAAAATGTAGAGTGATCTTGACGTGCCTAAAGTCACCCATACACTACAAAACATTTTTAGCTAGTAAAACTTTGACAAAATTGCTTTTTAACAGCAATATAAAGCTATTCTCTGACCGGAATCTCAGATTTGCCATTGAATATTTAAAGATTAAATAAATGTTCCTTCTAGGTCAGCAACAAAACCAACCGAGATCTAACATACTGTCAGTGTTCACACTTGACATGGTTCGGTGCAGATCTGTTTATTCCACCAAATAAGCTGGACATTAAAGACTCTTTCAAGAAGCTCGCCAATATTCATAAGCATCCTGCACTGCTGGCGACCTTCTGCACAATCATTTGTCTGTATGTAGTGGGGCTCGTGTGGGCGAGGAGAAAAGACAGGCGAGATGTCGACAAGGTTTGTGTCATAAGATAATTTTTATCTGAGTTTTGAATTTATCCAGGTTTTCTTTGGTTTTGCTTTTCTTCGTCTGGTGATTTGCCTAGTAAAATTCTTCTCAACCTATCAGATGCAAAACTAAAAGTTCTAACTGAATGATGCTTAGAGTCAGCAGAACCAAAGTATCCTGCCTCACAATTAATGTAATTATTGTTTAAAAGTTATTGATACAAATCTACCAGCGTCCTATCTCAAATGCTGCAATCTGACTGGTTAAGAGAATCGCTAAGTAGTCTGATGGTGTGCAGCTGCAGATAAAGACAAACAAAAGAACGTGAGCCGGTTTTCTTGTTTTGTTTTGAGCGACCAGTAAATTTATACTTTCAAAAATTAACTCATTCGCTCTTTAATTCTATGCTTGAAAGTTGATTAGTGGCTTGCCCTCATCAACTATCACGCGATAGAAATCTCGAGATCATAATTTAAGTGTACATTCAATCAAGAAGGCGGCTCAGGGCCACTTAATTCTGCTACGGAATGATCATGGTCTCTTAACCACACTTCTTTTTAAATGTCTTTTCTTCTTTAGGTTGGTCTCGTACCAGTCCTCGATAACAATCCAGCGGACAGATATCGCTATGAAGTCACAGTCCACACAGCACGTGGCAAGGACACAGGGACCACAGCAAACGTCTCCATCCTTGTTGCAGGTGAGGACGGACAGAGCGCGGTGCATATGCTGAAGAGCACATCCAGGTCGTGTTTATACCCAGGCGGAGTAGACTCTTTCCTTATCACTACGCCTGAATGTCTGGGAAGTCTGACATATATCCGTATATGGCACGATAACACGGGCAAGAGCCCCTCCTGGCTACTGTCACAAGTTGTCATACGGGATATTGACACGGAAGAAAAGTTCTTTTTTCTGTGCAACCAATGGTTGGCGTGTGACCAAGGTGATGGACAAGTTGATAGGCTACTTCCTGTGGCGGGAAAAGACGAATTGCGTGATTTTATGCACCTTTTCAAAGCAAAGACGAGTCGTGACTTTTCCGACGGACATTTGTGGTTTTCTATCGCTTTTCGACCTGTGCGGAGTCGTTTCACATGCGTGCAGCGTGTCTCATGTTGCTTGTCTTTGTTGATGTGCTCGATGTTGGTAAACGTAATGTGGTATCGAACACCGATGAAACAACAAAACAGCGTCATCATAGACCTGGGGTTCTTTGAATTCACTTGGCATGAGATTCTTATCGGCATTCAGTCCAGTTTAATTGTCTTCCCAATAAACTTGCTAATAGTTCAGTTGTTCCGGAATAGAGGGGTCAGTCCTAAGACCAAGAAAAAATACGTTGAGAGAACTCGCACAGAATTCAGTCCTCCAACACAAAACCCTCGTAAACAGACTGCGGTATCGCTTAGTGACATTACGCCCACAGCTCCTCAGGTGGGGTCAGAGGATAGACGACAAAGGAATGTGCAGTTGAAGAACTTAACCAGCATTCGTTCACCAGTGACGGTGCGCCAGGACTCATGGGATGACGAATTGTTTTGTACGTTACTGGAGACCCAGATAAGTTTCTCAAAGAAGGAGATGCAAAGCAAGGGAGAGAAAGTTAAGAAAGAAAAAATGCCAATTAAAAATGATCATGAGGGAGAGGTACCAGACTATTTGTCCTCGGATATTTATTACTACTTGTACAAAGACGAGGCAATCAATTACAACAGAGGTAAGATATTACTTAAAACTAATTTATCCTTTCATTGACATTCAATCTTGTCTCCTTCCCTTTCCCGACCATAACGCCTTCCGTGTGTCTCCTCTCTAGAAAAGCTTGTAGAGAATATACATATGTTTCTTCAAATCAATGTTTTCTCTGAGACCTTCATTGTAGAAGCTACAGGAAATTTCTTTCATTCTTTTCAAAGTTCGCCCTGAGTCTATCGGCAGTAACGAGTCCGTAAACACAACTACTGCGCTAGTGCCTCTGGAAAAACCCAAGAAAAAGAGAAAGCTGAAAATGAAATGTCTCTTTCCATGGTGGTTTGTTTACATTGGTTGGTTTTTGTGCCTATCCACGGCAACTGTGGCAGGATTTTTTACGCTTTTGTACGGGCTAAACTTCGACAACAAACAGCAGGCAGAATGGCTTATTTCCATGTTTGTGTCGATGGCACAAGACGTGTTGGTCAGTCAACCAATCAAAGTGATATTAATGGCAGTTTTATTCGCTCTACTCCTGAAGAAGCCACAAGATGAAGACGATGACGTCATCAACGCCGAGTTGGCGCGCGACGAGGAATGGCTCGAGCAAAATCTCCCGCATGTGCAAAAGGGTAACGCAAAGGTCGCTGATACACAATGCCACCGCCCACCAGATAAGGTGTGTGTCGTTGTATAAGTCCGGTTCTTACGTTTCTGTGGTTGTTTTGAATTGTTACGTTTCTCGTTTATGTAACGTGTTTTTCGTTGCCTTTTGATTCTTTTTTGGAATTTGTGTTCCATAATCCACAAAATCCTCGCGGATTAGACACCTAAGCTAACCTTCAGCTCATTTTCCATCGGTCGAGTTCTGCCCCATTTACCCCGAAAATTCAACTTTGTGACTATTCACTGCTGCTCTTGTGATTGAAAATTCAAGTGCTGTATACGACGTTGGTAGTTAATAAATGGCTGGCGTGTGAAGTCTTTTCATAATTTTAAACACAAAGGTTTCATAGGCGAAAGTTCTCGTGCACGACATGTCGCATTAAAGGAATATCTGGCGCCTCAAGCTTTGGAAGCTATCTCCCTAGTTGGTGTGCGTACCTTCGCTTTCAGTGCATAAGTGTTTAAACTCTGGTACGCATTTAATTATCCAGGCTTGAGATGAAAATCATCTTTGAGTCATCTTGTATAAAATCGTACATTTAGAATTATGTTTGATTAAATTTTATCTTAATGCTTAGCAAAGTTGAAATGAATGAGGCACTTAGCCCGACAGACGTGCGTATTGTTTACTCTGACAAAAATTTGTCCCTTGATAATTCTGATTTCAGTTTTCATTTGTTTTTCCAGGTACTGCTAAACGTTGCACGAGTCCGTTTGTTTAAAGAGCGGAAGATGCACTCTGTCATACGGGAAATAGTATTTTACTTCCTGTTTGTCTGGGTGGTACTTTTGATAGCCTACGCCCACAGAGACCCGTATGCACATCACATGACACAAAACATGGAAAATCTTTTCGTTGGTAACTACGATTCTCTCGGTTATCGCGATGAAGACAAAATCGACGTCAAGAGGAGCACCGCTTCACAGAACAACGGCATCAAACTTTACGAGGTTAGTACATGTTACACAGAGAATTTTTTGTCTTTGAAAAGATTGTGAGTTACAACATGATGTTTATGAGAATGGCAAACGGCAAATATCAGCTATGATTTTACCTTCTTTTCCTCTGATCGTTCAATTAACCTTGAAGGAAAAAAATCCAAAACATTTCTTGTTCACAACGTGAGTGAAATCTTCGTTTTGGCGCACAAACGGCAGAACTGAGAGGACAAGAAAATAATTTTTTTTTTCTGATTTTGTCGCTAACGTTAGGATTTTATCCAACGACGGATTTAACCCATGCCAGGCCATTGGTAGGCACTACTACTTCTATTGTTGATTGGGCATCCCTAAACAATTAAGCCACATGTTTGCAGCGTGGAAACTTTTTAGATAGTTATTCGTACCGCGGAAACGGATTATACAATTAATCAGTACTTCCTTTTAAAAATTATTGATCTTTTGATTGCGGTAAAGGACCAGTGTCAAAGTCAGGGGTTTGATTTAAGTTTAATTATAACTTGCCGCAGGGGAGAAAAAGTTTACAACAATTCTCATTTTCCCTAACGTTAACTGTTTTTCATAGGTCTCTAATGTGAACGACTTTTGGGAATGGGTTGAACAGACACTCGTCCCAGGTCTCTATAACAATGGCTGGTACAACGGCAAGTCTGGACGGGCAGGCTTTTTGAATGACAAGATGTCATTTGTAGTCGGCGTTGCCCGAATGAGACAGCTGCGTGTTAAAAGCGGTAAGGAAACGAAGGCATTTGCGTCGTCAACAGGGAGCTAGTGAAGAGATACCGTATTGAACCTAAAGTTTGCGAGAGTTGCATTTTCGATTCTTTCGGTTTTTGGTTTGTTTTTTGTTTTCTTTTTTGTAGGAATAAATTTTTCCGTTCTGAGGTAACTGAAATCTCAGTAAGGAACTGATATTTTTGCAATTTTAGGTAAAAGTTGTAGAGAATTTACAAGGAAAGAAACGTAAACGAAGTTGTCGAGATATACAGAGAGGAGTTACTAGTTGTTTCGGTACTTAATTCATTAATGGATATTTTGAACGGGTCTGAAAGCGAATAGTACGAGCTACTAACACTTCATTAGCGCGAAAAGTTCTCTGTTTGACTGAAGGCAATTAAAAAGTCTCCAAAACCAGTGTTAAGCAATCAGCCTTACCTTGTTGGCCAATCGGATGTGACTCCGTAACAAATTATCAAGGGAATTTTGGTCATTTAATAACAAAGGGCTAACGCTCGAAACGTCACCTTTATAATGTCTTTCCGGTGGCCAATTTACATAATCAACTCTATTGATAAAACCAAATTATATATTGAAATACCCCCAACCAAATCAGTACCACAATTTCTTTAGAAACCTTCCTCCTACCTTTATTCATTTATCTACTAAGGAACTGTCTCATTGGTTTTGAAACAGTTCTCAGTTTTAGCGAGTTTCACTCCGATCGAATAATTGGTTTTGCAACTTTGCGGTCGTTTGATCCTACGTCTCCTGTCTTTCCCGCTCAAGTTTTCTTCCTATCTGATACCTAAGTTGACAGTTAACCAAACTAATGCTACTCAAAGCAGCTAAAATTGCAGAATAGGAAGGGAAAAATAGTATTGAGCTTTTATAATTTGTTTTTTACCATTTTTAGGAACATGTAAAGTTGCAAGTGCTTTTAATGTTCACATGCCGGATGCCTGTGATGATAAGTATTCCTGGGACTCCGAGGATCGGACCCCTCAATACGCGCCCGGTTGGAAACTGACCAATCAAAATGCTTCTTCCTATCCAGAGTACAGCGCATGGCGCTACAGGGGTACAACTGAACTGAAATCCCGACCTTTCCTCGGTCATCTTGCACTTTATCGCGGAGGGGGATATAAAGCAGACTTTGGGTCAACAATAGATGGCGCTAGAACTGTGATAAGTGACTTGAAATCAAACAACTGGGTCGACAAATACACGCGCGCTGTATTTGTCGAGTTCACTGTTTACAATGGATACAGCAATCTCTACTGCGTGGCGAACTTGCTGCTGGAGTTCACGGCTGCTGGTGGTGTAGTTCCCTTTATTCAGTTGTTATCAACACGTATAGACCGCTACGTTGGAAATTTTCTACTCTTTGTCTTAATATGTGAAGTTTCTTTCGTTGTCTTCACCATTATCTTCACCTACCGCGAGTTCAAAAGACTTCTAAAGACGGATTTGAAAGAATACCTCACTGCGTTCTGGACCTGGATCGAGATAGCTCTGTTAAGTCTATCCTGGACAAGTATCGCTCTGTACTTCATCAGATTCGCGCTGGACAGGTTCACCAAAAAGACTTTTCGAGAGAACCCTAATGAATTCGTCAACTTCCACCATCTTGCTCTCGTCGATCAGTTATTTGGTTACGTTTATGCGTTTGTTGTGTTCATGATATCTGTGAAGTTTCTTCGACTTTTCAGGTTTAACCGCCGTATGTCGCTTCTCGGATCCACTCTCAAGTGCGCAGCGAAGGAGCTCCTTCACTTTGGAATCATCTTTGGACTGGTTTTTGTCGGATTTTCTCACCTGTGTTACTTGGTATTTTCGCACGAGCTGTACAAATTCCACACTTTTGTCACCACGGTGGAGACCCTTATCAGTGTTATGCTCGGAAAGTTTAGTTACGTCACTCTGGAAAAAGCCAACAGGGTGCTGGGCCCGATGATGTTCTTCTTCTACAGTATAGGCGTGGTCTTCATTCTTGTGAACATGTTCCTGTCGATTATCGTTGAGAATTTCAAGAGAGTGAAACGTAACAACGACCTTCAGTCTAACGAGTACGAGATCGTGGACTTCATGACGGAACATTTTATGAACTGGTTAGGTCTAACGTCAAGATCGATTTTCAAAAATCGAGTATTCTCTGAGAGGCATCTACAGCAGCCTTTGTACAAAAAAAGAAAGAAAATAGATAAAGCAGCAGAGTTGAAAGACAAAGTCGATCGACTGGTCTCGCTCATTCAAAGGGTTCACTTTGATAGCAATGATGACGACTTCCTCAGAAACGATGGAGAAGTGACTTATCAAATTCCTGATATAAAACTCGAAACTTATTGTTAAGCTCTACACTTAAGACCGATTAGTACACAAAGAGTAATATTGACCAAAACGATGAAAGTAAACTTCTTGTCATTTACTAGCGACAATAAACCAATAATTAGTGGAAAATTCCCTAAAAGGGACCAAAGTTTTCTTATGGATATATTCAGACTAATGCATTATTTAGCAGCCGAATGACAATCTGTGATCAGATTTTGAGGTTAATTTGAGGGGTGCAATCAAATAACCTTTGTAAATGATAAAGAAACTACTTTTGAGAATAAAGTTCATTTTAAGGGTTTTTCAAGAGATAAATTTACGAGAAACTTGTGTTGCAAAATGATTGCAAAGCAATCTGGAAGTGGATTGTGTTTCGCACAAATGGCAAGCTATTTCCTGAAACCTGCTCCAGATATTATTTAACAAAAGTAGTAATAAACGATTGGGAATTACAGTATCATGGAGGAGATTGCAGGGTTGTGTTAGAACGAAGGTAAACAAATAGGAGAAAGTTTGTGCTTTTATTGATTCCAAGCGCTCTCGCCCAATCCCTCTTCACAAGAGATCTAGTGTGACCAAACGCGTTGCATTAGTTAATTTTTTTTGCGCTATTCCTACGATATTGCTTCATATTTTCAATAATGAAACGTTTGACATTCCAATTGTTTTCTGACTCAAATCAACTTCTTCTGTTTCGACCCGCAAGCGGCGAATGCAGTTTCCCTCCGTCAACAAAGTTCAGTTGACTTGATCCCTGTTTAAGATTTCGCTTGAATTCATCCTGCAAAGGCCTTGGAAATTTTACGTCTAGGAATTGATATTTTTGGAAATTTTAACAAACGCAAGATTAAGAATATCAAATCAGTTATTGGGTAATCGCAGCGCTTTTATCTCAGTTCTCTTGTTCTCAGTTGTGTCGACATCATCTAAGATTCTATAAATAATCCCTTTAACCCCTGAGGTTGACCAACATATGATTTCTCACTAAGGTCTTACTGCTGGATGAAATGTTGGGCTCGTGAGAATTAGAGAGATGATCGCAAAACCTTGCAATTTCTTGACTTTTAACCATACTATATTTGTAAATGCCATAGGAAAAGTATAAAGATTACTATGAAGAATGTACATGCTGATCTTTCAAGCGGGGGGGGGGGAAGTTAAGCATTTGAGCCACACGAGAGTCAACTTGCTCCAAATGTAAATGATCAATCAATTTTAATTTGCACAACTATCACCCACATTTGCATCATTGATCATGCCCCAACAACTATACATCCTTAAGTTCTGTTCGTACAATAGAGGATACACTTTCATGAGCTTTAAAATTCTGATATGCTTATAATTTAAATTCCAAAAATCAGGGTATTCAAACAGTAATTTCAAATTTTCTTTAAAATTCCTTTGCTAATTTATGAAAGTTTCTGAAAACAAATGTTGTTTCCAATAAAGATGCAAAATTTGACGGTGAGTAACAAGTCTTACAAAAGACAGAACGAGTTCATTCAGAGAAGGATAGGAACACAGAAAATCATATTAGATATCTTGGAGTAATTAATCGATAATATTGTAAGATGATCACTCACACATTTCAAATAATTACTATTTGCGAGATCATGTTGCTAAGTTATTGAAAATATTTGCTCAACATTTTCTATACGAAAAGATTTATAAACGTTTAAATACTATTTATAATGCACGAGTATGAAATAATTATGAATACGCTAGTTATAAAGATTGAGAATTGATTATCGATTAATTATCATCTATGGATTGTACGATTGATAAGTATATAATTTTCTTTATCTTGCTTCAATATCTAACAATTAACTAACCATGCCTCGGTCAAATCGAACTGAGATTTGGTTTGCGATGTCAAAATAGAAACAATCGTTTCACTAACGGTAACTACGAACGAACAATTTCCTGAGTAAGAACGAAGTAAGAAGTTCCCAAGAACCATGCAAAGGCTATAACAAATCGGATTATAAATCGTTGGATGAAATAACTTAATTCGAATGCTTCAAGTAGCCCGCCACATGGCTAGACTCTCAAATGTTCTAAAAATAAACTGCTCAATTCTCTAACGGACTAAGACAAAGTTGTACGAGGAGATTGCGGGAAAAAGTTGATCTTGTGCGCAAGCTATGAATGATCAAGTTGAGTTTTGTTTGTTTTCATTTCAAAAGTTTACTATGTTTCTGTGCGTCATATTTAATGCCACTAGGGTCTACCTCGTCTCCTGTACCTTTTCCGCCAACTAGTGCTGAGAATGAATTGACCAGACAGTAGCAAATTAGATTCCAACTTATCACGTGATGATAATCTTCTCCCCTCGTTGACGCTGGAACTGCTCCGCCAAGTTCTCAAATCTCTTCATTCCTTGGACGGCCAATGCAGCAGCTTTAAACTTCTTCTTAGCGGCGGGATTCTGACCAAGATACTCCCTACTTAGAGAGACGTCCGCAGAACCCCCCACCCATTGGTGAGCTAACACTTCCTCAGCGCTGTAACGCTTGTTATGATTCACGACAAGGAGCTTGGAAATCAAGTCTTTAGCTTCGCTGGAGACGTTATCCCAGTAGGGTGAGAGGAATTCGTAGTCCCCGTCCATGATCAAATCGAATAGTTCATCCTGGTCTTTCTTGGCGCTGCGGAATGGCGGGAACCCACAGAGCATGATGTAGGTGATGACACCCGCGGCCCACATGTCTACCTTGAGCCCGTATCCAGTCTCTTCAAGGATTTCGGGGGCTACATATGTGGGAGTGCCACAAACTGTGAAGATCGGTGCTTTGACGACCATTGCTAACCCGAAATCAGCCAGCTTAAGAATTACTTGACCACTGGGCTTTTTGTGGACCTAAGACAAGGTTAAGATTACATGTTAGGAGATATCACTTCCAAGAGATTTCTTTTCCCCCCATTCCCACCTTTCCCCCCATTTCTAGTATAGTCTCTGTTAAGATGTCACGCAATGTTCTCCCAAGAAGGGTAGCGTTGCGCAACATCCCAAAGAACGGCTGCGAAGGTGTCTATTCCTTTCCATGACTAATGGAAAACATCACTGCTTTTCTTATCCTGTCTTCAACAATACTATGAAGTTTTCACTTATTGAGGGGGGAAATATTTCCGAAAGATAAACATGCTTAAAAAAAAAAAGGAGAAATAAACCACCATTCCCAAAACAAAATACAATTTACACGTAAGAATAACTGTAAAAAACTTTAAATTAAGCTGCGCGTGTTTTCACATTCTTTTTGCTGCTAAAACTCCTACCGAGCAACAATGGGTAAAAACAAAAGAACCGGTTGAGAAATATTTTTGCATAAGAGAAAGATAAGGCATTCCGTCAGTCTCCTTGTTAACAAATTTTCAGAATAAACGACAGAAAGGAACCCTAATACCTTCATCTATAAATACTGTGTAATTCTGGAAAAAATGTTTCGTGCAACATTCCCTGTGAGTCATGCTAAGAAAGCCAAAACGAGAACGAGGAAGAAAAGCAAATAACGCTGAAAGAAGTGTGTATGTTAGAACACGTACCAAGGCTCTCGCGCGAGAATTCTCGCGAGTACGTGTTAGTCTAAGTCACTCATGCCAGATAATCAAAGTCACAGTTGTAAGTTAAGTTTAGCAGGTGCTCATTTACCCAACCATTGATCTTTTACGCGGAGGAAAACTACGCGAAGTCTGGCAAAATACACACCCGGGCACACATGAAGAAATGACGCATGAATGGAAATTGCTGATCTTCCCTTGTAAACATTTACGACCGGAGACCCTGCTCACGAGAGGGTCATGAGGCTCCGTTGTTCTTTTACTATAAAATTGTTCCGTAATTTCCGCCGGGAAAAGAAATTGAGACACGCTTGAAAGATAACTCTACGTGAATGAAATAGTGCATGACGATCAAAATACTAAAATTAACGGTTAAATTCGGAGCATTTTGGCCATAATTAAGCGGTATCGCAGGAGGCATGAAGTTGCCATGGTTTCTCTCGCTACACTTTTAAGCTGTTAAAGTTTGTTCAAACAAAGTCGGGGTTTTTTAATATAACCAAGGCGTCACTATTGTTTGATTTCAAAACAAAGCGGCGATGAATTTTCCTGCCTTTGTATTCGAAACACAATAGCAACATTTAGGCGCTAAATGTTTGACTCTCCAACAATTTAGCATTGAAATTAGTAAAAATTAGTCCACGGATGTATTTTCACAGTCCGTAGCTCAGCGTGAATTAACAATAATTGCTTTATTACTAACCAGCAAATTTTCAGGCTTCAAGTCTCTGTGCACAATCTTTCTCTTGTGTAAATAAGCTAGTGCCCTTGCGATGTCTTTGACGTAATTTTTGGTGACAGTTTCGGTAAACTTGACCGACGATGAAATTGCATCGAAGAGATCACCTCCCTTGATTAACTCCATAACAAGATAAATATGCCTGATTGAGTCGTAATCTTCGTACATTCGTACAATATTCGGGTGCGTACATCTTCTCATGATGTCTATTTCGTCCCGAATCATTTGTTCTTTCCCTCTTATTTTTGCCTTGTCAACGATTTTTAACGCAAATTCTTTCCTGGTTATCTTATCGCTGCAAACACGAACATCAGCAAAATTCCCGTCTCCGATTTTCTTGCCCATGTCGTAGACATCTTCTACAGTTTTGTCTGTAACAGTACCATATTTTGCCTCCTCTTCTGATGTTATTCCACTGTCATCCTTTGAGGTTTTTCTGTCAACTTTATCGTTTTCACGTTTTCTACTTACGGACACTTTTCTACTGGGTTTAGTCGCGTCTTCTCCGCGTACGTTGTATGGCTTATTCGATTCGTTAACTCGGTCATTTTCTTCGTTGTTCGCTCGAGAAACGTCTCGGTTTTCTACATTCTCCTTTTCCGAATTTGAAACTAAATTAGCGTTCCCGATTTGGGGCAACTTTACAGAGTTTGCAGGCTTTTTCTCCGCAGTTCTTTCATGCACATTTTTAGCACGATGAACGCGTTTCGGGTTTGAGTTTCCTTGCAAGTGTGTTCTGTTATTGTTCTCCGGCCTTTGTTTATTATCGACCTTTTCATGTATGTCTGGAAGCCTAGGCAGCTTGTTTTCCTCGGCTTTGTGAACAGATTTACCGACCAGCTGCTCGTGTTCTTTGGTATTTCTTTGTTTTGATTGTGACATTCCATCGTTACCACTTCTCGACTGTTTTCGTTTCGCATTTTCTTTTTTCGAGTTCCTCTGCTCAAAATCCTCTATGATATCCGTGATGTCGTCACGGCTAAATTTCTCGCTTCCAACGGCTATAAATATATTGTTTTCGTCCCGAAATAACTCAACCACATCGCGAATCTGGTGACCCGATGTTGAGTACAGTTTCCGCGGTGGGCTAAGACCACCAGTGTTTCCAAACGAATTGCTTACTTCGTCCAAAACTTGCTCTAGATTCTGCGCTGTTCTTTTGTTTAACAGAACTGTTACTACCGGACGGGGTTTCTGCGACCCATTTCTAATCACCTGAACTGTTTTAGGTTTGATGATCAACCGATTGTTGTCTCCTGGATTTGATCTTGGGTCGGAGTAACCCCGTCTCCTCGAAGATACACCACCTCTTACCGGCGTAACACCGACAGGCCGGCGTTTTGGCTCGCTGTGATGCATACCTTGGACATCAGGAAGATCGATGTGTTGTTTTGAGCTCCAGATGGCGATAGCAGGCTTTCCTCCGTATGAAATCTTCTTTAGGCTTGAGTGTGAAGAGCATACGTAAGCTTTGCCGTCAATTAACTGATCCAATGTGTCAACCCTGGTGCCACTCTCAAGGGAAAATAGATACCGGACTCCCAGGGGCAAGTCTTTGAAGTGCGTCAGACGACACAACTCATTCAAAAGCATGTCCACGTTTCGAAATCGCCTTGGAGTAATTACCATGGGTTGGCCCTTAAAGTTACGATCCCCGTTGATAAAGAAAGTAACTTTCTTTGATGTTTGACTAACTTCGTGATCAGATCGTACGGCAAAATTTACCTTCGTGGCCGCCATCTTTGATCGGTTTCGCTTACTGTCTCTGTTTTCGCTCAAAACAAACTTCGGTTGTTTCTTAGTGTCGAAGAAAACTTCACCGTTCTTCCGCTTTGATATAAATCTTTATCGATGACTGTAACATCGCGACGAATCGACCAGATAGGAAATCTTTTTCCCGGCACTAAGAGAAAATCACACTATGTCAATTCGCCGGAAGAGCGAACGAACAGTTGTTTAAGCTACTTAAGACTGGGTTCGTTCAAAGAAAAATCCACACTTTCGAGATTCCAATGCTGCCATAGACAACTAAGAAGTTACACTGAAAGGATGTGAAACTCAAAGCCAAGCGAAACCTGTTCGGAGCGAGGTGCTAACCTATCGCCAGATACGTTAAAATCCGAACGTTTACTCTTCACATTTTGACATCACAAGCGTGCATTCATTAACTGCACGCGTGTGGTGTTGTTTCAAGTTGCTACGCAACGAGGTGTTACGGTTATCTGCTCTTCCGGTATGTATTTTATATTTATTACCACTCACTTGTACCTTTTGTCAATCAAATTAACCTAAAATCATCATGGATAAGTAACCAAGTACAGACTTAGTGAAAATGTGCTTGTGTATACAACTTTTGGTTATAAAAGGACGGATTAACTTTAGCCGCAATTAATGTATGTGATCACGCAATTTACGTTTGAGCAGATGTTTGCGTGAAAAATTACAGAAATTCTAACCAACCATCGGTAATCGAACACAGCTTGAGTTGTGGAAATTGGCCAAGGAAAACAAAATTTCGATTAGAATAAGGGTCCGTAAGGAAGTGTCAAAAAGTGCTAGGAAACGACACTTGAAGTCATTTGACCCCTCTCGGGCTTTTATTAGATTTCTCTACCTGAACAGGCTTTAAATCGCATTTTGTGTCTATGGCTAGTCTGTCACGCAATGGTCCTCCCCATGCGGAGGCTGTAACATGTCACGCGGCTGAGAAGACGTAAGTTTTGCGATTCTATCTTCCCGCTGCATAAGTCACTAACCAATCCTTCTGAAACGCTGAGATTTTTGTTTTGACAAAAAACAAAGAAATATTCAAAACCAAAGCGTCTACAGCAACTACGACAATGAACACACAAACAAGAATAATAAACAAAAAAAGAGTAGAAGCAACAGTAAAAATCTGTCTCGAGAGATCTCGTCTTCTCTAATTAACTAAAAGGGCACTAGTAAGTCGTAGAAATATCGAACGCGATCAGTTTAGACAGAAAGCAATGAACCCTTTCATGAGCCCCGCCTGTGACTCTACCCCCCCCTCCCCATTGAGCGCCAATCAAATAGGGGTAACCCCGTTCCAGGTTCAGTGGAACTGTAAAATATTTAGGGGTTTCATTAGAGTGACGTGCAGCTGTGGCAACCTATTGAATCAAAAGAAAATGTTTATACAAATACAGATTTTAAATCCCACAGGATTGATTTAGGACATCACCGGAGGCAGTGAACTCATGTGAAGAGGCACCTTTCATTGATTTAGAGTGAAATTTATAAAACAGCAAAAATGAACCAGGCAGGAATTAGGATAGCTTGGTAAACCGAATGCGAAGGGACTATGGACTGGTGACGAAACTCTCACGAAGTAACTCTGATATTTATGGCTCTTTTCCTAACCTGTTGTTTTTATTGGGAACAACAAAAAAAGCCAGAGATATATTCAAGGTATTTTAAGTTTAGCAAACTCAAAAGAGCTCTTAAACCACAATTCATCGGCCCAAGGAATATATTTCTAATCTAATCTTCATTGGATAAAGGAAATAAAGATCTGATTCTACAAAATACCAAAAAATAAGATGATAAGTTTCCATACTGATGTAAAACACTACGTGAACTTTCCACTCTGAGAAAATCTTACGAGATTAATAGCCGAGGTCAATGGAATATTACCCTTACAGAGATTGTATGACGATATTTCTGGTTCTATCGTTAAAGTGCCGGTTTGCGCAGCTCAGTGTTACTCGTCTGGCGATTTGAAAATAACTATGCTTGAGCTGCACTAACGGACACCTAAATGGAGTATCAAACGTCTCGAGTTCTTTGGAGCACTACTGACAGTATCACAGTGACCTCAGCATTCACAGAAGTCATTGCTACCAAGGGGAAGATGAGAGAGGTTTCTGTACTGGCAGGGTAAGCAACAAGGCCACAGTCTCCATCAACTTGCCGTGATAGTAAAACAGCGCGTTATCTGTAACTGCAGCTGAAACACTACAAGCCACCATCTTGTTTATCTCCGGTCTAATGGCCTTCAGCACTCGGGCCAGCCTTGGCGTACAGTAATACGCCATCCAGCGGTCCCCATCCACCGCCAGTGTAACACGGGGCTGCTGTGCTGAGGGGCCGTGCTCTGAAATACAATTGGAGTAGGATTTAATCCTTCCTAAAATCTGTGTCTCAAGGCTAACACTTGAGCATCGTGAAACAGAGCTAAAGTGACCTTAATGGTGATTCAGAACAATGCCGCATAGCAAATAACGCTACCAACAAACGCCTCATGGATCATTTAAGAGTACAAGATCCTCTAAATTACATGGTTTAAACTTCGCAAACGTCCCATTAATCAACAAAAAACTAGCGGACCAATCACAGAGCGAAGTGAACTTGACAACACTGTCAATGAATTAAAAAAAAATGCATGAAGTCGGTAGCCTTGAATCAAGAAAAAACAGATTGGAGATGTGGATGATACTGAGGAATTATTAGTGATGTGAATGAAGCATTGAATAACTATATTACCTTGATGAATTTCGCTTACGTCCTTTCCAGAGAAACAGATCAAAGCAACAGGATGGACCATACTACTGTCACGGATAAACACTTGGGAGGACTTCACCTACGAAAAAAATCAACATTTGAGAACCAAAGGCCGACGAGGATGTGCAGAATGTTTCTAAACATTTCATTCGTATACTTCTCCACTCTCTTTAAAAAATCGCTGTGATAGCAACTTCTGTCAAAAGCGGGAAACGGCGACTCGACACGACGTCATTTTTATTAGCACTTCAAGTACAAGATGTTGCATGGTTAAGACAACAAAATTTTCCCTTACTTTGTCATGGTACACAAGCCACTGGTTAGGAAATTGTTTCTCGTCAGAATTTACCGAGGAAGGATGCAATACGACTCTTCCATCAGATCTACAAAGAAGTAAAAAAATACCACAAAAATTACCACCAAATTTGGGTTTTACTTTGCTAATGGTAAGGGGAAGACCACACAAACGCAGTTTGGGGGCACCAGGCTCATTCGACTTCCCAGATAAATTTGAAAACACTCACTACGGTATTAGCCTATTCCAGGCGTTCAGTTAGAAAAAAAAATAGCGAAATAGTAAACGGCGCAATTTTGTAGCTACAGAGCGAAAAGGAGAGAGGCTTGGGTCGCATCATTACGCCCCCAGACCCAGCCTCACTCGATTTTTTCGGTCCTCCGCGACTATCGCGCTTCTTTTTATTAACTGAACGTGTGGAAAAGGCTTTTTTCCTATGTTTTCATGTAGCCTGTGAAAAGGCTTTAAAAAAAAGGCGAGGAGATGTCAACTCTTCAAAGAAAACCTTTTCAAGGAACATTTGTAATTAAAAATTAGCTTGATTAGGGGAGGCTCCACTTACTTGGTTCGAAAACCAACTCTGACTCGCTTCTTTCCTCCTCTTCCTTTTGACTCCAAGGCAAGACCAACTTTAACAGCATTGGGGAACAAACCGGCGCATAAAATCGCCTATGTACGAAGAATTTAAGCAGATATACATACTTTCAGTAGGTTCAAGAGAGTTAATTTCCATGAACTTGTGAAAACTACACTGATTGAAAATTATACCAAAATGTAAAGAATTCGACGGTTTTTTCTTTTATTTTCCTTGAATAAATTGCAAATTTTTTTGCACTCTGGAAACTTGACCAGCATTTGGAAATTCTTCCTTCCAGACTGACAAGCGAAACTTTTGCCGGAGGGCACAGCCGCACCCCACCGTTTTTAAGCGCCCGCTTATCGTCTTCGCTCCTCTTCACTCGCCGCAAACGTGACACAGAGCAGTCAGTTTCAAGAAAAAAAAAAAGAAAAAAAAATGAATTGAATATATCCTTTTTGAGGTAATTAACGAACAAACGCTAGATAGTCAGAATACTAGTCAGCACATTTTCCACCTCAACTAATTTTGCTTTTAGATGAGTAACCGGCTTTGAAATTTACAATTTGATCTGATACAAACTATTTCTAGCTTAAATAAATAAGAAACGAATAGAAAAGCGACAGGAAAGTTTCCGAGGACAAATTCAGGCATTTCTCAAAAACGGTTCAAATCTGATATCAAAACAGTTTTCTTCTACACATGGTCAAATTATTATCAAGTCGACCTACTTCTCATTTAAGGTAAAAATTCCATACGTGACTATCTATTAGCGTAAAGAGGATATATGTTATATATTATAATGAAAAATTCATAGTTAAAAGAAAAACCTATGATTGCTTGCCAAATTTTATTGCGGAAACGTGTCACTGTCAAGTTGTCGTCAACGTTAATTTTAACACGGATATTTCTCTCGTAGATGGGAATTGATAAATCAAAAAACTGTGCCAACACAACTTCATTACCTTAACCAGTTCCATGTTTCCAGAAAAGTAATTGACCGTGTCATCACTGCTGGAGCTTGAAACTAAGCCCGAGTCATGAAGCAGGCGGCTAAATTGGTCACGCGTACCTAGAAATGCAAAAAAGGGGAAAGTGCGTTCGTGATCGACACACAGTATTGAAGCCATTAAAGACGATTCAACTTTCAAATAACAGGAAACCCAAACAAAAGGGACTTTTTGGTAGAAAAAAAAGAGGGACATGGAAACTCTCAAGAACTTAAAAAATGAAGAAAAGACAAAGAATAAAAGAAAAAAACTAAAACTAAAGACGGTCATAATGTAATTGAAATATAAGGAGAAGCATTCATTTCGACTTGGAGTGTTTTTAATTATTTTGCTTTTTTTGTTCTTTTCTTTATTTCTCAAACATTGGCCTCCTTTATCCAAACCACTCGTGCATGTTTGCCTTTTCAAGAAGAGCATCAAACGCTTACCAAAGATTACGAAAGATTTTCCAAAAAAATTGTCTGACATGAGCGGGGATGGAGCGAAAATATGAGTATTCATTTTTGAATTTTTTATCGCGGCATAAAGCTTGTTCAGCTGAGACGCTAGACATATTACTTTTAGTGTTCTTTAGTGCAAAATTGGGACGTAAGGGAAAGCCAAAATTGCAACGTGACCAAGTTTTAAGTATTTCCACTTTCATTTCGTAATATTTAGTTTTTATTTGGAGTTACGCCATGAATAAATAATGCAGTCAATCTATTGCTTTTTGGACAATCATAATATTCACAACACTTTCGATCGGCACGAAGAAGATAGCCCCAGGTTAGTATGAATCATAAATCCATAAAAATAAAAAATTAATTAAAAACACATATTGTACCGTTGATATTAGAGACTGCCCGATTGAAATTTTGACAAGTAACACTATTGGAACGAAATTCTTTCGTGGAAGTCTGCTGGCCCTTTGTCTTCAGTAAAAGTAAACATGGAGGCTGTGACAAAGAACAACATTTAATCTAACAAAAACGATTAGAAGGAGATTAATACAAAATAAATAGAAGACAGACAAAAAATTAGATATATTTCTCAAACGCGCGTGTCTTTAGCCCGCATTACCCGCTCTTTGCGTTTGCTGACAAATCTAATTACCGCCTTGTAAGTCAAAATACATCACGCAGCATAGCCAGGTGCACCGCAAGAAGTAAAAACAACTCGAAGGCAAAAGAGAACGGGTGACAATTGTTGAAACAGATAAGGTTTTATTACCGGCTTGATAAGCATCTCGCTTTCGAAACTGCCACAGACTTATGGCAATGTTTGTTCAGCATAAAAGTTGATGATAGCCAAAGCAAATAAGAAATATACTTAATCTAAACTGGACTCCGCGGTGATATTCATTTCCATACTTACTTTTCAACTCAAGCGAAACTCATTCTTGAAGGACTCGTCCTTTTTTCATAACATGCCTAAAAACGGAATCCCAGCTAAACTCTTAAAAACGTGATTTATCGCAGAGGGAATTTCTACGACCGGCATTTTAGCACCAACCGGACAAATTACGGCGAAGCATTTGGTTCGATGACGAGGAAACTTCTGGAAAAACGTGCCTCTGAAGGACTCTGCCTTTTTAAAAACACAAAACTTCGGAAATTGAACTACTTCAAGCCCCCTACTTATATCATCATCGTCATAACGAAAGAACTCCAACGAGGTGCATTTCAAAACCATCTGGGACACGTAAAGTGCATTTGGTACTTTAAAAGGTAGGAACCTTTGATCGGATTAGTACAAAAACGTCTTGTCGTCAAAGATCACATCAGTCTGGCAAGGATGTCTTTATCTGTCGCCGTTTGGTGTCAAAAGGAAACACAGTAACACCTCTGGGGATTCAGCAAAGCGGCTACGATTATAAGCAATAGAAATTAGCATAGCAGTTTCCTAAGAATTCGAAACTTGACCCCCAGCCGACAAATTCAGCACTTTCGAAATCTTTCATGACAAGAACAGTCATAAATTTCATCTGAAAGTTGCGTAAGTTCTCGTCTCGTTTACATGTGAGGAGATAGGATTTCCGCGCTTCCGTCGTTGTTTTGATATCCATAGACATTCAGAAGGCATGGGTGACATTTGACTTCATCAGCGACGTAAGCTGTTCGAATAAGAAGAAGCACGCGCCACAAGTAAACATTTCCGTCATGGAAAACGCCACGATGAGTTCTCCGTCCGTCGAATCGCAAACAACCAAGATACAGTGCTATCATCTGAAAGAAGAATGGAGTCACACAAAGGAAACTTTTATAACTAATGTTATCCTCATTATAGTGAACTTGCTGACCTCTGTCACGTCGACAGTGGGCAATATTCTAGTTGTTATGGCCGTGAAAAGAACTCGTTCGCTCCGAACACCGTCAAACGCGCTTCTTTGTAGCCTAGCGCTCTCCGATTTGCTAGTCGGCGCTATCGTTCAACCGATGTACGCTCTACAAATGATCTTCGAAATAAGAAGAAACTCTGACGGATTCTGCATCGCCAAGATTACCACAACAGGATCTTTAGCTTGGGTATGCGCTGGCGTTTCTTTCTTGGTCATATCCGCCATTTCAGTTGAGAGGCTTCTGGCAATAAAACTTCACTTAAGATACAAGGCATTGGTTACAATTCCGCGAGTTTTGACCGTAGTCATGTTTTTCTGGGTTCTGTGTACGGCTATGATCATGGCACGTCTTTTAGGTGCCCCGTATAACGTACTTGTGCTTACCATTTTGGTAATGGACGTGAACAGCATTGCAATTGTGATCTTTGCCTACTCCAGTATTTATCATCAAGTGCGAAAACTTCAGAATAAAACTCGCGATCAGAGACATCTTGCGCCACCTGGTATAAATATTCACAGCTTCAAACGCTCCGCGGTGACGATGCTCTACGTAATTGTGCTTTTCCTGGCCTGTTATATTCCGTTTATCACTACACTTGTGGTAAGATTGCTCGAAGGGGGTAGCCTGTGGCTGAACATCATCTACAAAATTACGGCTTCGATAGTCTACATTAACTCATCTTTAAACCCTTTTGTGTACTGTTTTCGTTCAAAAGAAGTACGAACAGCTATTTTCAAATTACTGGGGAGGAAATACACGCTAGACAAAAACGGAGATGTTATTCCGGTGTCAAAGTCTGGAACACAAAACTTGAAGACATACGCAGTCAAAAACCTGACGATATTTCCGTCTGGTTACTTTCAACATTCACTGAATCAGTTGAGTAACTTGCCCGAGACACAAGTTTAAAAATGGCTTAACGAAGCCGACTCAGTTGTGGACCATTCAAAGTCAGAGTTGACAATCATCGTTACATGCTTCAAAGTGTTAAAATGACGAGGTCAAAGCAGAGGAAGAGGTAGGCCCACCAACGCAGGGCGGGTATCTTCCGGTTCGGGAAAGTTCGCTTACTTTCAACCTTTTATCTCAAGAGGGCAGTGCTGTAAGATTTTCCTCATAGGTAATTTAAGCGTAGAGGTTTACCAGAAAGTAACTTCAGGGACAGGCCTACATTACAAATACCTAGATCATCCTTTAATCCCACTCAGGATTAGACGGCTGCATGTGTGTGACATCGTCAAAGAGGGCCAAGAAAGTAGAGTATTCTCCGCTAAATTATCGTTCGTTTTGTCCACTGGAATAAAATTTTTCCTTCCGGAATATCGTTTCTAATCTGTATTTCGTGGTTTAGGTGTTGGTTAAACCCTATATTATCAAACCCTTGCACAATAATCTCAGTTTTACTTATATTTTAACTCACGAACAGAGGGCGAGTTTCAAATTTATTATCATTCTTATTCTATTTACTCACACGACGCCTTCGACATCGGTGATGCTGGCAGTAAGAGGGGCGCAAATCACATATGAACCCACCAATGGCCTAACTTATAATCGCGTTATTTGCAACTCAGCGCTGGATCATCTCACCGCAAATCGGCTAAACTCATAAGGATCTTCATCCTCTCAAGCGCGTGACTATCAAAGATCTTTCCCTTCCACGCCCGTGACATAGGTTGATAAAGCATGAAGAAAAATTAATATACTTTACATTTAAGGTTTTCTAACATGACCAAAAAAAAATCAAACAGGAGAGGCATGCCTTTGTAAAACAAGTGCTACACGCGATAGAGTATAACATGAGTTGAAATACGACACAAAGGTGTATTTTTGACGAGTGATAACACACTGAATGTAATTGACAAAATACAAGACTAAACGGAAAAAACATAACGTCAATATACAGCTGCTGTCAGGTATTTAGGATCAAATAGTCACGCTGCTTGTTGAAAGATTTATGAGATTCTTAGAAGGAGAATATCAACAACGTTCCACTCTAGGAAAACTCGGTTTTCTCTCACGCATAAAATTGACAAGAGGAAGACAAAAGAAGTATCGTGACAGAAGGCCTAACCGTTAAACTATCAAACCGTGACTCGCACGTAACTTCTAAAACTCTCTTTACTCATTTCCCTACAAAGAGATGTAAGGTCTTAAGGAAGAGGCAAATCTATTCCGATCTCGGGAGTCAAATGAAATAAAAAAGAACAGAGAGAGTTTTGAAATGATATGTCTACAAAGCTTGTAGTTTCAGAATTTCTGTCCCCCTCTTCCCCTGTAACCGCTTTACGATCAGCCAAAGATGCCAGAGAAACTCTAACGCTTGATTACCATCTAAATTTTATACCTTTAGCGGAGCTAAGAGGAAAACACAAAACATTTCAGGCACAAAACAATCCCAGTTATCTCAATTTGGAACAGAAACTTTCACGCAAAGCTTATTGCCATGGTTTTTCTACCAGGATGGGGAGAAAGATAGTCTTTCCTTGAGAAACTACAAGGGAGTAATCGACATTTTCATGAGTAAACTAGACGAAGGAACGTTTAGAAGGTTTGTACAAAACGTGGATACCTGGTACCTACCACGTATCATATTGAGAGTACCCCAGTGAAGAAATCGTTGTTGAACAAATTGTTTCCCTTGAGATCGACTCATGGCCTCTAACCAACCATTATAAGCATTCAGCAGTGCCACGTGGTCACTTTTGCTGTCGCCGGCAAAGTTTTTGCGAGACTGCGGCAAGAAATCAAACGATAAGAATCTTTCCTCACCGTAGATTGAGTGTTGATGTTGCATTGTACGATCTTAGCGTGCCACGGCATGTTAAGAAATGAAGACTTCTAACAGTCTGAGATATAATTAAAATCGTCCTACGATAACTTTTTAACTCCTAAGATCTAATTGTTTATTCTCCCCTCCTGCTGCTAAGCATTTCCTTGTAAATTAGTTACAAGAAATTGGTGTTAGATCAAGATAACAAAATCTACCCGATAAGTCTAAGTATTCTCAATTCTGTTTACTCGATAATGTTTAGATATTACAGGGATAAATTATATGTTAATCACTTTTGGGAGTTAAGGGGTTAAAACATTTCAGGTTAGACCCATCCCACCTTCCTGCTGCATAATTCAATGAAATTACAAAGACTCGCCTTTTCTACTTCTATTGTTCAATTAATTATGGGCAAACACAATAAATGACCTCAACACAATGTTCTACTGGCTCTAGGGCACGAAATGTGGGAAGACGCACTGACAAATCTGCAATTCATATTTCTATTTTCTTCCATTCATTTGGCTATGGATGGGCGGCCAGTTTCCATAGCCATCTACTGTACGGATATAATAAATGTATTAGATTTGCAAATTCCCATAATCACCATCAGCCATTTTCTGGTCTTGAAGTTTATGTGAAACTGGTGAAACTAGAAAGCTAGTATCGTACCTGATCAGCCTGCTCTCGTAAGTTGAGCGGCGATACAAATGGATCTTTATAATTGAGGCCCGCAGCAATGGTCAACACCGGATCCAAGCACCTACGCGAGAACAAGAAAACTACGCGACATTAATGTCACGAGAATAAGGGGAATGATCATCAACTAAAGAGGCTCTCGACTGTTAAAGAGATTCTCCTTTCCAGCACCTTTGGAAATGCACAGAGATTATTCATGAGAATATCTAAGGATGTCAAGGGTTACTGACTACAGCGTTGCGTCGACAAACACTAATGAAACTTCAGCTGCGCAGGTTGAACCTAAAACTCTTTCTATAAACTGAAGAGCATTGTTGACTGATTCAGTCACTTTTTTAGAATTCCTTTTAAAAGACTGAGCTCTTACGAGCAAAGAGTCTCGGCAAGTGGAGCGTCTAAGACAAAAGTATAAACAAAGCCGAACCACTCAGGCACTTTCCCCATGCAGATTACCACTCACCTGAAAATAGCACCGAATATAATCATTTTTGCTATTCGCGGTTCGACGGGTAAATGCGCCATGTGCCTTCCAAGCGGCGTCAATTGCTCCTGTCGTAAAAATGAGAAGTGATATTAGTTTTACGAAAATATCTTCGGTGTTTTAAGACATCCTTCAATCCTTCCCTAAAACGAAGCTAACATTACAATCTGCCACACTTTCCTAATTAGTAGCTCGAGCCCCTGCCATTAAACCAAATAAAAAGGTTCTTGTTCCTTTCATCATTCATTAAACTATACGCGCTCATTATACGTTCACTGATCAACGTAATAATATTGTAGTAATAAACTGAAATCTCAACAATTTGCCATTCACTCCTGATATACTAACAAATTAGAACCAAACACATTATACATAGCATAGGTGTTACTGTTGTAGTAATTTAATTACGCGCGCCTGATTGGCTAAAAACGAGTGCATTTTTCATGTAACACAGGTTCAAAGTTGTAACACAAGTACGAATTACAAATAGCACACGCGCGCTGCCAAAATTTTGTCCGTGATGCGTTTCTCATGTAAATTATTAACAAGTAACAACATGACTCGTCTCGTGTAATTTGGTGTAAATAAGCACCTGTAAATTTTTAAAAAACTTGTCTTTGAAAATTTTACTCGTGCTTATTAACACCAAATTGCACTCGAAATCATGTTGTTACCTGTACTTAAAAGTTCGACGTACCTTGGTATCCATTGCTCCAATCTCTTCTAACTGTGTTATTGCATTGTGAACTGTAATTTGAGACACAAGCAAGTTGGTTAGAACGCTCAAAACCTTGGCAACAGCGCAGTTGCACTGTTCAGCTGTACATGAGGAGTTCTCCATTAAAATTTACATTAAGCTTAGATTGAATCGAAAAGAGCACGATCTCTTTACTGATATAGGAAAAGAAACATCATTTTACCAGCAAATGGCGACGGAGGATCCAAGGCCTTGGACAAAAATTGCCGTACGGAGTAGGATTCGTCTATAGATTGGATCTGTGAACGTTATTCAGAATATGTTACCCTTACAATATTTACGCAAAGAGCTTAGTATTCCCTTGGAAAATTGTTTAACGACTATCAACTGAAAGCATACTTCTTATCGTACCTTTGTTTGAAGGACGATCTCCTCGAGGGAAACTCTTTGCATTTCAGGTGACTGGTACGGGGCTATGGAAAGTGACAATAATAAACAAAACAATGGGCGAAAAATCACAAACAGATCAGAGTTTGTTTTCAAAGTCACCAATGAATCAAATTCGGAACTTTAAAACAGGGAAGTCCCTTGGAAAACAAACCACGCTCTAAGCACCAGCCACACGTCAATTTACGCTAACGTTGAATGTAGTTTTGCTGCAGCACAAAACAGATTCATCAGAATCAAAACAACGAGTTCACAATTTTCCGAGTTTCACCTTTCACAATAAAGTAAAATCGATCGGTGTTGTGATACAGACACATACCCATATGTTCAAAACGTTGTCTTGTAAAGAGGTTGAAGCATAAACCAGGTTGACAACGACCAGCCCTGCCTCGCCTCTGAACCACACTAGCCTGAGATGTCCAGTGCGTCATCAAACAGGACACCTAACAAATAACAGTTGAAGTCAAACACCAATCGTTATTATTGAGCTTTCTAATTTCCGAAGAATTTGCGACTTAGCCACTCGCATTTTCCCGCGCTTCAAGCAATTTACATACTGCGCTTTCAATCCTCATTGGCTCCTTGTGATATTTTCCTTTCTTCCCATTGGTTGTTGTGATTTCTCTGGTTTTTGTTTTACGACATTTCATCGAAAACAGTCTAAAGGAGATTCCTATCGATTATTATTAAGAAACATCCACACAGACACAATAGGAACTAAAGGCAGTCACTTTCATGCTGTGAATTTGGCTTATTCGGAAACTCATGCTGCCTTTCCGCCTTTATTTACTCACAAAAACGTTTGCCTGTTTCAGGCATTCAGTTCGTAAATCGGACCGTGATTGTAAACGGCGCGTTAGTAGCAGATGAGCAAAAAAAGAAAAAATCTCGTCTTGGCGAGTGCCCTTGACGAACGGTACCGGCTGGTTAAAGTATGGCTTATTGTTACTGATAATTTGATTCACCTTCTTTCCTGTATCATAAATTTTTTCCTTGTGATTGCCAGCATTTACAACGTAAACAATGTCATCAATAGTTATTGAAGTTTCTGCTATGTTGGTCGCCAATACAATCTTGCGTACTCCAACAGGGGGTCTGGGAAGGAAACAGACTTTTAAAAGAATGTAAAAAAGGCTAATTCACCATTAATTTTGTCATCTTTCTTGGTTTTAGTTTCTGATTGTTTTACGGTATGAAACAAGGTTAGTAATATATATTTTTTTCATAATTACGATAAACATAACTCACACGCGTGAGAAAATCCCAGGATTGAAAGAAAAAAGCGAACTTAGGTATGTAGTCAGTTTAAATTGATAATGATCACTGTATGGGAACCCATAGAAACAGGATCAACACAGGCCCTGATATCAGTGCCAAGTATCACTTTGAGTCAATTCCCCTAAATTGCTAAATTGGCCCCCTAAATTAAATAATACAATGTATTTAAGTTAAAAAGTTTTGGAGGTTTATCGCGGTAGAAAACTTCCATAGTTCTTATCAGCGCTCGCAAGCCTAATTGATTCGTCGAAGTTCTAGATCAAATCGCAGTGGAATCGATTCCCCAAAACTGTGAAATATTCTTCTTCATGTGACTCCTTTTGAGGACAGTTTCACTGCTATTAATTATGTACAAAAAACGTACAAGAAGTTACTGTAAACGACGGAAGGTTGAAAAAAGCTGTCTGCTATGATGGCACAACCCTTTAGAATGCGACATTTTACTAAAAAATTTAGTGTTTCTATAAATTTACAAAAATACAACTTAGGACTCGAGCAAAATGTGGGGTCCCTGCGTTCATTGTCTCTAACGTGATATTCTTTACCCTTAAGGTAACAAACCTTTCAAACACTGTTCGTTGGTTAAACATTGGAAGCATGGAGTGGAGTGGTAGCACAAGGAATTGGGATTTCTGAAACAATTTAACAAGAACTATTTATTCAAACAAATACAAATAAAATTTACACCTAAGGAAATATATCCAAGGAAAACAAAGAGAACAACAAAGAGAAAAACAAGGAGAAAGTTTTCCCTTGCATAGTTTTGTTCATAATCAGATACAAGCCTGACACCCTACAAAACTCAATCTCTGAGAGTGACTAGCATCTAATTTATACATTATTACCCCTGAATCCCCCAAGGTCATGAGAATAAAGGAAATGATCACCAACTAAAGAAGCTCTTGATTGTTAAACAAATTCTCCTTGTCAGCACCTTAGGAAATGTATGGAGAACAGTTTGAAGAATATTCCTACCAATGTTAAGTTGTAAAGAGTTAACCTGGTCGTGTAACGAACCAAAAACGATTTTCCTTAAAACAAAATCTAAATAACCTCCCACGTACATCACTGATCCTGGATAACAACATGTCATGAACAACATTGATTTCATCCCATCCAGCCAAAAAGCATAATATGGCTCCCTGTCAAAAAAAAGGATGACGTTCATTTACAAAGAGGAAATGATTATTGACAGTAAAAGACATAATTAGTCATCGTGGAACCCAGGCGAAAATTAAATTGAAAGGATACAACAGAATAAAGTAGTTACTATAACTGAACATGCAAAACTAGTCTTTCTACTACTTGTTCTTGTTTTGCTTTGTTTTATTTCTTTTTCTTTGGTATGTTTGCTTTGTTTGTTTGTTTCTACAGTTTACCGAAAAAGTATAAAAAGCACGCTCGATCCCAACCTCCTCACGGTCATCGTGTTCGCTAAATTCTCCGCGATCACGCAACAACATACTGTTTGCTGTTCTGCTGAGGTTTAAGTTGTTGTTTATGATGCTTTTTACGTTGTTCTTACCTGTGGGTAATTCTTAGACACAAAAAGAATTGTCTCAGTAAAAAGCTCGGCATCTGCCTCGGGGCTGTCCGCATCCTTACTGGCCTGGTAAGTAAAAGAGTTATTGATTTTGACAGCAACTTGCCATAACAACAACTGAACAACGTCATAACAGCAATTCAAATATGCTGGCCACACTGTAAATACATAAAAGAAAAGCACTACAACCAGAGTAACAGTGATACTATGGGATTATTATTACTTAAAAAATAGGTGTCTCAACACCCCAGCTCCAGCATCTAAAGAACAGATTTTAGTACAAATTGATAGAAAATTCAGAAGAAAAAAAAACAATAATAGGAAAATTAGAATTTAGTCCATTGGATTTATTCCAATAGCAAGTTGATGATGAGATTATCCTAATTACCTCTCTAACCTGATGAGTCCATGTACAGAAAAGCTCAGCAATTGTAAAATTTATTCACTCACACATATGTGCATATAAACATGCACATGTAAACACATCAAAATGCAGAAACAGCTGTGCAAATGAGGCTTAAAAAAAAACACAGAAAACTGTTGACATAGACAAGTAATACCTTGAATAAAGAAAAGCTCAAAGGTTAGCTGGAACAGCAACATTTTTCATTAAACCTGGGCTGGGGTGTTGAGAGAAAAAAAAACATTAAAAAACATAACTTCAATTTATATACCAAGTTTGTTATCTTCATACTGTTTAAAAAACCTTGGACTGGCCACTAATGGTTAGTCATACTAAACATAACATTGACTAGGGAAACTGGCATGCTTATTAAAAAAATTAAGGATTGTTTCTTTTAGTGAAAGGTTGGGTTGGAGGGGGCTTGGTCAAGAGGAGGGGATTGGGAACTGGAGGACCCGAGAGATAAATTTGGTGCAGGGATGAGAACTACCAGCAAACACTACCCGTTTGTGACACTAGGCTTGAAATGAAACCCAGGTAGAACAGAGGAAAGTAGAAATTGAGTCACTGGAGGCCCACTGGATAGTTCTTCTTTAAAATTAATGTGACAGAAAAGTGAGTTTATTTTGGCTAACTCAAGCATACATGTATGAAAGGCAATATAACTTTTATTCATTTAAAGTTTAGACACAACTTTTGAAATTTGACACTAGTTTAGGTTAACAGAGTATTTCAATTTAACAGAATTTCACTTCTATATTAATTTTGTGTTTCCTTCAAATAGTTGTTAATATTGGGGCAACAATTTTTGAACTGGGTTCACTGAGGAACTGAACAAACATTAAAGCTTAAAAAGTGATATAATTATGACTACATTTTGGACAAAAACCTGTGAAGAACTGCAATCTGGCTTGAACCGTTTGCTCTTGACATTTGCAGGTTTGGATAAAGGTGTTCTGCTCAGGAATTCATAGACCTCTGACAAAAAGTATTCTGTCACATCATGAGTGAATCCTGGAATGACCAGACTGGGACAGCTATTTATAAAAAAATAAGTAATTGAATATAAATTAATAAATAACAAAATAATAATAAAAAAAACCAAAGCCTGTGTTAAACATTCTGTGCCAACTGATGGTGATGCGGTTTTCATATAATGCATTATGCTCTAATATGCCTTACATCAGACTGCATTAAGCAGTTCACAATTTTCATGACAGAAAATTTTGACCAGTCACACCAATCAACACTGGGAGCCATGTTCTCTACTCTTTGCTTGAAGGACATCAGTTTTTTAACATCCCTGCTGACCAGTACAGAAAAGATGCAGGAGATGAGGCCTACAATTTATCCAAGAAGACTAGAACATCTGATCATTAGCAAATGTTGTAGAAAAGGCAGTGCATTCTCCTCAGTAATTTCAGACACCATATTCGTTCAGTCTGGAGCTTCTGTCATTCTCTATTCTTCATTCATTGTTTACATGTAAACCCCTATCTAAACAAAAAAAAGAGAATTGAATTCACTAGATACCCTCGAAAATAATGTGAGAATCTTTCCGAATTCACAGTTGCACTCATCACTATGATCTTGATGTCCTGGTTTTTTTCAAGCAAATCTTTAAGGAGGATCAGAAGAAAATCTGTGTTGATATCCCGCTCATGCACCTCATCAACTATAACATGACTGACACCTGTCAAAGAAATACAACAAAGGAGATAAAACATGAAAAGTAAAGCATTTTTAAAAAAACTCTTGATGTATTTTAATTGACTTGGGAGAAAAAATTTTCTTCATTTGTTTTTTGATAAAAAAAATTTTAAAATGCATCACTTGCCTTTGAGAAGGGAATTACTCTGCATTCTTCTGAGTAGTATTCCTGTGGTGCAAAACAGTATACAGCCCTTCTGTGATGGCAGTCTGCCCTCCAGTCTAACCTGACAGTGAAACATGCCACATTGACCAACAATAAACACAACTGATGAAGAAAAAACATTTTAACTTAAAAAAAGGAAAAAGGTTCTTCTGGCTACTTCAGTCATGAAATGAAAAGAAGTGGCAGGGAATATGTACAGAAAGATGCAGATTGACTGTAAAACTTGATATCCAACACAATTGAATTGATATAGATTGACTGTAGCACCTTGATATGCAAGATGATCTTCTTCTCAGTAACAAGTCATTAGGTAACAAGCAGAAGAGTCCATGCTAATGATCATTTGAAACAATACTCAAAATAGAGGTCACCTATATTGGTCCTCTGAGGCAATACCTGGTAACCCACACTCTTTCCTAGTATCTCATCCCTTTCTGAGGCCACTCTCTCTGCAATTGACATGGCCACTATACGACGTGGCTGTAAAAATAACAAGAGCAATAAACATTATGTGTCAGCACCTGTGTGCCTTTGCATTTCCCTTAACATTTTTGCTGCATTGTTTTATGTCACCATTCTAAGACATACATGTGCATTGATTTGTTAGTAATAAACCACACATTGCTTTTTCCCAACACTGAAAGGCATGAGTTTTTCTACATTTTGCTTCTTTCTACCTTATTTTTTTTAGAGTTATTTAGCCAAAAAAAATGTTTTCCACAGTTTTGATAGTTAATTAAACTTGTTCAAGCCACATGGTATTCGGGTTTCTAAGCAATTTGCATCCATGCCATTTCACAAAGTAAAAAGCATTAATGAAATCCAAATTCCTCACTGGTTTCTTACTTCTAGGTCAGCTATCTCTAATAAGATGCATGCTCCTCCCTAACTCCTAAGACCAAGTTAATACCACAAAAACTGCACCTCAAATCTCCACATTACTTGTTCGTATGCTTCGCGTATAAACAAGTAAAAATAATACAAAGGGTACAAATAATTTGCATGAAAAGGTAAGGACAAAATTTGTGATACTAATAACTATTTAATAGTTATTAGTATCACTATTTGTAAATGACTTGCTGCTTTCTTTTCTCTAAAAAAAAAAATAAGGGTAAATGACTGATTTATTGCAATATTAATAATAAAAATTTTGATCAATTATACCTGTGTAACAACAATGTTGCAAGCTGAGCCCTTGCCTTTTTGTATGGCATCATCCAGAATGAACTGAGGAATCTAATGAGTCACAAAGACAGGACAAATTAACCCTCTCCGCCCTAACATCAATATCCATATTCTCCATACTATTCTCTATGAATTTCCTAACATACTGACAAGGAGAATTTGTTTAACAATCAAGGGCTTCTTTAATCGAGGATCATTTCGTTTATTCTTGTGACCTTCATGTATGATTCAGGGGGAATTTTGCAAGGAGAAATTAGATGCTAATCACTCTTGGGGGTGAAAATGTTAATGATCAAGTTACTATTTCTTCTTTTTTAAACATATATTAGCAACTTATCAGGTGCACTGGTATAGTACAAGTCAATGCCAAATTAATTGAAGAACTGACAGAGTCTTGCTACCTCACCAAAGTTTAATTTGCAAAACATTTTTCCACTGTCTCAGTAGACCCTTCAAAGAAATAAGCAAAAGATAAATTAAACTGAAATCGATACCAACTTACCTGAGTAGTTTTACCACATCCTGTCTCTCCAGAGATAACAACAACACGGTTTCTTTCAATCAATTCAGTGATATTCTCCCTTAAAAACATGGGGTGAAAAAGGTAAGTTATATGTAAAAATTACTTATTTCTTGGTTTAAAACAACTTAATTAAATAAATGCAACATAGAAATCTGAAAAGTGCTGAATATGCAGAATATCATTGACAACCTGTCATTATTACAGCTTTCTTGGTTTTGTGAATCCAAAAATGCATCAACAAGAAATGGGCCTTGAATTCATGTTTTGTCAGAATAGCCAATTTCACCTCAACACCTTCCTTTCAAGGTACACTACCTACTAAAATATTTTAGCGAAAGAGTATTTCCAAACCATTGAAAAGAGAAAAAAAAAACATGTGGAAACAAGACCAAGGCCTTCACTACCATTTCCCAGTAGAGTGAACATCCACCCCTGGTCAAGTAAACAAAGTCTCTAGGAACAAGACTAGATGGCCTGAGGATAATCTTAGGCTAACAAACCTCAATATACCTGTGACTTGCAACAGGCAATGTCTTTGTCTCATTGTTAAAGCATGAATTTCTTGACCTCAGCATATTTTGCCTGTTTGAAAATTCCTGAAGCAACTGCTGGCTGAGTTCCTTGTGTTGCTCTGAAAATAATGGTTTCCATGGAGAACCACTAAAGACATCTTTTACTACAGAGGATGTGGTAAAAGAATTAAAAGGTGCAAAACTGTCAGCATTGTATTGTGTCTTCTTTTTGATGAATGATTCAGAAGTGTTTTGGGCAGGAAAGTTTAAAAAATCATGTTCCTTGACTATAACAGGGTCTTGCTTAAACTCCTCTCGGTTTGTTGATACAGACTGGGAATAACTCTCATTACTGCTTCCAGGTAACACTATTTCATTGACAGGTCTTAGTGATTGTTCAGCTACTTGAGCTGGCTGGCACTGCAATATCTGCTGCTGATTTCTGGGTTCATAAGGTTGCTGCCTGAGTACTGAGTATTTTAACAAAAATGATTCAACTTTAGACAATTTCTCATCATCTATGTAAATCCAGCGGGGTTCATCTTTGTTCTCCACAGCTTCTTTCTTTAAAACACTGGCCGCTCCAACACTTGCAACTCCAAGTCTCTGTCAAGATCAATAGATAGATGACAAGGCATTTTGAAACCCAGTTGCGGTTCATTGAGCCCCATTGACATATAGACAAGATGCAAATCCAGCTATAATCAAATGCATAGTTTTGTATCTTTGATTTTTGCAAAAAAAACAAACAAACCAAAAAAACATGTGGAATCAATGTTTTATTTCCAGGTGCACTTATTTTCAGTAATTCTCTGCTTTAATTGCTTTAATTCTCAAACAGTTGCCTTGCAAAATAAATTTGGCTCTGTGCAACCCAGCCACAGCCCAATCCATAGTCCAATGTATAACACTTTAGCCCCCATGAATGATGGATATCTAATTTCTTTTTACAGGATCATCAGAAAGAGTAAAAGTTAATTACTCTTACCCTGTTATACTCTCCCACCAACACAGCACCACAGTTTCTTTAGAAACTTACCCCCTCTATTAGTATTGAGAATATGCTACTGATGTTAAGGTGTATAGGGTTAGTTAGTTGGGATAGTTTCATTATCAACTCAGTTGATAATAATTAATTACCCTGCAATTACTCTCCCACCAATGCAGCACCACAGTTTCTTTAGAAACTCACTCCCTTTATTAGTATTGAAAATATGCTACCAATGTTAAAGGTGTATAGGGTTAGCTAATCTGCAGTCTTAAATTCCTCAGGATCATTTCAGATCATCCCAGAGAAATATGGGGATCTTTTTAAGGCTTGTGGGGTCATACGAAGAACTAGGTTAAGGGGTCATTTCTCGTATGAGAATTTTTTAAGAGTTACGACAGTTTCAGTTTCGGGAGTGGGGAGGACTTCAAAGGCTGTACTGAAGTTCCTAGCTCCTTTCCAACAGCTTCTCGATCTCAAAGTAACTTGACCCTTTCAATTTGTTCTCAGACTTTCCTGAAATCTTTACATTTATATGTCTTCCTACCTCCAATTCAACACAAGCAAGTGCAGCTGCATTTTTTTCAGCTTCTCGCTTAGATGAACCTTCGCCAACAAAAGACATTGGTCTTGGCCAGGGTATATTCACGGTGGACTGCCAAAAGTTGAAATCCACTTGTTTGTTTGAGAAAGACAGTGAGTTTCCCTTTAGAGCTCCTTGGAGTATATTGTGCAGCTTTTCCTTAGAATTTGGAAATCGTTGCGCAGCTTCGGAACCTCGAAAATGTCGAGAACAATTTTGGTTTGATAGTCTCGGGGGTTGTGATGGTTGTCGAGTCTGGCCTCCACCAGTTGGGAAATTCTGAGAGGGAAATTGGACTCTTGGAGGTGGGCCACCCATAAGAGGAGGTGGATGAACCAGATCTGAGTGAGGGCGACCTTGGAAAGACGAAAATCGCGGTCGGAAAGTATTGTTTCCTGGCCTCGGAAACCCATTGAAATGCGCCATTTTGAATTTAGCGCTCGTACTGCGCAAGCGCATACGCAAAATCCCCTGTCACACACCACACAACAAATGTCACGCGATGGTCATAAAAATTAGACGAGGTTAGACCATCTGTATACTTAGGAAAACTTGAAACAGTTTTGGGGGTAAGTTCGTGATGTTTTTGTTGTGAGGAAGTCCTCACAATCGGAATTCAAAGATGAGGAGAAATGAAGTCACTTTGTGGAAACTGGAACGGATACGTTACAACGGTTTGTTAAGAAAAAGGAGATACGAACTTGCCCTGAAAAAGTTCCGCACCTGTCTCAAGGGGAATGTTTCATTGACAAAGTTTGGTCCGTTAAGATGAATAAATTTTGCCCTATAATCTAGTAAGCGTCTCCGATGACTTCTACTTGTTCTGAACGTCCATAAAGATACAGAGAACAAAACAAAATGAACTCAAAAACAACAAACAAGTTACACTTTAAAAGATAAGACTAGGTCAGATTTTAGATAATTATACTCTTTTATTCGATTTTGTTATATAATATAGTCTCTATCAATATCTGAAATAAATTACCATGATCTAACAACTTAGGGCAATTATACACAAAAAGTTTAGCCACTGTTTAACAAAACCGCCTCCTAAATAATCTTCAATTTAGCAAACTCTTTTATGTGAACATTTGTTATCTGAAACAGAGTCAAGAGGGCCAAAAGCTAACAGTGAAAGGGCATTGATTTAATCAAATCAGCCCTCTTTTAGAGAAAGCCTGAGGCACACTGATTGCATTAAACTGTGGTTTGGGTTGGACTTTGTGTAAATAACTGGTCCCTAAGTTTAAGATTCAGTACCTAAAAAAAAACCATAAAGCTTCTCTCAAAGTTAGAACTGAAAAAAAAATTAAAAATTCAATATTTTCTAGGGAAAAAAATCCCATCGTTCCATTATACTTCAAGCTTTAAGTTCAACTCTTTAATCACCAATCTTTTTTTTCTTATCATCATGGTGACCAAACTGGTCACAGTGTTAAAGCCCTGCAATTGGGAAATTTCCATAGTGGGTGTAGCATGTTAAGGGAACAAACTCATTTACATGGTATCAGAAAAACTGATCAACAATTGTTCTGATTATATGACTGAAAATGTAGGAAATAATATCAGATATTCAAAGTATAAAATAAACATCATATAGCTATAATACAAATCAAAGTGTACAAGTTATTTGTTTCTTCAACAAAGTAAAATTAATAGTGTCTACTACATGCAATCATTGTTCATGCTGCTCTTCAAGAGCCTGAATAGCTGCAATGTGAGAATCCACATATCAAATCATCAGAATATATGATTGTTTGTAAGAGGAAGAGTTCAAGTTGTCAAAATTTTAAAACACCTTTTAAAGAAAGAAATATTGCATAGCCTTTCAGTGTACCAGCAAAACGCAAACTGAAATCAGAACTGATTGCTTAAACTTAGCTCAATTTCTGCCTTGTTTTTCTTAGTAGAGGAATCTGTTATCAAAAGAATAAATAATAACATAGATTTCAATGCTTCCTGGATTGGCTCAGAGATTTGCAAGACCACAAGGTTCTACTGTTTATCAATCCTACACAGTTCTCAACACCCAAGTGTTTGGGTGAGGTTATTTTTTGGTGGTTGACTGCACAATGTTACACAAACAAACTGATTGTGTGATTTTGACCCATGGCCAATCCTGTTATTCATTGCAATGCTACTTTAAAATAACTTAATACTTAAATTTTGGATCATCACAACAGATGAGACTTCACTGAACTCAACCTTTACAATCAGTGACATTTACTTAAATTCTATATACACTCAATGACTGTTTGTAAAAATAACCAAATTGTATGAGTGTGATGACTTTTAAATTCAATTCATTATACCATACTAACTATGATTATACAGAAACAGGTAATATAAAGCACAGTTTCAAATTTATTGAAAAAGACCACTGACTCTACTGATTTCACCATAATGGGAGTGGCCAAAAGTGACACAAAGGCCCAGTACTCACACATGTCATCATGCACTCCTGAAAATTTAGTCTTGCAAGTCTTGACACTCAGAGCAGTTGGTCATCACAGTTTCCTGATAAAGTTCTACCTGAATAGTGCTGTGGTAGATACGGAACTCGTTCTTCAACTTCTGATTTGCAATGTTGAGGACTTTCTGTGAGTCATATCCTTGTTCTGGAAGAAAAGATCATTCAATAACATTGCGTTTGAAAATAATTCAAATCAGGAATTCCTAGCTGTTGATACTTCACACCAATCAGATAAATATGGAATATCATATCAAGTGCACTAGCTTCATTTGTGGGGTAAAAACTAGCAAACAGGAACCCACATTTTTGAAGGTAGCTAACAAAGTTTCATCAATTTTCTTACTGTGATTGTGAACTATCAATTTTTTTCCTTGACAAAAATAGTTGGCCAGTGTACACACAAGTTTGGTTTGCCCATAAAAAAACTTACAAAATATTGTCAAGCAACCCACTCAATGCCCAGAAGAACCTTACATCAGTATGCATATTCTCCATAATGTTCTCTATACATTTTTCTAAGGTGCTGACAAGGAGAATTTGTTTAACAATCGAGAGCTTCTTTAGTTTATGATCATTCCCTTAATTCTTGTGACCTTACTGTGTGATTCAGGGATGATATGGTAAGGAGAAATTAGATGCTGGTCACTCTTGGGGGTTTAAGGGTTAAGACAGCACTATGCATTGACCCATCTGTTTGTCATAAGTGCCACACTACATATCACCTCCTCCCGATATGACCATCAATACTCCACAGCTGAGTTCATAACAGATGGTTGAAAATCAACACCAAAAGTCTCACAATCAAGTTTTATTCATACACACACCTATTGCCAAATGGACAGCTAATGCAGCTTTGTTCACTGTCAGAGACCAGATGTGTAAACTGTGTGCAGCTACAACTCCTTCAATGCCCTCCAGTGATACCTTTACATTATTGTACTTGATATCTTTAGGAGTGCCTGGTAAAAAATTTACAGACGTTACCAGTAAGTTGGAACAAGGAGAAGACATATCAAGTTTCAAGGCCATATCATGGAATGTAACATCCAATTTATCACACCACCCTCTATAAATATCTTTAAATTATGCTTTACCTCTGAAAAAACAAAGGTTTAAACTGATAACTTGAACCCAAACTATCTAGTAACAAACCCTGTTTATTTGTACCAAGGGTGCACTCTAGTGATCACTTTAATACAAATAAATTTGTACATGAAATTAATTCCTCATCCCAGAACTTCATAAAGAAAATATTTTTCTTTTAAAAATCTTCAGTTTAAGCTGCTGCAAATACTGGTAGGCATCTTGGAGAGCAAATTTAGACAACCCAAAATAAAATTTATCCAATTTGTGTTTATTTTTATCTGCATCCATTGCTTTTTGGGTTTAATATTTCCACTTCAAACACTCAGGTATCTGTTTTTATTGATCAATGCAAAGTTTGTGGAGACAAGGCGCCTTCTAACTCCTCTTCCTGGATGCATACCTCCTCCTGGTTGCACCACCTCCCCCCCCTCTAATCCCAATTCTCTATCATGCAAACAGGTGCTGAGCATGTACATGTACATGTAATTACTGCTCCAGGATATTTCTTGGATTTCTTTAAGACCAGCAGTACTTTTATCATCAATTGGGAGAGTACTACCTGACTGACAACAATAGTGAACTGGTCAAAGAATTCAAGCTGTTTGATTTTAATTAGCAATAAAGAAAGCTTTGACAGTATCTGCTTACCTTCCATCAAAACATGAATTGTCTCTTTGAGAATGTTTAGAGTTGTTAGAAGAACCAACAGAGAAAAAAGGAAAGTGCATATAGGGTCAGCAAGCTTCCACTCAGGCTGTTGGACACAAAAATAGCAAAATTAGACTGGGTCATAGCAGTTGAAGCAGTCAGGGGGGGTTTGAAACAGCTTTCCTTTTCTTCCTACAACCTTGGGTATGATGGGACAATTTAAGGTCTTTTCCCAATGCATTAAATTACCATGCCACACATTATGTTTCTGATTAACTGAAAAAAATGCATTTTTCATGTAACATGAGTGCAAAGTTGTAACATGAGTGCAATTAAAAGCTAAGTTTTTCATTTGTCTCATGATGTAGTCACGTGTGATGTAGATCAAGATGTTTCGACTGCATACTGCTAGTCTTCTTCAGGTGATGAGGTCGACTGGTCATGCGTGATCTTATAAAGCATGATGCTCTGCTGTGATTAGTTGTTTTTTCGACAACTCTGATTGGTGCATTTCGATCCTTGCTGTACACTCAGTGATTTGCTCCCTCGGCGGTCTGCTGTCGCATGGCTCTCCTGTTGTTGTGTTTTTTAATTCTATTCCACTATCCCTGTTGATGTTGTTGGGGTAAAGTCTTATATAAATTGCTTCTCGGTACAGGCGAGTCGAATGTCTCGGTCGTGCTCCTTAATTTTGTCTTGCATAGGTTTTCCAGTCCCTCTGATGTACACTTTGCTGCATTCATAGGGAATCCTGTAAACTAAGCCATCACAAAAGTACATGCAAAAGTGCATGCATGCTATCAAAATTCCATCTGTCTTGACCTTCTGTGATCATTTTTTCATGTAATTTATTAATAAGTAATGACATGATTTCTTGTGCAATTTGGTATAAATAAGCACTTGTAAACATTTCAAAGAGTACAAATTGCACTTGCCATACAAAATGTACTCATACAGTACTTACTAACACCAAATTGTACCCAAAATCATCTTATTACCTACACTAACAGTATATGTTTAGTGAGGGGGTATTCCTTTTCATTGTTACCTTATATTTGATGATGTATGCTGCAATAAGGACTCCCACACTCTGAACAATGTCTCCTAAAACATGAATAAATGCAGCTCGTACATTGATGTTTTGTTTCTCAGAGGCCAAGCTTCCACTTCTTGAAATGCGATTGGTAGAAACAGTTTCAAATTTTCCATTATGGCTATGGCTGGTGTCATGAGAGTGACCTCCACCACCATGGCTGTGATTATGTCCAATACCTGTCTGATGGAGAATAATACCAAGCCTAATACAAAAGAAAAAAAATTGTTTTAACCCTTTAACCTCTAGTAGTGACTGGCATCTAATTTCTCTTAACCATGTACCCCTAAATCAAACAAAAAGGTCAGGAGAATGAAGGAGCTAATCAGCAACAAAAGAAGCTCTTGATTGTTGGACAAATTCTCCATGTCAGCACCTTAGGAAATGTTTAGAGAACAGTATGGAGAATATGCATACTGATGTTAGGGTGTAAGGGTGTAAGGGTTAACCTTTAGACCCTAACATCAGTATTACATTATATTCTTCATACTGTTCCCTAATACATTTTCTAAGGTGCCAGAAACAGTTCATTATTTGTTGGCTTTCCAAACTTGGCTGTGCGTGAGCTCACATTTTACAAACAGACTTAGAGCAGTCACCAGTCTTAACAACAAGGTTGCCACCATTACCACAGGAAGTGGCAATAACAGCAGAAGAAAAAATTATCTTGACTTCCAAATCTATGTATGTGCAAGTCTATACAAACAAATGATGCCAACTTACAAGATGTTCACTCCTAATCCTATGCCTGCTGTAATAAGCATGATATCTGCATTTATTTTAAAATCATTTGACAGGACTCTTATCACAGCAAGGTACACCAACACCCCTGTTAACACCCAAATGATGAGAACTGACACAAGAGCACCAAGCACCTCTAAAAAGAGAATACATGAAAACAATCAAAACAAATTCATGCAATAATTATGTCAAGCACATTACATGGCCGCACCAAGATAGAAAATTTCTCTTTGTGTTGACAAATATTCTATTTATATTCTATTCATCACATTAACACTAATGAAATACTAAATCATTTCGAAAGGCATTATTTTTAAATTTAACCATAGCAACAGTGATCTTTTCATGTGTGAAGATAGCATGTTATCTTTTGATGACATCTTTAATTTTGTTGCCAGTTGTGAGAGTAGTTTCAGTCCACAAGTGACAGAGGCACACATCAGGGACAGTAACCATTTGACATTTTGGCTCGAATCAACTCTGAACAAACATGGCATGGTTAATTATTAACAAACCCTTAACCCAACCTTTAATCAGGGGATATCTGTACTCAAGGGACACTTGCTCTGGTCTCAAGGATATCTCCTGAATTGAGGTTCCCCTGTGCTTTACAAAGTCAAGAACAAATTAATTCACATCTTATTTACCTGCTCTGTAATAGCCAAAGGTCTTCCTCTTATCTGGAAGCCACCGAGCAACCCAGATAGCAAAAAGACTGATTAAAAATGATGCAAAGTCAGATAACATATGGGCAGCATCTGTCATGATGGCAAGACTGCCAGCAAGCAAACCACCTGTGGACAGAATTCCAGATGGTTTATCACCAGATATATTAGAAATGAGTCGCTGAAAATGAGTTTTAGTTAAAATCGCAAGAAAACCAAAACCTGTCTATCCAGGTGAAATGGTATCCAAACCTGTTTATCTTCAGGTTTGGATGCCATTACAAGTTTTCACAGATGTCTCTGAAAATCTAGAGATCACCTCTCCACCCTACCCAGGGTTCTCCCTAGTTTTCAGCACAACAGGTAAGGGACCTTTTCAAACCAGTAAAGCACATTTGCAGCTAGAGGTGGCTGGTCATTCTCAACTTTGTCATTTCCTAAAGCATACAGTACATCATGCCTGTCAAAAATTTTCCATCAAAAAAAATTCATAATGTGAACAATACACCTTTAGGTTCAGAGGTTGAACAAAACAGAGTAAAATTTTGTTTAAAAGCATTATATCTGACTATGCCCTTTCCAAACTGCTTATAATGTAAACTGGTCTCCCTTCAATTTCAGGTGATATCTTTGGCATCACTTACATGGCATATCGCTGGAAAATCAGTGGTGTCAGCTAACGAATCACATTGCTATGAAATCGAATCACACTGAATAGCTTAATTTGTGTTCTAATCGTCTCAAATTCAGAACTTTTATGCTGTCAAGGGATTTTATCTTCAAGGCTACTTTCAAACCATTGTCTGAAACACATTTAAAGTAGAATTTCACGATGAAGACTAGCTTTGTCCCCACGTGTTCATTATACAGCCGGCAATTGTAGAGCTTTTGTTTACCCCTAAAATTCTTGTAAAGCTTACCAGCCACTTTTCATGACCTCATTACTGGACGGAAACAACAGCATTGTTTGCTGCTGTTTCATCATGGAAATTGAACAACTAAACAACACCAAATTTGCATGTGCAGAGAACTGACAAATGTCATGAGATTTAGCACAAAGCCTGCCAAAAATCACTCTTGCTTCGAAATTCAAAAGGTAACAGTCAGTGTTAGCTAACTAAAGCACACATAGATCTATAATAGTGCACACTGTTGGCTTGTTATTACACTTTGTTACCAGATTGGCTCTCCATAAAGGCGTATTTTTTAAGGGTTCTGAGCGTTTGTGGGCAGTAATAAGTGCTCTTACAAGCAATAAATTTTACCGGTTACTGCCTGATAAAGGAGAACCCTGCCTACCCTACCTAAATTTGAGTTCTGTCCTGATTTCTCCCCACAAAGCAAAGTCATCATTTAAATGGATGCATGTGAAAAAAAAGATCCTAAAATAGAAGGAAAATTTAAGGGAGATAAAGTTTATAAATTTTCCCTCTTTGTAAGAAAATATCTAACAGGATTTGTTTTATATTTGGGAAGACTACAGTAACAAGCAAATCACAACAATAAAGGAAAATAAGAGTCTATGTTGCATTACTTCTTTCAATAAATGTAACTGAATCCCCAAACAAACTGCAACCTTTTTTTTGCCTACAAGGCTGTGCTCTAGGAAAATTTTCAGGGTGCCCTTCGGGCGCCTAACCATGACAAGTAGGTCGCCCAGCCTTCAAGGTTGGTCGCCCGAATTGATTAATTAATTGATCAATAAATTTTGATCGAATGATTACAATTGCAAGCAAGTCGCCAAATATGGTGCTGATAAACATCTTGCATGCCACGGACAAAGCTAATTAAATAAACACAAATTTGCATAAAGGACGGTTTCGTTTTATTAATCACGTGCTCCACTATTGAAACTGTTGAAACGCAAAAATTAAATATAAGCATCAACCACTTCAATAGAAAAATTAGATCTTCAACACATGTTTGTGCAAAAATCGTGCAGTTTCTCACGGGCAAGGAAAAAATAATTTTTGTGCTAAATCATGTGAAACAATATTACATAACACACGCGACAACTTTGAGCGTGAACAATTCTTGTTGTTGTCCTGCTGAATATTTTTTAGTTCTGCAAATGTCATCAAATTAGCAAGTAAAATTATAAAATGTTAGTTACAATCAGTTGCTTGCTTTATCGCATCATTCAATGGACAAGAAACCTGGGCCATGTACTATATTAATAAACCAGAAGAGAAACCACCGAAGCAAAACAAGACCCATGACCTAACTTAATATTTAACCTAAATGTACAGATCACACAGGCTATTGATTGCACTGCGCTTTCAGCGCTTTTGCTTTTCGGGCTAACGGGAGCTGGGGAGCACAATGGAGTTTCTTTTTGCTTCGTTCCGTTCCGTTTCTATACATTTGCTGGTTTCATTTCGGGTTTCACACAAGCCGAAATCTTTGTGCCCAGATGGGCGACCGCTTTTCTTTTTCAGTTGCCCGAGACCAAATGTTAGTCGCCTGAGGCGACCGGGCGCTGCTAGAGCACAGCCTTGGCCTATTTTCTATTTTTACCCTTTAACTCTCATAAGTGACCAAGACAGAATTTCTCCTAACAACATCAATACAATATCAACCAAATAAGTAATGAGAGTAAAGAAAAATAATCTATTTAGGAATAATTAGTTGAATACTAAATTCTCTGAACTAACATTATTAGAATTGTATGGTTGACAATTAGGAGAATGACAAATTTGATCTGGGAGTTAAAGGGTTAAACCAAAGATCAAAGTAAATATAAAATAGCTACATGTTACAACAAGGTTTAGCTTTAAAAAAATAATAAATTGCTTTCACCTAAGCAGAAAACTAGAGATTGTGAAGATTAAGTGCACAGTATGATTATTTTAATAATAATTCATTGAAGAAGTAATTAAAAAATAAATTTTGGCATATGGAGTGAGTTATATATTCTATAATTACAGTATCATCACTTATTTATGTATAGTTTTCACGCTAGTTAAGTATAGAACAATGGTATATGTAATACGTATGTCGGAAATAATACGAAAACATGTCAAACAATATAAGCATATTGCTAGAAAATCGAGTTAGGGATGTCACATATCATGCAATATTACCCAAAGGATACTTCTGAAATAGTTTGATATTTTTTGTAATGATCAAAACAAAAATTTTGCAAGAAACAATCAGTATATCCGACAACATTTAACGCCTGACGGGGAGTATACACTTAGGAGTTTCCCTACTATCAATGAAAGTTAATTGAGCGATCGCAAGGTAATTTTTCGCACTTACGCCTGAACAGATGACGAATGCAAATTTATGGCATGATCGATATCGCAGCCGAATTCATTATTTTTTAAAGAATTGCCCGATATTCGGTTGTTTCTGATTTTCGTCAGCTCTTGCGTAATTAATATTTCTCTGAGCCACGATAATTTCCGTGAACATTTTCCTCCGCCTTGAGCCTCAAATTGACAAATTAAATTATAATTGTTCCCTCGATGTTGGCGGCCGAAGCGATACGAAATGAATGTTTTTTCCACTGATATAATGAGGTAAATTGGCCACCGTAGACATTTTCTATGGCTGACGTTTCGAGCGTTTAACAGCCCTTCGTCCGCTCCTAATATCCTCTGGATTAATGAAATTCCGAAAGATTAAATTTCAATTTGTGTTCAGTTCGAACCTATACTAGTGCAAAATCACATACCACAGGATATTAAACGCTATCCAGCAATCTATAGCAACACTTTAGATTTATCTCTTCTCAGGCGTATTTCGGTTTATTTACACACTTATTAATGAGGAAGATTCCTCAGGAGTCGAAATGGCGAGGAATTGCGTAATACTCTAATCATCACCCACAGTCTCTCATCCGCATCTCACTGTGTAGAGCCGCGGGGGCAAGAGGCAGATTAGATCTTGGAAACAATTTTAATCTAGAAAATTCCCTCGCTACTTATGCAAAAAGAAAAAAAACAGCCAAGTGCACACATGAGTACTGATTCTGACCACTCACATTACACACAAAATTCCATCCAAAGATAATACTCACCAACGACCTCTGCGATCACGAAAAGCAGGCAAACCACGCTTGCTATGACCAGTTTCTTCCTTGCCCTTGCATTCGAATAAATAGGTTTACTTTCGTGACAATGAATATCTGTCAGATAGCTAACATCGGCCCCTTCGCTGTAGTTTTGGTATGCTATAAGAGGCGAATGTTCTGCAGTAACCAAGATTGGCAGTTCATCGCAGGTACATGTCGGTAGACCATTCGATCTCAGACAGTCCGGGGCATGAGTGAAAACTGGCGTTCGCTCATCTTCGTGTACATTAATGCTACACATCTCTGTTTCTATCATCGGATCGATCAAATTTTCATTAGATCGACTTAACGATGTTTGCGCTTCGAGTCTAGTCAAAACTGTCGACATGATTCACGCATGCTGTAATCAATGAATACTGACCAACAGGACTGCAGGCTTTATATCTTACTATGAGATACTTTAGTTACATAATGGATCCCCCAGTCTCCCACCAAACCCGTTTTTTTGAAAAAGTACATTTGTGTACTTTTTCTTTTGTAGTGAGGATATCTAGCAAATTTCATTGCCATAATAAGGTAGTTCCCAAAGGGAGGCAAAACAGTGAATGAGCCATTTTTATAGTTGTGTACTTAGTTGCCAAGCCTTTGATTTGGAGTGAGGCTGAAGGTGACCTTGCTGTAATAGAGACCAGTATCTAGTTAGCATGATGGCAAATTAAATATCATTTGAAAAGCAGCAATGTTTGTATCATAATAGGGTCACTCTTAGCCTCTCTGCTTTTCAAAGGCTTGGCAATCAAGCATGCAGCTGTACGATGGACTATTAACAGTTCCTTTGAAAGACAGGATACATAGATTAGCATACAGTACTAGTGCTTGTGTAGTCCTCAAACATACTAAAGAAAAATTATAATTCGAGTAATCAATACTTTTAGTATTATTGGTTTTGGAAAATCATTTTTATCTCATGAAAGTTGAAGCTCTTTCTTTAATATTTGTTATTACTAATTTAAGATGAATGCCTGATGAAAATCTGCACAGCCCTTCACCCATTACACCCTAACATCAGTATGCATATTCTCCATACTGTTTGCAATACATTTCCTAAAGTGCTGACAAGGAGAATTTGTTTAATAATAAAGAGATTCTTCGGTTGGTGGTCATTTCCTTTATTCTTATACTGTTAACATTTGATTAAGTAGTTATAATGAATAGAGAAATTAGATGCTAGTCACTCTTTAGGGTCAAAGGGCTAACTCAAAAAATGTGATTGATACTGGATCTGCCTGTTTCATGTAAAAATCTACTTAGGTGTCAGTCTGTGGGTCAGAATTTTATGGCAATTAAGTCTTTCCTTGGTATGCCGACATGAAGAATGTGAACTTGATCTGCATTACAAGAATCACTCTGTATCTAATGCTTGACGACTGCTGTTTTTCTGCTGTTTTCTCTGGATGCCTGAATAGCAGATCCAACCATGCCTTTGGGGAATGGGGGGAAGGGGGAGGGGGGGGGTTGGGGACGAGGCCCAACTCGTTTTCCTAACAGTGGCTGGCAATTGAGCCTGGTCAGAGTGCAAAATGGGAGCCAGCAATTTTAGTGATTTGAGGCCACAGGGGAGTTATGCTATAATGTCCTCCTCCTTTTCATTTTACTTATTAACAAAAAAGTCATTTTCAGTTCTTTTGTGGTTGTTTCACATTACATCAAAATAGTTTTTAGGGCATGCATAACGTAAACATTTTGCCCTGCACACAACAAACAGCTACACCGCCATCAGGTAAGATCCACGAAAATAAAATTCCAAACAACAGATAACAAAACGTTTCTTATCAGTACAAGGTCATCATGTTTCAAGGTCCTGCTGAACAAAGCAGTCATGAAAAATATGGGAACTGAGCTTGATGGCAAAATTCATTGAATGGGGACCACAACTTTGCACTCAAACCAAAGCCCTCTCGTTGTAAGTATCGCTTTTCGGTAAAAAATAACAGAGGCCTTAATAGTATTAGTTCCACAACTCACTATGTTCTGAACTTTTTCAAAAACTCCGGTACTGGCCATTGAATCGAATCTTCGTTTTTCTCCTTTCGAAACTCCTTCGTTTCCTTCTTTATTCTTTCCACACAGTAACCGCACAACTGACCCTCCACCTTGTAGTTACCGCATACTGCACAGATCTCGATGTCCGTTCTGTTCTTAAGCTGCTTGTGCCGATTTCTCAATTTCCGTTTGTGTACCGTGGTCCTCTTCTTAGGAACTGCCATTAATAAATATCCATCATCGGTGTGTCTTTCTGTTTGTAAGCATTCAGTCGATTCGATGGACGAAACAATGTTCCCCGACAAAGCATAATCTGGTAAGTACTGCCTTGTGTAGATAATTCGAAGATTGTACAACATCCGCTCTTCCAAAGCAAGGAAGTTTCGTAGCACACTTCCCACTTGCTTCCACGCTAAAATAAACGCCATGTTTTTTCGAATCGAGAAGGACTGGGAAGGGTAAAATTGTAGGCAGACTGGGGTGGGTGCATGAAGGATTAATTTGTCTCTTACAAACGATTTGTGGTTTCTTTTTTTTTCTTTTTTTTCTTTCTTTTCAGTACAAAGTAGTTTTCGCCTTGAAAATGTTTCGCCTCTGTTCAGAAGTCGTTTCGCCACAACCATAAGCGGCTATCTCCCAGTTTTACAAGAAAACTACCTAAACCACACTTTTGACTGTATCTAAACAACACTCAAGCTTCCTCTGATTTCTAAAATTAATTAAAATCTAGCTCTACTTGAAATTGCCTTTGCGATTAGATTTGAATCAGGATCCTCCATGCGATTAGATTCGACTCAGGATCCTCCAGGGTCTTTTCTCTCCTCCTTTTTAAAAGGTGGGACGCGCGCCAAATGTTTTTGTGGCGTTCATCGACACCGATCTTTCACTTCAATTTTTTACGACGCAAATTTTTCGTTTCCGGTTTTTGCGAGAGAGGGAAAACTTTGATTGAAGACAGAGATGAAGTCAATGACTGCGCTTACCGTAATGATCCGATCTAGCGCCTGGGGCGCTTATTTTCTCTTGGTAAATCGAGAGAGGACGTTTATTCGAACCAGGGCGCTTATTCAGGACAGGGTACTTTTTTCTTTCTTGAGAAATAGTAGAATGTGCAGAACAAACCTTTTATTTTTATCTAAAAAGAATCGAGAGGACTGGAAAACGGAATTGTTGTCTCTGGATCATTCTTAGTAAGAACGACCAACCAAACAACAATCATCACAAAATTTTGAGATCACTCGTTTGACGAACTGTACACTCACATAAAAAAAAAAAAACAGCTGTAAGACTGAGACGTAGACCACTGTTTTTCTAATGAGGCTTCTAACTTCGAGGGAGGCGCTCATTGAAAAGTGGGCGCTTATTAGAAAGACGCTAGTATATCGGATCATTACGGAATGCCTTTTCGGAATGCCTTTTCTTGCTTTCAAATTTTACAAATGCTGCTAATCTGGGGGGGGGGGGTAAGATTTCCCTGTCTGGAGAAGAAGCTTTTCCTTTTTTTAGAGAATCATTCAATCTCCTTAAGAGAGAGAACTGTGATCTAGCTAATTTGTACAAGACGAAGAGAAGAGAACCGCCAGACTCGTGACAGAAATTGTTCACCTGTTTAGAAAAATTGTGAAAGGGGGATTATGAGTTTGAACAATTCCATTATAACCTCTTTCTTATAAAAGGCTTTTTAATTAATTTACGTACTGGTAAACACATTTATGATTACTTCTTTACGATTTTTTGCCCAAGCATCAACTGGGAGAGAAAGTTTCTAAAGAAACTGTGGCATTAGGTTGGTGGGGGGGGGGGGAGAGGTAATAAAACTTAATTCGGTTTGATTAACTGAGTTCATAACTGTAAATTAGCCACCGTAGAGAATTACTAAAGTTGGCGTTTCGAGCGTTGGCCCTTGCTCAGAGCGAATGACGAAGGACTAACGCTCGAAACTTCAGCTTTAGTAACTCTTTACCGTGGCTAATTTACAGTATCAACTCGTTCGCATAAAACTTAATTTTCCCCTTTGCGAGAACTTCTTAGTGATCGACGTGAACACGACTTTATCCTATTGTCTCAGTAAATTTTAAGTTGTTTTTACTAGTTTTAAATCAAATTTGGAAGTCTTGTTTGATTTTTCTATGAGCGATGGGCTTTTGATTCAGTATACTAGTTTTCAAACCAAGATGCAATTTCGTATGAGGTGACTTAGAGCGCATATATCTTTTGTTCTGCTTCTCTTTAAGTTTGTAAAGCACGGTTCCATGCATGCACGAGTTGTGCAAACTTTAATTAGAGTCAAGCACGTACCTTGGTAAATTAGAGAAAATGTGGAACCCTCATCCCTCTTTTTCTTTCCAAACATACTGTTCACACCGTGTTTGATTGCTGTTGTTGCTAAAAGAAATGTTCAATCTAACCTTGTAAATAAGGATCATAATTAGCATAATGACTTCGAAGCGCGCAACCTACAGCGAAAGAAACCGTGATACTTAGCCATCGTTATTCGCTAGTAATGATGATGATGATGGTTGTTGATGGAAGTCTTTTTAGTGGGATGTGCACTTAATAAAAAAAGCGACATTAGCCGCGTGTCAACGCGGAACGTTTGTAAAGGTAGTTGCACTAAGCTAACTTGGGGATGACGAATGGAAAGAGGACCAAAGGGTTAACGGAGATCAAGTTTCTCAAACTCTTCCCAAAAGGAAAATGCCTAGGAACGAGATTAGGTCTCTTGCAAAATGGCTTCGCGCGCTTTTATTGAAAACATTTTTAAAAAGCATCCCCACACACAATAGCGTAAGCAGAGCAGAAAAATCTGCAAGGCCTTGCGCGAAACGAAGTGAGAGAAAAAAGGATAAACTGATGAAAAAGCGGCGATCATTTCGTAAAATGCTTAATTTCACTAAGTTTTGAAGAGCTACACTGGAAATGTCTGGCTCCCAGTCCGTATATCATGACCTCGAGTCAAAATGTTTTCCTGTGCCTTCCTCAAAAATGGTCTTGACAACGTTCCCGTATCAGCTGGTGCTACTTCTAGGCTGGATGTGCCTTCCTACTACTCCAAATTTAGGATCCTCCATATTCCGATGAGAGAAAAGGCCTGGCATGAGTGGAGCTACAACCGAGGGCGGAGAGTCAACCTCAGGGCTGTTATCTGGACTCTGTTTAGCCTTGGTCTTCACGTTCAACTGATTCGGTCTTATCCCGTTAATCATTCTTTCGTCCGGTCCAAGAATTTTCTGAATGGTTGCAAACAACACTAAGACAAACAGACTGACAATTCCATAAGCTCTGAATGTCATTTTGGTACCAAACTGGTGTATAAGCACACCACCTATTATCGCACCGCATCCCCTCCCTAAGCCATGATGCAATCCTTGTAAAATGCCTTGAGCGGAGGTCGCGTATCCGGGGGGTGCAATGCGACCTACATAGCTTGTGCAAGCTGCCCACACTGCAGCATGAGTCATTCCTTGCAAAATTTCCAGAGGAAGCACTAACCATGGATTGTTTAAGAACGAAATGTACACAAAACGAATTAAATTCCCCAAGAGGCCGACGTAGAGGACGCGAATGTGACCAACGCAGCCAATGAGGCGACCCACATTGAAATAACACGCGATTTCCGAAATATGATCGATCAACGAAGCTATCCCGAACAGAGTCGGCGGACCACCGAGGTCTTCAAGATGCCAGAAAAGAAAAGTGAAAATGAGGCCGACCCCAAAACCTAAGAAAAATGTCACGAGTAAAAACGTACCGTATCGCACTGATAGCAGAATGCGGTATAGTCCGGATCCTTCACCCCGAAGTCCTTCGCCCAATTCTAATTTTTCTTTGTTTGGGAAGGTGAAGCGGGTAGCCACAGTCAAGGCGCACACCATGAAAACGAAAAAGAAATAAAAGCCAACCGTGTAATTCTGGCTGATTATTTCACCACAAACTTCAACTCCACTGATGCTGTCGATGACAAAACCTAAAAGAAACATGGCTGTTCCCCATCCAAGGCTTCCCCACATGCGCTGGCGCCCGTAGAGTTCTTTGTTCTCTCCTAGCATCCCAAGAGTTGCTGAGTCTGCCAGTGTTATGGCCGGAGCCGAGAAAAATTCTCCCACGACCGTTAAAAAGAGTAGGACTAAAAATACTTGGTGTACTCCTTCACGATCATAAACTAAAGAACTCTTGGCTTTGAATTCGGGCTCTTTTTTGTCCGGGGTGTTAGGCGCGAGGAAATCTTTGATCTCTGATGTCTCTCCGTCAACAATTTGCGATACATTTTCGGTGAGAATGAAATATTTCCTACACGTAACAGGTGCTGGTTTTATAAAAGCCAACGAGAAGTTAAAGGAAATCCAACACATCAGCGAAAATATCATCAAAAGTTTCCGCTTGTTCAAACGGTCGGCCAGAGATCCTAGAAGTGGCGCGCTAAAAAATTCCACCATCGGACGGCAGCCAACTAGAATGCCGCTTAAACTTGGGTTCATTCCCAGCTGCTTAAAATACACTCCTAGAAGTGGGAAAAACGAACCAACTGCTCCCCAGTAACAAAAATAAAATACCTTGGACACTAAAAGCTTCCTGTTCACGCGAATGAACTTGGGACAAAATGAATTTCTCATTTTCTCGTTGTGTTCAATTTCGGAGTTTACCCCATTGGACTGCGCCATTACTGGAAAGGCGCAAATTTCATAATTAGCCAAAAATATCACTTTGGATTCAAGCGTGGTGTATCTTTAAACAAAAGGAACACGGTAACTGTTTAATTTTTAAAGTTCTTGCAGAGAATTAATTGCTAGTACCGACTAGTGAAACTATTTGAGTGGTCTGTGGTTGTATTGTTCTAGGCTTGAAACATGTAGTACTTTCACCTCGGCCGACCGGCACGATTTTTTAAAAATGTAGGTTTCGATTTTGAGAAGATCTCAACCGTTCCTAACGGTTAAGTTTAAGCGAAATCGTTCATGAAAATTTATCACCTTTTAAAAACTATACAGTTAGCATAAAATTTTAAATGAGGGAAACTGTAGTCATGCAGTCAGATTAAAACGTCCCAAGAAGTTTCATTGCAACACAATGACTTCTCGAAAGACGGCTTGTCTAAAGAACAAGTGCAAAAGATGATAATCGTACTAAGAAAAGTAACTCTAAAAAACCGTTCCTCAAAATTTACTTTCACATGAAACCGTTGCCAGGTTTTCACGGTAGAGAAAACCTTTTTTCTGTATCGCGTTTAGAATGCTGTTGTACCAGATGACAGATGTCTTAATTCCACCTAAATATGCCTGCTCGAGAGTTATCCGCCGCTTCATTGGTTTCGTTCTATTTTGCGTTAGGATTTGGCTTGAAGGCATGCACTGCCCTCTGAACCAATGGGATGCAACACGGAAACTAAATGCGACTTCGTTAATCGCCTTTAATTTTTACTCGTACTTCAGAAATTCGCTTGTTTTCACTTTGAGCTCTCATTGGCTCCTTAACCTTTTAACCCTTAAGAGTGACTAGCATCTAATTTCTCCTTACATTATCTCCCCTGAATCATGCAGTAAGGTCATGAGAATAAGGAAAATTATCAGGAACAAAAGAAGCTGTTGATTGTTACACAAATTCTTCTTGTGGAGAATACCTTTACTGATGTTAGGGCGTAACGAGTTAACAAATTTACCTTTGTATTAATTTGGGTGCTACGACACAGGGTGCTTACCACCAGGCCGAGAAATCCGGAAAATTTCGAGTTGAGGTCAAATGGTAAGGTTACTTTCCGGAAATTCCGTTGGGAAATTTTGGAAGAAATATAGAGGTACTTCTCTTTTTTTTTTCTTCTTCGGGAGGAACGGCGGAAAATACTTTACCATTTGAATGAATCTTCGGTTTCCAGATTAGAGAGGGGTGAAACACCTGATAATGGTACGCGTAATCTCATCGGTCGAATTCGGAAAATCGCGCTCCATTATACAACGGTTACACCGACCGGATTTTCAATGTTAAAAAGACCCATGAACAATGAGCGCCCTAAACCAAATTTAAGTCGTTTCATTACTGGTTATTCAACTTTATTACAACTATCGTCATTTTTGTTCATCTTCACAAATATTATCCCCGTATACTACAAGCAAACTGAATTGCTGTGACGAGTTATCGCCTAAAGTGTTCACGCTATTATAACTTTTGAAGCCTAAGACGTTACGACGTAAACTAAAAAACCAAATGCTAGTGTCATAAAAATTAGAATGATTACTGATGCAGCACTGAACAGATGCCTGTAATTAAATAATCCGTACCAGCAGAGTATAAGAATAATTGCCAAGATAGGCAGGAAGAGCTTTGAAGGGTCCATTGAGAATATTAACCCTTCCTCATCTTGTCTACCCGAATGTTCCCCTGGTACCCTCTGTACATCAGATATTTGGGCGTGGATCACGGACTGATTGGCGACTCCATAAAAAGAGACTGGAGCAGAGTCATCTTGAAGAAGTTTTCCGTTGTATATGAGACGCACCCTCATCCCATTGTTAAGTTCATTCTGAAAACATAACCTGTAAGCAAAAGAGAATTAGAACAATTTTTAACTGAGTTTCGAGAAAGTTATCTAGGATTGCTTTATTTTCACGTCACTTGCTCTGTGATTGCTCCAGAAAACTTGCACCAATCTCTAAACCAATCACAATCAAAACTAAAACCAATCATGGCTTGGTCACCCATGTTTCCCCACGCTTTAAGCAATTTGGTAGGTTTTACTGTTAGATTTCATTGGCCCTTGACTCTTTAACTGCCAAGATCTCATTAGTAATTCTCCTTACTGTCTTCCAAATGATTCTCATCATGTAAGTTTGGAGAATTTGGTATTAGATCAATTAGTAATCCCATACTTGATATTTTTCTTCATTCTCATCACTTGTCTTCATAATATTGTATAGAAATAGTAAGGAGAAATTCTGTCTTGGTCACTCGTGGGAGTTAAATTTTACTTTACCTTTTCAATTCTCCAACTGCTATACTTCTATTTACAGATAAATTCCTTTGATTCTCCATGAATTTGACACGGATTGATATAGGTTCTTCAGTGGGACCTTGTTGGCCACCAGCATCAGATGTGCTTTGAGTCGGTCCTCTCTGGCGCACTCTGTCATTCTCTGGTTGTGACGCTGACCTATCATGAGTATCATCATATAGTGGTGTTGTTGTTGTTTGACTGAGTCCAATATTCTCTGAGTCAACCTCTTGTGCTGATCCTAATGTCAATTAAAAAAGGCAATATAAAAGGCAATATAAAACCAAAAAGGTTTAAATTAAATAATATCAATTTAATTCACAAACTTAAGAAAGTCTAAATCCCAAAAGCAACTTTATAATAATGAAATTTGAGAGGTTATTATTGGGAAATTCTTCTTGTAAAGTATCTGTTGATGTTAGTTTGAGAATTTGTTGATGGATTAACTATTAATCCCCTTATTAATATATTTTTCTTTATTCTTATCACATATCTGCATGGTACTGTACCTGATATTGTAAGGAGAAATTCTGTCTTGGTCACTCATGGGAGTGAAAGGGTTCATATTCTTAAATGCAACAACATCAAATGCTATTGACTGATTTAAAACAAAATATGCAAAAGCTGGAGGGGGGGTTAATTCTCTATGAGATTATATGTTTGGCTGCTATGTGCATGCATTTTGATTGGTTCTTACTTATGATCTATTGGAGGAGAGATGCATAGATGACATCACCATTAAACACATTTTGCTTCTTTATCATAAAAAAAACAAATAGATTCCATATTGTCATGGGTCTGTGCAGTAATGGATCAAAGAAGATGCAAAAATATAGTAAGAAATAACATAAACAACAAAGTAAGAAATAATTGTTCCAAGGAACCAAGGATAGTAACTGATATGCTAAATAAATTGGAGTGGCTATCTATTGAAGGAAGATGAATTCCCTCTTGATTATCGATGTTTTATTACATTGTTTATCATACTGTTGATATCAACAAAGATTCATATCTTACTCCTTTACCTTTGCACTTCAAGGAGTAGTAACTCCAAAACCTTCATAAGACCACATTCAAATTGCAATCGATATGCATACAGCTTTTTTCTGTGGTCAGTCAACCAATGGAATAGACTTGCAGGTGACATTGTAAATATAGATGATAATTTAAAATTTAAGGCCACTCTGCGCAACCATCTTATTGAAACTGGGAATTGGTTTTAAAAAATTTCTCATATCACATATATATCTTTATTACTAGTGTTTATTTATTACTTATTTATTTATTATTTTGTTGTATTTATATTGATGCGATGCGTTGATACACTTTATCAATTAATAGTAGAAGTAGAAGTAGAACATCAGTGACACACTCGATCAGCTGTGCCTCGCGTGGCACCTTTCTATTCTTGCCACATGTTGATGTCATCTGTGACCCAACTACTGAACAGAGGAATGGCAACATAAAATCTACTTGTAAAATCGATAATCGATCTTGGCAAGATTTCCGTATCGTCCCTTCTTTCATTAAGCATGCGGTTCGTTGATAAAAGAAAACAAAGGCAATAGACTACGACAAGTACTATGGCTTTGTTTAAAGTGGTTCGGGGTTATACGGAAATCTTTCTTCGATCTTCATCGCTTAGGCCTACACACCCTGCTGAACACCAGCTAGCAACTTGCAGTTGTGGCCTGCTGCTGCTTGGATGTTTAGGCGACGTGTACGCATATGGCGATAAGAAGTTGAAAGTGCAGGTGTAAATAAAATTTCCTACCTTGTTCTTGACTTGTGTTCTCATCGGCACGATCAGTAGGGTGAAAAGAACCACTTTGGTTAGGATCTGACGAAATGTTTGATTCAAATACATGTTCTGTTGCGGTGCGATTCGTTGCATTTGAATTATACACCAAGTGAACTAAAAGCATCGTCAAAAGAGTCGCCAGAACGCTAACCACGAAAAGAACTTCATTATCAATTCCTTCGATAATAGAAGGTGCCATTATTATGGCTTTTTAGGTATAGGATTGTGATAAAACCGAAAAAATTATAATAAGCTGTTCCGTTTAAAAATAAAACAAAAATTTCGCCCAACTTTTAACTACATAGGACATTTTGATCTAATCACATGACAAACTTCCTTTCCAAGTGTATGCTGGCTGGGAAGTCTAGTGCGGGCTCAAGCTGCGGACGTGCCAACCCCCGATCTGGACGCAAGGACGAACTGGTCTGCCATCAGAGTGTTAGCATTTGTCATAAAATCCAGGTTGGAAAATTTAAGAATGATGATCCTTAAGAACAATCGCTGTAGCGTGATTTCCTTTCCTGTAACTTCTGGACAGACTCGTTGCACGGGATGGGTTGTCGTTTTCTAAACCAGTCTAGAAAACTGTTTCACAAGATCGAAATTAATGGGTTATAATCTGTTCAGCTAAATTACATTTTAGCCTTTGATCTCTAAAATCAAGTACACCTCTCCTGATTTCTGATTATTGAAATATATTTCTACAAGGTATATTGAATAGGTCGTCGAGTTTCAAATCGTACAGGCCTTTCACGTTTGTATATGCATGAGCCTGGAACTCGAAAGAGCTCGATATTTTTGGTATGCAAATATTCTTCTGCATGACCTGCAAGTCTCCTTCGTTGCATTAGGATTACTTGGACGAAAACGGGTCTAAAGGAGGGGAATCGAGACTAAAGAGTCGGATGTAACGGTCCAAGAAAACCTGCCAGGGCATGGATCCCGTTGTACGCATATTAATGATTTGCGATCATGATGAATTATTAGCTCTGAGATAGTTTGAAAGGGGTAGTCTTAATTACTTTAATTAGCACTGGCCAAGGTTGTGTGGTCCATCTTGGTGACTCTGATCTCTCTTTGAAGTTTTGCTCATGGATGACAAGTTGTGATTTTACTTGACGAGAAAAATGAATCAACACATGAACACATATCTACAACAAGTTGTAAGAGTTCTTTCAGTTCAAAAGGGTATTAAAATCTGTACAAGCACATCACTGGAAATTATCTAATTTCCAATGAATCCCAGGAAATAAAAATCAATCATGGCTCTGAGAATCTGCTGATATTAAGACATTTAAATGGTCTTTAAATTACAGGTGATAAAGAACAGGACTGATAATGAATGTGGAACACGAAGTGAAACTTTTAGTGCAGGAAATGAAAAGACTTGGGAAACCAAATTCTGATGGCAAGATAACAGTCAAGTTTGGAGTGCTATTTAGTGATGATCGTTGTGCCAACATCTTTGAAGGTAAAGCAGACACATAAACTTTCTCCATACTCTTTCAAGTGAAGTGAATTTGTCTCAGCTGTTTTTTCATAAATTCTCACAGAAAGACTCCATTCTTATATTGTCTCATCACTCTCTCCCATTTCAATCAATCTTTCTCACAACATCCAGTAGACAAATAAATCATACTGCTTATTCACCTGAGTACAGGACAGTATACGTGTCTATGTTATTTCAATCTTATTTTATACTTTTACCCTTGTTAGATTATTGTCACCTTGATCTCCCCTGTCAGGTCCTGCTTCCTTCCAGAGAAAACTTTAGATTAAGTTAATTATCCAAGGAAAAGTGCAAACATGCCCTCATTTCCCAAACAGCCACAGCTGGAGACCTCACCCATGTTTAATAATTTTTTGTCATGATTGTATGAGATCATAACATCTTTAGAAAGATTTGAGCTCAGTATAAAAAAGTTCCCCAACATCACATAATATCTTCAATGTTCATGGTTATTTCTGAGTTTGACAGTTGAAATCCTTTTTTTTTCACAGCCCTAGTGGGAACTTTGAAAGCAGCTAAGAAGAAGAAGATTGTGACTTATGCAGGGGAATTACTTCTCCAAGGTGTACATGATGATGTGGACATTATACTGCTGGTGGATGAAGAATAGCCCAAATAAATCACTAAAAATATTTACAATTTTCAGGCAAAAGAATGGTTATTGATTTATTCACAAATTGAAAGGTTCTGAAATAGATTTTGTAACTTATCCTTTTGTAAAAATGAATTGTTTGTGATATTTGTCTTTATAACAGTCTGTTGATGACTCTGTTGTAAAGATGTGTATTTTACATTGTTAATTTTTGTAATAAAAATGTAATACAATCCTTTTTATTAAGGAAGTACTGAGTAATTTCATTTATTTTTCTCTGCATGTTGTTAACAAAATTCCCCCACTGAAACCTATCAACAAACCCTTGCATGAACCATTGTCTTAATTGAAGCAGTCGCTTATTTTCCTTTAAGAAACAATCCCCCCCTCCTGGCAGCCCATGGGCATTTTACTGTGTGGGGGGGGGGGGAAAAGAAGAGATGTCAAAGCTTCAAATTGATCAATGCATTGGTCAGACTGACCACCAAAACAAAATCAATGACTTAATTTAAGTAATAAATGAAACCTGTCAGATATGTTATGCTGAAAACTGTTGAACCCGAAGAAAATAATATCCTTTAATGAATGGTTGAAAATGTCAAGGTGAAGAAGAAAAAGGGGACAATTGATAATTGTATAATAATATTGATAATTGTTTAATAATATTGATAATTTATTTTGAATGGTATTTACATGTACCTTTCCCTTGCCAATAACAACATTTCTACCAACAAATTGTTTAAAAATCTATTGTCTATGAACAAATTACAAAGTGGTTTTGTTCTTAGTAGTAACATCAATCTCCTGGCACACTTCAAGTACAATCTTCCGTCTGGTTTTAAATTGTACTGTCATAAGCTAAATGCATTTTGACATTTAAGCCTGGGGTTTGATGCCATGTAAAAAAAGTCACTGAATGCCTCCTCTACAAATGAGCAGAACACAACACTTCATTCACATTATTTTCCACATTTATGAAGTTTCACCGCTGTTGCCAAAATTGTGTTAAATATTTGTAGCAGATTGTGGCTTATATTCATAAGCTAACACTATCATGGCAAGGTCAGATCTAACAAACCCTGTATGTAGGTCAAGTTGAAGTTCTCACACATAGACATCCCCAAAAAGGGAACTACCTGAAAGTGGAGTAACTTGCCTACTCACAAGGAAATGAGTGTTGCTTTTAGTTCCTGGCTCATTCATGTAGTGAGGCGTTTATGATGATCAGGTCACCCTTAAATCAGTAGCCCAACCTGGTGGTTTACTGTCATAACTAAAATATTCCTCAGCACTGCAGCTTGCTTCTGATGCCTCTTGGAAGTCACTCTCTCTATTTGGCTGTTGAGTTAGTTCAGTGTCAGTGTCGTCACTGTAAGGGTTTTCAAGAAGCTTTAGAACTCTTCGAACCTGGCAGTAAATTAAATGGTGATGACAATGTTAATAAAAGATGTTTTCAACTCAACCATTGACCAATTAACCCTTTTCACCCTAAAATCACTGCATATTCTCCATATTGCTCTCTATGCATCTCTTAACCTGCTTACAAGGAGACCTAGTTTAACAATCATGAGGTTCTTTAGTTGGTGATCATTTCCTTTATTCTTGCAAACTCCATGTTAGATTAAGGGGTGACATTGTAAGGAGAAATTGGATGCTAATCACTCTTAGGGTTGAATGGGTTAAGATGCTCTACCATGGAGCTACATGTAACTTACAGTGGTTGGGCCACTTAATATCCTTTATACTGCTAAAGATTTCAACATTTTCAGAAAATGAGAATGGTTTAATTGTAATCATCATGATAATTTATTCCTCTATCTTTAAAAAAAGTATATTTCCACTGTGCTTTATTGCTCTAAAAATCTGTTCTCCTTCAAGTTGGAGTGGGCTAAACTACCTTAATTACAATTGTATCGTTTTAAATTTCTCAGCTAGGTCTCAGCTAAGTATTTTTCATTCTGATAACAGCAGCTTTAATTTACCTCTGTAAAGTCTCCCTTCTCTGCTGCAGAAATGGCATTTTGAGCAATATAATTCCTGAGGATAAATCTGCAAGAAAAAATATGAATTATAAGAGAGCTGGCATGTAAAGAAATCATTGTAATGGAAACAGGAAGTAGGAGCCAAGTTAAACGAGGGCAGGAAAGGGTATGGCAGGGGGAGGGGGGAGAAGAGAAATGGGCAAACACATTGCCATGGAGAGTGGGAAAAAATGCCTTCATTTGTGGATGATACAAGCCATAAAGAGCAGGAGATCAGGAGATGGGAGTTAAAGGTACAGGAGACAAGGAAGCAAGGTATGTGGAGAAGGAGACTCTCATATACAACAAAATGATTTAAGGTTGGAAAATACATACACCTCAAGGTAGAAGCCACTAACAGTAGGGAAACAATCCTTGTTTCATATTGTTAACTTGTGAGAAATGAATAACTCTTTTTTCCCTGCAGGTCCTAAAACACAGCTGAATGACTCATTTGATATCCCTCTGGTAATAAAAGAAAGTCCAGGTTTACCTAGGATTATTAGATTTCATTGTTTCAATTCTCTCCTTGTTTGCCTATTAAGAAAATAAATGAATAAATAAAAAATTTTTAAAAAATTACAAGAATCAAAGGATAATTTGATAACTTGTGGAGCTTTAAACTTTCAACAAAATTGTGCATCAAATCAAAATGATAATCATGATAGTGTGAAAAAAATAATTATAGCTATCAATTTTACAAGTTAGATGAAATAAAAGCACAATACATTTTGCATGAACCTCAAAGGCAAAAAATTATCTCAATTTCTTCAATCACTTATGATTATTTACAACTTAAATGTTTCATACTTTCTCATGATCTGGTTCATTTTCAAAATCTGCATTAAGACGCAACCTGAAAATAAAAGAAAACAACCACAATTATGATTAGCAAAAGGTAATTACTTTTTAGTTAATTGTAATTATTACATTAACTCTTCTCCTTGCATCAGCAAGTACATGCACTTGTTAAACATTCAATTTTCCAAAATTCAGAGGGTAATGGACTAGTGTTAACTAAAGCACACTCTGTCCCTGACAAAAATGCATGGATTTGTGCCTTGGCCAGGGTCCTAATTACATTGAATATGTTGTGTTCTAAAAAAATACACTTGACTTTTATCATGCATCTCTAGTTCCACTCACTCAGTAGGATAAATAGGCACCAGTGGGTTGTCACAGAACACTATCAAACTGTTAGAAGGGGGATAGGGTGGATAGGGAGGGAGCAGGGTGGAATGGAATCAGGGTAGGATGAAGAGAGATGGGGTGAGGTGCCATCCAGGAACATATGTGCTTGTAGCTTTATTTGATATTATGATCATAGCCATTCAACTTCAGAATTTGTCTTAACTGTAAGTTCTAGCTTCATAATGCCCTTGTAGAAGTAATCCAATCCCTCAGTCTTGTCTCAAAGACATTTTTACTGAGTGTCAGTTACCATTCCAATTTCCTAACATTGTATCTGTCAGTAATAATTTCACTCCAAACTCTACTCTAATTTGTTAATTCATATTTGATCCTTATGCTAAACTTAAAAAATAATAATTTACTCTGTACCTGTATTGTTCAATCCAATCTTTCCACAGTTCCCTGTCTTTGCCTCTCTTTTCATCAGGTTTTAACTCCTAAAATAACAAATAAGCAAAAAAAATAAGTTATCAGTTTTAAGCAAATTAAATTATAACTAATTAATAAAATAAATAAAATTTTGACTCAAAGAAATTAAAATACTGGCCAGGGGTGAGTGGGGCATCTTACATTCATCTGCTGAACCCTCTCTCTCCTCTCCAGCTCCTTTTGAATCAAAGATGCTCCATTTCCTAATTGCTGCAGGAGACTGGGATTAGTCTGAAGAAGCATCATCAGCATCTGAAATTCCCTAATTTATAAAACAATTAGTTTCCAAAAGCTCCCTCTGCAGCAACAGCAAGCATAATCTGTAACATGGCTTAAGAAATGAACTATTATAAAAAATCTCCATTCAGAAGGAAATGTGTTCAGGAAAAAGTATAAAAAGTTCTAGAGAGCTGAAAAATCTCAAATCAGTAACAACCCTTACAGCTCAAATTTGAGTGAAAACAATCCCATAAGCAATGGCTTTTTTTTTAAGAAACAAAAAGGATTACTTAATGTGATAAAAGTACCTAAACATACCTTGCTCCAAGGAATGGCTTTGAAGTTTTTTTCAAGTCATCTACTGTTTGACACTGGGACAATAGGTACTCCAGAACATTTTCATCACTAAGTAAAAAGAATTGATAAGGAACATTAAATTTCAGATGGACAATCCAAGCTAGCATGGATTGGCTGCAAGGTAAAAGGAAAAAAAACCTAATATCATGAGTTACAGGAGCTACAAGGTATACAATCACAAATAGCATCCATGTCCCTAACTACTTGGAGACAGTGAGAACCTACCTGTCATCGCCTTCAGTACTACTTAGCAATGAGATTCTGTGGAGGCATCTAAAACAATTGGTAAAATCAGCACCTGGAGAGAGAAAAAATAAATATTGAAACAATTTCAAGTTTTGTTTCCCAGAAACCTTCTAAAACAAATTAATTCTCTCTATGTTAATTAACCGAAAAATAAAATGTTTTGTGACCTGTCTTGTGCATAGTTTCCAAAAGACTTTTCACCAGATCCCTGTGAAGCAATTTGAGATATCAACTTAAGTAAAAAGTATGCATGGTTACTGGCAGTAACTGACACTATTTATACTTGGTGATCATCAAGATGTCTGAAATCTGATTATTCAAGCATTACATCATATCTTAACCATCCACTGCAATAAGATTTGAAAACGATGCAATCATTCCTAAAAATGGCCAGTTTTCAAGAAGAAGCATACATTTACCTCATTAAATGAAATAACATACAGTATGTTACTCTTGACTAGGAATCACCTGTTGTGAGCTATCAGCAAGAAGTATGATAATTCTTCTCAAGCTCAATCAATAAAGATGAATTACCATTTGACAATATTACATTTATGTTAAACTCAGAGCTACACAAACATAATTTAATGTTAAGAAAATTATGCAGTGGAAGTGCAATGTGAATATTTCTTACCATCAGTAGTAGACATAAATAAATCAAAAGAAATTTAATTAATAACAAGTACTTACTCATCCTCTGGTAGCTCTCTTTTCAATAAGCCAAGCTAAAAAAAAATTAACAGGTGAATTGGTTTCAAACATGCTACCTGGGATGTTCAGTCCACATTTTCCATTCTTGTTCTCGTCACTTAAAAATACATAAACCCTTTAAATGCTAAGAGTGATCAGCATCTAATTTCTCCTTACAGTAATACTGCTAAACCATTCATTAAGATCATGAGAATAAAGGATATGATCACCAACATCAGAAGCTTTGATCATCAAATGGATTCTTCTTTTCAGAACCAAAAGAAACATATGGAGAAGAGTATGAAGAAATAGATATGAACCTACCTTTAGTCTCATTTTATTCATATAGGTTTGCTTGTACTCCACATCATAGCTGGAAAATGATTCATTAACAATATAAGTGTGAGAGTTAAATTCACATGAAATGGAAAAAATTCTAAATGATACAATGAAGCAAAATAAACATTTGACTGTCTCTTATATGTATGTTCAATACTTACATCTCTTCCACAGCAGCCTTTGACCTTTCCAAAGGAAGTGCGTCTTTAATAGCCTCTCCTAACTTGAACAAATTCCACTTGCAGATCTCAGGTTGAGCCTCATAGCAATACCTGCCTTGGTCATCTATCATAAGAAATTTTAAAAAATCCTGAATGATAAGCTTTCTATTCTCCTCGACTACAAGCAGTCCTTCCTTTTCAGGAGAGTCTGAAGCACGAGTAAAAACAAAAATCCATGAGAAAAATTGATGTTAGTGGGCTGCATGGAACTATGGGAGTGAGGTGTAAGAAAATAATTCTATGCAGCACATGTACATCTTTTTTTTTTTATTTTTTTTTACTTATGTGAATACAAATACAAAGTAATACCTGATGCATTGCAGACATGCTTAGGATCATAATGATCCATAAATCCGAATGGACCATAATCAATTGTCAAACCAAGAATACTCATGTTATCTGTGTTAAGCACCCTGGGAAGAAAATGATGAGATTCTTTTCAGGTAGATAGAAGATAAACATGAAAAGTAAACTTTAAGACTTGGCGTTGACAAAAAATCACCCTTACCCATGACAAAATCCTACACACTGCCACAGAGCCACAAGCCTCGCAGTAAGCCTAACAACTTCTGTGAAGAAAGCAAAGTATGTCTCCTCTGTGTCATCTGTGACCACCTATGGAAAAAAAAGTGTGACAAACTTAGCATAAAGTCTCTGCTAAGCTCACCCTAGGTGGTGAGTGGTATCCAACAGTTAATATCACTCACCAACATCACTCCACAAGATTAAATAACAAATTTGTTCAAACTTCTAACAACCTATTAAGATAAACCCTTAAACTCTCACGATCTAATAATCAACTCTCCTCTCTATCTGCTACACATTTCCTTGAAAATTAATTTCAAGAAATTGTTGAAGGTCAAGATGACAAGTTCCACCTAAAAAGTTTGAGTATTCTTATTACATGTTTGCTGGATAATGTATGAATACTGTAGGGAGAAGTTACATGTTAATCACCCAAGATAATCAAGTGACTATACCTGTGGGAAAAATGTTTGAACTGTATAATCAAGAAGCTGAGTAAGAATATCTGTACGTCCCTCACTTGGGCCTTTACGTCCAGTCATTGGGTCTGTTGGTTTAAATATCTCAAACGAGCCAAACCTTCCAATCAAATGAAATTAAAATAAGATAAGCATGTAACCCAGGTGACAAACATCTTTAACAACTTGATAAGTATTTTAAAAAACCAAGACAGTTTGAACTCTGCACAAACACACTTATTTAACATTACCTGATAAATGTTGGGGCAATCCTTAGAATAATGGTACATCTTTCTCTGATAGGGTTTCCATCATAAAATATGTCTCTGATTATCCTTGTATCGGAAGTCACACAGCTACCAGCTGCAAGTAAATAGATATCAGTTCCATAAATTAGATAAACAAAAACTTAACCTGAAATGATTTACCCCTCTCCCTTTTAAGCTTCATAATGAAATTATCAAGAAAAAAAAGGATCACAAAAACGGTTAAAAGACTCTCACATTACCTCTTGTGGTTGGAATTCCTAAAAAGTACATTGCCTACATAAATACAAAAGAACATTTCAATACTGACTTGATTAAAACAATTTTTACTACATCACATTAAGACTAATAAAAATTTTGTGGTAATACCCTTTTTAAACATTTGTTTTTTTTTTAGAGGGCTTATGCTACTGACAACAGTAATGTATGTTTCCAGCTATATTCAATAATGAAAGAATTGTTCAAGACATTTCACAATTATTTGTTAGTAATAATAGTATTGTTCATTATTACTACACAGTAATAATGTTTTTACATTTTCTCAAAAATCAGGTCTGTTCTTGCATGACAAGCAGCAAGAAAACTCTAATAATTACAAAAACTATTCTTTGAGTGGCAATACATGTATATCATCACGTAATAATAAATTAAAGTTGTAAAATTTTCATTATTTATATGTCATCACCTCACTACAAAGAAATTCTCGTATGCTGGATCGCAGCACTTTTCTACCATCTGCCTGTCTGGAATATGGCGTGAGACCAGCACCCTTGAACTGCATCTCCCACCTTTCTCCTCTCCCATTCACCACCTCACCAAGATACCTGAAATACAGAAATAATAAAATAAAGCAAAGACCAAACATTAAAGAATGGATTACATAGTTAATAAACAAACAGACGGACTAAAGGATATACAGACGAAACAACTAGGAATGAAAAACATCGCAGGAATAAGTCAACAAAACAATTAATCTCATGTAAAACTGCAAATTTTGGTGAAAATCTCTCATACATCACTCTGGCTGAATTTCTGTCCCCATGATCAGTCCCACAAATTTGTAGCTACACTATGGTACCAAATCTCTCGCAGAGACAAAGATTAACCATGCCACACAAGACACATTGTAAATAACTTTGACTTGTCCTTTGGACATGTCAAGGGCAACTTGTATAGGCAGTTAAAATTTAAGGAAAGGCTTGATGATTTGGGCCCTGTCAGTGTGAATTATTGGCAAGTACACATACCTGCCTTTCTTTGAGTTTGCATTGGAATGTTTACAGAAATTGTGAACATTTAATAAATCAATTACAAAGTATAATAAAGGAAAACCAATACAATCCCAGATTACACTCTACACTTGATAGAAAATTACATAACAGATAAAGTGTGTCTCACTATTAAGAATCACAAATAATTGATTAAGATATTTTGCTGATCTTAGCTATTAATAAATAGTTAGGGGGACTGAATAATACAAGTTCATATATGTAATATGGTGATTTGTATGTTGTTATTTGTTTATCTTGGTATAACTTGTATTTGGTAATTGTAAGCCTTGTTAATGTTATAGATGCTGTTCCCTCAGTGTTCAATTTTAGTCATGGCCTCTATGAACAGGGTTCATACCCTTTTTCAGAAACATTTATTTCAAAAGCTTTTCCAGGACTCAGATTTTCCAGGACCTCTAGTCTATTTCCAGGACTTTCTGGTCCTGGAAAATGTCAAAATAAGATTCCAGGACTTTCCAAGTTTTCAAGGACCTGCACAAACCCTCTATAAACTCTTTTATGTCTTCAACTTTCAGGAATGTGAAAGAATTGCTAAATTTCTCTATAAGCTTGAAATTCAACAGGCATAGAGTACATAATTATAGAGTGTTACCAACCCTCATCTAACAGATCATCTAAATCTAACAATGTAAGCCCATAACCGCCAACCCCCTGCCTCATACCCTTAAAAAAAACTTGATTACATCATCCGACAGGCGGTGTTTTTGAGGTCATGTTATTCTGATTAATATCTCAACTTACATAGTCGCCCCATCCCCTAGCTGACCAGAAAAATATCCGAACTGATGACCGCAATAGCAATGAGCTGATGGTTCCGCGCCAGGTAATATCTTATTTCCACTGAAAAATTCTGCGAAGTCATCTCGCTGTAACTCATCTTCTGATAAATCCAACAGAGACATTGCACTGCTAGAAAAAGCCACCGTTGAGGGATTTTCCACCGGAGTTGGCTCAACACGAGAGAAACATGCTCCTGAAACCTGCCTTACGTAATTTTTCAGCTCCTGGTCAATTGGCAACGACCTCAGCGCTAAGTTGTCCATGTGAAGAGTTTCCAAAGTTGCCATTTTGCGTCCAAATTTCAATGATCTCTCTGGGCTTGTGGAAATAAAATGCTTCAAATACGAGGTCAAGGTAGAGCAACAAGTTTTCCCTCGATGAACATAACTACAATTATTAAAAACACAAGATGACAACAATTTTCGTGGTAAAATGTAGCAACTCATGGACTAGACATCGGTTTGTTTTGTTAGAATGGCTGATGGTTCTGGTCGGTCGGAAATAAATCGTTTATGATCGGAAGAAAGCGTTATATTTCCGATTATCATCGGTAATTGCCGTGTCAAATGAGAGGGGTTGGTAACAAGGATTGAAAGCGTGACTTCAGTAAGTCCGCATGCTGCATCAAACAGGCTTGTTCGTTTCGAGTTGCTCTGTGGATATACCTTACAAAAATGGGTGAAGTCAAGTAAGAATATAGCTTTACCAACCAGTTTTGTTTTGGTATGCAAGAGTGCTAAATATTTTTTGATTCTGATGCTTCAGCACACTTTCTCCGTCGACGAAATGGGCACAGCGAAAAGACAAAATCTTCCTTACGATCGAACTGGCCGATTGTCAAAACCCAGACATAGTCCTCAAATCCGATACTTTACATTTCAGGTAAGGCGTTAGCTGTTAAAATTTTATTTGTTGTGGTTTAAAGTGTTCGTTAGGTAGCCGACTGATCGTGGTCTTTCCTCCCGACTGAAGGAAAAATTATCGTAAATTGTCCAGCGCAAAATTAGAGCAATTTATGTAGCTGCATTTTGTGATCATAGGTTGTCGCTTGAGCTTACTAAACAGCTTCAAGCCGGTAATTTCGTACTTTTGTCCATATTCGGTACAATAATCTAACTGTTATGATCCTACATCCACAGTTCTAAAGGAGGAAAAGATCAAAAAACATATACGTTGAATCTAGAATTCTACGGCGAGGTTGACCCAGGGGTAAGATAAGACTATGGTAGTTGTCACTCCAATATAATTAAGTTCTAAGTTATTAAATTTCACGTAGCTTCACTGTTTCCAAGAATTTGGGTGTGATGGACCTTATAAGGAAAACTCCAAAGTTTTGTGAGCAGTGGTAATAAGCAACAAATTCGAAGCTTAATTAAGTTTGTTACCTCTTTCTAGCTCTGTAAGTGATGCATATTCTCAGGAACAGCTTCCAACGTAAATACCCCCAAGGGATTGTCATGTCTAAAGGGAGATTTTCCATTTATATCTGACATTAAGTTGGGTAAGAATGTTCAGAATTGGTGGACAGTAATATTTTCATCATTGTGACTTCTACTTCAGAAATCAAAACAGAATATAACTGCAAGGGAGCTCTCTTTTTCTATCGCAAAGAAAGAGGAAGGTCCCTATTGGCCAAAACTTCTCAAAGATGCAAAGAAGGTGAGCTTAAAATAGTTCAGTTACAGATCACAATATATACGAACATTTGGTTAGAGCAACAGAATTCCTTTTTGTTTGTGGTATGTTGGCCTTTATTTTTCACTAAACTCGTGTTGATGTTCTATGTGATCCCTGTGTGAGCCCTGTAGCACTTTTCCAGCATGGAATCTGCTTGCTAAGTATAAAAATTAAAAAGACTAACAAATTCCAGTAGCAGTGGTGTCATCAATATAGGTTTGTCCTGTAATAGATCTATTCTAAGTTGTTGAAGGAGAATAATGGATAACAGATGATGCTTTAGCGCAGTGCATTTTGTTAACACTTAACCACTGGATAGTGTTACCCACCCTTTGACCAACTGGTCCCAGAAGTTGAAACTTATCAAATTCATAGCTCTTGCTCAGACATATGAAAAAGAAAAGAAAAGCTGACAGAGATTCCTTTCGCAAAAAATGCATGGGCCTTAACCTTTTAACCCTTAGAGTGACTAGCAATTCTTTGCTTGTAAAAGCATTACTGCTTAACCCTTTAACTCCCAGAAGTGAATAACATAAAACTTCTCCCTACAATATCCATACGTGCTTCAGCAAACAGGTAGTGAGAATATTCAAACTTATCAGGTAGAAGCTGCCATCTCAATCTAGCACCAAGATCTCATAAATAATTTACAAGGAAATGTGTAGCAGCTACGGGGGAGAATTAACAATCAGATCTTGGGAGTTAAAGGGTTAATTAGACTTTTAATGATGGAAATAATTGCCAACAAAACAAAATCTTGATTGTTAAACAAATCCTCCTTATAAGACAATTAGAAAAATATAGAGAACAGTGTGGAGAAGATACATACTGATGCCAGGGTATAATAGGTTAAGGTGTCGTGTGACTGTAGAAAACTGCCATAGACCTACTTAAAAATGGTTTGAGTGGAATGTAAGGATCTAGATGTGGAGAATTTTAAAAATTGCTTTGCAATACTGGGTAATGGACTTGGGAATAAAAAAAACTTGCGAATAAAAAATTATGATGATAGTAAAGATCATGGCGATGAAGTTTACTTTTTAAACAAAATTAGATATCAAAATTAGATATCAAAATTAGATATCAAAATTAGATATCAAAATTAGATATCAAAACTAGATACTAGCCACAAGGCAACCAATCTGATCTATCTAGCACTAGAATCTATCATGTCTGTCAAAATAACTTGAGTATAGAGAAACTTTATTTTTGCCTTGTGATTCCTATTAAACATTTTGATGGTCTTGCAGCCAAGTTTTCTTCATACTGATTTTAACAAATGGAGAGATGAGGATGACTCAGAGGAAGAAGACACAGGAATGGATGATGATTTTGAAGCTGTAAGTTACAATAGCACCAAGTCAAACATACATCTGATGTGTGTCTGTTCAGTAACAGATCACAGATGACATCAAAATGTGGTAAGAAGAAAAATAGTGACTCAAGGCACACGGCCTAGTGTGTCACATTTTGATATCTTCTGTGATCTATCAATACTTTGTGGACCCACAGCAACATGAAATGCTTTGTTTTGTATGATTATAGAGAAAAATGCTGTTAATGGTGAGGTCGTTTAATTTAAAAGATTCAATATTTTTGTTTGGTTCAATTCACAGATGATGAGTAAGATGGGAGGACATGGTGCAGGTGCAGGTGCAGAGGTAAAGTTAGAAGGATTTATAATTAGTTTTTTTTTTTATTTGAAAAAGGAAGCATTCAAGCTGAAATATTTTTGCAACCACACAAAGAGCATAGTGAATCAAAACTGAATGAATTCAGAATCATTTTCAGATTTACACTCTGCTACATACTTATTTAATTGGCATTGTTGTTCTTTAGAGCTTTGATCCAGGAGATGTAGATGGGTCAGAAGACAGCGACGATGAAGGTGATTCTTTTGTTCCTTCTTCATAGCATAATTTGTTGTTCGGAAGAAATTTCTCAACCCTTTCACTCCAAGGTGGGAGGTGCGGTGCAGTGGCTTAGCTAATGATTGGTGAAGAGGTCTGGGTTTACGACCTAGGGGCTGTTTCTTGAAGGTTCCAGTAACTTAATGGGCCTGTAAAGCTGTTCAATTTTCCTTCAAGAGGTTTGAAAATTCTTCAATAAAACTAAAAGTTAAAGAAAGGAAATGGACTAGTTACAGTGCCAGAACCTGCATCTCTAATCTTTGAAATTTGATCTCAAAGTATGACTTTAGGCCCATTGAGTTACTGGGACCCTCGGCCAGGTTATTGTGTCATGTTATTCGGCAATGAGACTTTTATTGTGTCTCTCTCCACTCAGAGGTATAAATGGGTACTGGCAAATTGTCAGGGAAGCCTGATGGAATGCTGGAGGGTGTAAGTTAACTTGGGATGGATTACCATTCCTTTCAATGGGATTACTCATACTTCTGGTTACTTCATGTTACTGAATTGTGATGAGATCCAATTGGATGGGCCACTTTTGCTTGATAAAAAATTTAATCTTTCACTCCCATGAGCTGCTGAAAAGGAGTTTATCATCACAGTAACCATAGATTGTCAAGCACAAGCTGATGAGAAAAATTAGAAAGAAAAAAAGGCAGGGAAAATGGGTGACTGCTCAAGGGTGGATTGACTGTATATGCACATGGTCATGAGAAACTTATCCTAACAATGACCATTTTCATATTTCAGAACTACCAGACTTGGAGAGCTGAGAACGATTTAGTTTGACTGTATAGAGAATTTAAATAGTTCCTGAGGAGATGGCCCTATCATCTAACCGCTTGTAGTGGCATGTTCTCATTTCATGCTGCTGTGATTTTGCTCCTCAGTGGGACATGAGTCCATTGCTTTTACCAGTTGTTTAAAATGCAGTCCATGTCAGAAATAAATGTGTTGCTTGTTATTAAAGAGTATTGCTCTTGTTAAAACAAGTCCCTTGTTTGCAACTTAGTACTCTCTATCCTCTGAAACTATTCACAATGTTTCCTCAGGTTGTTGATATTCATTGCAAAATGTAGCATTAGTGCAATTTGGAATAAATAAGCACGAGTAAATTTTTTTAAAGACCAACAAAATTGCACAAGCCCGTAGGGCGAGTGCAATTTGTGGTCTTTGAAAAAATTAACAATTGCTTGTTTATTCCAAATTGCACGAGAAAAATCATGTGATTACGTGTTAATAATATACATGGTAAAATACAAGATGGTCTATCATAATTAAACATAAGCAAAGTGCGCTAATCAAGTGCAAAAAATAATTTATTCAAACCGTGCGTTTGGTCAAAACAACTGTGTACAATCAAAACAATAATATGCAATGACATCTTCACATCTTTAAGGTGCAAAAAAGTTCAAAGTCCGGCTAAGCAGTTAAAGGAATTGTTCAGTCTGTGTCCGAATCACTTTTGATGAAATGGAATTGTCGTTTCCGAGGTTTAACCATGTTTGTTTTAAATTTTGGCGTTGAATCGCTCAAGCAAAGTGTTAAGCTGGGTCAGCTCGTAATTTTCGATTTCCTCAGCAATTCCCTGCTCTAAACACCACTTTTTCCAAACGGACAACCAAAAAACAGTGCTTTTTACAATGTTTTTGTTGTTTAAGCTGTTTTTCAGCTGCGGTGGTGAGAGAAAACCTACTTAAAACACCGGCCATTGTTTCGCTCACAAATTTTCAAATTTTGTTGCAACATCTAAGGCTCGCATTTGATTGGCTATCTGCGAGTTTCTTTGATTATTGACCAATCAGAATGTCTGATTTGTTTCTTTCTTTGCACTGAATTAACCCTCTTCTGCACTGAATCAACTCTCTTCTGCACTGAATTACCTGAAAACTGCATTTGTTATGACCAATCAAAACTGAGTAATTTTTCCATGTATATTATTATAATCCATAAATTTTTTTGCTTTAACTCAATTGGTCTAAATGCATCTTGTGACTGAATATGCTCCTGCTAAAACTGAGGAATATCTGATGGTGTTCCTTCAGAGATTCCTAGTTTTCAAAATTTGAGTCAATTACGGATAAAATATTCAAAACTTAATTCAAGACGAGGGCATTTTGTTGCTGTTACAGAAGGAATATACTTGTTTGTTTGAAAAGTTGTACCTTAAACATTGAAAAGTGGGCATTCCACGCAATACTTAAAAAGCTTTGACAGTTAGGAGAAAGTACAGGGGATCAGAATTGTGCACATTACAGCTGGGTAGGTGGGGAATTAAAACTTTGTAAGCTTTATGAAGGGGCTAAGCAGTTGACATGTATCTTGGGAATGGAGTGTTGTAAGTTTAGTGAAGTCTGAAAATTTACACAAATTCTTGTCATTTTATTTTCTGAAAATATATCATTGTGAAGCAACAGCTGGAAATCTTTCATGATCACAATTTTCAAAGATTGCAATAGATACAGAGCTCCTTTGCTTCTTGACTTTGTGGTGAAGCCCCTTGAAATGAAAAAGCACTCAAACAAACAAAAAAAGCACATAAACAAAGCTGACAATTGTGGTTCTGAAGCATGTAACTAGCAGTAAGATGAATGCAAAGTATTCTTTCTGAAATAATTTTCTTGTACCCTTTATCTCTGGTAATAGTTGACAAAAAGTGTAACATTTTGTAGAACCAGCTGCACAAAGAAATGTACAGTTACTCCAACCTTTTTTAGTTAATTTTGTCATGACAATAATGGGTTCCATGTATATGTTGCTGATGTCTTAGTAGAGTCCAACAAACTTAAATTATAAAATAACTGAGAAACAATAGGCAGCCTAGTTGGTCAGAATACTATCCTTTATTGCACCTTTAAAAATTGAAGTTAGGAAAGTTTGCTCATCACTTGTCTCTGGCTTGTGATCTACAAACCTTCTCATGTTCTTCCAGCAATCTGTGGGTTATTACACCAGCCAACCAATAGCCAATAGTACTGTTCATTGCTTATAAAAAAGTACTTGATATTTCTCTATGTAAATTAAATTAACTTATTATTTTACTTTCCAAAAAGAAGTTGTGGCCTGTGTTACTGTAACTACTCACCAGACCATTACACTTCTTTTAAGTTCATTTCAATTAATTATTGACATCCAGGCATTTTAATATCCACATACTTTGACATTTGTATCGAGAAAAACTTTCTGATTTCTGAAATTGTACTTGACAACAGCACCACATTTTCATTCTCCTTTCTTTGACAATTTTAAAGTGATAAGATGAAGAAGATGCTGTTGCTCAGGATCAAGGTAAGTCCATAGTTCTTTCTCTAGCTCTTTAAGAGCATCCACATCATGCAACTGACATACCATCACCACTGACTGAAGCAACAGGAAGAGATCTTTATTCATGTAATCCACAGGGTTTTCAGCAGGATCTGAATCCTCTGAGTACTTCTCAAGTATTTGAGCATGCTGAGGACGAATTCGCTGTGGTGTTGGTTGAAGTAACATTAACAGAAGAATACGTCCAATCTCACAGTGGGCTAAAATCTCTTGGTATGGTCCCTTTAACTTTCCCTTTTGGCTCATGGTTCCTCTTTCTTCTGCATGGTAAGCCATTTCAGTTAATACTGACAAGGCACCATCAAAATCACCTGTGTTAAGCAAATAATGAAACAGAATTAAGATTCAAGTGAACCTTTCAAAATAGTTACTTGTGTAACTGATGGTAAAGTTTTGCCTGCATACATATAAATTTTTTATTTTCCAGGAAATGAGAGCAACTGTTAAACCTTTTTTGTTGACCATTTTTACAAACATTTTAACAAATTATTCAATGAGCATATGTTCCCACAAAGTCTAGTATGATTATTGAGGCCATAGCCTTTGGAAAAGAGGTGTACTTGTCCTACAAGATATCCAATCCCCCATACTATACTTTTTAAACTTGCCTGTATCAATTTTACATGAGGCTACCAAAGTCATTGACTGCAGGGCATCAATGGGATTCTGATGCTGTAACTCAGCAGCATGTTGATAATGGACCATAGCTTCATGGGGCCGGTTCATATGTCTCAAGGCATCGCCTATTTCTAGGCACAAACAAGCTCCTAGCGCTGAATTACCCTGGGCACAGTGAGTTTTAATAGCCTGATTGAAGAGATGTATAGCTTCAGTCAAGTGTTCCTCGAACGCTGGACACCTTAACTCCACGGAATTTTTCTCTGCTTCTAAAAACAGACGTGCAGCTTCAGTAAGCGCCTCGACTTCCCCCGTTCCATTAGAAAGCGTATTTTCACATCTCGCCTTGGCAAGACTACAGAAACCAGCATATTGTGGACAGTCCTGTCGTTTCAACTCCTTTGCAAGAGCACCAAACTGACCACTTGCCTCAGAGACATTAGGTTTTTTCAGAAAACGCCTTTTTAGCTTCGCAGTAATCGCACGGTATTGTCCTATCACGTCAAATTCACGATCCATTGCTAAGTTATCACAAATCTCTAACTTAAAAAGTCAGCCATCATGTTGATTATTACTTTACCCGTAGGCCTTTGCGTGATATTTATAACTGTATACTTGGCCCCAGTTTTAACGCGTCCATTATGGCGGAGATGTACACTACTTTCTTGCGTTGTATCTGTTCTTTTCTACACAAATCTGTGACTGTGTAGGATTGTTATTCGCATTATTATTTTTTGAGAATAAATCACATGGAGGAGCCAAAGCCACTAACATCGAGGAAAAGAAAACGACACGAGTAAGTGCCTCTAATTCACCTCAACAGCGTAGTAAACTCGATACCACACGTGGTCGATTGAACAAGAAATAGGAGAATGTAACTTGGGGTAAAGAATGGCAATTAGATTCAGGAATAACGCTCATTGTCATGTGGTCCAATGATATGATTATTAAAGGATACGCATAATCATATAGGTAGCCAAGTATTTTAACCTGATTTCATGTATATTCTCATACAATTATTTGTTTTTGATAACAGTTGGTGGGCCAAACATAGACCAAAGGAAGGAAAAGTTCTGAAGAAATCTGGTACGCTACGTAGGCTCTTGTTTCTTTCTTGTTACCCTTTGTACTTTGCTCAATTTTTTTAGAACCAGCATTTTGTTACTGCAGCTTTTACATTGCCATTGAAGTTAATTTACAGAAGAATCAAACTGGTATTACGTCTGGTTACAGCTTTCTTGATGATGATCATTGTTAAATTTTGACATAATTTCCACAACTGTATGTAATTAAGTGGTCTTCATTTTTACAATGAAGGATTTCATCCCTTAAAAGTACATACTAAGGTGATATTGCCATCATCATTGGTCCACAAATCCTTTGCCATATTCAGCACTGACACAATGATTATGATGACAATAGCAATTTTATGATTAAAGTTTCCTTCCAGATGTAGTGCAGGTTACCTGAGACAATTGTGTAAAGATGTATGTTTTTCTCTTTTTTTGTATGTTCATCTCTACCTATTCATATTATTAACTTAAATTAATTATTTATATATTAATAACTTTATCTTTTAGACAAAACAGATAAGCCAGTTAAGACCCCAGAGAAAAAGAAACAAACTTCTGAAGCAACTGGAGAAGAAAATGAACAAGCTATTGATAAACTTGATAGTAAAGACAAGAACAAAAGATACATACTTTTTATTGGTAGGTGTAATGAAGCTGTAATTTAACTTAAATACAGGCATGCTATTCAATTGATAATCTTTCAATAAGTGTACTCCAATGTTTTTAATATTTATTGAGCAAGTCAACAATTGGCATCATACACTTCTGACTACATGGTACATGTAGCTACATCTTGTGACAACAATATTTGTGATTAAATTTGTACAACAAGTAACTTTGCCCTTTGTTGCTGTGAGTATGTTCTTACCAGCAACAGAAATAGCCATGACTTCACTAAAATTCATCTATGACTTGGACATAATTAGTTATAATGTTTTTTCATTCCTCAATTGTCTCAAAAGGAAACCTTCCCTTCTCAGTGAAAGAGGAACAAGTTAAGAATCATTTTAGATGCACAGGTAATTTAATAATATTTATTTGGTCACAGATTCAAATGGAACTTACTGTTTTGAGACAGGGTGGTGTGTTTTTTTTTTAACTGTTGATGATATAATTTTTAACTTGATAGGTTTTTTTTTTTTTGATCAGCAGCCTTATGTGGTGTGAAAGTTTTTGGATCAATATCAGTATCCGGGCAACTGCCCACCTACCCCTCCCCTAACTCAACAACAGTCAATTGACAACAAGTTAAGGTTAATGTTGGGTTAGGGAAGGGGTAGGTGGGCAGTTGCCCAGATAATGATATTCTTATTCTTATTCAAGGAGGGCCCTGAGTGAAGCAGAAAAATATTTTCATCACAGCAGACAAAAGTGTGCAAGTATTAGTGATAATAAACAGCTATTCTGTCTGTTTGTCAATAGATAACATTACAGAATTTCGACTCATGACCAAGAAGAGTGGAGAGTCTAAGGGATGTGGATTTATTGAATTTGGTGACAAGGCTAGTTACTGGGTGAGTGAAATTACTTCCATTGTTTGACATCCTTCTGATGTATTACATGTTATGATTATAGTGATTTAATATGCAGTTACATCAGTCATTTTGATTGGTTAATATTTTCTTGCATTTGTTTCTTTTTGAGCGTCTTTTGTTTTAGATTCCTCACTATGTAAATTACAGTTTGGTTTTCTGTAATAAACCTCTAAAAATAGAGACTTGAAGGAGTTCCTTTTATTAAGGCACATCTTAATGATCTTTTTAACTTGAACTCTTGGGAAAATGAGCTAACATTCTCCAAACTTTGCCCTTTACTTTACCCTTAACAAGTATCCATACTTAATATTATCAAAGGTTAAATTTTATATTATTCCTCTACAGAAAGCACTGAATTTACATCACAGTGTTCTTGCTGGAAGAAAGATAAATGTAGAGGTAACATGTGGAGGTGGAGGTAAAGGAGAAAACAGAGTGAAAAAACTGCAACAACGTAAATTAAAGTTTCAGCAAGGAAGGAAAAGAAGGTCAACAACTTCTACAAAAGTCAAATCAAAACAGAACGATGATACAAGCTGTAATACATAGACTTGAATTATATTTATTTCATAATAAAAAGAAACTTCTTGTTCAGTTATGTCTAATATTGTTTAGTTTTATCTTTTTTCTCTGAAAATGAATTCAAAAAAGGAATTAAATTTACTAGTTTTATTTTTTATTAATTTTTTTTTTGTAACAAACCCAAACAACATATTAATTTGCATGAATCATATAGCCAATATAGTGAAAATAAAATTAAAAAATTAATCTTTGTACTGATCTGTAAAAATATCATTTGTCCCTGTAGAGCCCAAGAATTCTTATTGCAATTTTATTTATAATTCTTTTAGGGTCATGTTGAGTTGTTTGTGGCTGTGAGATTGTGAGAAGAGGGCTTATTAAAATTCATTCTTTTAGAGATTCCTTTTGATTTGTATATCAAGCCCCATCTGTCATCCAAAGGGTGTTTTTTGTTTAATTCTCTGGAAACTTTTTACTCTTCTCTTTTATTCTCTTATTACCAAACACAAATGCCCACATTGCAGATGTGTGCCAAATTACTTTACCAACAGAAGCATTCCAGAACATTTGGTTCAAATTGTTTTGTGAGACGGCGCAAAAACCCATAACAAGTTCTTGGAACATTTCCATGTTTCCCCCTAAATCATGGAACACCATTCCTCTCAACAGGGAATTGAAGCATGTAAGAAAAGTTTAAAACTCATATTTTTGAAGGATTCTTAACAGCCCCATAATTGATCAAGATTCAGCTGTATTTAAATCATCTGCTTGTGTAAGATTTTTAGTACCTGTAAAACTATTTGTCAAATGCTGTGGATAATTATTGGATATGGCACTGAAGAAGAGGGGCTGGTCACTACACACATCCTAGCATTTTACACACAGAGAGGATTGGTGGAGGGAAATCATGCCATATGTAACAGGTTGTTTTATTGTTAGATCCATTGGTTAATTGCCAAAGTAGATAATTGAATTTGACAGAAACCAGTTAAAGGCACTTCTGATTTTGCTCAAATGAAACACAATGTTAAGCTAATGTTACAATAAATAACAATTTATAAGAAATAAAACATCAAGATAAAAAAGTAAGGAAAATGAGATTTGGTAGTAATCACCAGAAACTTGATCAATGTGCATATTAAAAGAAAAGTGAAAAGGGTGAGGCAATTGGGAAAATCATTGATTTTTTTAAAGGGGCTAGAGAGATAAATGCCCCTCTTTCGTGACAAACCAGAAAATAATGACTCAGTCAAATTAGGCCCATTAAATTGCCTTAAAATGACATTTGTCGATCAGGTTTGATTGGCATCGGGAAAGTATCGGTAATCGACTTATCGCGTCTGTTTGTCATAACAACACCTGTGAGGCGTCACGTGACCGGCAATGCGATAACAAGAAAATGGCGTCAGAGGAAAGTTTGCTTTTCTGTGTTCCTGAATTTTCTTCCCAAGTTTTCTCAGGGCTACACAGCCTTAGAAAAGATGGGAAGCTCTGCGACATTCAACTTGGTGTAGGTGATTTCCATTTGAAGTCTCATCGTGTGGTTTTAGCTGCTGCGAGTAGCTATTTTAATGCCATGTTTACTGGAGACATGAAAGAAAGTCGTCAAGATGAAGTCATCTTGTTCGGCGTGGAATTTTCAGCTTTAGAGGATCTGGTGAATTTCTGCTACACAGGAAGGATTGAAATCAACGTAGATAATGTGCAGAATTTACTATGTGCCTCCAACCTGCTGCAGTTGGCGAGTGTAAAGCAAGCGTGCGTTGAGTTTCTCCACCGCGTTCTTCATCCGACAAATTGCCTCGGTATCCGGTCTTTCGCTGATACATATTCTTGCATAGATCTCGTCAAAGCAGCTGATGTTTTTGCTGTGAAAAACTTCTCTGAGGTTGCAAGGAGTGAAGAATTCTTGAGCTTGGCCCCCGAGGCGGTGGTGGAGATGATTTCGCGGGAAGAATTAAATGTCCGCACAGAAGAAGAAGTTTTTGAAGCAATTTCAGCTTGGGTGAGAAGAGAAGAAGACGAGCGCAAAGATTTCCTTCCAGAATTACTCAAGAACGTGAGACTGCCTTTGATTAGCCCGCAGTATCTATGCGACAAAGTCTCCAGCGACGAGCTGATAAAGAGTAATTTAGCATGCCGTGACTTGATAGACGAAGCTAAGGACTACCTCCTCATGCCTGAGAGGAGATGTAAGCTTCAGTCGATCCGCACGAAACCAAGGCGTTGCAGTGAAGCTGCATGTCTGATTTATGCTATTGGCGGCCTGACTTCCTCTGGGGAGGCTCTTAGCACCGTGGAAACGTACGATACTTTGACCGGACAATGGTTGCCTGGCTTACCTATGAGCACGTTGCGTACCCGTGTTGGAGTAGCTGTCCTTGATAAAAAGCTGTATGCCCTTGGTGGATTTGATGGCCACAAGCGACTGAGCACAGTGGAATGTTTTGATCCACAGTTTCAAACATGGAAGGCAGTTGCTCCCATGAATACACGTCGCAGTGCTCTTGGTGCAGTGGTAGTAAGCGGAGGGATTTACGTTGTAGGTGGGTATGATGGTCACATCTCACTGAGCACAGTAGAGTGCTATTCTTCTGCAGTCAACAGCTGGAAGTTTGTAGCCCCAATGGGGACACTCCGCAGTGCTGCTGGTGTCACAGAGTTGAACGGAAAGATTTTTGCCATTGGTGGACACAATGGCTTATCAATATTTAACACAGTGGAAGTGTACAACCCACAAACCAACACATGGGTGCAGAGTCCGCCAATGAGTGTTCGTAGATGTAGAGTTGGTGTTGCCACTTTAAATGGCCGCATCTATGTGTGTGGAGGGTATGACGGCAGTTGCTTTCTCAACACTGTTGAGTGTTTTGACCCTGAGACTGGGCAATGGACCTTTGTAGCCCCCATGAATACTCGCCGCAGTAGGGTAGCTGTGGTGACTCTAGGAGGAAGGTTGTATGCGATTGGAGGCTACGATGGCTTGTCAAACCTTAATACTGTGGAGTGCTTTGATGTACTGAGCAATAGATGGACCCCTGTGGCATCCATGGGCATGCACCAAGGAGGTGTTGGAGTGGGAGTGCTTCCTAGAGGACCATTTTCTTAGGAGATGGTGCAAAAAAAATCCCTTTTTTAAAAGAGAGAATTGCACCTTAAAGAACAAATCTCTTGGCAGATTGGTAGTCAACATTCCTTTCAGAAGAAATCAGTAAATTCATTGGAATAACTTTAAAAGTTATTATTTGCCATGCAAAGGGGATTTAAAGGTTAAAATTAATATCATTTTACACATCATGTACTCGCTTATAATTATATTGCTTCACTTTTTGAAAGTGAAATAAGATTCCCTTGGTAAGTTTGTTATGAGCTTGGGTATTTTCATCTAATCTAAAACTGCAGGTAATTTCACAATTCATTACAGGTACTCCAATTAAATAAAATCATTATTTATTTTTGGCTAGGACTTGCTTTGGAAGCTTCCCCTATGTCATGATGGAGTTTAATAAAAATTTAAGTATAAAAATTTTTTTGTTCTTTATGAAGTTGAATTGAATTCGTCATCAGTATATATGAATAAGATTGTTAATCATCTCAGTTTACACAGAGGATTGGTTGGTTAGCAATAAAATTTAATTTTGTCACAACAATTTTTAATTAGTTTTTATGAATACTTTGTTAGGTGGCCTTGAACTGAAAAATAACTTTACTGGGATCATTAGAAAAGATGACAGTGAACTAAAAAGGATACTGGAGCAATAAGAAAGGATAGTACTGAGGTCAAATAAATATTTGTGTAAAATCAAGAAACTGAAATATATTTATTCAGTCATTTATAATTCACAAGATTTACACATAATTTATGCTAATTATTCATAGTTTGTTAGATATGTAGTTTGAAATTATGCTAAAAATACCAGTTATTTCCAAGTTAGGAATTTGTGTATTTATTAAAATTTTCACCAGGAAAGCTTGTTTAATTTAAAGGGCCATTTTCATTAATCAGCAGTTTACCTTTCTTATTCTACTTTGGAAGAAAGAGACTTGTCCATCTGATGTGTTCAAGACATGAACAATAAAATTAAAAATGGATCTATATTTAACTTGCTTTAAAAGGACAACCATTCTGAACATGCTTTGCAGGCTGGTATGCTCCAAGAAATATATTCAACTGTATCATTCAATATGCAAGGATAAAAGTTTGTTAAATCATGACAATGTTGAACTTGCATACACGTCTTTGAGGAGATGCATAGTAACCAAATTTTGCACTTAATGTCAGGATGTTCTTGAAATACATTGAGTATGAATTGAGAACATCTTTTTTCTTATGGCAAAGTTCAAATGGTTTATAATTAATATCTAAATGTATTTTCACTTGAATAAACCAATATTTGGGAAGCATTTAAACTTTGTGTAACATTTTATATCTTCTGTTTGCAAGTGGACTTTCATTGATGCGTGGAAATAAAATAATGTGGTTTTCAGAAGAAGTTGGCACCCTGGAAGTTTTTATGATCTTTGCCATTAGCTTTCACTAGATAATGAAGTAAAAGTAGACAATTTTCATTACATGATCTCTCCAGCTGAATCAATCCTCTCTTAACTTGAGCCATTTTATCTAGAATTTGACTGTTACTGTATTGTAGGGTGCACAGTTGACCCAAATTGTCACTGTGGAAGGTTAAGTCATGTTGTTTTAGAACACCTTTTAAGGAACAAACTCAACAACCAAAAGAAAAGCATGCAAAAGTTGGTTAGTTAAACAAGGGCTTTAAATACTTCAATTTGGAATCTTCTGAAAAAATGAACATTCCCACATTGAAGTTAACAGACTATTGCATCTTTCAAATTAATCTCCTCCACATTAAATAGTTATCTAATGGAATATTAAAAGGTGTCTTCCAAGTTAATACATAGGAATTTGACTGATAACTAAGATATCAAGATCTCTGCAGCATAATTATGGTTTGTTTCAGCCCAGAATCACTTGGAATCAATGAGAGCAGTTCTCATCTGAATATCTTGCATATAGCACTGCAGAGAAAGAAAGGGTACAAATTTCTAAAATTTCAAGTGTGGTCAAACATTTTAATTTCCATAATAAGAAAAATAATCATTTAATGTTTTACATAGTTTCTATAAAATTATTTAGTACATATTTTTATATTGTACTCTGCTTGCTAACAAACTTTTTACCTCATTACTAAACCCAAGAAATACTTCTTAAAAGCAGAGAAGAAATTTCCGAATAGCTGAGATTCTTTACTTTCAACATGTTCAATGAAAACTGTACAGCCATTTTTGACCTCTTTGTGAGGAAAACTGCCTACATTCAACTCAAAACTAAGAAGAGGATGGGCAACAGGAGCATTTGCAAACTTCTCACCCTGATTAAAAGATGATTTTTCATATCCTGACAATTGATCAGTTAATTTATCTTTGCTTAAACTTTTGTTGTTTTCATTGTCTTGTTTCTGAGGCTGAAGGGACCTGCGCCGTTCTCTTCTACAATGGGTCCACGTATTTTCAAAAGCTTTGCAAACAGCTGAAAACTCATGGTCATATATTTTTTCTCTCTCTGATTTCCTGGCTTCATTTCTAGTGTCACTGCAACCTGCACCAGAGATATGCCCAGAAAGCTGGGGCACCACTGATGTTTTGACATCCTGGGTTTTCCCAGACACACCGGATTCTGCTGCACCAGAGCAGGGTACCTTAGTGGAACATTTTACTTCACATTGAAATCCATACTCTCTCTCTAACGTCTCAAGAACAAACACAAAGACTGCATGGGGTGTACTCAGGTTGTTAACACAACCTGTGTCTGTTGCCTGAGAACTGTTGTTTTGATACTGAACAAAGAAATCATGGCGATGAGAATGCTTCCTCCTCTTAGGAGATTTACAAACTGTGAAAAGGTTCAAGAGTTTATTTCCAGAGGAATTTGGATTATCAACACTGTTATTCAAATCCTGGCAAATCATGTGAGCCATCTTCATTAATTCAATCATGTTTTTCAGTGTTTCCATAGTAGTATTCTGTGTCAAGTTATGCACAAGCTCAAAGGGATCCTGGACACACAAAGGGGCAATCTTAAACTCTAGTCGTTTCCCAAACCTTGGACTGGTGTGAGCACATTCCGAGACTGAATTTGGCATTGCGTTCTGCTGCTTAATGGTTTCTTTTGTCATCCTGTTAGCATCCTTACTATCATCATTCTTTGTTGACTTTGTTTTACATACTTGATCACTATCAGCTGTGATCATTGAAATGTTGCCATTAGTTTCTGTACATGGTGTAACCTTTAACTCTTCCAACACTGATGCAATACTTGTCTTTTTGCCTGTCTTGATGCTGACCACACAATTAGCAAAGTCAAATTCAGTTGAAAAGAAGCAAAAGAACTCTTCCAATAGCTGAACTGTTGAAGAGGCAAAATAGAGAGGTTAACAAGGTAATTCTACTGTCAAGTGTCTCCTTTAGGTGGATGAGCAAAGGAATCATTAGATATATTATATACATTGCAGAGTTTTCTCTTAAAAGATTCAACACTGCTGGCTACTGTCAGAGTGTCAACAACTATTTTCAACTGATTATGAGTTTTGAAGATCTGTAGGCCAGCAACTCACAATTTTAATGAAAATGATAAACTAAATGCAATGTTTTGATTCCCTTTCAAGCTTATAGTTTGAAAGCTGTCAAAAATTGAATATGAAAATAAAATTTCCAGGAGCTTTGCAAACTAGTATTTTGATGACCATCTCCAATTGTATTAAGAAGGGTTACATGTAAACAGTACAATAATAATATCATGTGTAACTAACCATGGATTTAAAAAATATTACTATCATATTTCTTTCTGTCACTGTAAGTCCATGGTAGATGGTTTCTCACATGGGAAAAACAATAAAATAAAACTCCACCCAGTTAAGTTGACAAGAAGCCAAATAATATTGACTGGATCTGAAAACTGACTACTTCAAAACATCTGAATACAACTGGAATAAGCAAAAGATCACATGAAGTTTACTTACTCAGACTTTTGGTATTCTGTGAAGGGGAAAGTTTGGCAACATCTGTGAAAAATGAACAGTTCCAGCTGTCAATAAATTCTGAACTAGGCTCTTTCATATCAAATGAATGTGACTGCTCTCTGATCCATGCATCAAATCTACATTGTAGTGAAGGGATAACCGGTGGATGTTGCATTTGCAAGAAGTGCAGCACCATCAGAGTCAAGGCATAGTTTGACAGCTGTCTACTAGCTGTTAAAGCTTGAGCTTTAGCCCAGGCTCTCACTATGAACACCAGCTGAGGAATCCTGGGATCAAGGGAAATGTAGATGCGAAGGAGCTCTGAGTTTCTTACACCAAGCCTGTTGAGAAATCATTGGTATTATCAGTGACATGACTTGATGATGCTGTAACTTTTGTTCTGATTATCCGGATTTATAAGGGCTGTACTAAAATAGGACTGTTGTTATTTGTCACTGTGACAGACTTTTTCTCAACAGGAGAGGAAGTCATAAATCAAGTCAAGACAGAGAGAAAGTCAAAGTAAATTTTTTACAATAGATTTTACAATGGAAAAATTTGGCGTATGAATTGAGAACCAATTTCTAATGGTAAATACTTGGCTCATGTTAGAGAATCCTGTTGTACATTCCAGTCTATACTGATCACTAAGTATGCATGCACACATATAGCTCTTCTGTGAAGAAACTCGATCACAACTTATTATAAGGTTTTCCCTGACCCTTAAGAACACATCAAATAGCTACATTTCATACATAAAATTTGAATAAGCAATTGTGCATAGATAAGGCCATTATACATAGATAACACCATTATCATGAACATCACCACAATAATTGTCACAAGACTTGTCATCATAAACGCTATCATCATCATCATTCGTGATCTATATCCTATCAGCACCTAAATGGCACTGAGAACTACAAGAACATTTATCCCATAAGGCAGCAGTACAGTTCCTGTTTATAAATTAGTTTTAAGAGAGGCCTTAAGCTACTGTTGCATACAAGCTTTTGCTGTTCCGCAGCATTGTTAGATGATAGATCAGGGAAAGCTTGGAAGCTTATTTCTAATGCTGCAGTTATAATAGCTTAATGCCTCAGTCAAAACCATAATATAATTATGAAACTGGTGCTACTGAAGGACAACATACAACCATTATAATAGTACCTGTTGTTTACTGATAGGTCACATGACAATCCAGAGGGCAGATGTGTGAATTTGATTAAAGGACATTTAGCAGTCAAGACTGGTATGACGTTTGTGCAGCCGGGAGCAAAACTACGCAGTGCATCAACAACTAAAGAGTAATCAACAACAGCATCATCAACTTCAGACATCAGTAAACACAGATCCAAGTCACTTCCCTTCCATCCCACTCCACTAACAGTTGAGCCAAACGGCACCACAGAGGCTCCTGGATAAACTTCACTCAACACCTCTTGTAGCAGCTGACAAACTAAACGTCTTAATTTGATGTCTTCATCAGTGAGACACAATTGCTGCATCAAAAGATTCACTTGCTCATCTACCTGACAGTGTAAATGCAAGCCAGTTATACAGTGTAATGAAACAATGAGACCTAACATGTGAGTTGTTTCTCTCCTGTGGCTATCATACAGTTATTCAATATATCAAGTAGTTATTAGAGGGTTTGAGGTTATAGACAATATACACATGTGTTGGATAGTTTACATTTTAAGTGCTCCAGGGATTTTAAAATCCATGATCAAAAATTTTGGTAGATCAGTGTTGACACTAAGCACCAGCTACTGGTGAAACTGATGAAATGAAAAAGTGGCAATCACTGGCCAGATTTGTAGCTGAGGATCACTCATTAAAGTGCAAAGGGCAAGTATTATTTGGTTGTATCTAAATTAAAATAGCAAGGTACATGTAGAACTCATCTAGTGTTTCCACATACTGTCATCAATGAATTCAGTTTGACAATGAGATCCTTAGATAAAAAGTTTGCCATCTCTTTGCTTCCCAAACGCCCATGATGGTGTTGCTCAGGGTCATCATGACCCCGCTTTTTGGGTTTTTGTATTTTAAATTGATCGCTTGTTTTAGCTACTGTCCTTTCTTTCACTGTTAAGTGTTTTTTATGCAGAGGTGGTAATGACTGCAGTTGACTCAGCACTTTTGTAACACTTTCTTCACTGTCAAACTCCACTATTGCAAAAACACCCTGGAAACAAAAGAAATTAAGACAAATTTTCATTTACCATCCAATTATCAAGCATTATGGTTCACAAGGGAGAGTTTTATCATAACCCAATATTTTTTACTTAATATTTTATATTTTACTGCTAGCACTCATTTGAAATAATAGCTGTTTCCTAAGAATTCCCTCCTATTTATAACAATAGAAGCTTAGAATGACGTACATTCATTGCCCTGATCAAAAACAACAAGAAAACAATAATTTTATCAAATTATTAAGCAACTTCCACATTTCTGATAAACTTGAAATATGACTTGCAATCAAAAAGCTTGCTGGGAGCCATTTCAAGGAATTTTAAAATAAAATAAAATCTCTTTCCTGGATGTAAACATCACAAACGAAAAAACATCAGGCCTCCCACAGGATTAACAAGAGAATTTTCTGGAATCCAACCCTTCCAAAATAATCATTTATGAAATTAATTTGTTTATTCATTTCAAGCTTGGATTCCCTCAAATGGCTATAGATGTCACCCTGCCTTTTCTTTTTACTACACAAGTATGTCTTCACCAATTAGATCATTCTGTTTAAAGCCTACAAGTGACCAGCTTGTAATTTTTTCTTTAAATCAGTCAATAAGTTCATGAGGATGATGGAAATGATTGCCAATCTATGCATGTGCAGCTTTGATTCTCCTTGTCAGCAAAGAAAATGCATAGAGTGGAGTATGGAGGATATGGACACTGATATTCAGGTGTAAAGGGTTAAAATACCTTATCTTTATCCAAGAATATGTTTGAGACTTTTCCATACACGCTAAAGTATTTTCCTAAATCTTCTTCTATGGATCCTGAGTTTTGAAAGCCTCGAACATAAATGCTCCTCCTTGAAGAAGATTCTCTTTCTTGTTTTAACTTCAGTAACCTTTGATGTTTTTTGCCATTGTTGTGGGTTTGGAGAAGCAAAGCTAAGAAATTAATTGTAGAAAAATAAGTGACAAAATGAAAAGAATTTGTTACATGTACTATATAAAATGTCAGTCCTTTCGATTCTGCATTTCTTAAGATAAGGTTACAATACGAATCAAACTTGAAATATAATTCAGCTTGAGGAGTTTTGCTAGATCTGGAGCTGCAGACCTGTATAGTAAATTAATTAGAACTTGCATAAAAAAGTGAAAATCGTTTATGTAAGGAATTGAAACTTAACCCTTTGCTGACCCCTTAGAGCGACACGTATATTTCTTACAATATTACCCCTAATTAAAAAATTAAGGTCACAAGACTAAAGAAAATTATCACCAACTTAAGGAGCTCTTGATTTTTAAACCAATTCCCCATGTAAGTACCTCGAGAGATGTATAGAGAACAGCATGGAGAATATTTATACTGATGCTAGAGTGTAGAGGTTTAATAAGACGAACGACCCGAATTTCGCGAATTTTACTTCCAAGATAAAAGCTCCACAGCTTACGAGCAAAGACGAGACTTGATTCCTCACTGACGCTTACAGAAATAGAAATTCAAATCCGTCAATGAGTGAATTCTGACTGATAATACAGACGCAGTTAAAACGTGGAAAGCCGTGCAAAAATTTTAAAGGAACTGTGGTGCTGCGTCGTTGGGGGAGTATAACAAGATAATTTTGGTGTTATCAACTGAGTTGACAATGTAAATTGGCCACCGTTAAGAGTTTCAAAGCTGACGTCTCTAGCGTTGGCCCTTCGTCAGAGCGAACAACACAAGAAGGATGAAATCTTTGACTATAAAAGAATTAAGCTTTTATTCATGGCATGCAAGGTTGTCCTCACCTGAAGGCAAAGTTACTCCACAAACATCACAGAAAACTTGCTTTCCTTTTATCTCACCCGCTTCCGCCATATTTTCTTTAAATAACGCGGGCTCTGGTAACGAAGGCTTATCGGACTACTCGATCCAGTCTATTCTCGTCGTTTGCTTTGAACGCCTGACTGTTTTAAACTTTGCTCTGATTCTCTACAACACGTACTCGGTAGTTCTCAAACATGACTACCAATTTGTGCTCTGTTAGGAAAGTTAATGCGTGTGCTGAGAAGGGTAACAAATACTGGCGATTTTCAACCACTTCGACCTGTTCTTTAAAGAGACGGAGAAGGGAGGAATATCAGAGCTTTCCACGAAAATCGGCGAAGAAACGTCGAAATACTCAAAACGCTCGTGTTCAACAGAAGCCCAGCAGGACTTCAAAAAGCTACGATAGAGCAAAGAGAAAGCAAAAGCTGCTTAAAAGAGATGAGAACTCACGAAAGCGTGAAACTTACAGGAAAAGTCAGGCAGCCAAAGAAAGAGGTAACTTTCCAACTTGCCAGGCGCTTAATCGACTTGACCGACAGTGTAAATCAAAGGCTCTTGACCAGAGCGACTTCTGCAAAATTCATCAGTTTCATGACAGCACCTCTGGACAGGTTCAGTGTCTGGGAATTAACAAACGATTCAAACAATGTATTAAAAGCATTCCAATAGATGAGAAATATTGTAAATTTCACATGAGTAAGAAACAGTCTCAGCTTAAATTGATTTCTTTCAAAAAATAAAATAAAAAGGCAGTTTTGTTCAGGCAGAGGACACCTTTCACTTTTTGCCCTACGAAGAAAATGAAAAAGACATCTTTTGACTCATCCACCCGTCGCTGTTAACGATTGAGTTACATGGTAACTGGAAAGTTGTACTGGTATGAAAATGCCAGGAAATGTCGGGGATAGTTGAAATTGTACGGATTCTAAAAACATTTGCTCAACGTTCTACTTCTCGTTATCATTTTTTCTTGAGTTCTCTCTCACCAGCTAGCGTTTACCCCAACAAAACTAAATGATCTGGCTCCGGTTGTTCGAAGGTTGGATAACGATATCCATCGGTTAATCTCTATCCGGTGGATAGCGCGGTACGTTTAGCTAACACATCTGCTGGATAGCGATGTATCTGATGGATAACCTTATCCGCCCTTTGAATAACTGGGCCCTGGTCAGAGTTTGAACATAGATAAAAAGATAACTTTATTCAGTTAAACACGGTAAAATCCCTCAGCACAATCTAAGAGTATGAAATATTTAATTCTGTCCAGCTAAACTAAATAACAAGAACCAGGACATCTCGATCCCAATTCCAGAGCGGGACTAAAAGGAACACTGGGTCTTCCACACCCGCATAATTCAACTAAAGAAAAACTTAAAAGGAGGCATGTGCTCCAAAAACCAAATCCAGAACCTTTTGACATTTTCGAATGAATAGATGAAATCTTGACAAAAACAAAAGTGACAAATTGTCCTCCAGTGTGCTAGAAATTCGACCACTTATTTTAAATCTTGCTTACACCGGTTTTTTTCCCTCTCTAGGTGAACTCTTTCAAGGTAAAAAGGAGTTATCAAAACACTTTCTTGACTGAAACATTGATTTACTTTCTCTGCGATAACCAGACAAGCGACTGATAGCGAACAGCGCGTTGTAGTTTTGAGTTCAAACAGGTAGCTGATTATTTTTTAAAATATAAATGTAAATACAAAAACAATCGAGGTTTACCTAGAATGTTTACATTTAAATTATTGTACCTCTATGAAACGAACCACAAAAACTGTCACGGGTCACGAGCTACGTTAAGAAAACAAAAAGGCGGTGGTTGTGATCTATTTTCTCTCAGTCACACGCGAGATAACAATATCTCCTTTCTCTCTGCCATACATCTCGTGCGATATAACTTCAGAGAATTTGGTATTCAATCAAACGGTTTCTCCAGGCAGATAGTTTTCATTTTTTGCATCACCTGTCTTACTGAATATCTATTCATTTTGTTAGTCAGTCTTGAGAACGAAGCGGCTAAAACTTAACACCACGAAACTCGTGGTAAATTAACGATGACATAAAGTGTTCGTTTTCGTATGGTCATCTGACATTAAAAACGTGTTTTACTAAATGCGCATTATTTCACTTTTAAAAAGCGGGTGTATGATATAAAAAGAGATGTCACAGTCATAGATATAACTTTGTCGTAGCAATTTTTCCGAGAGCTTTGAGAAGGACACATTTGTCGCAAGGAGATCACTCATTACAATGTCGATTGAAGACAGATCAATGGGCGCTTTGAAAGAGGTAAAGAGTGTTGATTTCTGTGTCTATGTCTGCTCTATCCGCATACCGGCGAGTTTATTCATTCAGTTACAAATACTTACATGGTCCCAACTTTTCTTTAGTAAAAATTACTCCCGTAAACATTTATTTACATTTTAAATTTAAGATTTAAAACAAGTAAAATGATAAAAACAATCGATGGGTTATTTCAAAAAACTAGCTGATGGCTTGAATAATTCCCCTAAATCTGAACAGCTTTCAACTACTATACGATCGGGGTCTGTTGAGGAAAGAACATTGGACTGGTTGAGAAAAGTAAGAAATAAATCTCGCTTCATCTCACGCATTTCCGAGTCAAATTAAATCGAAATAAGGTCATTTAACGATGGAGTTATTTGGGGTTTTTTTTTTTCATTCGATGGCTTGGTGGAATTTTTTTTTTTGTTATGAATCAAGTTTTAATATGCGAAACCAAAAGTTATGACGCCACCTTGTTTACGAATCTTTGAAAGAATTAAACGGAGAACTACAACGTTATAATTTTGGTTTCAGGAAGTTCATAGCCTCTTTATAGAAAGGAAAATAATATTAAGTTATTAATAAATTAAGTGCTTCTGATATGTAATATGGCGTATTTTCCTTGTAGATCATGAATTCGTTCGTAAACAAAGTTCGTATAACAAAAGTCATTTTCGTGACTACTCTCACCTTGACAATAAAGTGTAAACCAACTGGCAAGTGAGATCATTTCAGTTTTATCGAGAGTTAGCCCTTCGTTTAGAATGTCACCAGCCCTTCGATCTGACGAAGGCTAATCTTTATTACTGCAGAAAATACATATGTTATTTATAGGCCGTAGGCCCCGAGCAGCATTTTCAAGACCTCGGTCACAGTTTTTCACCATAAAGACCGACCCTTAGCCGGTAAATGACATATATTTTTTTAAAATTTAACGAAATTCTTTCCGAAAGAACCCGATTGATATAGGGCTGTAAATACCGCAAGACCTTCCATAAACTGAACAATTTTTGAGCGAGTAAAGGGTAGTTAAAATAGAGGTGATATAAATTAAAGAGAGATACTTCACCGAAACATTTTCATTTACATAATGATAAAGGTGATTTAAAAGGCTTCCAAAAAGACTTTGAAACATTATTTTTTCAAGTCTGTTACAATCTGACACCTGTCAATAAGAGAGCGCGTAAGAAAAAAAAGCGCATGTACACTTTTGAAAAAAAAACCGAACTAGTTTGGCAAGGACTGTCACGACAATGATTTCTTCAAAAAAAGTCAATGATCTTACGGAAAGTATTATTCACTCTAGTCGACGATGGATTCATGTAAGAAGCTTTACCTCTGTTGATGAAGTAAATTGCGAGGAAAGTAATTGTAAGTAAATTCAAATTTTTTTATTTTGAAGTTGTGAGAGTTTGTTCGTGTGTTTGCTGAAATGGCGTGTGTAAATGTGGTCTTTGCTCCACAAAAACTGAATTCGAATGAGACACTTCAACGAGACTCAAGGGGATTTAATGCAGCCTTTCCTCATTGAATTCCTTCAGTTTCTGTTGTACAATTTATGGTACAAATGTCCGAATTGAACGGACTTGGAAAGACTAACCGAGAGCGTGTATTTGTTGTAGAACTGAAAACTTCGCTCGCACTTTTAATACGAACAAATTGTTTGAGGGAATTCAGATATTTAATGAATGACAGTTCCATCGATAAATTCAATTGTAACCAAATACCTCACGTTTTAACTTTCTAGGTACTTTTTGTGAAGGATTGAAATTAATTACAAACAAGTTTTAAGCCGCTTGTCAATCAATTTAATGTATCTTTAGCTTATACATATTAATTTCGAAACCTATATTTTCCTGTTCACCAAAGTAATTTGAGAGGGAGAAAAGAGAGGATTAATAAGTTAGTGATCGGCCGGAAAAAACGAGATATAATTATGAAAAATGGCAACGAAGGTAGGAATGTACTCGGCGACTCACGAAAGCGTTACCGTTGCCCGAAGGCAGAGATAGGAAAATACAGATTGCGCAAAGAAACAATCAGATTGCAAGATTCGTTACCGTGCCCTCTGAGAAAAAAATAAATTGGGATATCATGTCGAGTTCAAATTCTGCCTAGTTTCCAAGCCCCCCCGTCCATGTGGTGCTCCCTGAGAGAGAAAAGGTGCCCCTTTATCAACCGGTGATTGTATTCATTGACAATGTCCAGTATGCGACAGCCCGCCTACAGAAATACATGTAAATTCGCAGAATGAACTTTCATTGAGCGTAGCATTCCAATTGCCTTTTACCTATGGCTTACATTCTTTCACCAACTGTACATAGTATGTTGTCTATTGTCCATAGTCTATAAATTTCCGTTTCCATTATTCGTTGTTGCAGGAAGGCACTACTGCAGTCATAGATGGAAGTGACTATGAATGGCGCCCAAGTACAAGGCTTTATTCAATGAATGAGGACGGCGGTGCCAAAGGTCACTACTTGTACGTCGATGAGAACGGTTCGTTGAAAGCAGATGGAGGAGAAAATAGCGCAAGTGAGTAAAAGAAGGGGAAATAGTTTTTAGGAGATTACTCGTCAAAAAATATCGTCCTTCCCTCAAGTTTGCAGAAATATCCGCATGTGAACTTTTAGGGGTGTTTCTTGGATTAGGGCTGTTAACCGGCAAAGATGAAAAATTCGTATCGCTTATAAATACAGAGAGAAAAAACGGGGAATTACTTGGTTTTGGTTATGGCATTTCTCGCGGCTGAGAACGGGAAATTGGCATCTGGAATGTTTGACAAAGGCTGTGATCTTCAAGATCACGGCAAGTTGCTGCGGTGGCGGTGGCCTCATGGTTAGTGCGCTCAAATCCGGATCGGGTGGTCCGGGTTCGAGCCCTGGCTGGGGTCATTGTGTTGTGTTCTTAGGCAAGACACTTTACTCTCACAGTGCTTCTCTTCACCCAGGTGTAAAATGGGTACCAGCAAATATGCTGGGGGTAACCCTGCGATGGACTAGCATCCCATCCAGGGGGGAGTAGCAATACTCCTAGCCGCTTCGTGCTAAGAAAACCGGAGTTAAGCACCGGCCCCATGAGCCACTTGGGCCCGTATAAAGGCTTACCTTACTTACTATTAATATTATTGTTATTATAATCAGCATAAGGTTTGTCAATATTATTCATATACTTTTGAAAGCGTGTTCTTGGAGCTCCGTTAAGCCGGATTGTAGCAATAACCAGTGAATCGCCAACTAACGTGTGATTCATGAAGGGCAATGAATATCAGTGTTTTGTATACCATGATGGCTCTCTATTATATGCTACAGGTACTTTCACAGTCTACACTTTCTTGGAAGATGCTGATTTAGTTATGTTGGAGGTCGAAGATTTTGAGGATGCTACTGAGAAAGTTGTGGCTGTAGATACAAACACTGACACTGTCATTGTAAAGGTGCGTAACTGAAACGATTACAGTCGGCTAGAAATTTCATTATCTCTCGTCCACTGATCGATGAGATTTAAAAATTTTAAATGAAATACAACCGTTTGTCTCTCGATGAACTCCATTCCAATGTGGATGGCGGTGTTTTGACGGCATACTGCGAGTCTTCTTCAGGCCGGCGATGTACAAGGTGACGCCTATTCAGTCGCCTATGAAATGATTAAACTGTGAGACAAACGATTGTAATTCCCCACAAATACGATCAATAACGATAAGCTTTTCTACAATGTCAACTTTTTTAAATGATATGGAAGATCAGTAAAACTTACATGTCATCATGATCACAATTATCATCTGTCTGACATCTGTTTCAACACTTCAACTGCCAGGAAATATTAACATTTCAACTCTCTTCACAATATCATTAAATTATCTAGATCTTTCGCTTATGCATGATTTAAAACTGATTGAGTTACGTAGTGACTGTAACTGGCATTGATAAAATTAAATTGCTCAAGTTTTAATCCAATGTAGACTTTCAAAATGAAGAAGAGAATTACAGCGTTCTAACGTCAATTCTTGCGCATAATTTCTCAGGGCTCAAAATGCTCTGATTTTGTACTTTATGTGTTATCTATTCTGACAGGCTCTCCCCTCAGGGACTTTAGGACGGTTGAATAAATCGAAGAAGGCCAAAAGTTCCCAGCCTGACATTCTGTTCTACAAGATAGCGCGCGAACCAGGATCTACTCAGTTTTACTTGAAGTCCTATTTGAAGTCAAGTCTGAAAGACTCGATTAGTGTTGATCGAATCGTTGGTTTTGACCATGACGGCGTTCCAATTAAGACTACTGATGTACAGCAAGGTTTATTAGAGAGTCTCTTCAAGATATACTGAGCGCTGGCAACTTTTCTTAATTTCTAACTTGATTATTATGATAAATTTCCTTTTAACTATGAACTTCTCTGGTGACAAAGGATTAAGTCAATGAAACGCATCTTAGATAATTGTTTAATAAACTTCTTATGAACTATATACTAAATTTGGAACTATTTTTAATAAGTGTTTAGAAATTTTTTAGGCCTTTTAAATTATCTTGAAATCCTTCAGTTATGAGACGGTACTAGTCTTGTGAGCCTAGGTTTGTCATGTGCTGCAAGACCACACACTTGTCTTTACCCAGTTTGGAGTGATGTGTTCTTGACCGTTGTAGTGGGGCTTAATTCTCGTACGATAAACGTCATCGCTGGTCGTTTTTGTGCTTGTCCTTGATCTTGCTTAGAGTCCTTAACAGGAAGATTTTTTTGGGTTTTAGTTCTCGAAGATTGGTTGTTTTTTAGGTGCTTTGTTGTTCATTTGGAATGTCTCGTGAAATTGTTTGGGTTAGAGTTCTAAAAATAAGTTTACTCTGTTTTAGTTTTCCGTAAGCCCAAACATGTTTACCGTTAGGATATTTAAAAGCGTGTACTTAAGGCAGAGAAACAGAGACAGAGACAGAAAGAGAATAGATAAAACAGAGAATAAAGAAAAGTTGTTGATGTGACTCTTAGTGCCTTCGTTTGCGCGAGTGACTCAAGCTACCTAACCCCATCAGTCCAACAAGCTGTTACAAAGAGCCTTGTGTTGTTTGTCTTAAGAATCTTATCATGCAAATATGGACACTAAGTTGATCCTAAAATATTTATATTGTATTATCTTTAACTAGTGTTTGAATCACAAAAAATCGACTAACCATTATATAAAGAATGATTTTTTATTCGAACAAAAAATTAGACGCTTTTTTACTTAAGATTAGACTCGAAAACTTCTACCTTTCTTGAGCATAATTTGTCAGTACTTAAGCTATTTTCATTTTGCACTCAATGTGTTGTCTATCAGTGATAGACTCTTCTTTAAGAGAAAACTTTAGAACAGTTCAATAACTCGAACAAGGCCAAAAGGTCCCAGCCAGACATTCTGCTCTACAAGATAGCGCGGACATAAAAAAAGGAGGAGAGTCACTTGGAGTCATCTCTGGACGACAAACAACAAACATCAAATCGATGGATTTGACAAAGATTGCAGCCCAATGCTTGATACTGATGTACCGCCCAGTCAATTAGCAAGTCTCTTCAAGATGGACCTCCGTAAATGCTCTAACGATCGCGGCGACAAGTAATTACACATAGTTGCAAATTTTCTATCCATGAATCAATGAAACGTATCTTAGATAACTGGCCAATAAACTGTTACAAAGAACCCTATAAATGTAGATTGCCTCAAGAGTCTCAACTTAAGTGTTATTTAAGTAAAAAGAACAACAAGTTATTTAGTTTGTCCTCTTCGTGCATCTATGCACATAGGGCCTCGGTCAGAGAACGCCATTGATAATCCTAACCCTCCCCTCCCCGTTCCCCCCTTACGCGTAGATCCTTCAAAAGAAAATACAATAAGACTGACATTTCGAGCCTTAGCCCTTCGCCAATCGCTCCGACGAAGGTCTAACGCTCGAAACATCTGCCTCTAAACTCTTTACGGTGGTCAATTTACGTTTTCAACTTAGTTGTTAACACTTAATTACCTGTTTTACTCTCCCACCGACGCAGCACCACAGTTTCTTTTAGAAACATACCCCCTTATAATAAGACATAGTCACGCTGGGAGAGCGTGCGTGACTCGTCGTTTTAACTTTTACCAAAAAAGCAAAAAAAATTCAACCATCATTTTGATATTCATGTTTCAAAGATATTTCAAGTTTATTTTCTAACAGGAAAGTACAAACTTCTAATTGACTTTTACAACAAAGAAGAAACAATCATTTATTTATTGCACACAATTTATGCACAAACCACAAGGACGGACCAGATGAAACGGGGCCTTGTTTGACAAAATGTCAGGTTCCTCTTCTTCTTTGTCTTCGTCTTCCTTTATTATTTCATTTAGCCCGTGTCAGGTGGGCATTGAGAAGGACCAAGTCAAAATTTTGTGAATCTGCAAAAATTTATCCTAAATTTTACAACCTCATCTCGATAGTAATTAGCCTCTACCCGGCTCATTCTTTTTGGTTTATTCCTGGTATTTTCTTATGTAGCAACTCATTAAGAAGGATCTCGCGCTTGTTGAAGATAAATTTCCGCGTAACTAACGAACAGAAATATTCTGATGAAATTCCTATGTGATAAAAATACTGAATAATTCATAATTCCGATTTACCGGTCCTGGTAGGTGCCCTGTGTCAACACTGGTTTGAGTACCTTGGGTAGGATTTCTCCCAAGCCACAATTAACTAAACTTGGAAACTACTTGGAAGATGAATTTCTTAGCCCGAAGAGATATTTGAGACCTTCACGATAATTTCCACTAAAGATAAAATAAATGCAAGGGTTTATAGCACAATATGAGTGATTAAGAAAATGAGAAACATATGCGAAATATTTAAAACCGCAAGACTCAATCATGGAGATGTTCGGTGGAAAAAAGAGCAATAACAAACGTATAGTGAGGGGAATTCGGCATATTGTAAACCCCAGAACGATAGCAATGGACATCTTCAGCACTTTCAGTTCCCTTTTTACTCGTCGTTTAACGGCATTAGCCGATTGCTCGCCTGGAGTCGTCTGGGGCTTGAGTTTTAAAATGATTATGAGGTAGAGTAAAAAAATCAGAAACAAAGGAATATAGACAAGTGAAATACAAGCGCCCAGAATGTAGTTTTTTAGGGACAACGTATCTCCGAGGGCTTCATTCCACTGTAGTGCACATTTTGTTCCTTCCGTATACTCAACGAGTGAAAAGGCGAAGAGATATGGTAAATGAAAAGCCAATGAGATTATCCAAGTGGCAAGAAGGAGGAACCGGCACAGCTTTGAACCGATAAATGGAGTTCGAAGAGGAAAAACGACAGTTCCAAATCGATCCACTGCTATCAGAACCAGGCTTAGAATTGACACAGAAGTGGAGACATCTGCTATGAAGGGAACAAGCTTACACAAAGTCTCGCCAACATCACCACTCACTAAACCAGAATGAAGGTAGACCTCTGTTAAATTCTTCGGAAAAAGGAATATCGGATAAAGCAGATCGGACGCGGCCATGTTTACGATTAAAATGTTTGTGGCTCTTCTCACGGTTTTCGTCTTAGGCACAATTATCACGATAAAGCTATTTCCAACCAACGAAACTACAAACAAGAGGCAGTAAGCGATTGTTTCTCCGATTCTACGTGTAACAGGATTGAAGCAAAGCGCCGGAGGCATAACCGGGTGTGTTCCATTGTTCGATGTGTTCTCGTTTAGCGACATTTCTCTGATACTGGCGGTTACTTATTTGGCGAGCAGTTCTCACAGGTTGAGTTTTACCTGACCTGATATCCTGAAGAAAAACTTCAACTTTTATATTCTTTTCAAGACGTGATCTGAGTTTAATGAATTTAAAGCAAAGTACGATAACGCACGCGACAAACAAAGCAAACCTCACGTGAGAAGATTCAATTTAGAGCTCTATTCATTTATTGTCAATCAGTTTCCGTTAAAGATGTCTGCATCGGGTGAAAACTAAAAAGTGAACATAACATCTTTGGCTGTATGTTAGAGCTGAATGAAGGATAGAAAGTTTCCAAGCTTTGCCTGCTATGAGAGATAGTTTTACCGAAATTAGTCGCACTCGTAGCTTTATTCACATATAACGAAAGCGGAAAATTTGCCCGCGAAAACATTTATCTATCGACCATGTCAAGCAAGTTTCAAATAACTGATCATGAATTATCATCTGCCTAGAATTATATGACACTGGGCCTTACAGTTGCCACACCAACTGAATCTTCTGAAACATTATGGTAACTTCATCTTTGTTTTTGTCGGAAATAGAAAGAGAGAGTTTCGCGCGCATTAAACGTGAGGATTGCACGCTAACAGGGCGAGTTAAAAAAGTCTTAGAAACTTTTATCAAAGAAATTTAGCATACAGAATAAAAAAAGGAAACGAAATAGTATATATAGGTTAGGTTTAAAGTACACCAGATATTTTCATGTCCTAGGCTATCATCATGACATAAAAATGAAAAAAACTAAAGTGTTTTCACCTAAAGATATCATTTTGATCACACTTAAAATAGCAATCGTATCGATTATCATATCCGTTAACGATACTTCCTGGTTTGCTCAAAGCACGTTCCCCCTGTGGGCAAAGTCTAGAAGAGATAGATCAGTAGTTCCTTCTTAACATACCAACTGTAGACAGGTTGTGAAAATGGGGAAGTTATCCACTGGAGGATAATTTCGTCTTAACAACTCAGAAAGTATTAGAGGTAACTATCTGAAAAGTGCGTAACAGTCAACGATAACAATTGGCATTAAGATCTCGAGGGAGTGTGCTAATTGAGAATAAAACTTGCTTAACATGAAGAAGATAAAAGAGCGTATCTTGCTCGTTCAATTCTCGGTGCGCCAGAGGATAGGTTTCTTACTTCAATTTAACATTCCAGAGAGTTTCCGTTCTTAACTCGTGAATTGCGCGCATGCACAAGAGCGAGTTGTAGATACGATATGGGGAATGGCACTCGCTCGCTCGCTCGACTGGTCGATTCCTGTAAACTTTTTTTCGATTTTAGGCTTTTGAGTGTATTTGATAGTTTTTGGCGAGCAATAAACAAACGAAATGGCGACCTTTATTGCTAAGAATAGTGGTGGGGTGACAAAGAAGCCAATGATAATCTTAAAATAATTTTTTTTTTCGTTTTAGTTTCAACAAGCGGCGCCAGCGACTGGCAGGCATACAAGGATTCACACTGAAATAACAGAAAAACCTTCGTTTTTCATAAAATTGTAATTTACAATCCTAGAACTTGAAAACAATCCGAAGATTCATTGAAAATATCACTTACTGCGAAGCGCTCGGAGTTTACAGATGTTCAAAAGCTTTTTCTGTTACGGCGTGAGATCGAGGACAAAATCGATCATTACGTTTCGTATCGTGTGTTTTTCCTGTGATAAACAACAGAAGATGCCGGCGGCTAACGAAATTACAAGTTAACACGAAAATCAAATAACACCTAAACAAGCAATTTTAGCTACCGATTTTCAGTGAATTTTTAAGGAACAATTTTCTTTTAAGTTTCAAGACAATTTGAAAATACATATTACGTACTAAAATGCGAAAGTTATACACCACAAAATTGATAAATAGGCCTGACATGAAATTCTATCTTGTTATTGATTATACGTTGCCTAGCACGTGACTAAAATCTACCTAGGCGGAGATCCAAAATGACGGTGGCAGTCTTAGCTTAGTTATATCACTCAAAACTCGTTCCCGTTTGTCTCATCTGATAAAGACGGAATCGTTAATGTTTTCATTAAGAAAGTATTGCCTTGATTTTCTAATATTTACAATGATAGACAGAAAATTCACTTTTCACCCACATTTACTTTCAACCTTTTCTTTTGAACCAGAAACAGAAATGATATATGTTTGAAACACACGACATCATCCACCCTTGTCAAATGCAATAGCATGATCATTTCAATTGTAATGCCTTCTTATCCCGACGTTACTTTGTTTCTTTGCTACATTAGCGAACACTGAACTACTGCTCGTACTCTAGATATGACAATCAACCACAAAATTCCCTAAACCAGATAACATTAAACATAATCCAAAAAATCATATGTCAATTCACGAGTTTGCTCACAGAGCACTTTGATTAACTAGGCGATGATAAAATCTCCCTTTAAATTTTCCGTGAACTTTTTTAAAATAACCATGCACATTAAGTTTCTCTTAAAAAGATCCTTTTAGCGGGCCATATTTTTTTTATTTTATAATGCTCTACTAAACACCAACTTCAATTCGGAAAGACTGACATCTCTAGCCCACGATCATGTCTTCAGGATTTTACGTGGGACTGCGTCTATTTCCTTATAAACCTCACAACTTGACACGACGTGTGTTTTTATCATTTTATTCACTTTTCGCAACCGAGAAAGCGGCAAACTGCTTATAAAAAATGATCGTATACAAAGTGATATTCACCACTGTTTCCCGAAAGCTGCTACAATGCGTTGAGTTGATGAATACGGGGTGATAGTCGCGGCGGAGCGAAAGAACCTCGGCTCAGAGCGAAAAAAGGAGAGAGGCCTGGGTCAAGTTACGAATTTTTATCTCAGACGTAGGATCTCTTTACCTTCCTGTGAAAGCTCTTTTTCAAAATCTGTTTTAAGTCTTTTCGATAGCCTCTACAGCAAATAAAACAAATGCAAGGGTTTACAGCACAATGTGAGTGAGCAAGAAAAAAAGCGGTATACGCGAAGTATTGAAAACCGCAAGACTTGATCATGGAGGTGTTCTGTGGAAAATAGGCCATGAAATAACTAATGGTGTAGGGAATTCGGCATAATGTAAACGTCATCACGATAGCAATGGACATCTTCAGCACTTTCCACTCCCTCTCTGCTCGATGTGTTAAGGCATTAGCTGATTGCTCGCCTGGAGTCATCTGGGACTTGAGTTTTAAAATAATTATAACGTAAAGTAAAATAGTAACAAAGAGAGGAATGAAGAAAATTAAAATAGAACCAGCACAGATATAGGTTTCAAAGGGAAAGGAATCCTCAAAAGTTTTCTTCCACTGTGGTTCACACTTTTTTTCTTCCGAATGTTCCATTAGCGAAAAGGCGAAGAGATATGGTAAATGAAGAGCCATTGAGGTAGTCCAAGTAGCGATAATGGAGAGAGCGCAGAACTTTGAGCCTAGAGGGGAACGGAAGGGAAATACCACTGCTCTATATCGTTCCATTGCTATCAAAACCACGCTCAAAATTGACACAGCGTTGAAGGCATCTGCTAAGAAGGGAACCAGCTTACACAGTGTTTCTCCAAGACGACCGCTGACTGACCAGAAGTATTGTCCTCGATATAGCTGCGTCAAGTTTTTTGGAAACAGGAAAATCGGATACAAAAGATCGGATATGGCCATGTTGGCCATAAAAAGTTTGGTAGGTTTTCTCAAGGTTTTCGAGCTGTAGACTGTGATCCCCATAAAGATATTGCCAGCCAGCGAAACAATCGATAACAGACAGTAAGCGAATGTTTGTCCGATTTTTTGCGTCGTAGGATTGATGCATTGCGGTGAGGTTATAGCTGAGTGTGTTCCACTCACAGATGTGTTCAAATTCGCCGACATTTTTCCTGTACTGACTGTAAGTACTTAGCAAGACGCTCTCTCCTATAGTAAGCCGTTTACCAGACATGACCATACATCATAAATATACAAGCTGTCGTAAATTTTAGTCGTGATCTGAATTTAATGACTTAAGCTGCAAGTCACATCATGCACATGTAAAGCACGAATGTAGGTTTATTCTGAAACACAAATTGCTTGTTTTAAGTTCGCATAGGAATATTTTTTCTGACGGAAAAAAAAAGTTCATCTTTCGATTTAACAAATATTGGTGTCAATAAGCGAGCTTTGCTAAGAATTCACAAGGCTATCTATTTTAAGGTCAGCCTATCAACTACATATCCATATTAACTTCTCCTTTTCATTAACTTCTGACTTCTTGAATGACAGATACATGTTTCTGTTGAAATGTGAAAGTACTTACAAGCCATCGTGTATAAAAATACCCTCATTAAGTCAAAATATAACAATATATGAGAAGAAAAACAGTTAGTATGTTCGCTAAGTGATCATAGCACAACAGGTGCTAAACTTCTTTGACTTATTTGTTCCTTTTCAGCTATCACATTACCTTTTATGTTTGAAACGCAAAGTATGTCGCTTTGATGACAAATTCTACCTTATATTTGTAGGTTTAAAATCTATCTTTTTTTCGGCGAGAGAAAGAGTTACGATTATAATTTTCAAGCCACAGAACTGTAAACTCATGGTCACCTGATTTTAGTACAGTCGAACCTCGATTATCCGGACTCGGTGGGACTTGGGTAAATAGTCCGGATAATCGAGAGTCCGGATAATCGAAAATATGAATATTAACTAGTAGTAATCGGAGATTAGGGAAGTGCGTTCGGCATTTCAAAGGGGAAATATTGTTTTTCATCCTTTGCGCAACGTCATTCAAAATGGCGCTGAAAAGATGAACGGCCGGCCGATCGAACGAAAAAAACGGGTCAGCTTTCGCTTGCGTGCAGGACACCTACGCGATCACAGGTAGCCCAGGAGATTAGGAAGCGTTCTTCCTTCGTCGAATGCAATGAGACAATGTAAACAAAAGAAATAAAGATAACATTTTTAATTCTAAAAGTTTGCTTCCCTGTTCTTGCGTATATCAGAAATCTGTTGCTTGCTGCTACCAAATTCAAGCGCTAAATTTGTTCCTTTTTCTCCTTTATCTAAACGTGAAATAAATATTTGTTTATCTTTTATCGAGAGTACAGATCGCTTTCGCTTCGTAGACATGTTGTCGTTTAGAGTTATGATCGTCTCATGTGTTTACATAACCCACGCTCATCGAACTGATCAAGCATGACATTCCCTAAGCAACAAAACAATACTGAACCAATCAAAATTTATAAAGGGGTAAGTTTCTAAAGAAACTGTGATGCTGCGTCGGTGGGAATCAAAATTTAGCTTAAAAACTGGGTTGAAAACGTAAATTAGAATTTCGAGCGTTTTCATCAATCGCTCTGACGAAGGCTTTTTGTCTCCAACCGCTCAATAAATTACCTTCAAAAGCTGAACGCATTAGAGTGCTTCTTGTCTCTTTTTGTCTCCGAGCGCTCGATCTTTCGAAAGCGAAGCGTGTAATGCGCCGTTTTAAACGCAATTTTCCTGACTTTAAACATAATTTCTGAATTTTTTTACCTCCTAAAGTTTTTAACATCTAAGGTCATTAATATTCATGAAAAAAACGGGACCAGAGAAAAAGTCCGGATATTCGAAAAGTCCGGATAATCGATGTCCGGATAATCGAGGTTCGACTGTACATCATATAGGAGGGTCTTTACAGGCAGACATGCCAGCCTTAGACGCTATCGGAAAATGTCAAAAACACTCCTCAAAGGAACCGCATTGTCGATTCTTTGGCGGTTTCCAAAGCCTTTTTCGACCCCTAAAAGGTAAGAGCCCTGAAAAAATTGGCTGTCACTGAATAATAATTGAAATGTCTCTTTCGAACAGCTTGTCTTTCGTTAGCGCAACTATTTCACTTGGATCTCCTGCAATTTCTCAAGATTTACAATACTCTATGTTGTTGAAAATTATCTGTATAACCCATGCCAGTTGGTACTTTAACTCGCAGTCACTGTTTGGGAATTCGTGATACGATCCCCTCTCCCCTACCCAGTTTCTATTTTATTGTATTTTTTGGGGGGGGGTGGGTGGGGAGGAGCGTTGCTGCGAAGAAGACTTCCGTTGGCGGTTATTTTAATTTAGTACCCTATGTCACAAATCTTTTTCTGAAATTATCGTGTCTGCAATCGGTTCACATAAAGGATGCGGCTTCTTACGCTTGCGAACGGGAGAAGTGGACTCGATTCATTCGGATCCTTAGGAAAGATTTCGTCCCCTCTGAGTAGTCACCGATATGCTAAGCGCATTTCGACGAAATCTTCAACTTAATGACTAAAGTGAAAGTTTTAGTGCAGTAAAACTTATTGAGAAGAAAAGGACTTAAAATAACTCAGACTTCGACAGGGATTCATTTCCTCGTCGTTAGCTGATTATCCCTGCAATAAATCTGACTGCAGTTTGGTTACTCGAGTTTCTAAACAAAGAGGTGGCTGATCGCTTAATGGGCGAAGGTTTGATGCGTTATTCTGTACATGAAAACTTTGGAAGATGATTTTATACTAAATTGCTTGTTGCGGCTATACCTTTTGAAAATCGTTTCAAACCTGTTGAAGTGGCATAAATAATCCTCATCACAGGCCTTTCATCTGCTTCAGCACGAAGAAAGTGATCTTATTACAAGCAGCTTAAGCTATACTGATAAAAAGGGGGTCAGTAGATGAAGAGCCCCTGCTCCCGCCCCACCCCACCCTTTCGATGCAATCTGGATTTTTCGCTGTGACGTTTTCTGTAAGGTTTAGGCTGTTTAAAATTCCTATGTATGAGCCGGAGTGAGGATTAAGCTAGATAAAAGATAAATGTTGTAGTGTGTTTTCCTTCTTGTAAAATAGAGAGGAGGGCGCCAAAAGAAGTGGAACAAGCACCGAAATTTAGAACTATTGGAAAAAAAAACATGAAATCAGCACAGAATAGTTTTTACAGGGCTTCAACCGCTTTTTTTTTTAATTAAGGTGATATCGTGGTAATTGATAGAGTAAAAAAAGAAGAAGTTTCTTCAAGTTGAGCTTAGTTTAGATACTGTATCAAGTCTCTCAAGACATTTCTACTGAATTACATTATCGTGTAAGAGCTCCTCTGCCAACTATATGTTTTACTTTTTAGCAGCTTCTAACGACTCTGTCAGTTTGAAATAGAAATCTGTTCTCTCCTGCACATGAAGCTTGGGTTGACCATTCTCCTCAAATTTTAGTACCCGTGGTTTGTCACTCAGGTATGACTTCAGAAAAAACTCCGGGGCCCGTTCAAACCGAGGCATCTTGTAAAACAGAACCTCTGGGTGAGCCTTGTTGACATCTAGCAAGTTAATGAACTGACTTGGAGGCGGGTCAATCTCCTGCAGTCAAATATAAACACAAAAAAAAAACTTTAAAAATGTATCAAACAAGCTTCTTCGTGAATGTAGGGCAAAGTGGATTATTTCTCTCGCAAACTGAGATCGCGAAAGTTACCTACCTTCATAACCACAGTGTTTTTTTCTTTATCTATCGCCATAATTTTCCCAGTGCTTGCGTGCTCCAAGATGATAACATGAAAGGCGACATCCTTCATTGGATCATAATCAAGGATGTCATGGACTTTGAAATAAGCTATCAAAAAAAATTACAGTTATGACAAAGAGAGATTCATAAGCACAATTATACCATTTTAACATATTAAAGCAACAGAACGCGTAATGTGCGATGGTATTACACTAGAGAATACGGAAGGATAGCTGAGAAATGGATGGCTGCACGAACGATCTAAACTTTGATATTTTTTTCTCCTTAAATTGGATTTGACTTTATAGAAAATGAACTTCGAAGCGCATCCGATTCCTTTGATGGTCATAACGATCAGTTTTGATTTGATTATTACAATTATTATTATTATTTTATCCGGACAATTCTAGTTTTGTTCGCTTGTGCGGAAAGGCCCATTTTTACTAACCTTTGTCATCGGGAACGTCCACACCTGAAAGCACTTTATCGTCGTCGACATATATATAGTGATCGCCGGAGGGGACCTTCAATAACTTAAACTTTTGGGTGTGCGTTTTCCATCGTCGCCTTTGGGTTGGATCCGTCGGAGGCTTCGGAGGAGGGGGAGTCTCCTAACAATTAAGTTGTAACCTTAATCAAGACTTTTGCGTGGTACGTAGAGTCAGAGCGGGAAGCAAACACACACACTAAGGCCGGCGAGTGGAAGTTCAAACCTCAAGGAGACTATACTATTTCGAGCGGCTTATTTCCGCGGTAATATTTTTCGTGGGTCTTTAAGTGCGCGATTGTTTTTATCACCGATAAATATTGTGAAATCTAAGTACCACGAAAACCGGTAACATTAAGGTTAAGTTCAGACAAGATGAAGTTAATCTTTGAGGGAACAATTTATAATGATCACATCATTTTGAACTTTAGAATGGAATTGATCATGACGAGATTGAAACGTTTTGGGTAATTAAGATTTCCTTTTACCACAAGGTATATGCTTATTTTCATGATTCGGTTACACGAGTGGCATTTCTGGAGCTAAATTATGTCCCTTGCAACGGAATACAGTACTGTACTGGGAATTTTTAACTGTAAAAAGAGCCGTGTTTACGGTTTCACGGTTTCCGTTTTTGCTCACTACTTGCGCGCTTTTCGTATTAGAAACTCTTCAAGAATGAAATTGGACCAAATTGATGGAAAAGTTTAAAACATCGTACAAGCTTTTAACAAATAAGCTTTTGTCCTCAGCCAAGTTAATACAATAGCAGATATAAATGTCATTTTAGGGGAATTCTAGCCTTATATAACCCCTTGCCGTCAAGTTATATCTTCAACTCACTCTATACGTCCACAACCTTTCGGTTTTTAACGATCGAGACTAACATTATAAAAGGACTCTATTGGGCTTCAGTTCTCCGCTGAATTCTCAGACAGATGTATAAACTAAGCGTGGTGCTACCTTTCGGTTTCAAATCAAAGCCTTGACGATTTCGACTCTGTGTTTACGTCATGAAAAACAAAAAAATCTACAGCGCTAATGAATCTTAGAAAACAAGTATGTTCACCGATAAACATCGATGGCCTGATTTCAATTTTATTTGGCTTTGAAGCTGCGTGAAATTTGGGAATTCAGAAAATAAATACAAACACTCTTTCTTTTTCGTTGTATTCCAGTCTCCTAAATCGATCATGATCCTATCCATGAATAATTTAAAACAAGACTGAAATTTGAGAGGATCGATTATTCAAGCCTTAAGCTATTTTATCGGTAACTAATGAATTATTCTGAGTTTAATCGACGATTCTTAGAACGCGAAGACGCGATGAAGGTTGTAAATTCTACTCAAAATGTTAGATGCCGTAAACACGTTGGTAATTCGAATTTCGCTCTAGCTTATAAATACAATCGGGAATGAATCTTTTGATATAAACACGCTCCGTACCTCTGTCAAGCAATCCAAAGATCTGTCCTCAATCGGCATCGCAGTGAGTGATCAATTTGCAACAAATGTGTACCTCTCGTAGTCCTCCCAAAGACCGCTGCACGATAAATTGATGTCAAAGGCAAAATGACTCTTTTTGTACTCACCATCAAAAAGCGAAAATAAGGCATTTGATAAAAACAGTTCGTATGACCGGAAGACCGAGCGAAAACAAAATGTTTACATCATTGTTATTTTAGTACAGGAGACAACTTTTTATTTTTCACTCCTTTCACCGTCGAGAATGACCAATGAGTGGTTAATCCTGGAGAATTTGAAATATCAATTCATGGTTATTAAGCTAACGAGAAGGACAATTATTTAAGAGAAGAAAGTTTAAAAAAAAGCTTTTGGGTCATCCTGAAGAAATAAACCCTCTGTCAAATTCAAAACTTAGCAAAAGAAATAAAAAAAATTACCACGTGGATATTAGTGTTTATTAAAGTCGCTTTCTAATTTTGTTTTCTTACAGGTCTTGTTGACGTGTTCCTTGTTTTAGCACAATCATAATCTAAACGTTTCGTTTTCAAATACACCCGAGCCAAATAAAATGACAAAATTTACACATTGATAATTCAAAACTGATGATAATTTGTCACCATTCAATCACTATCTCGCCTTTTGCTATTCAAGACTTTTGTTTCTCACGGCCTAAGTCGTACAACAGCCCAAACCAAAAATTAGGCAGCTGGAATTGAAATCTGATCAGAGAAACTGCGAAAAATATACGCGCAGTGAGACTGAAAAAGGGCGATTGCGTAAGACAAGGCACTGGGCCTAAATTCGATTTGTAACCATTGCATGAAATAGTTGAAAGTAAATTTGAAATTGCGCGAAAAGGGATGAATGTTGTGATAGAACTATATGTTGCAATTTGCGCGCCAACAACAGCGGTCTGATGATTATGACAATGAAGGTAATGGTCGAAAAGGTTTATAGCCAAGGGAGCTTGTAAACGTGCGAGGATTATGACCGGAATGAAGAAAAAGGTTTTGAATCGAGCTAAAGCACTGTTGATCAAAAGACGTTTCTCATTTACTGTTTTTTAATTAAGCTTTAAAACGTCAGATAAAATTGAATTCATTTCACGTTACTGGAATGAAACAAAACAAAAGTCTTATGTCGGGGGGGGGGGGAAGGAAGGTTGCGGCTAATAATCGGATCTATCTCCTGTTTACAGATCAGTGGACCTGTAACTGAGAGGGCTTAAAGAGGGGGGCAGGAGTTTACGCGGGGGAAGTTTACGGGAGGGGCAGGAGTTTACGGTATAGCATTAGTCAGACTATTGTTCGTGTACATGGAAATATCGGCAGAGGAGTTACTTGTGGCAGTCTTAATCAACCAGTTATATCAAGCTTGTTGCTGTAGTCGAGCGCAAATTTGAGCCATCCATTTTTTTCGTGGAGAAGAGATCCTATCACAGACAGCTTAAGCTCTGTAAAAAAGATTGGGTGGAAACCTCATTCCTTCCCCCCCACCCCCACCTCACCCACCTCCTCCAGTCCTTTCAACAAATAAGTTGAGTTAAGTTCAGGCAAAAATGAACAAATTTTTATGGTGCGTCAGCCTTTTTAAAAAACAAGAACAAAAACAGCATTGACAGGTTAGGATCAAACCGGTTTCCAGATAAAGAATCACACTATCCAAGTTTTTTTTTAATAAAATTTATTCGCCAAGTATCCAACATGCGTTTCCTGGATAAAAATTTTGTTACTAGGTGCTATTACTTGTCGCAAGGGACGTTTCTGATTTACAATAAATTTAACATAAAAGTCGTGTTAAAAGTTGAGAAAAGTTGACAGCGCCAATGTGGGGCAATCAGTATATCTTGAAGAGACTTTCTGGATGATCTGGCTGTGCAACCATAGTCTTCTTTAGCTCGCCATTTTCGTCAAATCCAACGATTCGCTGTTTATCATCCAGAAGTGACTGCAAGTAAAACTTACCATAACCGTCTTTCCCCCATCTCTTGTGAAACAGAATTTTGTAAGGAGCCACTTCTACGCTCTTCTTCATGAGCTTATCCAGAGGCTCTGAAGGATCCTATCAGAATAGACAAAAATTAGGCCAAAATCAAAGTTGTAACTCAATCTGTATTGTATCATGCATATAAGCGATAGATCCAGATAATGAATTGAAATTGAGCTTAAATGTTAACTCTCCGGGCAACTAGACGATTGGCACGCACAAGCAAAACAGATGATAATTATGATATGCAAGTTTTAGCCTCCTTATTCATTTAAAGAGTTGAAATTGTAGGGAAGCTTACGGTTATTCGTCGTACTTGCGGTGAATCATAATCGTTTGTCTCATAATTAAGTCATTCGATAAGCGACTGGACAGGCGTCACCTTATGCATCGCCTGAAGAAGACTTGCATTATACCGTCAAAATACCGCGATCCACATCGGAATGGACTTCATCGATAGACAAACGAATTTATTTCACCACAAAGTTTAAAAGTTCTTTGATCAATGACCAAAGGTGATTAAATTTCTAGCCGACTGAAATCGTTTCAGTCACGCACCTCTAGAGTGACAGTGTCATTCTCTTTGTCAACGGCCATAACTTTGCGAGATTTTGCGTGCTCCAAAATAACAACTGTTCTACCCTCGGCATCCGGGGTTTGGTACATCCTAAAATTAGCTATAAAAAGAGCATAATGAGCCGTCATAGTAAATGAAATATTAAATGCCCCTAAGAGAAAATCAACAACTGATATTCTCTTGTTGCCCTTCATGATTCAAACATTAGCTGGCGATTCACAAAATATTGCTACAGTGTGGCTTTAATTCACTCGAAAAAGTTGAAGACCCAGGATTACACTTTCGTTAGCCGCTATGAATAATGTGGATAAACCTAGTATTAATGATAATATTAAAAATGATGATAATGGTAATAATAATGATTGTGATAACAATAACAATACTTATGCTCCATTAAATATTTTTGCTAGTGCGCGAATTGTATAAACGCATCCCATGACTGAATATCCCCCCCTCCAACGTGATATTCTCCGATTTTCAAACCTTTCGTCCACCACGATAAGTCTTCGTTTAAAATTTGATTCAAGATCTGAGAGAGCGTTTTGTGGTTGTTACATAAGGAGGGATATATTTTTTGTTCATTAAGTCGTACCAGTGAACAGTCAACAGCTCCGCTCTCGGAAAACTGTTCGCATCTTGGAACAGGTAATGTCCGTGGACAAATATCCGTGCATATTTTTGCCCCAAATAGAGGATGTTGTTATACGAACTACAGATGACACAATAATGATAATATGAATGACACCAAAAAAATTTAGATAATGATGATGAAAACAGCAATAGTAATAATGGTAATAATATACCGTTTCATTGACTAACAACAAATTGCTTCCAAAGGATACTTAAAGGAGACTTAAAACATGCCTACCTTTGTTTAACCACGCTTATAAATTCTTACGCGAATATTCTCGCAAACCGAAGGATAAAGGATGATATCTTTAACGAGCAATCCTCCTAACACCATATTATTTTTTTTCTCACCGTTGTCAGTGTCGCCTCCATTTGCTTTCAACGAATTGCCATCGAAATGCAAGAAGGGGCCTAGTTCTTTGCCAGCGTCTCTCTGATAATGAAGCTTACATATGACTCCCGGACCCCATAGGGGATTACCTCCACCTATGACTGTATATGAACCAACAAAGGACATTGTGATGAGTGATCTCTTCGCAACAAAAGTGTACTTCTAGAAAATCTCTGAAAAGTTTCTTCCCGACAAAGCTATATCTATGACTGTAACATCTGTTTTATATACGGTATACCCGCCCTCTAAAAGTGAAATAACGTGCGTTTATTTACAACGCTTTTTAATGTTAGAGCATGCACCTCACGAAAACGCAAACTTGTCATCATCGCTAATTTACCACAAGTCACGTGGTGTAAATTTACGATGATAGCAGGATCAGAATTGCTTTCCACTGAGTTTTGTTTTCGGACCCGTATTCCTGCCTAAAGTATTTCCTGTTTATAGGCAAGTCATCGTCCTGAAGTTTCGTTTTAAAGTTCCGAGGGGAATGCAAAAAAATTTCCACTGACGAGGCGAGAGGAAGGCGAGCGCGAGCATCGAAACCCGATTTGTGTTTCTTGTACTATGAAATTATATCGAGTGGAATTTTGCTTACCGTTTACTTATTACATGTATTGCTGACACGTTCCTTGTTGAGGTTTCGTTTTCAAATCCACCAAAGCCAGAAAAATAAAATTTAATAAATTACGAATCTTAAACGAATGATTACATTCTTTCATTGCAAAGTTTTCGATATATCGCGCGTTCTGACCAGCTGAAACATCGCGTTTCATGAGAGTAGATTAAATAAGTAACGGAGTCACTCCATCGACCAATTTGCACAATGACTGACCGATAAGTTAACTCTTCTCTCGCTTTTTCCATGACCTGAAAATTGAATGTGATCACGAGCTTTTCGCTTCAGTTTATACAGAACTGGGGTCCTCTATGAGGTGATTTCAATGAGGTGATGCTTTTTACAAACCATAAATTGAGACTTTCGCCTTGAAGATCATCACTGGTATGGAGCAGGACTCTTATCTGTAAGGGGAGGGGGGGTATATTAAAATGTATTTCCGGTATACAGGCGGTGGGGACTGTTATCTGGGTAGGGGGGGTGGGCAGCGGAATATTATCAGATGTAGTTCCGGTATACAGATAGTGGGAACTCTTTTCTAATAGAAGGGGGGCGGAAAATAATATTCCTGTTTACTGATGGGTGGAGAACCTTACCTGGGAGGGGTTTATGATACAGCATAAGTCAAAACCATAGCAGAATTCTCTGATATGATGGTTTATCAGCAGCCTAATTTTAGTTATAACAGGACAGTGCAGGCAGCAAGAATGTAACTGGAGCTGATATGATAGTTTGCGTGCATGAAATTATGAGCGGAGGATTTGCTTGAGGCAGTCTTACTTCAAAGATTATGCTAAGCTTACTGTTGTAGTCAAACACGCACATACGCACATATACATCCATTGATTTGTTTTGTGAAGAGATCCTATCAAATTAGTCTCTATAAAGGCAAACTACTCAAGGTTCTTTATAACGGTTTACTCGCTCATTATCCAATATGCGTTTCTGCATTGTTTCATGGATAGAAAGTTCGTAATTAGATTTAATTGCATGTAGACAGGAACGTTATTAGTTTAAAATTATTTGAACATAAAATTCGTTTTAAAAGTTGTCGACAAAAGTTGGTAACGCTCTGCTAAGACGACCAGTGCATTGTAAAGAGGCTTTCTGTACTATGCGGCTGTTTACAAGAAGTCTCCGTCTGGTTGCCTTGAATGACAAATTCAATAATTTTATCGTTATTGTATGACTTCAAGTAAAACTGCGAACTACCTCCTTCTCGCGCTATCTGGTAGAGCAGAATTTCCTTATAAGAATCTCTGACAGCTTTCAACGTTCTGAAATCTTTTAAAGCTGAGTCTGAAGGATTAGCCAATCAGAGTAGACAAAGAGCGACAAAGCCGTGAGAGGCTTGGGACATAAAGTTATAATGAAGGGCTTCAGTAATACACCGGCTGGCCCCTTTAATGAAAAATGATAAATCGTTTAAATAAAGTTAATAATAAACGGATAAACAGATAAACGATTAAAAGTAACCAAAAAAATCCCAAACAGTTGGAAAGGACACAACCCAACTAAGTTCAAAATCGAGCAAAAAAATAAATCTTTGAAAGTATGAAAAGTAAGGACGTAACACGGCGGCGAGACAGCTTCGTGTTATAGTGAAATTCGCTGTCTAATTTTGTTTTCTTACAGGTCTTGTTGACGTGTTCCTTGTTTTAGCACAATCATAACCTAAACGTTTCGTTTTCAAATACACCCGAGCCAAATAAAATAACAAAATTCACGAATTGATAATTCAAAACTGATGATAACAAAGTGTCACCATTCCATCACTATCTCACCTTTTGCTATTCAAGATTTTTATTTCTTACGGCCTAGGTCGTACAACAGCCCAAACCAAAAATTAGGCAGCTGGAATTGAAATCTGATCAGAGAAAATTGCGAAAAATACACGCGCAGTGAGACTGAAAAAGGACGATTGCGTAAGACAAGGCAATGGGGCTAAATTCGATTTGTAACCATTGCATGAAATAGTTGAAAGTAAATTTGAAATTGCGCGAAAAGGGATGGATGTTGTGAGTGAACTATATGTTGCAATTTTTGCGCCAACAACAGCGGTCTGATGATTATGACAATGAAGGTGATGGTCGAAAAGGTTTATAGCCAAGGGAGCTTGTAAACGTGCGGGGTTTATGACCGGGATGAAAAAAATAAGTTTTGAATCGAGCTAACACACTGTTGATCAAAAGACGTTTCTCATTTACTGTTTTTTTTAAACTAAGCTTTAAAACGTCAGATAAAATTGAATTCATTTCAATATTGGGAGCAAAGTTAAAGTTAAAAAATGAACGTTACTGGAATGAAACAAAACAAAGTTCAGAAACTTCTCGGCTTTAGGATCATCTTATATCTTGGGGGGATGGGGGAGGAAGGGTGCGGCTAATAATCGGATCTATCTCCAGTCACAGATGAGTGGACCTGTAACTGAGTGGGCTTAAAGAGGGGGGGGTCAGGAGTTTACGTGGGTGAAGTTTACGGGAGGGGCAGGAGTTTACGGTATTGCATTAGTCAGATTATTGTTCGCGTACATAGAAATATCGGCGGGGGAATTACTTGTGGCAGTCTTAATCAACCTGTTATATCAAGCTTGTTGCTTTAATCAAGCACAAATTTGAGCCCCACATTTTTTTTCGTGGAGAAAAGATCCTATCACAGACAGCTTAAGCTCTGTAAAAAAGATTGGATGGAAACCTCACCTCTTCCCCCCCACCTCACCCACTTCCTCCAGTCCTTTCAAACACTAAGTTGAGTCAACAAAAACAGCATTGACAGGTTAGGATCAAACCAGTTTCCAGATAAAGAATCACACTATCCAAGTTTTTTTTTATATAAAATTTATTCGCCAATTATCTAGCATGCGTTTCCTGCATAAACATTTTGTTACTAGGTGCAAGGGACGTTTCTGATTTAAAATAAATTTAACATAAAAATTGTGTTCAAAGTTGAGAAAAGTTGACAGCACCTAACTGGAATTTTCAACGCAGTCTGCCCTGAAGAGACTTGCTTTCGTTATATCAGTAGTACCCGTTGGCGTGCCGTCATTCTCAAATTTAACGAAGCGGTCTGGACCATCCAGAAGTGACTTCAAGTAAAACCATTCACGACCAGGTCTCCACCATTTCTTGTGAAACAGAATTTCCGGATGGGACATGTCTATGCCCCCGTTAGTGAGCTGACTTAGAGACACTGGCGGATCCTATCAGAATAGACAAAAATTAGGCCAAAATCAAAGCTGTAACTCAATCTGTATTGTATCATGCATATAAGCGATAGATCCAGATAATGATTTGATATTGAGTGTAAATGTTAACTCTCCGGGCAATTGGACGATTGGCACGCACAGGCAAAACAGATGATAATTATGATATGTAAGTTTTAGCCTCCTTATTCATTTAAAGAGTTGAAATTGTAGGGAAGCTTACGGTTATTCGTCGTACTTGCGGTGAATCATAATCGTTTGCCTCATAATTAAGTCGTTTCATAATTAAGTCGTTTGATGAGCGACTGGACAGGCGTCACCTTATCCATCGCCTGAAGAGGACTAGCAGTATGCCGTCAAAACATCGCGATCCACATCGCAATGGACTTCATCGAGAGACAAACGAATTTATTTCACCACAAAGTTTAAAAGTTCTTTGATCAATGACCAAAGATGATTAAATATCTAGCCGACTGAAATGGTTTTAGTCACGCACCTCTAGAGTGACTTTGTCATTCTGTGTGTTAATGGCCATAACTTTTCCAGATTCTTTGTGCTCCAGAATAACAATTGTTTCTTCCTGGTTGTCCACGGTTTTGTGGATTTTAAATTTAGCTATAAAAGAACGGATAAAGAGCCGTCAGAGTGAATGAAATATTAAATGCCCTCAAGAGAAAATCAACAACTGATATTCTCTTCTTTCCCTTCATGATTCAAACATTTGTTGACGATTCACAAAATATTGCAACAGTGCGACTTAAATTCACTCGATAAAGTTGACGACCGAGGAATACACTTTCGTTAGCCGCTATGAATAATATGGATAAACCTAGTCTGATAATAATATTCTCTTCTTGCCCTTCATGATTCAAACATTCGTTGACGATTCACAAAATATTGCAACAGTGCGGCTTTAATTCACTCGAAAAAGTTGAAGACCCAGGAATACACTTTCGTTAGCCGCTATGAATAATATGGATAAACCTAGTCTTAATGATAATATTAAAAATGATGATAATGGTAATAATAATGATTGTGATAACATTAACAATACTTATGCTCCATTAAATATTTTGCTCGTGCGCGAATGGTCTAAACGAATCCCATGACCGAATATTCCACCGCCCACGTGATATTCTCCAATTTTTCAAACCTTTCGTCCACCACGATAAGTCTTCGTTTAAAATTTAATTCAAGATCTGAGAGAGCGTTTTGTGGTTGTTACATAAGGAGGGATATATTTTTTTGTTCATTAAGTCGTACCAGCGAACAGTCAACAGCTCCGCTCTCAGAAAACTGTTCGCATCTTAGAACAGGTAATGTCCGTGGACAAATATCCGTGCATATTTTGGCCCCAAATAGAGGATGTTGTTATACGAACTACTGATGACACAATAATGATAATATGAATGACACCAAAAAAATTAAGATAATGATGATGAAAACAGCAATAGTAATAATGGTAATAATATACCGTTTCATTGACTAACAATAAATTGCTTTCAAAGGACATCAACCGGGACTTAAGACATGCCTACCCTTGTTTAACCAGACCTATAAATTCTTACGCGAATATTCTCGCAAACCGAAGGATAGAGGATGATATCTTTGACGAGCAATCTTCCTAACACCATATTATTATTTTTTCTCACCGTTGTTCATGCCGTCCCCATCTGCTTTCAACGAATTGGATTTGCCATCGAAATGCAAGTAATGATCTTCTGGATCTTTATTCGTAGAATAAAGCTTGTACGTGCTACGACCCCATGAGGAATCACTTCCATCTATGACTGTACATGAACCAGCAGTGGTCATTGTGATGAGTGATCTCTTCGCAACAAAAGTTTACTTCTGGAAAATCTCTGAAAAGTTTCTTCCCGACGAAGCTATATCTATGACTGTAACATCTCTTTTATATACAGTATACCTGCCCTTTAAAAGTGAAATAACGTGCGTTTATTACAACGCTTTTTAATGTTAGAGCACGCACCTCACGAAAACGAAAACTTGTCATCCTCGCTAATTTACCACAAGTTACGATGATAGCAGGATCAGAATTGTTTTCTACTGAGTTTTGTTTTCGGACCCGTATTCTTGCTTAAAGTATTTCCTGTTTACAAGCAACTTATCGTCCTGAAGTCTCGTTTTCAAGCTCCGAGGGGAATGCAAAAAAGTTTCCACTGACGAGGCGAGAGGAAGGCGAGCGCGAGGATCGAAACCCGATTTGTGTTTCTTGTACTATGAAATTACATTGAGTGGAATTTTGCTTACCGTTTACTTGTTACATGTATTGCTGACGTGTTCCTTGTTGAGGTTTCGTTTTCAAATCCACCCGAGCCAGAAAAATAAACTTTAACAAATTAAGAATCTTAAACGAATTATTACACTCTTTCATTGCAAAGTTTTCGATATATCGCGCGTTCTGATCAGCTGAAACATCGCGTTTTATTTGCACAATGACTGACCAATAAGTTAACGCTTCTCTCGCTTTTTTTGACACACCTACTACATGACCTGAAAATCGAATGTGATCACGAGCTTTTCGCTTCAGTTTATACAAAACTGAGGTCCTCAATGAGGTGATGTCAATGCGATGATGCCTTTTACAGACCATAAATTGAAGATCATCACTGGTATGGAGCAGGACTCCTATCTGTAAGGGGTGTATAGTAAAATGTATTTCCGGTATACAGCGGTGGGGACTGTTATCTGGGGCAGGGGGGGGGTGGGCAGCGGAATATAATCAGATGTAGTTCCGGTATACAGATAGTGGGAACTCTTTTCTGGGAGGAGGGGGGCGGAAAATAATCAGATGTTTTCCTGTTTACAGATGGGTGGGAACCTTACCTGGGAGGGGTTTATGATATAGCATAAGTCAAAACCATAGCAGAATTCTCTGATATGATAGGTTATAAGCAGCCTAATTTTAGTTATAACAGGACAGTGCTGGCGGCAAGAATGTAATTGGAGATGATATGATAGTTTGCGTGCATGAAATTATGAGCGGAGGATTTGCTTGAAGCAGTGTTACTTCAAAGATCATACCAAGCTTATTGTTGTCAAACACGCACACATGCATCCATTGATTTGTTTTGTGAAGAGATCTTATCAAAGGCAGTCCAAGCTCTGTAAGAATGATCGAGCACCCTTTCCTACTTTCTCCTGTCCTTTCAACCGAAGTAAGGTATTTTTTTCAAGCGAAAATTTACCTAAAATTCATATTTTTTGAATGAGGCTTCTTCTTTTTTAAATGCAACTTGCTATTTCAAAAATAACAAAGTATTCCACTTCAGCAATTAGTCTCTATAAAGGCAAACTACTCAAGGTTCTTTATAACGGTTTACTCGCTCATTATCCAATCGTTTCTGCATTGTTTCATGGATAGAAAGTTCGTAAGTAGATTTAATTACATGTAGACATGGACGTTATTAATTTAAAATTATTTGAACATAAAATTCGTTTTAAAAGTTGAGAAAAGTTGGTAGCGCTCTGCTAAGACGACCAGTGCATCGCGAAGAGGCTTTCTGTACTATGCAGCTCTATTAGAAGTCTCCGTCTGGTTGCCTTGAATGACAAATTCAATAATTTTATCGTTATTGTATGACTTTAAGTAAAACTGCGAACTTCCTTCATCTCGCGCTATCTGGTAGAGCAGAATTTCCTTATGACAATCTCTGACAGCTTTCAATGTTCTGAAATCTTTTAAAGCTGAGTCTGAAGGATTAGCCAATCAGAGTAGACAAAGAGTGACAAAGCCGTGAGAGGCTTGGGACATAAAGTTATAATGAAGGGCTTCAGTAATACACTGGCTGGCCCCTTTAATGAAAAATGATAAATTAAAGATTAAATAAAATTATAGATTAAATAAAGTTAATCATAAACGGATAAACAGATAAACGATTAAAAGTAACCAAAAAATCTCAAACAGTTGGAAAGGACACAACCCAACCAAGTTCAAAATCAAGCAAAAAAAATGACTCTTTGAAAGTATGAAAAGTAAGGACGTAACACAGCGGCGAGACAGCTTCGTGTTCTAGTGAAATTCGCTTTCTAATTTTGTTTTCTTACAGGTCTTGTTGACGTGTTCCTTGTTTTAGTTTTAGGAAGGGTGCGGCTAATAATCGGATCTATCTCCTGTCACAGATGAGTGGACCTGTACCTGAGGGGGCTTAAGGGGGGCAGGAGTTACGCGGGTGAAGTTTACGGGAGGGGCAAGAGTTTACGGTATAGCATTAGTCAGAATATTGTTCGTGTACATGGAAATACCGGCAGAGGAGTTACTTGTGGCAGTCTTAATCAACCAGTTATATCAAGCTTGTTGTTGTAGTCAAGCACAAATTTGAGCCACTTTTTTTTTCGTGGAGAAGAGATCCTATCACAGACAGCTTAAGCTCTGTAAAAAAGATTGGGTGGAAACCTCAACCCTCCCCACCTCACCCACTTCCTCCAGTCCTTTCAAGCACTAAGCTGAGTTAGGTTCAAGCAAAAATGAACAAATTTTCATGGTGCGTCAACCTTTTTAAAAAACAAAAAAACAAAAACAGCATTGGCAGGTTAGGATCAAACCGGTTTCCAGATAAAAAAAACACAGTATCCAAGTTTTTTTTTTTTATATAAAATTTATTCGCCAATTATCCAACATGCGTTTCCTGGATAACAATTTTGTTACTAGGTGTTATTACTTGTCGCAAGGGACGTTTCTGATTTAAAATAAATTTAACATGAAAGTTGTGTTAAAAGTTGAGAAAAGTTGACAGCGCCTAACTGGAAATATTAACTCAGCGTATCTCGAAGAGACTTGCTAATTGACGTGGCCTTACTCCAGTAGTATTCATTGGCTTGCCCTTTTCGTCAAATCCAACAATTCGCTGTGCACCATCCAGAAGTGACTTAAAGTAAAACTCATCACTACCTTTTGCCCGCCATATCTTGTGAAACAGAATTTTCGGATGGGACTTGTCTATGCCCCTCTTAGTGAGCTGACTTAGAGACACTGGCGGATCCTATCAGAATAGACAAAAATTAGTCCAAAATCAAAGCTGTAACTCAATCTGTATTGTATCATGCATAAGCGATAGATCCGATCGATAGATAATGAATTGAAATTGAGTGTAAATGTTAACTCTCCGGGCAATTGGACGATTGGCACGCACAGGCAAAACAGATGATAATTATGATATGTAAATTTAAGCCTCCTTATTCATTTAAAGAGTTGAAATTGTAGGGAAGCTTACGGTTATTCGTCGTACTTGCGGTGAATCTTAATCGTTTGTCTCATAATTAAGTCATTTGATAAGCGACTGGACAGGCGTCACCTTATCCATCGCCTTAAGAGGTCTTGCAGTATACCGTCAAAACACCCCGATCCACATCGGAATGGACTTCATCGAGAGTCAAACGAATTTATTTCACCACAAAGTTTAAAAGTTCTTTGATCAGTGACCAAAGATGATTAAATTTCTAGCTGACTGAAATGGTTTCAGTCACGCACCTCTAGAGTGACTTTGTCATCCTCTGTGTTAATGGCCACAACTTTGTGAGATTCTTCGTGCTCCAGAATAACAATAGTTACATCCTCGTTGTCCACATCCTGGGCTTCGTGGAATATAAAACTAGCTATAAAAAAAAGGATAAAGAGCCTTCATAGTAAATGAAATATTAAATGCCCTCAAGAGAAAATCAACAACTGATATTCTCTTCTTGCCCTTCATGATTCAAACATTCGTTGACGATTCACAAAATATTGCTATAATGTGGCTTTAATTCACTCGAAAAAGTTGAAGACCCAGGATTACACTTTCGTTAGCCGCTATGAATAATGTGGATAAACCTAATATTAATGATAGTATTAAAAATGATGTTAATGTCGTGCGCGAATGGTCTAAACGAATCCCATGACTGAATATCTCCCACCCACGTGATATTCTCCAATTTTCAAACCTTTCGTCCACCACGATAAGTCTTCGTTTAAAATTTGATTCAAGATCTGAGAGAACGTTTTGTGGTTGTTACATAAGGAGGGATATATTTTTTTGTTCATTAAGTCGTACCAGCGAATAGTCAACAGCTTCGCTCTCGGAAAACTGTTCGCATCTTGGAACAGGTAATGTCCGTGGACAAATATCCGTGCATATTTTGGCCCCAAATAGAGGATGTTGTTATACGAACTACTGATGACACAATAATGATAACCTGAATGACACTGATGATGATAACAGCAATGGTAATAATGGTAATAATATACCGTTTCACTGACTAACAATAAATTGCTTCCAAAGGATATCAACCGGGACTTAAAACATACCTACCCTTGTTTAACAACGCTTATAAATTCTTACGCGAATATTCTCGAAAACCGAAGGATAAAGTATGATATCTTTGACGAGCAATCTTCTTAACACCATATTATTATTTTTTCTCACCGTTGTTCTTGCCGTCTCCATCTGCTTTCAACAAACTGCCATCGAAATGCAAGTAGTGACCTGGTACGTTGCCAATTTCATTCTTTGAATAAAGCTTGTGCGTTCTCTTATCCCACTGGTAATCATTCCCATCTATGACCGTACATGAACCAGCAGTAGCAGTGGTCATTGTGATGAGTGATCTCTTCGCAACAAAAGCGCACTTCAGGAAAATCTCTGAAAAATTGCTTCCCGACGAAGCTATATCTATGACTGTAACATCTCTTTTATACACGGTATACCCGCCTTCCAAAAGTGAAATAACGTGCGTTTATTTACAACGCTTTTTAATGTTAGAGCATGCACCTCACGAAAACGAAAACTTGTCATCATCGCTAATTTACCACAAGTTACGTGGTGTAAATTTACGATGATAGCAGGATCAGAATTGCTTTCCACTGAGTTTTGTTTTCGGACCCGTATTCCTACTAAAGTATTTCCTGTTTACAAGCAACTTATCGTCTTGAAGTTTCGTTTTCAAGTACCGAGGGGAATGCAAAAAAATTACATTGACGAGGCCAGAGGAAGGCGAGCGCGAGCATCGAAACCCGATTTGTGTTTCTTGTACTGTGAAATTACATCAAGTGGAATTTTGCTTACCGTTTACTTATTGCATGTATTGCTGACGTGTTCCTTGTTGAAGTTTCGTTTTCAAATCCACCCGAGCCAAAAAAATAAATATTCAACAAATTAAGAATCCTAAACGAATGATTACACTCTTCAATTGTAAAGTTTTCTACATATCGCGCGTTCTGATTAGCTAAAACATCGCGTTTCATGAGAGTACAGATTTAAGAAGTAACGGAGTCAGTCCATCGACCAATTTGCACAATGACTGACAAATTAATTAACTCTTCTCTCGCTTTTTTTGACACACCTACTACATGACTTGAAAATCGAATATGATCACGAGCTTTCCGCTTCAGTTTATACAGAACTGAGGTTCACAATGAGGAGATGCCTTTTACAGACCATAAATTGAGACTTTCGCCTTGAAGGTCATTATTGGTATGGAGCAGGACTCTTATCTGTTATGGGTGTATAGTAAAATGTATTTCTGGTATACAGGCGGTGGGGACTGTTATCTGGGGGAGGGGAATATAATCAGATGTAGTTCCGGTATACAGATAGTGGGAACTCTTTTCTGGGAGAAGGGGGACGGAAAATAATATTCTTGTTTACAGATGGGTGGGGAACCTTACCTGAAAGGGGGTTTATGATATAGCATAAGTCAAACCATAGCAGAATTCTCTGATATGATAGGTTATCAGCCGGCCTAATTTTAGTTATAACACGACAGTGCTGGCGGCAAGAATGTAACTGGAGCTGATATGATAATTTGCGTGCATGAAATTATGAGCGGAGGATTTGCTTGAGGCAGCGTTACTTCAAAGATTATAATAAGCTTACCGTTGTCGTCAAATTAACAAACAGATTCCAAGTTGCTGTGCGTCTGTTCAGTAATAGATCACAGAGGACGTAAAATGTGGTAAGAACAAAAAAGTGGCACACGAGACGCAGCTGAGTGCGTCACTGATGTTCTTACCACATTTTACGTCCTCTGTGATCTATCACTGAACAGACGCACGGTAACTTGGAATCTATTTGTTTTATATAATAAAGAATTTAAAAAAAAGTCTTAATGATGACGTCATCTACACGTCTGTCCTCCAATAGATCATAAGTGAGAAGCAATCAGAATGCGTGCATAACTGAGCTTATTATATAACACGCAGACATACATCCATTGATTTGTTTTGTGAAGAGATCCTATCAAAGGCGGCCCAAGCTCTGTAAAAATGATCGAACCCCCCTCTCCTACTTTCTCCTGTCCTTTCAACTGAAATAAGGTATTTTTCAAGCAAAAATTTACCTAAAATTCATATTCATATTTTTTAAATGAGGCTTCTTCTTTTTTAAATGCAACTTGCTATTTCAAAAATAACAAAGCATTCCACTTCAGCAATTAGTCTCTATAAAGGCAAACTACTCAAGGTTCTTTATAACGGTTTACTCGCTCATTATCCATTAGGATTAGCCAATCAGAGTGGACAAAGAGCGACAAAGCCGTGAGAGGCTTGGGACATAAAGTTATAATGAAGGGCTTCAGTAATACACTGGCTGGCCCCTTTAATGAAAAATGATAAATAGATTAAATAAAGTTAATAATAAACGGATAAACAGATAAACGATTAAAAGTAACCAAAAAAATCCCAAACAGTTGGAAAGGACACAACCCAACTAAGTTCAAAATCGAGCAAAAAAATAACTCTTTGAAAGTATGAAAAGTAAGGACGTAACACGGCGGCGAGGCAGCTTCGTGTTCTAGTGAAATTTTAATCAAGTCACTTTCTTAAACATTGGGGTTAGTTGCAGATCTTCACCTTTTCTGAGGTGCGTAACTCATTGCGCAACTCACATACTACTTGAGATCCATTACAACAAATGGAAACCCCGGCCCTCCTTCAACTGATAGAACAATAGCTGAACTAATTTATTATTTATATCAATACGCGATGCCTTTTTTTTTTTTTTTTTTTTTTTTTTATTGTCGTAGTCCAGTGTAGTGGTATTTTCTTTGTGTAATAGAGTAGTGTAATGTAAATTTATGCATGTAGAAATTTGTGATGTATCTTGCGTACTTGTAAAAACTGTAAAAACCCAAAGACAAATAAAATACAAAAAAAAAACTCACATACTACTTATTTGGCGATAACCATATATAACAACGTAATTTAGTATTATCATTGGTACTACTTTTGATTTTCGTCGATAACCATATAAACTAACAACGTTATAATACCAATTTGACTATACTCTCTCGCCGACACAGCGCCACAGTCTCTTCAGAAACTTATCAGCAACGGCAGTTGGTCACAGAAAAATTAAGGCGCCACCATTTTAGGAGTTTGAAAATGCTGACGTTTCGTCAGAGCAAACAAATCGAAACGTCAAATTTCGAAATCGAAACTAACGCTCAAATGAAACGTCACGCGTATTTGTGTTCAAAAGACATCTTTACGCGCCAAAATGAGCCCAAAAAGAAACTCTTACAAAAAATTCACCGTGATAAAAAAATAGTTACCTTATACGGTCCATAGCTTTACAGGCATTTAAAAAACGACAAATCTACTTCTAGAAGTAGACATAAACATTAATCTACATAACTAAATTAATACACAAAACGTAATAAAAATTACTCGACATAGATTCCGTAACACGATGCAAAGTTATACACAATTTCACAAGGCAACTAGTGATCGGGCCATTCAACACTCCGGGGTGAAAATTAACACTGGATACACACAGAAATCAGTATAACAACGGCATGACACGGGATACACATGTATACACGGGAAACGGTACAACAAGAGTTTCGTGGTGAAAGCAAAGTATTGCTGTAAACAAAAGTCGTCTATTTGAATTCGTTGTTACGAAGCTTTCTACACTTATTGTCACTCGGTGATTATCTGGGAATTATCCAAAGGCTATTTTAGCCTTTGGGACGCATTTTCGTGACCAATGCCTCTTGTGAAGGGGTAACTTTTACCGAGAGATTATGTATAAGAACCAGAAGGGGTGGCCGCTGTAGAAAGGAGACTTCTTCTGGAGATTCGGTCGTGATAAATGTCTTTCGGTTTCCGCGTTCGCATGAGGAGTCCTGGATTGGAGTAAGCACCTTACTTCCACAGTGCATCGCTTGTTATCTGACCGCTTACTATGTTGAAAAGAACCCACTTTAGCGAGTTATCCATCTCTAGGTTTACTACGTACAGCTACTCTTATGTACGTAGTAAGCGGTCAGATAGCAAGCGATACACTTGAAGTAGAGTGTGGTATTTTTATTGAGAATTTGGCTGATTTCTTTTTATTCCTAAGGGCGGTCGTAAACATTCCCATACAAACTCTTATAATTTTGCCATGACTCTTCTTTCGCAAGATGATCATCACACAGCTGGAGCTTGGGCCACCTGTGTCTCGACTTACGGTCTGCAAATCCTTTCAGTCGTGCAAAGCAAAGAAGAGCTTCAAAAATGTTTTCGTTCCCTCGCTACTAAAGTTAGCAGCATGTTAAAATGTTCTGAACGGAAGAAACGAATTCGGATTCCCTGTACCCTTACTACGTATCAGACATCTTGGATATTTGTAGCCGCCGAAGAGACGTGATCAAGAATACACTTATTCGTTTATCCAATTTCAGAGCCGAATGGAGGAACATAAGAAAAATATAAACGTTGTCTGCCGTATCGAAATGGAAGATAAACAAGGCAATAAATATATAGACACTGGATTTCTGTTCGGTAACGGCTGGGTCATGACGGAGGCTCACAACCTCCAAGACGGCCCTGAACAAAACAAAAGTATTCATAACTTTATCCGAAATGCAAGATATAATGTTACCCGTCACGTTCAAACTCCCGATTAACCGGCTGCAGAGAACGTGTTTCCAATTCAGAAGGGAATGGCGTTCCCACCGGAGGGGGATGATGCAAATTTTAAAACAAAGCTTTTGCTTTCGTGAAGCTGGGAGTTCCGTATGAATAAAGAAGACAAGAAGATTCGTACAGTTCTTGGGATAAGAGAGAGAAGGATAACCTTGATATAATTTACAAGGTTGCATCGCCACTTGTTCAAGCCTCATCACCACCACAACCAAAGCGAGGCAAGTCTGTGTACGCTGTCTATTATCAAGAAAGCAGTAGTAAAATGGAATTTAGAGATATAAAAGAGGGACAAGTGAGTACGACCTTTCCGAGCAGATTACCACTGCTTCACTCCGAAAGGGACGACAGGGTATTGCCCGAAGATTATTCTGGATGTCCAATCTTGGTCCCGAACCAAAGTGCGTATCATTTGGTTGGTCTATATTTTTCTGGTGATAATGATGATGCAGGTGCAGGTGCAGGTGCAGGGGCAGCTACTGGTGCTGGTGCTGGTGCAGAGGCAGGAGCAAAGGCAGGGGCAGGTGCTAACTCTGATGCTGGTGTAAGGGCAGGGGCAGGTGCTAATGCTAGTGCTGGTGCTGGTGCTAGTTCTGGTGCAGGTGCTGGCGGAGGTGCAGGGGCAAGTGCAAGGCAAGTGCTGTTGCTGTTGCTGTTGCTGTTGCTGGTGCTAGTGCTTGTGCTGGTGCTGGTGCTGTTGCTGGTGCTAGTTCTGAGTCTGGTGAAGGAGCAGGGAGAGGGGCAGGTGCAGATGCAAGTACTGGTGCTGTTGCTGTTGCTGTTGCTGTTGCTGTTGCTGTTGCTGTTGCTGTTGCTGTTGCTGTTGCTGTTGCTGGTGCTGATGCTGTTGCTGATGCTAGTTCTGAGTCTAGTGCAGGGGCAGGTGCTGGTGCTGGTGCTAGCTCTGGTGCTGGTGCTTATGCTGGTGCTGGTGCTAGTTCTGGTGTTGGTGCTAGTTCTGGTGCTGGTGCCACTGCTGGTGCTGGTGCTGGTGCTGGTGCTAGCTCTGGTGCTGGTGCCAGTACCGGTGCTGCTGCTGGTGCTAGCTTTGGTGCTGGTGCCAGTGCTGGTGCTGCTACTGGTGCTAGCTCCGGTGCTGGTGCCAGTGCTGCTGCTGGTGCTAGCTCCGGTGCTGGTGCCAGTGCTGCTGCTGGTGCTAGCTCTGGTGCTGGTGCCGGTGTTAGTGTTGATATTGCTACTGTTGTTGGTGTAGCAGTTGGTTTTGATATTGGTTTTGGAATTGGAGCAGGTGACACTGACAGTGACGGTAACGTTGATATTCATTTTGACGTTGACCTAGATGCCGACATTGACGTGGACATCGATGATAAAAGTGACAGTATCGGTGATGACAATGGTGATAGAAGTGGTGGAACTGAGGCCTTACAATGGAAAAGAGTTTTCCAAGATTTTGCTCAAGCAGTGGTCTCCATCATAGGAACGATAAGTTCTTATTATTAGCGAAGGAACTGACTTACAGAAAGATCATACAGAGGATTGAATAAACAGTAGGAAAATAACGAAGTTACGTAGCCATTTTGAAATGTAGATGTTAGTGATTATAGCTCTACAGAGGCGACCATTAAATCTCAAACTACACAGAGAAAATATTTGTTAGCCATAGCTCCATATATATATTTCATAATCGCATCAATTTTCGAAAGATCAGGTTTGTTTCATCTGAGAAAGTGTAGTATTCAGAAACTCATGTAGATAACCTAGTATCATGCTACAAACGTCTGTAAACATAAACACCTACAGAAGGTAATTTCTGCAATAAATTTACCCATATACTGCTGCAACGGGAATTAGGTGTTGGTGTTGGTGATAAGTTTCTGTATATTGTTCTGTCTGCTTGGTTTAGCTCAGGCTTTTAGTTCTAAGATGCCTATCAAGGAATGAAACGAAATATCCTCACGGTTGATCTTCAGTCTTCAAAGAAACGGAAGGAGGCAGGATCTTTCAAGTTCATGGGACAAAGCTCAGGCTGTGGAATGGAATTCCTCTAGAAATACGTAAGGACACTATAAATCCTCTAGTTCAGCCATGAAAAAAACATTTCTTAGCATAGTGTTGTGAATAGAGATATCTATCTGTTTTGAATTAATTTTTTTTTATAAATTTTTAACTGTAGATGATAGATGTTTTGCGATTAATATTCATGCTTTGTACTCTTCTAAGTTGTTTCATGATCACTCGGTAGATTTTTAGCACAGAATGCCACTAGTTCATTGGTCAAACTGTCTTGTTTTACCCTCTCTTAATAAAAATCTATCCGGATAGATCATCTCAGGAGAAATGGTTTATCGGCTTGTTCAAGGCGGTTATGGCCGTTCTGAAGAATTACGGACGAATGTGTGGCTCATTTCCCCCAACAATTGTATTTAAAGTCATGAACGAAAACAATTTTACTTAATTCATTTGCAAACAAATACTTGTGTAGGGTTTTTGTCAAGGAAAACTTGTTAGATTGTGACTTCCCTCCAGCTAAGTCTGTTTTGATGGAAGCCATCTAAATAACAAAAGTTTCTGTATGTTGTACTTACTGCAACGTCCTTCTTTAGTAAAAAAAAAAAAAACTTTTTTCATACCAGAATAAGAACGAGAGTCCTATTTTCCAGGTCGTTGAACAAAGAAAGATTCCATTGGTTTTTTGCAATCGGTAAGAGAGAGGAAAAATTGAGTTTGCCAAGCAAACAACCTCGAAGTTGCGATCCGCCGCCCTAAGCACTAGCTACAGAGAACCTGTTGGTGAAAAAACCCATATTCTACGTTCGAATATGACAATGGTCCTGTATCTACTACGGTCAGCTATATGAGAAAGTAGAAAGAGAAACGTTTGGACTCCGGCAGCAGATACGTCACGAATTTAAGAAAATATACGACATTTTTTAAAAACATGTTTCGAAAGTTCCTCTGTCATCTTCAGTTCTGATTTACATAAAGTACAAAGTTGAATTTAAAGTGTATAACAAAATGCTCATTGAAAAAAACAAACAATAATAAGATATTATTATAGGAAATTTTAAATTAACATAATGAAGTTGATGATTTAGTGTAGGTTGCTCCCATCGAATGCGAATAGCTTCTTTGATTTTAGATTGGAAAGTTGTGGAAACGTTATGTGAGGTGATAAAACACTCATCAGAACATAGGGTGCGACATTGTTAAGAATTTGGAAAAAGAGAAAGGTGTTAATTAATGAGGTCAGTTGAAGATCTGAAGGGGAGATCTGAACGGACGATTCCTCGTGACAAATCGGACGACATTTGAAGCCGATTTCTAAGAATCCTCCTTGTCAAGCAAAAGAGGAAAAAATTTTGAAACAGGAAGTCGCCGTACTGTCGATCAATAGGAATGAACTCAATCTTTCTCCTTGATGTTGACGTACATGACGTCATTTTAAGTCACGTGACGTTTGTCACGATCTGAACGATAGAGGACCAACTGGAAGCAGCTGTGGCCTTTACGTAATAACGTGTGGCGCTAAGCACATTTCTTCTTTACGTTCATATTCTTCGAAGCTTCACCCATCTGTTTCGTAATCGAGTAAAAGTTACTGACCAGGGAAGTGACTATGTCGACAAATCCATCGGGGAATCAACCGCCATACCCTAATCAGCAACCAACGACTCAATATCCCCCTGCCATGTTCAACTATGGCTCTTCTGCCGTTGGCTACCCTCCGCCTTCTAACCAAGCTGCTTATCCCCCGCCGGTTGAAACAGTGCCTTACAATGCACCTTACCCTGCTACAGCTCCTCCACCGTCTTATGAATCGGCTGTCGGTGATGGAAAATCAGAGAAAGCGCCCGGGAATTTCTCGTATCAATCGCAACCATTTCCAGCAGCTCCAATGACAAGCTATCCGACTTACCCTTCATCGTACCCTGACGTAGAATATGGGCAAACAGATGAATCGCACTTCTCTGAGATCATCAGTTTTAATGACAAATCCGTAAGGCTTGGTAAGGTTTATTTACTTATTTCTTTTTTATGACCGATATCTCTAACAGTATTTCGTTCAACCGAACCACGTCTCAGCTTCTAAATATTACTCATAACGTCATGTATTGTTACAGTACTCGAAAGTGAAATTTGTGCTCTAGTTTCCCCTCAGTTAATTTGGATTTCATCTTATCATAAAGAGTATACATGACTGTCGTTTCAAAATTTGCCATTCATTCTTTGGTTTAAAATACGATTTGTTGCAAAACATCGGTCAAAATATAATGTAAACAAGCTTATATCAGAGGCACATGAGGCAATATTAATATATTGCTGTCGATTTAAATTTGGTGATGTAGTTCATTGTTTTTTGTTCCTATCATTTTAGTAAAATTGTCGATTTCAGAATTATGAATTGATTAATTCACATCATGTACCCGATGTTCATGTAGATGTGTAGGAATAACTCCCAGAATATTGGACAATTGGCATGTTACAGTAATTTATTACTAGCATAGTCATGTGTTTAGTCGTGTGGCGAAAAAATTGTCGTACATAATTCTTATATTGATTGGCATAATAAAGTTTAACTTGTTATCATTTATATTTAATTTGTTAGAAATCAAGTTACAATTAAAACTAGTATAACTGAAGCTAGTTTCAGTTGAGTCCATTATAATTAGGGCAACACCATACCAATTGGCAAACACGTGTTCTGATGTAGATTAGTTTTTGAGTTAACCCTTTACCTCCCATGAGTGACTAAGAGAGAATTTCTCCTTACAATATCAATAAAATATCAAGCTTAAAAGTGATGAGAATAAAGTAAAATATCAATGAAGGGATTATTAATTGATCCAATACCAAATTCTCCAAATTTACATCATAAGAAATGTATGACAGACAGTAAGGAGAATTGCTAATGAGATCTTGGGAGTTAAAGGGTTAATGATAATATTATTAGATCTAGAATTACTTAGCACAAAGAATATGCTTGAAGAAAATGGCCCAGTAGGTAAAAAGTTATTGTGGGATGTATTTGGGAATAAATGAAAACTTTCCGACAAAAATTGTAATAAATGAATATTTCTTGAATAGAATTAATATTATAATAACTGAAGTCATAGAATTGACATTGTTTTAACTTAAGCATAGTGAATGTACTCCTTTTATAGCAATTATATCCTCATATTTTTAATACTAAGATAAGTCTTGTGTATTAATTAAAATTTTTTTCTTTCACTGGATATGGCTTGTGTCATGCACAGGATTTATCAGACGGGTGAGTACACACACAGTTCACTATTTTTTAGCAGCTCATAAGTTGTAGCATCTCCCATTATTGGAAATTTTGAAAATTTTCAGACAAAATGCCCATGAATTTGGTAACAACATGTATAAGAAAGTGTATGTGATTTATAAAAACTTGCAAAGACTGTAAGCTATCAAGTGGTTTATAGGGAGAGTTAAAATTGTGTCAAGTGCATCATTCATGTCTGCTACTGTTTTGAATTATTGTTGTACCTCTAAAAATTCCAGACTTAAAATGAAACATTTTCTAACTATAGTCCCATTATTGTAAAGGAAAATTCAGAGGGTGATGGACAATTTTAATAACTACACAAGACACTCTAACCTGTGAGTGAAAGGACCAAGGGCTACTGTGATGACCAGCATCTAATTTCTCCCAAAAATACCATCCCTGAGTCAAACATTAAGGTCACAAGAATAAAGGAAATGATCATCAACTAAAGAAACTCTTGATTGTTATACAAATTCTCCTTGTCAGCAATCAGGAAATGTACAGAGAACTGTATGGAGAATATTCATACAGATATTAGGGTGTAATGGGTTAAAAAAATAGGAGATCAAATTTGAATGTGATTTTGGATTTTAAATTGTAAAATTGATCTTTTTTTTTTCTTTGACAGGTTTTTGCTGTGCTTATGCTGCAACTAGCAACAACTGTTGGAGCAATTTGTTTGTTCATATTCAAGTAAGAATTTTTCTTTTTTATGTTGTGGATCTCAGATCATTCAAATTATACACTTTTAATAACACATTACAAAGAGTTGAAAAATTCAAATTACCAGAAATTAAAAATGTATCGTCATTAAACATTTTCACTACATGTAGTATAATTAACAATTTTAGAACTGAATATGAACTCCTATGACAGTTTTTCACTCAACATGGTTAGTCTGGGCTATTAAAATCTTTAATATTAAGATTTCATCAGGAAATTTCTCCATTATTCTCTGCCATACAATTCTTATGATATTTCTTTGGAGAAATTATTATTGAATCAACTTCCAGTATATAAGCCCCTTAGTGATAATTGTCTTCAGTTGGTCACTCATGGGAGTTGAAGGGTTTAAAACTGGATTAAAGATTTATGATTAATCAATTTTTTTTTGTGTGGAACAAGAATATTATCTCAGAGGCAAAGCAGTGAACCTTGGCAATAATTTAAAGTGTTATCTTGTCAGATACAAATAGAAACTTGAATTTTGCTAGACACTATATCAAATATGTGGGATTCCTGTCATCATTTCACATGTTTGCAATGAATAAACAGCTACAGAATTTCTTATGCAAACATTGTTGCTCTCTTTTGCAGTGAGAATGTTAAATTTTTTGCACAAAATAACTGGGCCATGTATATTTCTGCATAGTAAGTAAATGTATTTTAATTAACCACCTTTGTGTGAATGTTTCAAGTATATTCTCAATATTGTTGCTTAAAAACATGCAAAGTAAAATATGGTTTGATGCTACTCTGGTTTACAGATTTAGTAAATGTAACTGAAGAAGTTACAATTCATAGACCCAATGTTTTGACACTCCTGTCTAGTGCCTTCATCAGGGGCGATCTAACACTGCAACAAAAAGGTCATTTTATACAAACATCAGTTTGGTACACGTTTGAAAGAGCATCAAAAAGCAGTTTTCTTTCACAAAAAAGAAAATTCAGCTTTATTGGAGCACACATGCTTAACTAACCATACAATTGGGTGGGATAAGTCTAAAATTATCACCACTAATTGGTGTTAACACAAGCACCTTTGTTTGGAAACTTTGCATATTAACTCTACCCATGCTCATTTAAATCGTGATGATGTTGGCTTACTTCCTGATGCCTATTTACACCTTGTCAGAAAAAAGGCAGCTAATTAGTGATTGTATAAAAGGACCTCTTGTTGCAGCATTTAGATCACCCTCCGTGAAAGGACTAGAGAGGAGTGTCAAAACATTGGGTCTATGAACTATAACTTCTTCGGTTACATTCATCAAATCTTTAAACCAGAGTAGCATTAAACCATGTCTGATTGTCCACCTGGTTGCCATGTGAACTTTAATATAAAGTAAAATCAAATATCAAATGAAAGCAAACTCTCATCTTGAATTCCAACTGACTTTTCTGTTTGGTTTCATTTCAGTGTGGTGTTCTTTGTGTTGTATTTTGTCTTGGTATGTTGTGAGGGAGTGAGGTGAGTTTAAGAAAATTGGTAGTTTTAAGTACTGTTCTGCTTAAAACATTTATATAGTCATGTTGTTAAGCTTATGTATATAAATATATATCACAGTTTTGCTGTTTTTTTTCTGTCTGTTAGGAGGAGCTATCCAGCCAATGTTATTATGCTTTCTCTCTTTGTAAGTATGATAAAGTAATGAAAAAAAAAATCAAGAAATTGCCCCTTGTTTGAGATACAAGAGTTAACAGAGAGTTATTTTCACTAATTGGACATCAATTAATTTACATTATGATATTAAATGTTTTCTTTTCTTCCAGACATTATCTTTGTCTTACCTTGTCGCAGTGATTTCCAGGTAGGAAATTTCAACTTTGATTCAAGAATAAAATTGAGTTTACAAATCTGAAATTTTCCAATATTTGTGATATTTTATGACTTTGCATTCAATTTTTGCTCTTCTTGTGAAAATGTTAGGCAAATAATACATACAATTTTGAGGATTCTGATCTTAGGTATTACACCGATTCACAGTTCCTAAGCTCCATCTCATTTAACCCTTTAACTCTCATGAGTGATCTAGATAGAATTTCTCCTTACAATATCAATACAAGATCAATCAGATAAGTAATGAGAATAAAGAAAAATATCACGTTGGTGATAATTAGTTGATCCAATGCTAATTTCTCTGAACTAACATTATAAGAATTGACTGACTGTACAGTTGATAGTAAGGAGAATGACAAATTTGATCTGGGAGTGAAAGGGTTAACATTACACAATAAAGATATTGAATTATTGGGTTATTTTTTTACTAGTTTACAGTGTTTTTTTAATCTATGACCTTCAAATAAAAAATACGTTAATTTGATCTGATTAAATTTGATGATATAATAGTTCCAATGAAAATGTTTTGTATTAAACTTGGGTTCCCAGAAATGTGGGATGAAAGAGTTAAATCCACAAATAGAATATATTAATTTTGAAGTTATTAACAATGCTGGTCAAGTTGCTTGAATTGAATACCCCCTCATGGTACCTTTGAGCCTCAGTTTCAGTAAAGAATAAGTTTTAGTAGATGTAATTATAGTTCTACTTGTTAATCAATCTTGTACAAAAATTATTGATTATCATTTGTGTTACTTGTCAAACCTACAGCTTCCACGAGACCAACATTGTGTTAATCATGATGGGAGTGACCACTGTAAGTTATTTTGGATGCCACATTTAATTAACAAAATTTGCAGATTATCCTTACAAATACCAGGGAACTGAAAGACAAAGTCTTTGAGACTTTCAAATGAATGCATTGGAGAGTCAATGCCAGTCTGTCTAGGATAACATGAATCCAAGTAATGCTCCCTCATGGATAGGTTGCTGGTTTAGTCCCCTGTAGACAACCCCCCCCCCCTCCCCCTCCCCTTAATCCTTTATCACATAAGAGTGACTAGTGTCTAATTTCTCCCTACAATATCTGACCTGAATCACATAGTAAGGTCACAAGAATTAAGGGAATGATCATCAACTAATTTCTCCCCACAATATCTGACCTGAATCACACAGTAAGGTCACAAGAATTAAGGGAATGATCATCAACTAAAGAAGCTCTTGATTGTTAAACAAATTCTCCTCGTTAGCACCTTGGGAAATTTATAGGAAACAGTGTAGAGAAAATGCACAATGGTGACAGGGTGTAAAAAAGAAATGGTTAATAAAAGTTCATAGGGAGGAGAGAGGCATTGTGAGTGCTCAGAGTCTTGTTAACGAATGCAAAGAATGACCCACTCGGGACCTTCCCACCAAAAGGTTCTTAAGATGCCCATACAGTTTGTTAATATGGGTCTGAGAGAGCCACTGTGGGAACTGAAAGTCTTTTCCCAAGAACCCACAATCAGGGTAACTTGAGAGGACTTCTTTGTTGGTCTGGTCTGGTCTCCTCCTCCAACAAAGAAGTCCTCTCAAGTGGCTATCAGAAAAAAAAGTTAATTTCATGCCCTGAAGCAGTGTGAGAGCTAAAATGGTTTTGCCCAAGAACACAACCCAATAATGCAGCCTTGCCTCTGAAGGCCAACTCCTTGTTCCAGAGTCCACCATTGTTTCAAGTATACCTTAAAGCATATACTCAGATGTACAATGTAATTAATGAAATTATTTCTTAGAGCTGACACTTTTTTTTTCAGCTGGTCTGTGCTTCTGTTATGATCTTTGCCTGTCAGACCAAGGTAAGTCTTGCTGTCAATTAACATTTTTGTTAACTTTTTCACAGATGATAGTAAATTTTGCAATTTCAGCATGCAATTACACAACTACAATACTAAGAGAAACCCTAATTTAGGGCTCTAACATGTAATTATGTTAATAGTTTTTTTGAATGTTACACCATGTCTTTGGCTTTTTCTCCTTTAATCATTCTTAAATAAGCCATGGAGTCTTGTTTGTTTGTTGTGAATTATTTTTTACTAAACGAGATGAACCAAGATCATTTTGTTGACCAGAACCAAGGGCAACATGTTTTAAAGTTTAACATGAATGTTGAGAATATAATCTAGGCAAAAATTCCACATTTATGGTTTTTTTAAATTTTTTCCATAGTATGACTTCACCACATGGGGTGGAGTGCTTTTCTGTGCAGCTCTAGCCATTTTCTTCCTCAGTATCTTCACTCCCCTTTGGTTGGCACTTTCAACAACGGTATGTGTGATCATGCATCCAAGGGTGTTGTTAGGAGAGGTCCTTGGGTGTGCATGACCCCTCCCTCCCCTCCCTTCCCCTTGTAAGCCTTTTTTAGTCACACTAAATAAAACACGGCATGAAGTTAGAAATGACAACTTGGTGAGTACCCTCTGTTTGACACAATGTGACCCCCCTTTAGAAAAATCCTGGTTATGCTCGTGATGTACATGCATCTTCAGTTGCTAGTCCAGGCAACCACCAATGGACTGTTTAAATTTGATCCTAGTACAGGATTAACTACATTTTGTTTTTGTTTTTTTTTAAGTATAAACCAATAAAGTATTATTATTTTTATTTTTATTTTTATCATTACAATTTTCAGGAGCTAGATGTTGTTGAAAAGTAGACAGGATTGACTTTTGCCAATATTGTTTTAAGATTAAATGTAATTACATGTACAGTTGTACTCACAGTATATGTATTTTAAGATAATTTTTGTTGCTTTATTGAATAACAGGCTGGAAAGATTGTCATTGGTGGCTTATTGGCACTGGTCTTCGTTGCAGTAAGTAAAATGTTCTCAGTTATGACGTTAACAATTTTTTTTAATCAACTGAAATGAGTTTTAAATAATTATAATTTTAAGTATGACAACCTTATTCATATATTTTGGCAATGAAATTAACTTCTACCAATTGACAATAGAAGTAAACAGTGTTTATTTGGAGGAATGCTAAGGGTACTTGGCTGTTTTAGTGCAAAAGATTTTTTGTCTTTATACCGTAACAGAAGGAAAAACATTGTATATAAAGGAATTTTGTGTGGTACTTCAGAATAAAAAAGGTACAATAACCATGAAAAAAACTGAAATCTTAACCCTGATCTCTAAGAGTGCCTAGCGCCAAAGTATTTCTTACAGTCTCACCCAGAATCACATTAAAATTATAAGTTCATGAGAACAAAGGAAATGATCACCAACTGAACGAGCTTTTGGTTGTTGAATAAATTCTCCTTGTCAGCACTTTAGGAAATGTAGAGGAAACAGCATGGAGAATATGCACACTGATGTTAGGGTGTAAAGGGTTAACCATTCAATACTTGTCTGTCAATAGTTCCTTGCCTATGACGTGCAACTGGTGATGGGTGGCAAGAAGTACGAGTTGAGTCCAGAGGAGTACATCTTTGCATCCTTGATTCTGTACATGGATATCATTCGCATCTTCTTGTTGCTTCTGGCAATATTTGGTCGTGGAAGCAACTAAACAATGTCAGCAGTATCTAACTATACTTAGGGTGTGCCCAAAACACTTTATAAATGGTAACCCCCCTTAGTCTAATTGTAGTAATATTTTTTTAGCGCATATGATCATATGCAACATGTGTATTTGTGCTTCAGAAATATGAAATATTATTATTATTATGTTATTAATAGTAGTAGTAGGAATGAATCCCTAATAAGCATGCATAGATACATTTTGTATATCTACCAGTTATACAAGATCTAATTTTAAGTGATTTAGTATGAATAATTTTTTTGTGTCTGATAATGCCTAAGTTAAGATTTAATTATTATACAAAGTTATCATGAACCCCAGTGGCTAATGAAGTTAGAGATATCCAAGGTACTGTAGGGGAACTATGCAATAATCTAAGTAAGTTGTTTATCAGGAAATACTCAGGATTTGTAGCAGAAGAATATTGTAAAGTTCTGGAAGAATTTTCTCCACTTCCCTTTTTAAAGGAAACTTCCTATGGTAGAACAAGTTGCCCTAAAAATGATGAAAGTGACTTGTATTATAAAGAGATCATGAACAAATACAGGCAGTTTTATTTCTTGAATTTCCTGGAAGGCACCATCTTGGCCCACATGATGAACAGTTGCCACTATTTCCCAGACAATAGCTCCTTTGTTTGCACGAGTCCTTAGAGGACAGATATCAGATACTACTATATGATTCACCTAAGCAACACATGTAGAGTTACAGTTTGAAACAGCTAATACCTGTTTTGCATTTTTTTCACTCCAGTTCACTTCCTATTTACAGCCAAACATTTTAATATAAAATATTACTTTTGGTAATTTAATGACTATTTGTTTTTGTTCCACAAGTGGAGGTTCCTTCCAAAAGAGCCCTGGGCAAAATGTGAAATTCAACCAAAGAATCCTGTGCTTAAGGAGGAGACATATTTAATCTCTGCTGTCCAACAACATCCTAAGTATGAGTTGATCAATTGGAAGCTTCAATATCCCCCCTTGGAAGGATATTGAACTCCTGGGGGGGGGGAGAGAGAGAGGAGGGACAACACTTGGCACATCTATTATAAAGATGGAACTTGTATGTTAATTTTTTTTTAATAATTCAGGAAATGGAAAACTGTGCTAACATGTATGAATTAGACTAAGAGTGTAAATGTAAACTGCTTTTTTTATGTAATGGCCTTTAAAAAGCAATGTCTCGAACATGTGTAAGAGTTATTTTTTTGGCATTAAAAAATACTTATTGTTTGTTTGTACTAAGTAATCTGCATATGAAATATAACAATAAAGTTTGTTGCAAAACTATCTTTTTTATGGGCCATCTCTACTTAAAACTGTATAATTTATGTGAAAAGATCACCTCATACATTGTATGACCCACCACAGTGAGTTTTGATTAAACTGTTTCTTGATTGCAATAGTGATGGATGCATTTACAATGTACAACACTATATGTGTACTTAATTGACCTTCCCCCAATGAAGCATTTCAGGGCCACAAAAAATAAATTGGAAACAAAAATTCTAAATAGACATACTGTGTTTAAAAATCCCAACCAGCAGGAGGACAAGTTTGCTATATACAAAGCAAAGCATTTAAACTCAGACTGGTTTAAAAGTCTTGGTTTGCTTTTTGTCCTAACTTCAGATAAAATAATGTCACTCAGTTTAACTGTGAGAAAATTTTATCCTTGAATAAGCAGTGAAACCTTAAAGGACAGTAATTTCACATAAGAGATAAGATTGTCTTCAATTGGCCATTTCTTGGGGCTGAATTTGATGAAACAATGAAGAAATGTAAAATGGTTTCCATGTTTACATAGCCTGATGTAAACATGCACGAGGTTGGGAGAACACAAGATAAGTGTAGGAAACCACAATGCTAAGCGGAGTGGTTTCCAGCTTATCAAGTGTTCTCCCAACCTCCCAAGTGTTTACATCAGGCTATGTAAACATGGAAACCATTTTACATTTCTTTTATAAAATAACTAATGAAAGAGGAACGAAAACCGTGTTTACATACGCTCATGTAAAATGGTTTTATGGCCAATCAGAGCGTGTACTATTTGAATTATTTTATAATTAAAAATACTGGCCATGTTTCCTTCAGTTCTCCTTCATTTCTAAATCAGTTCTCCAAGAGCTTAGCCTTTAACGTGTTAAAGGGACCAAAATCAACTCAAAAGGAATCATTGTCCTAGGATCCCACTAAGATAACTACTAACTAAAAGTGGATCTGTGTTCATGAACCAGATCTCTAGCTCTGATGAACAGATGTAAACTGAATGATACCTGCTCAAGAATACACCTTCATGATGAAAGAAGGTTCCCTGCCTCCTAAGGAGAGGTGAACTATTGTATTCAGGGCATACTTTCCAAATTTATACAGTCCATGCTCAAGAAAAGAAACTCTCCTTTGAGTGAAACATGATGTTCTGAGAATCCAGTATAACAAATTCATAATAACTTGACTGAGCATGTTAAATCTTGAAAGGCCAAGCTCATCTGCCAGATCATCTCCAATGAAGTGTCTTGATAAACTGCTTGAGAAATTGTAACTGAGATAAAAGGGATTTTTGCTCGCAAATTCCTGTAAAAGTGCCTCAGTCAACACCACTGAATCAGGGTCTGGTTTGCACTGTCGCACTCTTATCATATTGCACAGTTTCCATTCTTCTTCATAGTTGTCACATAGTAAATCACTTGTCATTCCTAGAATAGACAACACTAACTCTTAGGGTACATGCTCTGAATCATTACTACTTTATACCCATGTCTCTTCTTACAGCAAACACATCTGGCAGACAGAACCTTCAAGAGCCATTCTCAAAGGTGCTTGTTTCAAAGAGCAGACAGTATTTATATTAGCTTTGATGACTTATATTTACACTATAATGTATTTACATTTATGCTAAGGAAATAGTTGAATTCAATGAAATTGCAAATTTTTCAACAAATTTGTCATCCCTCAAGAAAAGAATGCTTAAATGGTTGTAACCTTTATCTTAGTCAGAATTTTTTTCAAAACCCTAAACTCCCAAGATCTGATTGTTAATTCTCCCCTCTAACAGCTGTACATTTTCCTGTTATGGTGTTAGATCAAGATAACAAGTTCCACCAGATAAATTTAAGTAATCCTGTTTGCTAGATAATGAATGGATATTATAGGGCGAAGTTACCTGTTAATCACTTCTGGGAGTTAACGTGCCAAAGGAAGAAATGTGTGTTAATTTTTCTCAACCACTAGAAGCATATAACCAAGATTATATGCTTCTGGTAATATTTCAAGACAACTTTTTATACCATGTAGACACTTGTGATGTGACGGCATACATACAAGGGTACTTTGCGAAACTCAACTGCAACAATTTCACTTCTTAAATTATGGCCCAATCACTCTCTGTGCTTACTTACCCATATAAAAACCAACATATTTCCACAAATTTTGGTAAGCATCCTTTTCAGTTTTTGACAAAGAAACACCAAGAATTTCTAATCCATCAACTACAACAGATGAAAATGTAGACAATGTACCAGCTAAATCCTCTTGGTTGATTGGACATCCAAACTGGAGAAAAAGACAAATTAAGGCAAAGAAGTATTGAGACTAAAGAAAATTATCAATTAGGGTATCATTACTAGTAACTGATCCAATACCAAATTCTCCAGCTAACATCGTATGAGTTGTTTGACAGACAGTAAGGAGAATTACTACTAAGTTCTTAGAGGTGAAAGGGCTAAGAGTGAGCATGATTTAGATTTCCTTGAAAGGATCACGTGTTGTTCATCAACAACAACAAAACGCAGTCAAGTTCTTTCGGTGGTACAAGGTAATTTAACTAGATTATACCTACATTTTCAATTTCCCACCCTCCGTCACGATGAAGAAGGTGACGGCGTACAGCAGCATGGAGCAGACGCACCCTCATGCAGGCCTCTTTAATTTCACTCGACGAACCAAGAACAACAGCCCTCACAAAGAAAAGGGTCTCAAACAGTCTTCGGCGAACATCTCCGTTAGGGGAAATGCGTCCCGTAGCTGACAACACCTGTTATATAATATTTAAACAAAAATACATAAATGATAAAATTATTAGTCGTGTCACTGACGTCTAGTTGAAGAACAGTGGTTTTTAGAGTTCGTTGCTATGGTCACTCTGACGGATATCTATGTGTGTTTGGAAAGCGTACATGTGTACAAAAATTTTACGATGTGTCAAAAACATAATTATGTTGGTGTCCAATATGACACCAAAATTATCCAACCACTGATCAAACAGTCTATAATAATATACGTACCTTATTCCCATAGGCAGCGGTGAATGAGGAAATAAGACTACCATACATGAGAACAAGGCCGGCGAAGACACTGTTTCGGACAAATACCCGCCTTCCTAACTCCAACATTTGCCAATCAACTTCCCATGGAGGTTCTTGTTCATAGAATTCGATAAATCTCGCGCAATGGGAATCCTCAGAGAGTCTTCCAAGATCTTGGACAGCCTTAAGTACGTTATGACCTTTTATTGCTTTTTCACCGCGAACTCTCGCTACCTCTTCCATCGCATTATCCGCCAGAGGGTCGCATTCAAACCTCTTCCTGTTTAAATCCTCCTCGGAAATAGCCGACATGTTGGTTTGTTACACGCGCGTTCCCAGCTTTGACAGGTCTTTTTACTTCCTCGTTCAGTCACAAATCGCCGTCTGGGCTTTAAAGTGAATGCGTAGAGTTGAGCTTCTGAGCTGTTTATAGTTTAGTTTAAGTTTGTAGCGGTAATTTATGATTTTTTTTAATGCTTTTTCACCGCGAAAAAAATCTCAAGAAACGCATTCATACCTCTCCTTGTTTCACTCCTTCCCGGAAATGGCAGACATATTGGTTATTTCGAACGTATTTTGGAGAGGACCTGGCACTGCTGCAAACACAAACATCCCAGGTAACCTTGCAATATAAAAATTAAAATGGCGGAGAAGTTGAGCATCCTTGCTTTAACGTCTAAACCATTCTAGTTTTACAAAACTTACTCAGTACTGCGTTATTTTATACTTTCCCCCTGCAATACTGTGCAACCTTCAAGATGTTTGCCAAGTTTATGAACAAGAAGGATTTCCACCCAGGCTCTAAGGCTAACATCAAAAGGGTAATTTTGAGACCTGCTCAGTAAACTTAAACATGCGCATTATTCTTTCTTTTCCCTTAAACGCACAATCTTTTTCATCTTAAGCACACAAACACGTTTCATAGTGCCCCTACTACCGCCAGGATCATTAAGACATGAGTAACCAATCACGGAAGTTGTTGGAAACGAACAATGATTCGAACTTATGATCAATTAAACTGTTCCAAACAGTGTTAAATTTAGTAACAAGGCAAGCAAAGATGACGAAGGGTGAAGGTGGTATTCATTGCTCGTTTTCTGTATTCAGATTGGTCAATTTCTTGTAAGTGACTTCAACAATGATAGTTGCTTTTTGTCAAAATTATTTCTGATTTTTTTTTCTTAATTGCACACTGTTAGAAATATATATTAGACTTGACTTGGGATCCTTTCATAATTATCTAATTGTTCAGAAATTTCACTTATTGCAATTGCTTTGGGTAGTTTGTAATAGTTATGGATGGCAGAACAAAAATTGCTCGCTCCTGAGCAGAAAGAAAAAGAACTAGCTATAGAGCTCCAGTATAAAAAGGAACACATCGCAACTGATTTGGGTACCTTTGTAATAGGTATGGATGGCAGAGCAAAAACTGCTTGCTTCCCAGCAGAAAGAAAAAGAACTAGAGCTCCAATATAATAAGGAACAAGAAAGATTCAAGAACAGGTACAAAGTTTAATTAGAAAATATAAATTACTAGATACCTATCAGAAATTTTGTTGAATGTTTTAAATCTGGCATAAATAACAATGTGTTGCTGTAGCTAAAGAAAACATGGAAAGTCTGATGATTACTGCTACTGTAGTTGTGGCAATGTTAGTCACTGTTTCCTACCACCGTCCTTCCTCGGACTACGCTCACCCAGTCAATCAGACCACACAATTACTAGTGAGTGTTTCTTCTGGGTTCTAATAATTTATAGCAAAATCTTCTTAGAAAGCAATCCACTTTACTTGCATCTTTAAAGGGTCACTAATCTATTGAAATACCTTTTGATTTGTCTGTGGTTTCACAATCATATACAAGATTGTTGCTAATCACCAGCTGCTGGCAAAAATTTGCAGGATGAAAAAGCAGCAATCACAAGCTGGATTTTGTGCTGGTGATTCCTTGGTAATGCAAAATGAACAGATTTGATGTTATGCACTTAAAATCATTTGATATCTTTGAGCCACCTCACTTCAAATTTCAGCCAGCAGTGTGAAATCTTAGCTACAACCCTGAATATGAGCAGATGAAATTTAACACCCCACTGTCTAAATTGATAACTTCTCTCTTTCACCAGGCAAGCCATCAGTAATGATGAAAGAATCAAGTCTGGCTTAGATTTCTTATATGATGCTCCTCCTGGTTTCAACAAAGGTTACTGTTTTGATTGTAGAGTGAAGTCGAGATTTAGCATTCTTAAGAAAAGAGACTGAAGTTTAAAACTAGCTTCTTGTACTATGTGAGTGTGGGACATTCTACAATATTGTGCATTTAATCAAAATAAAATAAAAAAAAGAATTATACACATAAAGGAATGCTTTAGAACACCACAAATAAAATTAGAAAAAATTAATAGGGTTCTAGTGTTTGAATATCTTTGGCAAATTATTTGTTTTTAAATCAGTTTGAATTTTGTTCCCATTTATGTTGTAATCATTGTCATATTTTAAATCAAAACAATATTTGAACCACAACTTGTTTATTTGAACAAATGCACTCATGGATGCCTCTCTTTTTATTTGTTTGTTTCTTTTTGCACATGAATCAAATGCTGCTGCTGTGATCACTCATTTTAGATCAGAAGGTAAGCTTGAGTGTTGCACATTAGGTAATGAACATGACAGGTGTACATGTTAAATACTGCAACATGTTCATGTAAAGTAAACTTCTTAACAAGAAAAGAATTTGATACATGTAGTCAATAAATTTAAACCCTGTTATATTGTACAGTAATGGTACCAGAGATCTTTACCAGTACTGAAATCTGCAGTCAGGAATCTCACTATTGGAGAAAGAATTTTGGGAATGGCATTTACACTTTTAAAATGCATTGTTATCCTACTATAATTAAACAGATCACACAGCTAATTGTTTTCTTAGAGGTATTAAGTGATTTTTTTGTCTTTTTTTAAAGGTACCAGAAGAGGAAGAGGGAGCGGTGAAATTTGAATGGCAGCGTGGAGCCCCAAGAGAGGCGTATGTACCCTAATGACCTAAAGATAGAAGAAGACATACAGCTCTAAAGTTGCTAAATTTCTTCACTGCAAAACCTTTTTCCTTTTTTTTTTTTATTACAGGTATGCCAAGAGTTTGGGCATTGAAGCTCGGGATCAGCCCTTTGGGATCGCTGTAAGCCTGTCATGATCTTGATCCTTTCTTGTTCTCTCATATATGTGCTGTTTTGGTACAAATTTCATCCTCTTGTCACAAGTGTGGGAAAATGAGAAAATTCCATGAAGAATCAACCCTCAGACCTTTAGATTCCACTCTCCCATGCTCTACCACTGAGCCACAGAGACCCTATGGTGAGCAAGGCACACGTCCAGCATAACGCTAGGATCAGCTATGTCAACCCATGAGGACTCAGATTATTTTCTTTGTCCCATGCTCGTGACAAGACAAGATGAAAAAAAACATCTTTCTCTATTTCTTTACCAAGCTCAAAATTTACCATTTTTCTTATTCTTAACAAATTTTATCCTTTAGTTCTAATTCTGTAAAGTACACACGTATCTATGGCTCACGTTTATTCCTTAATCTGGTGTAGGTTCGCAATGTCAAGTGCATTAAATGTGGGAAGTGGGGTCACATCAACACAGACAGAGAGGTAGGTTAGTGGGGCATCATACTCTAACGTTCGTTATTTTCTTCTATCTTATCTCCTTTGATCTGATCTCAGCATATGTGTTACTTGAATGTATAATTATTTATGAAGGGGATATCTGTTTGTAGTTAGAAAGAAAATGACTCCTAGGACTTTGCTCGTGTGACTGTGATGTTTGATTGGGGTGTCTGTGAGGTGCGACATGTGCCAAGCGCGGATCTGGAGTGTGCTCTTCACGTGCTTAAGTCACAATTTATGCTTAACATAATAGTTTATCTCCCTTCCATATTTCATAAATTTGTTTGTATATAAATTATGAGAATTTGTGGATACGTGTTAATGAAGATAACACCTTTTAGTTGATGAGGGTTGATTGTTATCATTTGTTTGCAAGGAAATTTATCGATACTACAAGGCGAGGTTGCATGGTTATCCCTTCAGGAGATTGATTAGGAGAAATCTCTTATTATTATTTTTATACCCAGTCACAATGCGATGGGTGTAATTTTAAAATCGTGCCTTGTTTTGCTTTTTCTAGTGCCCGCTGTTCAACAAAAGTAAAAATGCCAATGTTGATCCAAGTCTTATCACAGGTTTGAAGATTTCTGTATTCACTTAACGCGTTGCCGTGTAGTACAAACGTTCCCTACATTAGAGGAAAAAACCCTTCACACATACCATCGATAGTCTTTTACGCTGCGCCCGTTGCCACACAATACGTCACATCATGCTGCCCTTTGAACACAATGAGGTCGTGTACAACAGCGTCAGCCGGCTCAAAAACGGACAGCGTTCAAAATTCATGCCCCAGTTCTTCAAACTGAGCATTGCTAAGTATCGCTGTCATGTGTATTTCAATGGCGGCTTAGTACCTGACGCCTATTTACACCTCGTCAGAAAAAAGGGCAGCTAATTAGTAAGCAATTACAAAAAGACCTCTCGTTGCAGCGATTAGATCGCCCCTGATGAAAGCACTAGACAGGAGTGTCGAAACGTTAAGTCTATGAATTGTGACTTCTCGGTTACATTCATTAAATCTTTAAACCAGAGTAGCATCAAACCATGTCTGATTGTCCACCTGGTTGCCTTGTGAACTTTAATATATCTAAAGAGCGGGCACAGTTTCTCGTTTACGTCAATGCCCGAACGCAAAGAAGAAAAAAATCATTATCGTTGTCTGGCATCAGGATTGAGTCAGGCCTTGTGTTACGTCGCTTTTCTGCAAAATTAATGTGAAAGCGTATCACTATGTTGTTTGACGAATAGATAAACATAGTCTAGTTCATGAAAAGCATAGAGGGACATTTTTCTTCGGAATCAGACAACTTTCTAACCTTTTTGTTGGATACCTTTTCTTACAGACATTGCAGACCCCATGAGGCTTTTAAAGGACATGCAATCTGAAGGCCTAACATTGAAACAAAATGTGTTAGGACGTGTCTTTGATCCAAGTGACCCAAATCAGGTGAGGAATACTTTCCAATCTAAGAACCATTTCGTTTTTGTTTGCAGAGTGCCTGAAATCTTAATAACTGATAACTGAAAGCAGAACAAAGATGATATCGTTTTGATAGGTTCCCTAACAGCAAACTATCGTTTTTTGACTTTCATTATCCTTTCAGACACTTAAACTTTTCTTGTTTACCGCCATTTTGGCGGGTGGTCGCGGGCTGGCACTTGTCGCGCGAAGAATACCGCTTACAATTGACAGACCGAATTCGTTCTTGGCAACAGCGGTTGTAGTTAAGAGTGATCCCTTTAATGAGATATTTTGTCTGTTTTTGCAGCAAATTGTGGCATCTGATGACGAGGGTGAAGACGACGCAGAAGCCGCTTTCTTAGCTTCTCTAACGGAGAAACAAAAGAAGAAATTACTGAGGTTTGACTTCATTTGTAGAATTCTCTTATTTCGCCTTTTCTTTCTACGAAGCTTAATGGGAGGGGCATGCACAATCTTGAACATCTCGACAGAAAAAAACAAAAAGAAAAACAGAACAGAACAGAACAGAACAGAACAGAACAGAACAGAACAGAACAGAACAGAACAGAACAGAACAGAACAGAACAGAACAGAACAGAACAGAACAGAACAGAACAGAACAGAACAGAACAGAACAGAACAGAACAGAACAGAACAGAACAGAACAGAACAGAACAGAACAGAACAGAACAGAACAGAACAGAACAGAACAGAACAGAACAGAACAGAACAGAACAGAACAGAACAGAACAGAACAGAACAGAACAGAACAGAACAGAACAGAACAGAACAGAACAGAACAGAACAGAACAGAACAGAACAGAACAGAACAGACAGAAACAGAACAGAACAGAACAGAACAGAACAGAACAGAACAGAACAGAACAGAACAGAACAGAACAGAAACAGAACAGAACAGAACAGAACAGAACAGAACAGAACAGAACAGAACAGAACAGAACAGAACAGAACAGAACAGAACAGAACAGAACAGAACAGAACAGAACAGAACAGAACAGAACAGAACAGAACAGAACAGAACAGAACAGAACAGAACAGAACAGAACAGAACAGAACAGAACAGAACAGAACAGAACAGAACAGAACAGAACAGAACAGAACAGAACAGAACAGAACAGAACAGAACAGAACAGAACAGAACAGAACAGAACAGAACAGAACAGAACAGAACAGAACAGAACAGAACGAAAACCAAGAGATTTTGCCAATGTTTATCGCGCCTCGTATTCTAGAATGGAATTCGTTCTACTTCTCACGCTTGTCAAATGTAATTTGAGGTGAAAGACGAAATCTCAGCTTTCCTTACTCTAATATTGCTAAAAAATTTATGTGATTCTGTTTTCGTACAGAAAATTGGATAGACTTGAACGGGAGGAAATGGAGGCACAAAGTGGCCATAAAAAACGTAAAAAGAAGAAGAAGAGGAAGAGGAAACGAAATTCTTCATCTGACAGCGAGGAAGAGTTAAGTAAGCAGAGCAAAATGGGATATCATTCCGAAAGTGATTCCTCTGACGCCGTAGAAAGAAAAGCGGGTAAGAAATCAAAGAATGATGAAAAAAGGAGAAAGACGAGAGAATCAGCAGAAAGGGATTTAGGCGAAAAGGACAGAAAGAGGAAAAATTCAGACACAGATAAACATCACGGGGATAAACACAGGCGGTCCAGAGATGCAGAAAAAGACATCCACGATCGCAGAGATTCAAACAGACGCTTAGACGATATTAAGGCACACAGACACTCCAAGGAAAGTGTAGCAGATGAGCAGAGACATCATGATAGTCACAGACATTCGAGAGATCATAAAACGGACAGGCGTCATAGTGAGACAAGGAGACATTCGAGAGACAACACGACAGCTAGGCATTCTAGGGATGAAAGAAATTAGACAAGCCTTCAATTAAAATAGGCCTCTTATAAAGGGAAAGATAGCGCACAGAAGGGACACCAGTGTTTTCTCGGGTGAATCCAGGCGCGAATCGGAACGAATTTAGAGTTTATTTGTACTGTCACACTAACGCAATTGAAAAACAGTATTCATCAGGAAATTTTGTTGTGTCATGTACAAGAGCAAATGTTTCTCACACACAAGTTGTCACAGAACTCCACGTATCGACCAGACTGGAATATTCTTCGAAATCGTATGGTACCAACTGTGTTTTCATCTGATGAAGCGGGGCGTTTTAAAATTAAAGTGAGTAGTTTATTGTTTAATATACCAAATATCTCCTTCCTGATTAGCTAATAACGAATAGACTGCATAACCGAATTTATTACGTACACTTGAAATTTAAGTTCAAATTTTAACAATCAGTTATTCAATAACCGACTGATATGCAATTCATCTGTCACAGACGTTGTGAATAACTGGTTCGAATAAATCGTGCGAGTATTTTTCCAAACCATTATAAATTTTTGTAATTAAGTCTTAATGAGTCACTTTTTGAGAACGTTCATGATAAATCACGGAAAGCATGAGAAGTTCACGCGTATGCATAGACCCACCCGGTAATATCGGCCATTATTGAAAGGGAATAAGTTTATTTCTATTTCGTGAAGAGAAAATATTGCCTAGGAAGAGATTTCGAGCAGCAGCGGAACACTTTCTTCTACATGCAAGGCATGAGTTTCAATGTTTTTTTTCAGTTATCTAAGCGGCTGAGCTCGGAGAGGCGAAACCCAAACGCGAGAGCGCTCGCAGGCTCAACACACTTTAAGGGGTTCCGTAGGCAACGGTAGACTGCTGATCACTAGCTTTTATTGAAACTGCTGAGAGTTTTAATTGCTAAACATTACATATCGGAAATCAGGTTACTTTGCAATTTTTTTCATCAATGGGTAGACACCTGAAAGAGCGGACTGCAAATGGAAAGGAAATTTTGAAGCAGGCCAAGCACGAAGCTATGAGTCGATCTAGAGGGTCATCGTAGCAAAGATTCATTAGTATTGCTCTTACGAGCGGCAAACCGTGCGAGATTTAAGCTGCCGAGCGTGCGAAAGTCCCGTGTAATGCAGAAAAAGACCGTTTGGTATAGCCGGGTTCATTTTCAAAGCTTTACGTAATTTTCATGTAGCATTCGGTTATTAATTCAAGCCTCTCAAGCCTTTCTCTCAACGTTCCACCAAGTTATGTTATTTAAATTTCGATAAACTGCGGAAAATTCTATCTACAAATTTTGTATTTCTCCTAACAAGCGTCATACCCGTTTCATTACACTGAGAAATCAAAACACCCCTTTTTTTTCGTGGCGATATATTTTGTAGTAACGTCGGAGAAATTTGATTTTGATATGTTCAATTTTTTGTCTTAATTTATTACCATTTACCAGTGTTTGAAACCGCCATGAACTAAGTTTTTTAACCCACAAAATCTTGATATGCAAACATTTGTCCTTTTAATCTAATTAGTAAAAAAGGAATAATTCATTCGTTCAAGCCAGCTGTCGATGAAAGGATCATTTTGTTCGATTGCCCGCAGTTGGAGAACTCGCCAATGAAAAGAGTGCTTTTACCATATGGGGAATTGATTGATACTTAACTAAGAAAGAAAAAAACGAAGCTCTTTTTATGGGAATCAAATATTGATGCTGCCACACCCTTTGAGAAATCAAACAGAGTTGAACACTTGTTGTCTCACACTAGAGCTGTTCAGCAATTTTTTACCATGAGGGAAATCGTGCATTTACAGGCCGGCCAATGTGGAAATCAAATTGGTGCAAAGGTAAGTCAGATTTTAGGAGATGGCAAATTAAAAATCAATTCAATTGCAGATTTTACTAAAATATCCCATGACACGTTGTCTTTAAAACGAACTGAAGTGAACATCTTTGATTAAAGAATAAAGACTGCCAGATTGGCATACATAGGAGAGGAATTTGCTCAAATCGAAAAACTCGTTTGCAAACCGTCGTTTGAGAGCTATCAATAATTTTCTTATGCTACACTGTGGCTTTTAAGACTTAAGAAAAAATTATTCCAGACAAAAGCGACTCTTCGCTCACTTTCGAGAAATACATAATCGCATCAAAAGTAAGAATTTCTTCGAAGATGAAATGTAAATCCCGTGAGTACAAGTTTTCGGAGAACTGATGAAGACTTTTGTCGTGGTTTCATTTCAAACAATTTCGCCACGAGGTCCTTGAAAGCTGTACGAGGAGAATTCAACGGCCTATTTGAAGTGGTCACAAGAAAAAATTTCACTCTTATAGAATAGGATGAAAAGCTAACGCTTATGTCACTAACAAGTTTTAATTATCAGTTCTGGGAAGTGATTTCTGATGAACACGGAATTGACGCCTGTGGAGCGTATAACGGAGACAGCGACAGCCAACTGGAAAGGGTGAATGTTTACTACAACGAAGCTACAGGTAACTCAATTAAAAATGAATTTACATCGTACAATGTAGTCTTGTTTTTACATTATAACATATAATGACTGAAATGGGTTCTTTGCAATTAAACCTAATATTTCTAATGCAAATTAAAACCAATTTTCACCGAATGTCCATGCACATTTTTTCAATGATTATTTTTTTATCTATTTAATTTATTTCTTCTTTTTTTTAGGTGGAAAATATGTGCCGCGAGCAGTGCTCGTCGATTTGGAGCCCGGTACAATGGACTCTGTGAAAGCCGGAGCATTTGGACAACTTTTTAGACCAGACAACTTCGTTTTTGGTAAGAACAGTTGCTTTTTAAAAAAGTATATTCGCTACGTGGCTTTTGAGTAATGTTAGTAATTGGGCTGCAGCAATTTACATGCTAAAATCAACATTTCATACTTCAAAACCAGATGTTCGTGGTGATAAAATATTTACCATCATTACAACTCAAAATATCGGCTATGCCAGAAAACAAAGAATCGCTTTGAAAAAAATTATTTTCAAAAGATTTACGAGATACTGTTGGCTTTCACGCCAAAAAAGGAATATGTGAATAATCAAACCCACATGTTTACAATTTTTTTCGGTTTTTCTCCACGTTAAAATAGAATTAAAAATTCAGATGTTATAATTTTTTATTCAGCATTAGTTACTCTTGTATTTTTATTTCAAAATAAGATATATTTCAACATGAGAATGTTTTGATAATAACAGTTTAAATTTGCTCTTTTTTCCAGTGGTCTTCGAAAAATATTTAATAATTCACACAATCGTAAACATCTGAAACAAATCTTTTAATTAGTTCTTCTAATTAATCTTTTAAAATAAATTTTGAATTAAGAAAAATAATAATAAAAAAAACCGGTTATGAATCATTATCATAAACATCCATTTATTTTCTTCCTCTCCTTCTAAGAAACCAATCATTGTGGAGGGTTTGGGGGTGGGGGGCAGGGGTCGCATGGTTTTCAGGGGGAGTGGGGGGGATCAGTCTTCACCAGCAAAGGGGAATAAAGGGGAACTATATAGAAATTTAACTGCCAATTGGATCGTCAACCAAGATCCCCTCTCTTCAAGGCGATACATCATGACCACTCCCTAATCCCTGAATTTATTTGTTTCCCTTTCCTGTCAGGTCAAAGTGGAGCGGGTAACAACTGGGCCAAAGGTCATTACACAGAAGGTGCGGAGCTGGTGGACTCGGTGCTAGACGTTGTTCGCCGCGAAACAGAAGGCTGTGACTGCGTTCAAGGCTTCCAACTGACGCATTCCCTCGGGGGTGGTACTGGGGCTGGCATGGGCACTTTGCTCATTTCGAAAATTCGGGAGGAATATCCCGATCGAATTATGACGTCATTTAGTGTAGTGCCGTCGCCAAAGGTAATTTAGCGCAAACTGAATGTCCAATAGGGGGGCACTTAACTTTGAACTTTTTAATCAAGGTGGTACTGTACGATACAAAGTGGGGCACTTGTATATCATCAAAAAATTATTTGGTTTCCCTTTATACTCATTTCTCGCCTTGGTGGAATTAATTTTAAAAAAATAACAGGACATAATAAACCCCGTTGCTCTTCGAGTCTTCACTAGCTCCAAATCTTGCGCAACTTGTTCCTATCGTTGAGTGAGCAAAGGAAAATAGGTGGACTTATGGTTACTATGAGAAAGGTCACGGGGTGTCTCAAGAATATTACTTATTTCTGATAATTTAGCGACCTTATTTGTTCTAAAATCCACCGAGAAGCTGGTGTAGGACCTACCTTAATTCCAGTATGTATATATTGATGCTGGAAAGGCTAAATTCTTACCGAAATTAATTGAAAGCCGAAAACTCCCCATCGCATGCAATCAAATCAATTTAAATTCTTTCATCCTCCTTTGGGAAACTGTGGCACACCAGAACTGTGGCTAAAATCATTTACGAGGTTATTCGTGGCACATTTTTGGAGCGTACAACTCTTTGAACATCTGGTTTGTTTTTTTATTGGTTCTAATTCATACTTGGACGAATTTCAGGTATCGGACACTGTCGTGGAACCGTACAATGCCACCCTGTCTGTTCATCAGCTGGTCGAGAACACAGATGAGACATTCTGTATTGATAACGAGGCTCTCTACGAAATCTGCTTCCGAACGCTCAAGCTAACCACACCCACCTACGGGGATTTGAATCATTTGGTGTCCGCTACAATGAGTGGGGTGACAACTTGTTTACGCTTTCCTGGACAGGTAAGAGGACTTCACAGCCGCTTGTAATCTTTTGTTTCCGAACAGAGCTACTAAAGGGATCACAGCAGCACTGTACCACGTTGCCGAAACGCCACTGACTACCACTGACAAAACTTCTTTAAGAAATCTTCTCAAGCGGAATTCAACACCGCACGTTCAACTGTTACTTTTACGTTCAAAATGTTTGCTACAAAGGGGAATAAACAGCTTTTCTTAACATGAAAACCAGAGTAAACACAGTAGCCCATTGCAACAAATTTGAATACAAGAAGGTACAAATGAGCACGAAAGGATAAACTTGTAAACGTAGAAAATGTCAGCACTCAGACATAGATCGCTACAATTTTGCAACCGGCTTTCTATAAATGAAAAAGCTTACAGCCACGACATTTAAGTTACCTAATTCCTACACAGAACGATCAAAAACTCCACCAATGCATCGAAACTGACCAATCACAGCTGACATCGTTTCTTGAGTCTTGCAGCTATTAACAACAATTTTCTCGAATCAGATTTTAATCTTAACAAATTTCAGCTGTCTTTTGATAATGATGATTTCTGCTCAGGCTGTAGAAAAGCAAATTACGGCCACCTTCTCGTGGACAATCGTGCTACATGATCGAACATTAATCTTGAGCTCGAGCCAGAAAATAACAGAGATCCTGAAAATTCCCAAATCGCTAATAACCGAAAATGTTTTTTATTTGTTTACATCTTAGCTCAATGCCGATCTGAGGAAGTTGGCAGTGAACATGGTCCCATTCCCTCGCCTGCATTTTTTCATCCCAGGCTTTGCACCACTGACCAGCCGGGACAATCAGCAATACCGTGCACTGACTGTGTCCGAGTTAACTCACCAGATGTTCGACAACAAGAACATGATGGCTGCTTGTGATCCGCGTCATGGAAGGTACCTCACTGTGGCTGCCATGTTCCGTGGGAAGATGTCCATGAAGGAGGTTGACGAGCAGATGCTAAATGTTCAGAACAAGAACAGGTAATGAAGAGATATGTTAAATATTTGTCGTCAGCGCGTAAAGGGAATAAGAAAACTCTCCAAGAAGATATTAGCCACATCCAGCACAGTGAGGGCCCTATTAAGCTTCTCAAAATGATAGAGGACACCTAACATAGAATACCAAAGAACAACATTCCAAAAAACTCCTGGATCTCATTTTATTCATTTTTTTTTCATTATTATTTTTATTAGGGTTCCAAGGAATGGGTGGTCAACTTTTTAGGGGAATGGTTAGGTGGTGGGTTTACCCAGCGGAGGACCTAGGGTTCTATTGTATGTCCCCCTGCCTCCGGGCGAATTTAGTAAATAAAATTTTTAAAAAAATTCAAATATTCTTATCCATTAGTTATGAACTGCTCATGTCATATTATCTCAATTCCAGCACCTACTTTGTGGAATGGATTCCAAACAACGTGAAGACCGCTGCATGCGACATACCTCCTCGCGGGCTTAAAATGTCAGCGACCTTCATTGGTAACAGCACCAGCATTCAAGAACTGTTCAAAAGAATCAGCGAGCAGTTTACCGCCATGTTCAGACGCAAAGCATTTCTACACTGGTATACCGGGGAGGGAATGGATGAGATGGAATTTACTGAGGTGAGAAAAAGAAATTAATTCGGTGCTTTTAAGTCTCTGTTTAACAACAAATTTATGAACTTAAGATTCCTATCGCGAGATAGCTGATGAGGGTGAAACGCGAATCAAATAACATGCACAGAAATCGATCGTAAATAATCTAAGTGCATGATATACATTTGCCAGTTCTCTGAAAATTTAGCAGCAAGACAGACAAGTACGGCTGCTGCCAGTACTCATTATTTATCACGGTATAGATAGCGAGTAGCGTAGCTAATCAGATTGCAGCATGAGTGGTAATTAGGTCTTATCAACTGAGTTGATGACGTAAATTGGCCACCCTTAAGAGTTTCAAAGCTGACGTTCGAGCGTTGGTCCCTCGTCAGAGCTCTGACTCAGTCTTCTTCGTCGTTCTTTTGCGTTATCCTAGTAATTATACCTATTTTGATGGTTATATTTTAACAGGCTGAGTCTAACATGAATGATCTGGTGTCTGAATATCAGCAGTACCAAGACGCCACGGTCGATGAAGAAGAATTTGATGACGAAGAAGAATCAGAAGCTTAAATAAATATTTATCACGTCTTAGCGAACAGTGCAGTTTTTCATTTGAATCCTCTGCAGTTATTCCTCTCTTCCTTCATCCCCTCTCCTTACTTGCCTCTTCTCGCAGCCCGTCTCTCCCCTCCCCCTCCCCTTCCCCCCCCTACGCTCAGGCCATTTTCGAGACTGCTCGTGCCATCGCGCATGGGCCGAGCGGGCGCTGGGCCACGACGTTCGTTTCATGTGATCCTGGCACTGGTCAATAAATGCTTTGAAACAGCTGAAAAATTAAACTTCATTTTTCATGAAAAATTCAACTTTCATTGATCTAGTTTGGCATGTAAAAACTGAAGCACGTTTCATTTGAAAAGTGTCAACTGAAAAATAATTGGGGCAGCAATTTAAGCAAGACAGTAAAAAAGTAAACGAAACTAGATGAAAAACATTTCACCAAAGAATTCGCGCACAAAATGCATAACACACTAAAGGATGTACACAAGCTCTTGATCTGCTCTATAAACTAGATCAAAGATGAGAAACTCGTTGTCGTGTAAAAAATTAGGGTCTTAAAGTCCAAATGGAAACTAGCATACGTTGAATTTCATAATATTTGGTATATCCACCGCTTGTCCTCAAGTTTTGCAATAAAAAAAAGGCGAGTTGTATAGTGTATTTGAGTTTGAAAAATAATATCCTTGAATTACCGAAAAAATATTGTTTACATTGTGAGAAAGAACAGAAGTAACTTCCGATCTCGCCATCTTTGATTATCGTGTGATCGTAAACCCAGTTTCAATTTATCCTTTTGAGCAACTGTATATTCATTTCATGCGCACCCTCAAGGTTGCTGCAACTACCGTATTTTCTCGAATAAGCAACCGTGCGTTTGTTTAAAATTTCGCCCAACACTGAGGAGGAGTGCTTAATTGGAAGGAGGACGCTTAATCGAGGGGGCGCTCATTAAGTTTTCCTTTCGACAAACTCTAACTATATTTTGGCACCATGATATCTGTAAGAGGATAACAAAAGCTCCTACGTTTTCTATAACAAATTATCTACGTAGACACTTAGTTCAATAGAGAAAATGTAAATTAAGCGACAATAGAAACAGGTTTTCCTTCTATATCTACTCATTTAAGAAAGTAATGGAGATTGCGGGGGGTACTTATTCGAGGGGGGCGGTTGTTTGTGACCTTATGGCTCAGGGATTGGTGCTTATTCGGGAGAATAAAGGTGCTTATTGGCTATAGAGCGTGGGCGCTTTTTCAAGGTGGTACTGTATCTATAAAATATCTAAGATAGCGCACGCACTCTCATTAGTCGATAGGTGAATTTAGATGAGAGTGTGTAAACACTGTTGCACTTGACACTTCGTGTCTTAATTTGACGAATAATTTTAGAAATATTTCAGAAAAGCAATACAGGACTCTTTCCATGTTTACATAATCTTTCCAAACACCCGCGGGGTTGGGAGAATTCTAGAAATTTATGCAAACCCTGAGCGGCGTCTCGGGTTTGTACAACTTTCTCTAATTCTTCCTACCTAACTCATGCCTTGAGAGGTTATGCAGACTCAGACTCAAAACAATAACATTCATTCATTGTTTTGGCATCATTCGAGGCAATAATCACAACTAGTCTTTGAATCTTTTATGTTCATGGCGTAAGATTATTCATTTGGCGACCTTGATAGCCTTCAGAACCGCTGTGTTAAACACATCTTAACGAATAATAACACACGACTGAGAAGCGGCATGTCATACTTTAAACAAAGCAAGCTGTTTTCTTACATAAGCCTCAACAATACAATCATTGGTCAAAGCTTATTGAATTGATATCCTTTAATTGTTTGGGTCTACCCAGAAGAGTTATGCTAAAAACAAATAATAACTTTTTGTGCGCGGTAGGATGTTACAATATTTTCTTCCGAGACTTTGTTTTGAGAACTGCGGTATACTACTTAAGAAAACTGGTTAATTGCGTTCAGACTAATGAAATTTATATCGCAAGCAGTTATCATCAAAAGACATTTCAAGTCAAAGCCGAAGTCTGGTATAAGTAATGTGGATTTCAGTGTTTGAAAACTGGTATGGAATTTCAATTAATCTTGCTTTCACCTGAAGGACCGGCTGAATTTGCAGCCTAGCGAGGTTCATATGATGGTCGAGCCTTAACTGTATTCTAATATTTAAAAACTTGTTTTGGAAATCCGTTATTACAATAGTTATCAAACGTCTTACAATCAAGGCTATAAGGTAAGGAACGACAGAGATATCTATTCGCTAACGGCACATGAAATGGTGATCGAATGATGGGGTTGCGCTAATTTTTAGACATTAAGGCTCTCAAATTCAATCCTAAAATCACTCTTTAGATTTTCTTCTATTTTTGCATTTGGATTCTTTTTTTGGATTTGGATTCTTTTTTTGGATTTCTATTTTTTTTTACTAGAACTCACCTCTCTTATTGTTCGAATATTACTCACTAGTGGGTGAAAGGAAACAACAGCTGCTCCTCTACACTTTTTTCACCGTCATCCTGAGAGTTTTTTACGATAGAGTGGATTTATTCCAAAGATGTCATGAATTTTTGCGACTTTATTGAAAGTTTAAATATAATGGGGTTAGTCGTTAGCCGTAAAATGGCAACAAATTTAGCCGTTAGGCGTAAAAATTGACAAACCTGAACCTTTAGTCGTAAAAAGAGTTTTCTGTAACAAATTTTTTTTTTACACGTATAAACGAAAACAAATTGACCTCAAGCCATAAAATGGTCCAACTTTAAACCATCAGCTGTAAAAGCCATTATCTCACTTAGACCCTCTTCAATGCGGTAATAGCACAAAATTTTGCATTAAGACCCCAAAAGACACAAACACACAAAAAGAAATGACTGGAAACGATTAAAAAAGTTGAATTTATTGACTTGTAAATCATAGAATTATGAAAGAAAAATCCAGAAATTGAGTCATTGCAAATTTAAACGATGGACATGAAAATGTAAAGATTAAAGTTTTCGTGACGGGAATAAATTATTTTCTCGATGCGCGTCCACTCCATAACTAAACTGTCGATATTCTCCTAAATTTTTCATGTCATCGAGCATGCTCACGGCTTGAGAAACAATAGTTTTTCCAAACAACGGTTGCTTGAAACTAATCTCAGCTATAATCGGGAGAAGGTTTTCTAGTACCAATTGGTAGTGATTTTTTTCTATATATTTCATGGCGATTTTTAATAGAATGATTTTAATATATATGTTAATAATAGGGTGTGTTTTTTTTTTTTTCATAAAAGTATAGCAAGTCTCAAGAGTCAGAGCCGAAGTGCTGGCTGTTGAAGAAAAACTTATCTCTCAGTCCTAAAAATGTTGGCTAACGTGACCACCACGATGAATGGAACGCAAGCAACGAACTGCCTCGATCCTTCAGTTGTTAAAAAAGGAAACACCTTTGCTTTCTGTCTGCTTTTTGTAGTTTCGCTGGTTGGAAATACCTTGATCGGAGTAATTATCTACAGGACGAAATCCCTGAGAAAGCCCGTCAACTTCTTTATCGCAAACATGGCCGTGTCAGATCTGCTCATTCCGATTTTCCTGTTTCCGATGAAGTTGGTAGGATTATACACCGAATCATGGAAAGGGGGAGATGGTCCTTTCGGCCAATCTTTGTGTAAGTTGGTTCACTTCTCAGTGGATGCCTCCGCGGTAGTGTCAATTCAAAGCCTGGTACTGATTGCAGTGGATCGATTTGGAGGTGTGGTTGTTCCCCTCCGTGCCCCACTCATCAGCTCAAAGAAGTGCCGGTTCTATATTCTTGCCACTTGGATCATCGCTGTAGCTGTTCAATGCCCAAATCTGTTCGCCTTAAAAGTCGTCGAGTATCCAGGAGGGCTGCGGTGTTACCTGCTGTGGAACGATGCATTTGGAGAGTCCTTTTCCTACCAAGATTACATCCTCACGAAACACATAGTATTTTTATTCATTCCTCTAATCCTCATTGCTGTACTTTACTTTTTAATTGCATTAAGAATCAAATCTCGGAAGGTTCCGAGGGACTATTCTTTCAACGCAAGGAGACAGGGTTTGAGGAGACATCGAAATGCTCTGAGAATGTTTATTGCAATAGTGTTTGTTTTCGCAATCTGTTGGCTGCCTTTCTCTGTCATTTGGCGCCTAGATGGCGTCAAATTGTCTTGTAGTTTCCAATATTTCCAACTTATTGCCTATTTTTTAGCAATATCAAACTGTGCCATAAACCCTTGTATCTGTTTTATTTCCAATGCAAATTATCGTCAAGCCCTAACAAATCTTTTCAGCTGTTTTTCAGATTCTCCCAGGGCTTATAAAGCTGTCGTGTAATCGTGACCCGACTGTTTCCGTGTTTCTCCGAGACACTGAAGATTTATTTGCAGAGCTTTTTAATCTGCAACTTACAAAAAGTTACCATGGGAAACGAAAATTTCATTTAAGAAATTATAGCCACAACTGATTCAATAGATTTATATTAAGTACTCTCGAAAGTACATCGTTTTATGGCGTCATTTAAATTGTTGTTACCTTATCGATAATAACTCTTGACCAATTAGGCGGTAGAATTTCTTCAATAAGTTGTACATTGCAGTACACCATGATATCGTTACTCAGCCACGGGAGTCTCATTTAGAGAGAAACAAATAGAAATTCGGTATGGTAGTTCTGTGACTATTGCAAAAATACTTGAAAATAAGACTAGCATATGTACAGTGCATAGGGTCATCTTCCCTTTAAGTTGCAAGTCTTGTTATTGATATTCCATTATTGTCTTTAGAAAGGAAATAAAGATTGAAAAGGAAAGGAAAACAGTTCTTTCTTAACTCCTTGACCAGTAAGAGTGACATGCATCTAATTTTTCCTTACAATATCACCCTAGAGCCACTTATTAAGGTCACAAGAATGTAGAAAATGATCACCAACTAAAGTTCTTGATTGTTAAACAAATTCTCCCAATGAAAACCTCGGGAAATGGATGAAGAACAGTAAGGAGAATATGCATACTGATGTTAGGGTGTAAAGGGTTACAAAGTGGGAACTTTAGTACCAGCTTACTTAAGCTATCTCTGATCCATTGTTTAGTCTTACCCACCCTACCCTTATTGTTGCATTACTTTACGGAGGAGCGGGGAGGAGTTCGGAGAATTTTGTTTGTGTCACGATAAAATGTTCCTCATCCCCCCATAAGGCTCAGTAATCCTATGATTCCCCTCATTGGTAGTTAATTTTCCAGTCTCCACTTTATACACTATTGGCGACGACATGCGATCCTCCTGGAATCTCCCTTCTTCTAGAATCCTCCTCTCCTCGCTGAAAGACATATTCGAAGATTTGCTGGGCGCCGAACGAGGCCGAACAGACGGCATACATTTTGAACATTTATGCACGGTGCCGATGAAATGGTTCGTTCGAGAGGCGGGTTTTAGGAATCGACAATCTTTTTTTCCTTTACTCATCTCTCTCTTTGGCATATTTCCCCTATTTTGTAAACGTTTTCTTCTGTCTCGGTTTATTTGTTTTGTAATTTGTTTTCGCTTTTTCTGTTTTTTTTAACACTCTCTGATTGCCATAATTAAGACTATACCACAATAAAATTTATGAAAGAGAAATCAACGAAAATAGATGTCCTATGAAGAAACTTTCGATGAGAAACGCAACAGTAGATGTTTATAAGCTGTAAATCTACTCCAGAAGGCCAACCAGAATATAGATGGAAGACATTTGAAGAGATAACTAGCTGCTCGAAGACTTTTAGAATTAACATGAGATTTCGCGGATCACGAGTAGATACGATTGTTGCACATGTTTTGCGACCAACAAAAAAACGAATGATGTGTTGTATTTGAGCTCGTTAGTTCATATCGTTGATTCCCAGTTGTTGTTGAAAAAAAATAATATTTGAAAATGATTATTCTCATTCTACTTGGCACGTTATTTTGTTTGAAATGTTTATGCATGTATTGGTTATTTATAAAAAAGAGCGACCGTAACAACAGATCGATAACAAATTTTCCCCGATTTTTGATTAACTTAAATAGCGACATAAAACGTCTTCAAAAGCACTGTGTAAAATAGTTTTTCAGAATGTTGGAGGCTTAACAGAGAAACAACATGTCATTCTTTAAACAAAACCAGATGTTTTCTTATGTTAAGATAGGGACAAAAGACTTTTGCTGGGAGCAATAAAATGAGTAAGTTTTATTGAATTATTTACATTTTAGGATAATTTTATGACTTAAAACGACTGGTGGATTTGCGTTTGAGTGAAGGAAATAGAATGGAACTAAATAGTTCGCTCAAACGAGAATAAACTGCAACTAAACTTATCTCAGCTATGACAAGAGGAAGCTTTGAGTGTCAATCACAATTTACTCATAACGATTCTGCCTCGAGAAACTGTATTAAAAATGTTAATAATCAGGTTTGTTTTATGAAATGAAAGTTTAAGAACAGCCGCCAAAAGTAGAACACTACCAGCTGTAGACACTGACTTCAGTTTCAGTCAGATGAGGATGTCGGCAAACTTGACTGCTCAAATGAATGGAACACAAGCATTAAGCTTCTTGAACCGTATGCATGAAGCAACAAGAATTGGACTGACCTTCTATCATTGCCTGATTTTCGTTGTATCACTGATCGGAAATATCATCATCGGAATTATTGTCTACAGGACGAAATCCATGCAAAACCCAAGCAACTTTTTCATCGCAAACATGGCCATGTCAGATCTGATATTACCGATTTTCCATTTTCCGTACTTTGTAACGAAGATTAACTTCGGCTGGTTGACGAGTGGTCCCCTTGGACAAGCCTTGTGTAAGCTAGTATTCTTTTTGCCAAATACTTCTAGTCTTGTGTCGATTCAGAGCCTGGTTTTAATTGCAGTGGATCGATTTGGAGCAGTATTTTTTCCCCTCCGTTCCTCACTCATCAGTTCAAAGCAGTGCTGGCTCTTCATACTCGCCACTTGGATCATTGGTGCCGCTGTTCATATCCCAGACCTGCTGAGCTTGAAACTTGTTGAGAATCAAGAAGGGCTGTCATGTGAGCACAAATGGAATGACGCATTTGGGGACTCCTCGTCTTTCCGAAACTACGCAGTACCAATGCTTATAGTTTTCTGGCTTGCCCCTATGGTTTTGATTGCCATAATTTACATGACAGTTTTTTTCAAACTAAAATCCCAGAGGATTCCAGGCGAAAAATCAGCCAATGCAAGAGCACTACGTTTGAGGAGAGAGAGAAATGTACTGAAGATGTCCATCGCCATCGTGTTAACATTCGCAGTATGCTGGCTGCCCAACACTATCTGTTGGTTCCTTTTCTTCTATCCATCAGACGGCGATATGACGGCGTCTCGCGGCTTCCACTATTTCATAGTTATTTCAATTCTCCTGAGAATTTCAAACTGTGCTCTAAACCCATGCATCTGTTTTATTTTCAGTGGAAATTATCGACAAGGTCTAAAAAAACTCCTTAGGTGCTGTCCTGCATGCAACAGAGCCAACCAAGTTGCTGCGTAGTATTTAGGTTCATTTGCAAGTTTAGATAAAGAACAATAGGAAGTCATCAACGACGATAGAAATACCTTAAAAAATACTCGTAGGTAAATCTAGAACATTGAAAATGGTTAACAAGAGGTTAAATAGATTTTCTATAATGTAAATCCCGCCTTATTTTGAGAGACCCAAACTTTGTAAAGTACATTTATCACGTTTGAAAGTTGTTTAAAAACTTAGTCACTCATATCAAATATGGGCTAGATTTAGTCTAAATAGTCTAAATATCATGCAGTATAACTTCACGACTAGCTTATGTAGAAAGTCTTGTTTCTGGTGAATTATCAGTGGAAATCATCTGTATGGTCTCGAAAATATGGGTTAATGTGCTGTTCTGGTGCGTATTTTAAGAAATAAATTCTCAGGTCATTGGGCTCAAAATTGGGTACAAATTTCAATTTCTAATTCTTGGGGTCCAAGGGGTTCACACTCTGCATTATGAAACTAGGGCTTGGAAGTGGGGTTAGGTTTCCCTTCTTTGGCCCTGAAATACGGCAAAAGCTTCCAGACGCATGTTGCGTGGTAAGGTGGTTTTTCACTCAAGACGTTTTCATTCCGTCAAATGTGAAACCTGAACAAGAAAACGTCCTTTCATTACTTAAACGGTGTGATCACATACAAAAGCTGAATCTAATCTCAAAATGTCCAAAGAACGAACTTTATTTTTGGTATTGTTCCATGCATACGATAATCTTCGTAAATTTTCGCGCTTTTGAGTTCCCAACTGAACGATGTCTTGCAATCGCATACGTGTATAATCAGTCGTTTATGCAACATGCCCATGAACTGCGGTTTGTTCAAGAGGTGGATCAACGGCTTTTTTTTTCCTGTCCTCAAAGCTCACTTTGACTTTTTTCTTTGATGTCGTTTTTGTCTATCTTTGGTTTTTGTTTTGCCTTTTCGTTTTCGTTTTTTTTTTATTACTCTCTGTATTTGGTTCAACTGTCGTTGTTAAGACTATACTACAATAAAATTTATAACAAGTTAACAAAAAGAGATGTCAAATGAAGGGAATATAGATGCAAAACTCATTAGCAAATGCGTTGAATGTGAAAAGATGTTTACAAGCTGGGAATCTACCCCAAAAAGTAGATGAAAGAGGACAAACTTTGAGCTGTCCAGAGACTAAAGATACAAAATCTAAATACTGATCGCGATTAGATACTGTGTGATAACATACAATTACGTGCACGTGAGAGTGCATCAAATTTTCATCGTGTTCTCCAAAGGACATGGCTGCACGTTTAAGTTTATGGTTTATGTTTATGGCAAGATTACAACATGATGCGTGTGAATTCCAAAATGATTAAATAGATCGAAGTGATGACGACGCACCATTCGCGTATAAAATTCTATTAAAGGTTCTTTTTTCCTGCTCTTAAGTAACCCCCATTAGTTAACTATATTCTCTGTAGCAAATACGAACTTTTACATGCAAGTGAAAGCCAGCAACTGTTTTCATACGCCGACGTCAAGAGTGGTTCTATTTTATCTCCTTTGTTTCTAGATATCCTAATTTCCTCCAATGTTCCTTCGTTCCTTAAGCTTTCCTAAGATTTGATTGGCATTTGTATTCAAAATTTCTAGTTATTACAAGATAACTCACTGGTTGCAGATAATGGAAGGAAAAGATGTGTTCCTCGCGTGTTGGAATACATTGTTAATTAATTCAGGTGGATTGAGCGGCTATTTTGTCTAAAGTGCAATTTCTTTAGAGGTTGATTTAAATTATTAAAAAATGACAGCCTGCTTAATTGCATTTGTGCCTTTGAGTCCATTGTAACCTCTTTTTACAATGAATGTCTTTGACTTTAACCATACTTCGATAATATTGTACTAGCCGTTCTTTATGATTGCTGACAGGAGGACAATTCATTTCCAGACTTCGTTCAACCCTCATTTTTTGAAAACCACAAGACATTTAAAAAGTTTTTGGTGAAACAACATGTTAAAATCACTCTCTTTTATGAAATTAGGATCAAAACATCATTAGTAAGGGAATATAAAGCTAACCTACTCGCGAAGTAATATTCTATGTTATTCCTAAACATGCTCAATGAGTTAAGTTGATAACAGTCCCTTATATAAAACACCGTAAAATTTCAATGAAAACCTCCTTATTTAAATCGTCTTTGTTACACAGCGACTATTTAGAGATACAATTGATAACTCCCAGGTATGAGGAGCGAATTTTGGACCCCTGGATGTAAGGAAAGCATTCACGATCAATATCGACATCTGCACGCAGATCCTTGGATGTAAGGTTTTTACTCGAACTAATTGTGGACCAAATGGTCTGAGAAATTTCCCACTGAAATGACATCAAGAAGTTTTCCCGCCCAAACAACAAATAAATGTCCAACTTCTCGAACCAAAAGACTGAAAGTTGTGCATAATTATGGAGCAAATTTGTTGAGAACTCTTTATCAATTTATTAGAATTAGCTCTAAAACAGCACTTCAAAAGAATATTTTTGAGACCATGAAGATGATTTCCAACAAACAAGACTTTATTTTCTATCTAAGATATTTTTCTTTTTATGCCACATAATATTTAAACTCATTTTAACAAGATCTAATTAATAACTTTTTACTCAAATTTTCAACGTGCCAAATGTAGTTTACAAGATTGGATTCTGGTTTACCTACTATAAATGTTACACACTTTAAACCTGTGAGCATTTTTGGGGGGCGTAGACTAAGCATTACTTCAAAATTTTAAATTGGGGCCACAAATGATCCATTGCCGATCCTTCTATTGTGGTTATTGACTTCTTAATCTTTTTCACTTAAACTTGCAAGTGAACCTTAATACTTTGCAACTTGGTTGGCTCTGGTGCATACAAAGCAGCACCTCGAGAGATTTTTAAGACCTTGGCGATAGTTTCCACTGAAAATAAAAGAGATGCAAGAGTTTATAGCACTGTTAAAATGAGCCAGACAAGAGGCAATAAGTGCGAAATATTGAAAGCCGCAAGATGCCGTCATAGTGCTGTCTGGTTGGTAGGAGACAAGGAACCACCGGATAGTACCGGGCAGCCAGCATATTATGAACGTTACCACGATGGCAATTGACATCTTCAGCACATTTTTCTGTCTGCGCGACTGTTGTTCTCTTCCGCTGGCCGATCCCTCGCCCGGAATATTCTGAGATTTTAGTTTAATAACAACGGTCATGTAAAGTATGGCAATCAAAACCAAAGGGACATACCAGAATATTACAAGCATTGAAAATACGTAGTTTCGGTGACTCAGTGACTCTACAAATACATCATTCCACTTGGGCACACATACCAGCCCTTCCTGATACTCAACAAGTTGGAAGGCCATCGCCTTTGGGATATAAGCAGAAACCGCAATGATCCAAGTGGTGAGAATAAAGAAACGGCATCGCTTTGAACTGATCAGTGGAGAACGGAGAGGAAAAACTACAGCTCCAAATCGATCCACTGCTATAAGAACCAGACTCTGAGTTGACACCAAAGCAGAGACAAATACGAGGAAGTCATGCAGCTTACAAAAAGCTTGTCCTACAGGACCTCTTAACGACCAGTTGCCGAAGTTAATCTCTATTACAAGGTATGGAAAACAGACAATCGGAAACAACAGATCTGACATGGCCATGTTTACAATAAAAAAGTTGATTGGTTTTCGCATGGATCTCGTCCTGTAGACTATAATTCCAATGATAATATTTCCGATCAGTGCCAGAACAAAACTCAGGTAGTAATAAAAGGAAATTCCGATTCTTTTAGCTTCATGGTTGAAGCAGCTCGACGTTTGAGTTCCATTCATTGTTGCAGTCCGGTTTGCCGACATCATTGACACTGAAAAGTCAGTGTCCGCAGCCAATAGATCTGCGAGAACTAATCTTTGGCTCCTATCTATACACTTTCCTTGTTTGAACAAAGTAACCTGTTTATCAATATTTTCAGCAAAATTGGTCAATGTGGAATCGCCATGAATAAAAACAGTTGACACTCAAAACTTTTCTCTCATTCTAGCTGAGATTAGTTCAGTGGCAGTCCATCAGTCTAGTTTGCGGAAAGCATTGCGCCATATGCTCATCGCTAGAAAAGATGGAAAATGTAGGAGAACATTGATCATTATCTGATCTAAGAGACACGGACCAGAAGTTAATAATCTTTAAGCACCCCGTGACTTCTTAATCTTTTATGCCTCTGCCGTTGGTGCATTTTGGAAATTGAGACGGTCTTGTCTCTCTCTCCAGGCTCTCTCTTTTTGTAATTGGTTTTACTCATTGTGTCAGTACATTCGGTTTTCTTGATGTGTTTAAGACTTTATGTATATTGCAGCCAATCATCCATCAGTCAAAGACTACACGCTATGCTGAGGACAGTTTGTTCTATATTTGGAAATCCCCTGCGAAGCAGAAGAGAGCCAGTTGTTGTTCTTTATTGTCTTACCTAAGAAACTGGAAAATCGAATAAAACAGATCAGACGTGACCATGTTTACAATTAACATGTTGATTAGCAATCTCAAGTTTTTTGTCTTGTTGAGAAATATATCGAGAAATACCAGCAAGAGAAAATTATGTTTCCGTTATATCTCTTGAAACCAGACAATAAAAAAAATTCTTTCATCTTTAGGATTAACTGCGCAGCTTGAAATAAGCTGTGTTTCAGTCAGGGCTACAGTTAAGTTTCTTTTATTCTTGTAATTTAGAGATCTGTTTTCTCTTCACCCAGCTGTTCTCTAACTCTAGAAATTACAATAACTTAAAATCAATATAAAAATTCATCATACCTATATGTTAAAATTGTTTATTCAAACATCTTTATAATTTTTCGTTTCGTCTTTTAAAATCCTTTCAGATAAAGTGATGGTCGCTAAATTATATTTGCTCTTATGGTCTTCTTGGTGTTGTTAATCAGGTCTGACTTGTAGGATAATTGTTCCGTGACAATAATGCGTTTGCAGTTTGTATCAGACGGCCGCTTTTCCTTTCGAAGGAAGCAAAAACGATTTGTCAAATCTTTTACGTATTTTGGAAATGCAAGAACCGAACGATTCTCATTCCTTTATTCTTTCTTTTCATACGAAAAATAATCGCGTCGTCTTCTTAGCCTTTCAGACATAAACAGATAGGCTTGGGAATATAACGCTGTTATCGTGCTCTAAAGTAAAGCCATAACCAATCTGTGTAGCGAAAGCGAGTAATTAGACGCAAACAAATGTAAACTAAGTCAGCTGTTTTCCATACGCTGGCATCCAAACTAATTGTATTTTATCTGATTTGTTTTTAGATATTATAATTTCCTCCAATGTTCCTTCTTTAGTTAGGCTTTGCTAAGATTTAATTCTGCACTTGTAAGTAACATTTTTAGCCATTACAAAATAACTTACTGGTTGCGGATTGTGCTGAGAAAAGATGTCACCCAACATGTATTGTTAGGTAATTCAGGTGCATTGAGGAGGGTCCCAGTGGGGTTAACCTTTAGCTGTAAAACGGCCAAAAAATTAGCCGTTAAAATTGACAAATTTCAACCGTTAGTCGTAAAAAAAGGTAACTGCAAAAAAAGAAATTCTGGTGAAAACAATTGACAGATGTTCACCGTACTTTAACTGTCAATCGGCCAAAATTTTAACCGTTAGCCGTGAAAGCCGTCAACTTATTGACTCCCTCATTAAGCAGCTATTTTGTCCAAATTTGAATTTCCAGAAGTTGACTTAGATCATTCTAGAATTGGGTAGCAAAGCCGAACTTTTAGATGCAAGTGAAAGCCGGCCAGTTGTTTCCATACGCCGACGTCAAAGCGGTTCTATTTTATCTGCTTTGTTTCTAGATATCCTCATTTTCTCCAATATTCCTTCGTTCCTTAAGCTTTCCTAAGATTTGATTCGCATTTGTATTCAAAATTTCTAGTTATTACAAGATAACTCACTGGTTGGAGATAATGGAAGGAAAAGATGTGTTCCTCGCCTGTTGGAATACATTGTTAATTAATTCAGGTGGATTGAGCGGCTATTTTGTCTAAAGTGCAATTTCTTTAGAGGTTGATTTAAATCACTCAAAATGACAGTTCGCTTAATTGCTTTTGTACCTTTGTGTCCATTGTAACCTCTTTTTACAATAAATATATTTGACTTTCACCCTATTTCGAGAATATTGTACTAGCTGTTCTTTATGATTGCTGACAGGAGGACATTTCATTTTCAGATTTCATTCAACCCTCATTTTTTGAAAACCACAAGACATTTAAAAAGTTTTTGGTGAAACAACATGTTAAAATCGCTCTTTTTTATAAAATTAAGGTCAAAACATCATTAGTAAGGGAATATACAGCTAACCTACTCGCGAAGTAATATTCTATGTTATTCCTAAACATGCTCAATGAGCTAAGTTGTTCTAAAACCTATTTACAAATGAAATATTGCGCGATCTCAAAAATTGGAGGAATATCTTTACAAATAGGGATCTGTCGAATATCTTGACACCTTATTTCTCTTCCAGCCATGTTAGCCTGAGAACGAGTCAGAATCTTACAAAACCTTTTCGTAAAACAAGGCATTAGTCCACTGTTTGTAGATGAAAATTTGACGCATGGACGTTTGGTTATTTTACAGTCCGTAAGTATGATGTTTGAATTTCCCATGAAAAATTAAAATAGGATTAGTTTCCAAAATTTGAACTGAAGCATTTTGTTTGAGTACAAGACATTTCCAAGTGGTAGAAAATTTTAAAGTGTGGAATTTTTCGAAGACTTCGGAAGAAGTGCAAACCGTTTCATGTGCATAGAACAATGTTAAGAACAAGTTTATTCTTCGGCAGTTTTGGGGTTAAAGTCGTACTTTTAGCTTAATTCTGATTGTGACCACATCGTGCAAGTAATTGACGGACGTTTTCTTGTTTAGGCTTCACATTTCACTTGATGGACTGGACCGTCGTTATTAAATGACACATATTTAGTTACACTCCACCTCGAAATCCTTTTACATTACTATATATGTATCTCGTTTTTAAAAATGAACTTTTTAAAGTGAATCTTGATGTTCTGGTTACGAAACAGAATCAAACTTTTTTCTTTTTGTAGCGGGTAAAAACAACCTTAAGGCAATACATTAGTGTCCCATGCCATGCAACATGTGTCTGGAAGCCTTTGCCGTATTCAGAGGTTAAAATGCGACTGAAATTTGCACCCTCTCGTTTCTGACTGAAATAAAATCAAGAAGATTCCTCACTCAAAGAAGGCATAAACGTCTCATTCCAAGCCCCAGTTTGTTTTAGTGTCAACCTACTCGACCAAAGGATCAAACATGGGATCATTATCAATGGCTGATAACAGACCCTTATGTAAAGCTACCGTAAAATTTCTGTGAAAACCTCCTTATTTAAATCATCTTTGTTACATAGCGACTATTTAGAGATACAATTGAAAACTCCTAGATATGAGGTACGATGTGGGACCCCTGGATGTAAGGAAAGCATTCACGATTAATATCGACATCTGCACGCAGACCCTTGGATGTAAGGTTTTTACTCGAATTAATTTGTGACCAAATGACCTGGGAAATTTCCCACTGAAATGACATCAAGAAGTTTTCCCACCTAAACAACAAATAAATGTCCAACTTTTCGGACTGAAAGGCTGAAAGTTGTGTATAATTGTGGACCAAATTTGTTGATATATCTTTATCAATTTATTAGAACTAGCTCTAAAACAGCGCCTCAACAATGATTATTTTTGAGACCATGAAGATGATTTCCAAGATATTTTGACTTATGCTACATAATATTTAAACTCATTTTAACTAGATTTAATTAATAACTTTTTACTCAAGTTTTCAACGTGCGAAATGTAATTTACAAGGATGGAGTCAGGTTTACCTGCTATCAGTGTTGCAGACTATAAACCTGTGAGCATTTTTTGGGGGCAAAGACTAAGCATTACTTCACAATTTTAAATTGCGGCCACAACTGATCCATTGCCGATCCTTCTATTGTAATTGTAGGCTTCGTAATCTTTTTCACTTAAACTTGCGAGTGAACCTTAATACTTTGCATCTTGGCTGGCTCTGGTGCATACAAGGCAGCACCTCGAGAGATTTTTAAGACCTTGGCGATAGTTTCCACAGAAAATGAAAGAGATACAAGGGTTTATAGCACTGTTAAAATAAGCTAGACGAAAAGCAGTAACTCCGAAGTATTGGAAGCCGCAAGATGCCGTCATAGTGCTGTCTGGTGCATAAAGAACAAGGAACCACCAGATAGAAGTGGGCAACCAGCATACTATGAACGTTACCAGGATGGCAATTGACATCTTTAGCACATTTTTCTGTCTGCGCGACTGTTGTTCTCTTCCGTTGGCCTATCCCTCGCCCGGAATGTTCTGAGATTTTAGTTTAATAACAACAGTCATGTAAAGTATGGCAATCAAAACCATAGAGACATACCAGAATGCTAAAAGCATTGAAACTTCGTAGCTTCGGTAACTCAGTGACTCTCCAAATACTTCATTCCACTTGTGCACACAAACCAGCCCTTCCTGATACTCAACAAGTTCGTAGGTCAAAGCGTCTGGGATATTAGCAGCAACCGCAATGATCCAAGTGGTGAGAATAAAGAAACGGCACCGCTTTGAACTGATCAGTGGAGAACGGAGAGGAAAAACTACAGCTCCAAATCGATCCACTGCTATGAGAACCAGACTCTGAATCGACACGAAAGCAGAGATATCTACGAGGAAGTAATTAAGCTTACACAAAGCTTGTCCTACAGGACCACCTAAAATATAGTAGCCGAAGTTCATCTCTGTTACAATGTGTGGAAAACAGACAATCGGAAACAACAGATCTGACATGGCCATGTTTACAATAAAAAAGTTGATTGGTTTTCGCATGGATCTCGTCCTGTAGACTATAATTCCAATGAAAATGTTTCCCATCAGTGTCAGAACAAAAATCAGGCAGTAATAAAGGGAAATACCGATTCTTTTAGCTTCATGGTTGAAGCAGCTCGATCTTTGACTTCCATTCATTGTTGCAGTCCTGTTTGCCGACATCATTGACACTGAAAAACCAGTGTCCGCAGCCGGTAATTGTCCGTGAACTAATTTTGGCTGCTATCTATGCACTTCCATTGTTTAAAAGAAAGCTGATTATTAACATTTTCAGCAAAATTGGTCGATGTAGAATCGCCATGAATAAAAACCATTGACCCATTGACACTCAAAACTTTCCTCTCGTTCTAGCTGAAATTAGTTCAGTGGCAGTCCATCAGTCTAGTTTGCGGAACGTATTGCGCCATATGCTCATCGCTTGAAAAGATGGAAAATGTAGGAGAAAATTGATCATTATCTGATCCAAGAGACACGGACCCAGAAGTTAATAATTTTAAACATCCCGTGACTTCTTAATTTTTTATGTCTATGCCGTTGGTGCATTTTGAAAATTGAGACGGTCTTGTCTCTATCTCCAGGCTCTCTCTTTTTGTAATTGGTTTTACTCATTGTGTCAGTACATTCCGTTTTCTTGATGTGTTTAAGACTTTATGTATATTGCAGCCAATCATACGTCAGTCAAAGACTACACGCTATGCTGAGGACAGTTTGTTCTATATTTGAAAATCCCCTGCGAAGCAGAAGAGAACCAGTTGTTGTTCTTTATTGTCTTACCTAGGAAACAGAAAAATCGAATAAAACATATCAGACGTAACCGTGCTTACAATTAAAATGTTGATTAGCAATCTCAAATTTTTTGTCTCGTTGACAAATATTTCGAGAAATACCAGCAAGAGAAAATTATGTTTCCGTGATATCTCTTGAAACCGCATTATAAGAAAAAGTTTTCGCGATTCTTTCATCTTTAGGATTAACTGCGCTGCTTGAAATGAGCTGCAGTTAAGTTCTATTATTCTTGTAAATGAGAGATCTGTTTTCTCTTCACCCAGCTGTTCTCTAACTCTGGAAATTTCGTTTAACTAAAATCAATATAAAAAATTGATCATACCTATATATTAAAATTATTTATTCAAGCATCTCCACAATTTTTCGTTTCGTCTTTTAAAATCCTTTCAGATAAAGTGATGGTCGCTAAATTATATTTACTCTTATGGTCTTCTTGGTGTTGCCAATCAGGTCTGACTTGTAGGATAATTGCTCTGTGACAATAATGCGTTTGCAATTTGTATCAAACGGCCGCTTTTCCTTTCGAAGGAAGCAAAAACGATTTATCAAAATTTTTACGCATTTTGGAAATGCAAGTACCGAACGATTCTCATTCCCTTAGTCTTTCTTTTCATACGAAAAATAATCGCGTCGTCTTCTTAGCCTTCTAGACATAAACAGATAGGCCTGGGAATTTAGCGCTGTTATCCTGCTCTAAAGTAAAACCATAACCACTCTGTGTAGCGAAAGCGAGTAATTAGACGCAAACAAATGGTTGCAGATAATGGAAGGAAAAGATGTGTTCCTCGCATGTCGGAATACATTGTTAATTAATTCAGGTGGATTGAGCGGCTATTTAGTCTAAAGTGCAATTTCTTTAGAGGTTGATTTAAATTACTCAAAAATGACAGTCTACTTAATTGCTTTTGTGCCTTTGTGTCCATTGTAACCTCTTTTTACAATGAAGGTATTTGACTCTCCATATTTCGAGAGAAGAACAATTCATTTTCAGATTTCACTCAACCCTCAATTTTTGAAAACCACACTGAGACATTTGAAATTTTTGTCGAAACAACATGTTAAAATCACTCTTTTTTATGAAATTAAGGTCAAAGCATCATTGGCGAGGGATATACAGCTAACCTACTCGCTAAGTAATATTCTATGATGCTCAATGAGCTAACTTGCTCTAAAACCTATGTACAAATGAAATATTGCGCGATCTCAAAAATTTAATTGTGGAGCAAATTTGACAAGAAATTTTTATCAATTTATTAGAATTAGCTATATAACAGCACCTCGAAGAATATTTTTGAGACTATAAAGATGATTTCCAACAAACAAGACTTTCTTTTCTATTCAAGGTATTTTGACTTATCCTATATAATCTTTAGACTCATTTGAACTAGATCTATTTAATTAATTGTTACTCAAGTTTTCAACGTGCTAAATGTACAGGGTTTTCAACTGTTTTGTAAAGTAGCGGACATACTTCTGAAAGCACCGGACGTGAATGTTTTCTTGGCGCCGTAGTAAAAAAAAATCGCCAATATTGATCTCAAAGTACCGGACGTGGAATGGCAAACGACCGGACGAAACGTCCGGCCTCCGGCCTCAAATGAAAACCCTGAATGTATTGTACAAGATTGGAGTCTGGTTAACCAGCTATGAATATTGCAGACTATAAACCCGTGAGCATTTTTTTAGGGCACAGACTAAGCACTACTTTATAATGTTGAACTGCGGCCACAACTGATCCACTGCCGATAATTCTATTTTAGCTGTTGACTTATTAATCTTTTTCACTTATCAAACTTGCGAGTGAACCTTAATACTTTGCAACTTGGTTGGCTCTGGTGCATACAAAGCAGCACCTCGAGAGATTTTTAAGACCTTGGCGATAGTTTCCACTGAAAATAAAAGAGATGCAAGGGTTTATAGCACTGTTAGAATGAGCCACACAAAAGGCAATAACTCTGAAATATTGGAAGCCGCAAGATGCCGTCATAGTGCTGTCTGGTGGATAGAGGACAAAGAACCACCAGATTGTGGCGGGCAGCCAGCATACTATGAACGTTACCACGATGGCAATTGACATCTTCAGCACATTTTTCTGTCTGCGCGATTGTTGTTCTCTTCCGTTGGCCGATCCCTCGCCCGGAATGTTCTGAGATTTTAGTTTAATAACAACAGTCATGTAAAGTATGGCAATTAAAACCAAAGGGACATACCCGAATACTACAAGCATTGACACTATGTAGTTTCGGTAACTCAGTGACTCTCCAAATACTTCATTCCACTTGTGCACACATGCCAGCCCTTCCTGATACTCAACAAGTTCGTGGGTCATCGCGTCCGGGATTTTAGCAGCAACCGCAATGATCCAAGTGGCGAGAATAAAGAAACGGCACCGCTTTGAACTGATCAGTGGAGAACGGAGAGGAAAAACTACAGCTCCAAATCGATCCACTGCTATAAGAACCAGACTTTGAATCGACACGAAAGCAGAGATATCTACAAGGAAGTAATTTAGCTTGCATAAAGCTTGTCCTACAGGACCACCTAACAACCAGTAGCCGTAGTTAATCTTTGCTACAATGGATGGAAAATAGAAAATCGGAAACAACAGATCTGACATGGCCATGTTTACAATAAAAAAGTTGATTGGTTTTCGCATGGATCTCGTCCTGTAGACTATAATTCCAATGATAATATTTCCGATCAGTGTCACAACAAAAATCAGGCAGTAATAAAAGGAAATACCGATTCTTTTAGCTTCATGGTTGAAGCAGCTCGACGTTTGAGTTCCATTCATTGTTGCAGTCCGGTTTGCCGACATCATTGACACTGAAAAGTCAGTGTCCGCAGCCGGTAGTTCTCCGAGAACTAATCTTTGACTGCTATCGATACACTTTCATTGTTTAACAAAGTAACCTGATTATCAGCATTTTCAGCAGAATTGGTCAATGTAGAATCGCCATGAATAAAAACAATTGACACTCAAAACTTTTCGTTCTAGCTGAGATAAGTTCAGTATCAGTTGATCAGTCTAGTTTGCGGGAAGTATTGCGCCATATGCTCATCGCTTGAAAAGATGGAAAATGTAGGAGAAGATTGATCATTATCTGATCCAAGAGACACAGATCCAGAAGGTAATTATTTTAAATTAAACCCCCCATGACTTCTTAATCTTTTATGTCTGTACCGTTGGTGCATTTTAAAAATTGAGACGGTCTTGTCTCTCTCTCCAGGCTCTCTCTTTTTTTAATTGGTTTTACAAATTGCGTCAATGCATTCGGTTTTCTTGATGTGCACGCTCTATTGAGGAACATGCTCTATTGAGGACAATTTGTTCTATATTTGAAAATCCCCTACGAAGCGTAAGAGAACTAGTTGTTGCTCATAATTGTCTTACCTAGGAAACGGGGAAATCGAATAAAACAGACAGACATTGTAACCATGTTTACAATTAAAATGTTGATTAGCTTTTTCAAATTTTTTTGTCTTGTTGACAATAGGAAGAGAAAATTATGTTACCATAATAACTCGTGAAACCAGACAGTAAGAAAAAGTTTTCGCGATTCTTTCATCTTTAGGATTGACTGCGCAGCTTGAAATGAGCTGCGTTTCAGTCAATGCAGCGGTTAAGGTTTTCTATTATTCTTGTAACTGAGATATCTGTTTTTTCTTTAGCCAGTTGTTCTCTAACTCTGGAAGTTACATTAAACTAAAATCAATACAAAAAATTGATCATACCTATATGTTAAAATTGTTTATTCAAGCATCTCCACAATTTTTCGTTTCGTCTTTTAAAATCCTTTCAGACAAAGTGATGGTCGCTAAATTATATTTACTCTTATGGTCTTCTTGGTGTTGTTAATCAGGTCTGACTTGTAGGATAATTGCTCTGTGACAATAATGCGCTTACAGTTTGTATCAAACGGCCGCTTTTACTTTCGAAGGAAGCATGCGTAAAAAACTGACAAACTGAAAACATATCTCCTACTCGCCATTACTGAATGGGCGTTATCGTGATATTGGGTAATTTTAAAGGGTAGCCGAAGACCAGGAACATGTGTCTGGGGAATGATATAAACAGTATGATCTTATTTTTGGTGAGGCAATCAAAGGAGTTTGACTCAAAATGGCCATGAAGAGGCAATGTTACTCTGTTTTAACTGGTAGAACTCAAAATTTTTCGAAATCAAACTCAACTCAACTTAACCCAAAATCAACCCTCTGTTGTAATCAAACAAATGAACGTTGCCGAGACGAAACTGGTCGAAATACACTGTTTTGAAAATGCACGTGTGCTTTTCACCAAACAAAATAATGATTTTTTTTAAGTACTAGTTCTTCAAAGCACTCCTATCACATGTATATGAAGTGGTCCTTAGTAGAAGGCTGATCCATAGCTACCTCAAACAGAAAATATTTCTTTTGCGGCGATTAAGACACGATTTCCGCCCCCTTTTTTTTCCAGTCCCAGGGAGGAAAGTGGATCTTGATAAACCGTTGGTTATCAAGCCTCGCTGCCGTGCCGGTCTTGTATTTTTGAACAAAAATCTCTCTGATTATCAGAATAGCTACAGTCAGCGTCAAAATTAGTTGACACATCCATGGCTAACTTATCAAGGGTAAAAAGATATAAAATTTAAATAACAGGGGGGGGGGGTGAAAGGGCCATTGTGTCAACAATTTTGTCGCTGATTCTACATGAGCAGCTTCTAAAAACATGATCATGCTTATTCCCTGTTAATACTGTAAACATGGACATTTGACATGGACATTTCGCCTGCGTCAAAATATTTACGTTTTAAACAATTTGAATCTCTTTACGGACCATTCATCATTTATCGCAAGGGAGGGGGGAGTGGAGGATTTTGGGGATCACATAGTGTCAGTGGGCGCGGAAGGTGGGTCAGTCGTATCCAACAAAGTGTAAAGGGAGGGCTATCTTTGAAAATTGACTGGCAGTGAGAGGGGTCATAAGACTATCACAGAGCCTTATGGGGGGGATCAGGCGATAAATTCAAATACACATTACCCTAAGGCCTCTTCACACAAGTTCTGATTATTTTGAAGTCCGGGGTTGTATCACTGCAAAGAGTACTAAAGACAAAAACTTTATACAAATGTCTGGTTTGCTTCAAGACTCGACTTTGTTTGTCTTTCTTTCGATCAAAAATAAGCAAAATGGGGTGTGAAGATGACAAAAGAAATTACAAAGTCAATTGTGTCTGAATGGAGAGGATCATGATGTAAAAACAAGACAAACGAAATATGGTTATTTGAGTTTAAGTATCAATTCAGGTTAGCTTTTGGGTCGTGTTTACATGCAGTAATAAAAAAAATCATTTCAACCCTTCTATTCCAGTCGGTCAACCCCGGTAAGGCTTCACTCCTTTCTTCATGTAAACGCGTACAATCATTTGACGACAGTAAAGTTAGTTTTTGTGGTCATTCATCCTGGGTGAGTAAGTGTAAGGAGGCTTCTGGTCTGATAAGCAGCCGCTGTTCGGTCTTCTCAAGCAACGCGCCTTTGGCAGAGAGGGCTGGGAATGAGGGAAATACTACCAAGCGAATTAATGTGAACTGATAACAAGTTCGGTCTAATGATGGGTTAGGAGAGGGGTAAGTGTGTTGTTGCTTAGATACAGACATCGATCCGGAAATTCCTGGATTGTGAAATTTGCAGTTACATGCAGTAAGGAGACCAACAAGTAGACTTATACAATAGATAAAATCCAACTTTAATCATTGACGTCTTGGCAAAAAAAACCCAGTTCTTTTAAATGCTGACTGTTCTGTATGATATACAACCAGAATACAAACTCAATGGGAATAAAGATCTCCATTAAATTGAACATTTCAATTATTAATTTCAACTCACAACATCAAAGAAAAATTACAATGATCAGATTTTCTCTGTTGCATATTTTGTTCATAATTGTATCTCTCAGGAGAGAATAAAAATTTATTAAATGCAAAAATATATAAACTTTTTTTAAATAAAGTTGTTACACTGGCATTCAGTAATTATGTTTTCTTTTGATAATACCAAACTTTAACCTTCAATATACCAGAGATAGTAATTCTTTAACTAAACTTTTTCTGTAGTATGTACAATAAACAATTAACATAGCTTCTTTCAATCTCCATTTCAATCCACAACATTAAGGAGAAACCACAATAACATTTCTATTCTGTCGGAAATTTTGTTTACTAGTTGGCTCTTGATTTTTAGCAAAGGCAGCTTCCATCCTTCTCAGCTCAATAACCTGGAAAAGAAATTTATTTCCTGAGCAAAATGACATCATCCATATTCTCATAGTTTTCAGCAGAGTTTAACTGGAAACTATAAACATTTTTACTAGCTTACTTTGGATGGCAAAAAGTCACTTCTGCTTACGGAACTCCATTGATGGACTTGAAAATTGATGCACAAGAAAAAAAGTCATGGGGCTCAACTGGTCTGAAACTGCACTTTGTATGCAGGCAAGTGTAATTTCCCAGGGTATTCTGCCCACAACCTCATTGGTCTGATTTCAGCCTTCCCTTGGGTATTTGGAAGCTGTGTTTCTATTTTAGTTGATTCAATTGGCATGGCTTATTCAAGATACTTTCCTTTATCTATTTTATGCATGCAGGCATCCAATATTATAGGCGCTATCAATCTTGATCTCAAGTTGATTTTCCAATCCTGTGGGTAAACATCTAACATTACGACAAACAAAAGGTGTTTCCCTTTTCTTATTCTAGTTAGGTGTGACTTTTCTGGGTGTGCACACTCTCTTCTAGCTTGTGATGGAGTTTTTTTTTTTGGAAGGGGAAGGGAGGGGGGGCGCTGAGGTTTCAGTGTATGTCCTCTTCAAGATTAGCTAGGTGTCCTGCACAGTCACATGGTAAGAGCTTAAGAAAATAAAGGAAATTTTAATTAGGAAGACAAGAAACACCAGATCTCATTCCCCAATCTGGGAGTAGTTCTGATCTTAAAGTTTTAACATGACAAAGGTTATTAGTTAAAATTCACAGGAAGAGGCCCAAGGATTAACAAGTACATTTACAACAATCAACTCACTTCACGATATTTGGATATTACAATGTCCTTGATCTGTAGAGGGTTCAGTGGTCCTTGCACACTGCTTTCACGGCGAATGAACACCTGTAAGTTAAAAAATCAACAGAGTTGGCAAGTGTAAAATTTGATGTAGAATGTATGATGTATGATTGTCACTGTCTTTCCTTCTGCTTTTTCATCACAAGATAATGGATAATCTTGTTTCTACTGCTGAGAGGATCACCTCTTGGGGCGACCTCAACCAATTTTAGCCTTTTTAACTTCCACTAAGGGACCAGTCCATATTTATTGCCTGAGGAGGGGGAGGGGGGAAAAGAAGAGGAATTTGGGGTCAGAGGAGGATGTTGTTCGAAGACAGGAAGGCTTATTTATGTAAATGTAAAAGAAAAAAAAAACTAAGGCCTGTCATTTATGATGAATGTCTTTATTTTGTGGAACATTTCAGAATTATTATGTCTTATTTATGGCAATGTCTTAATATCCAAAATCATATCATCATCATAAATAGTCATGGCAGTTTTTAAAGCACCCATTTAACCCTTTAACTCCCAGAAGTGATTCATGTAACTTCTCTCTACAATATCCGTCCACTATTTAGCAAACTGGTAATGAGAATATTCAAATGTATCAGGTAGAATTTGTTTTCTTGATCTAACACCAAGTTCTTGCAACTAAATTACAAGGAAATGTGTAGCAGCTAGAGGGGAGAATTAACAATCAGTTTCTGGGAGTTAAAGGGTTTAGGGAAAATTTTAGGGAAATATGAACAACTCCATTTATTTCCATCCTGATGCATCCAACATGTTAACTTTGGCTCAGGGCAGATGCAATTGGTCATTTCCACTTAGTCTTTGATGAAAACAAGCCAAAATACAGTTACATTCAATTTTTAGCACTTGTGATAATATTGAAAACAGTATCAATGCCACTTGTCTCCTATTTTACCTGGTTTTTTCTGGTCTCATACAATTCACCTTTAACACCAGCCTTCACAGAGATCTCTATCACAAAGACATCTGCTACGTAGATATACCGTCCCTCTCGTCTTTCTCGTGGTGTTGGCTGATAAATTACAGGAACAAATTTTATCCTAGGCAAAGATTTAAGGAAGGTTTCAAATTATCCACATCAGTACCTAGTATATACATTATTTTGTGCAATTGGGTTTATTTCAAATTTAAAATAATTTTGATGACAGTTTTTGACATTTTCAGCTCACAACTACATGCAAAAATATTTCAGAAAATATTTTAAATTGCTTCTAGTAATTCCACAGTTTTTCCAAGGGTACATCTTAAAAAATCAAGGTACCTCTTAAATATTTTACATTTCTTACTAGCATGTACACAGTCCTATGCACCATGTCCATCCAAACCATCCTTGAATTGTTCTTAACCTTCATGAAACTGTTGACGTTTTTTTAAGATTCCCATATTATATTAATCACTTGATCTCTCCATGAGCAATAGAGATATAGAGATCTTCCTGTGATGTATAGGTGCAACTCATTGAAAATGACCACCCTTTTTTGGCTTTCCTATGACTGATATCATGTATGTTGAACATTTTCCAAACCACTGCATTGTAACAAGGATAAACAAAGAAGGGTCAGCCCAGCATCAAATGTGATTTTGGTGAGAATAATAAATATTAAATATAATTATAATAAAAAGAAGTCAAATGTTCTGCCCATGTATGTTGTGATTAAGTTCACATGCAAACTTTAATAACATCAAAACATGTATTCCTATTCGTGATAGTTCCCTGACTTAATTTATTCAAAGATAATTAATCATATATATTCATTCTTAATCCTGAATTATTACAACTGAGAAAATGAACGATGGATAGTACTAATGTCAACCTTTCACTTTTGTCGCATGTAAACATTTATATTACTTATTTGTCTGGTACTAATAACTAGTTACTTGTATAAAGAATGATCCATATAGGGAATAAACTTCTCAAATTCTTGGCTGACAGTATTCCTGATGTTAGTTTGCATTCTTGGTGAGCAATAAACACCACGAACAGCACCTGATAAAGATGGAAACCACAGGTGTTCACAAATAAAATAATGTTCACAGAATGGGAGGGATTGAACTTGGTAGAGCAAATACCAGGTTTCAAAGCCAGCTTTCTGGATGAGCCTGCTAGTCCTAACAGAAAATTTCTGCCATAACATACCAGTATAAATTAGATGACAATCATATATAACTATCAAAAAACCCAGTTTACACAGCATCTAATATAATATACATATTGTATATAAAAGTAAATTCTTTTAATTGAATACATATAACTGCAGCCACTTTATATAGACACTTTCCCACATGCTTTCCTTTCAATTACTGTTTTCCTTCTTCCACAAGTGACATGTGTCTCTTACCATTGTCAAGGACTCCTGCAATGAGGACACCTCCATCTGTGTTCAAAAAAGCACTGCCGTACTTTTGTATATGCTGTAAGTTAATAAAGGAAAAAAAATCATCAAAACAAACAGGAAGAGGGGAAGGACAAGAGAGTTTCAGAAACACAATTTTGGCAGCTGAAATGCACTCAGACCCCATTCAAAATTTATATTTTTACTTAAATATTTGTTCTCAATTTTACCTCTGGTAATATTGTAATGGGGTAGCTTCCTCCACCAGTTTTAAACTCATGATGATGGCTCTCTGTCACATTGATGGTGCTGTCTAAAACATAGTAAGAGTGGTTCCTGCAGGATTCAAAGTGAAATACATAGGATCCAGTCATAAAATTATTGTTAATAAAAATATCAACTTCATGGGCATTCTGAATATCAAGTTTTTATGCTCAGTTACCCATGTTCTACAAAGTAACATAGAAGGTTTGGTACTTCTTCAAACTCTATGTATGTGTAGCTCCAGCCTTATGAACAGGCTACTAAAAACCTGTTTACACTGCTGAGAGGATACAAACACTGAAAGAGCATCTAGTGTCTACTGCACACAAACATCCAGAGTCAAGTGCAAACCACTGCATGTAAGGTATTGTGTCTACCACTATTACATTGAAGTCATCAACTGATAGTTAACTATCGAGTTAATCCCACTTTCCAGAACATGATTCAACTGGGAATATTGGTTTTCCCTCAGACAAGAAAACTTCCCCCCTCCCCATCACTTAATGTAAGAGAGAAAATTGACACCAAGCACTAGCTATGACTTGATCCAGAGTCAGTTTGGTGAAACAGGCTAAATGAAGATGGTTTATCTTAATGGGAAACCATTTTCTGGCCAACTAAATTAAGGTACAGTGTTACATGAAAGAGAAGGGATTTCCTAAGTTGCAGTATTAATACTCAAGCTAGGCCATCAGAATAAAAGTATAAAATTGTGCTCATTTGATCACTCCCTTTCTCAGTGTATCATGCTAGAGCTGGCTGAAAGAAACAAGAATTTAAGCTCTACGAGAGTGATCACAAATCACAAACATCTAGAAGACCTACCGCCATTCAAGAGAAGACTTTGCAGCACTAAATGGTTGACTGGGGGTCATTATGTACCTCGAAGACCGCAATGGGCCAGCAGGTGTTGTAAAAAGAAATGACTTCACATCATGTCTGTAGGTGCGTGTTGTAAGTGCCTTAAAGGCAACAGTTATTTTTTGTTTTACACTATCCCCAGCTTTCTTGATCAGTGATACAATATTTCTGGGTTTCTTTGTGTCCCTTCCTCTTTCTGCATCAATCTGTTCTTGATCATTGGGATCTCGTTTTCGTTTAAAGAAGTTCATCCTGCATATGACACAACAGAATACATTGTATGTTAGTATTACTTTGTAAAAAATTTAGGCAGATCACATTTTGAATACTTAAAGCAAAACTACCTTTAGTCAGCTGTTAAAGTCCCAAAATTCTTACCCCTTACACGCTTTAATTTTCACTTTTGTTAAGCAGTCACCTCTATAAAGCACTCTCAATCACCCTTAACATGCTGCTTGTATTGTTTCCACCTACATTGAATGATCACTTAGAGCAGAACTCAAATAAAACTAAAACAAGCTCTCAAGTATATTTCATCCATGTTCATCTCCCAAAATCAAAGCTAATGGTATTTTTAAGTAAGTTATTGTACATTGAGTGGTAAATTATGGTATAAATTGCTTTTTTTGTTGTATTGCCCTTTATAATACCTCTTTACTGTGGAACGTGCATTAAGTAGTCAACCTGTATTTAGTGGTCACTTTGTCATTCCCCATGGGTGACCCCCTGTTACAGGTGCGAATGTCCTTCAATTTGAATTAAGAAAAAAATCAAGGGTCTTTTCTGGTAAGTTGGCTGACTAACTGATGTTTGTAATTATAACTCTCAATTTATCCTTCATTCTTGTGCACATTGATTCTGGGATTTTGAGATTCTTGAAGGTGTAATTATATTTATGAGTTATCTCAGGTTATTAAGCTGGTAAGCCGACAAAACCTGCTGTCCATAGCTTCAATTAATGGAGAATAACTGGATGGGATTACTGGCATGCTAAAAGAAACGTGTATGTCAAAATAATGCTGCATAAATATCTTAAACATTATATAATCATTGTAATAAGTTTTGATTCAGAGCTGTCTTCGGTAAGAAAACTATTTCAATGGTTCTGAGGCCTCTTAATCGATTTTTACTTCTTTACTTCTCTCCAGTCAGCTTCCCAGCTGACTGGAGAGAAAGAGGCGGTACTTTGTTTGCCATGTAACTGTTTTGTTCCCTTCCCCTCGCCATCCACTCAACACAACCTCAAGACCTTCATCCACAACTTGATACCATTAAACAAACGTTTGCAAAAATTTCATTAGTCTCTAAATGTGAAATGATCATTAAATATCTACATCGTATATTTACGAGTCACATCTACTTATTTCTCATTAGTTATCGATTTGTAAGATTTACATCACAAAAAGAAAGCTGGATTCCAGAAGTAATCTCAGACGACAGCGATTAGAAATTGGGCTCTAAAAGATAAGGAAAAGTTCTGTGCACGTATGAGATCGATTGACCTGTTTTCGTTTGTACATGTGCGAGCGCGCAAATTTTCAACGACGGAGACCAAAAACGCCATTTTGTCATTCAAAAGCCAGACAGGAACAAGATCTCGAGAGGTCCTCAAAAGGAAGACACGAAATATTCAAACTTACTTTGGGTATGCAAAAGTAAGTTATCCTTGGACACAGAACTCCGACTCTTCGCGTGTTGATCAACAAATTTTAAAACTCCCACTTCAGCATCATGTCAAAGAATTCTACGATGACACTGAGTCGAGGTCTTACCCAGGTCTCTGCGCATGCAGAACATATGGCCGCACCCCACAGGCCTTGGCTCGAATATGTAACGAACCGACGGCCTAATTTCGTTTTATTCTGTAGAACCGCGGCTGTTTTTGTATAGAAAATTCTTAAAGCTGATAAAATTCGAGAAGATCTCCGTTGTTAGCATGACAGCATGGTTCAGGAGACCTTACTTTGACTGAAGACACGGTCCGTCTGTTATAAAAGCGGAAGTGGTCCGGTAGCCATAACTATACCGATTGGGCAAGTTTACTCTTGTATTCCATTTATTAAGTGGATTATCTTTCATCAGTTCGACTAAAAAAGCTTCATAAAAGCTTGAAATTGATGTTTTAATCCGAAACTCGCGAGATACTGCAAAACCTGTTTAAATATCCGACACCAAGCTCAAACAATTGTAGCTATAACCCTGTGTAAACTCAAAATTATTAGAATTTATATGAAAAGTTATGACAAGATACCGTTAATGATTGGAAAGTGATGCGCTATAATTGCAATACTCTTAAACCGAGCTTTTGTTGTGATATTTGTAATACTCAAGATCGACTCTACATTGACATCGCCATTCACATTTCAAAATTTCGACTGATCCGATACGAATCGGGTTTGCATGGAGAGTTTGCGAGAGCCACGATAATTCACGGTACTATTCGCTACCTCTGGATTTGATTTATTTTACCATATCGACTAAATTTTGGATATAAAGTTGTAACTAGTTAGTTCATAAATAAACATAGCGTTAATTGAACACTTATGAGGAGATAAATGTTGAAATTTTCTCACTTTTCTAGGACCCCGGAAGGATTATATAAATATTTGCAATGGAGGCCACTATGAGCGATAACCAGTTGACAGACGAATATCAGACAGCTAATAATGAAGGTAACTGTTCGTAAATTGAAACGCTTCTTTCCTCAGGCAATCGGTAGTTATTAACGTCCTAACGAATGTACCTACAAACGTTTGATTCTTTCATGAATTTGATCGAGTGCATTTCATTTTGCGAATTACATGGCAGACGATCAGGAAGAAATCAAGATCACTGATACTAGTCACGGTCACAAAAAGAAGAAAAAGAACAAGAAGAAAAAACGTAAGTCTGCAGCTGTTGCTACAGATGTCGTGATGGATGAGAGCTGGGATGAAAATGCCCCAAGTAGTTCAGGAAAAGATCAGCCTCCAAATCCTACTAATCATCTATCAGCAACGACTGAGGTCGAAACAACAAGGCCACGTACAGATTCTTCCTTACAGTTAGCCAGTGCACTTTCATCAGCAGTCAAGGATGGGGAAGGCGACTCTAATCAGGAAGGCAGCTCTACTAACAAGAAAAAAAAGAAAAAGAAAAAGAAGAAGAAAACTGAGAGGAATGCTTCTGCTCAATACCTTGCAGATGATGACCCGGTTAATTTACAAGAGCCAGTTCACGATATACGTGATAGGCATGAAGATTTGGAGCATGCAAAGAAGGAAGATACAGTTCTAGAGGTCGTCTCACATCAACACTTATTGACAACTATGGGTGATCAACATGCAACTAATTATCAGAATCCAAACGCAGAGGATGCAAGCTTTGTCCAAGCTAATTCTTTGGTGACGAATCAGAAAAAAAAGGAAACGAGAAAAGAAAATGAAGAGGCGAACCCGCCGTCAGGTAGTGAAAATGGAGTTGATCTAGCTAGCACAACTGCAACAACTTCGGGTGAAAGGACTGCTGTAAAAGACCATATGAAAGCATTTCCATTACGTGGATCTACAGAACCAGCTTCATTAACTGACACAGCCAAGCCAATTCAGGAGACTGATGAAGGAAGTACATCCACCAGACAAGCAAATCGCGAAGAGTGAGTAACTTCAGTCTTTACCTTCCTGTTTATAACACAAATTAAGGTAGCTAAGTACTTTTTCTTTTACTTTGATCTGTCACTAGCATTAGTCTATCTGTGCAGTGATGGCACTCGGAAGTGTTGTTCCTTAGCTTGTCTTGCTTTCATTTCTATTCCTTTTGGGAGCCAGTTCTTTAGCGAATGTTAATTTTTTGTTTAATATCTGTTCAGGACAATGATATAGCCATCAAAAAAAAGGGGCTTCATAAATGTGATAAATGATGTCAATGTGTATGTAGGTTGGGTTAGAGAACATAAGGAGGCCAACCTAAGATATGGAAACTGTCAACCTAATCCTTATTATATGACATTTGAGGCTCCCATGATTTGTTTTGTTTTTCAATTCATCAGGTTTTTAACTAGGGGAAAATGGCAACCACATTCAATTAATAAGATCAAACAGTGTGTAATATTTTGATGTGCAGATGGATGCCAGGAGAAAAAAATTGGAGGGATCCTCTCTTGTATACAAAGGGGTGGGCGACGGTCACAAAGAAGGAGAGGATTGGGGCTGGGGTCTTTTCACCTTTCCTTGCCCTCTTCCCCAATCTTCGACTCTAACTCCAAATAAAACATGGCCGGTTGATAAACGAGCGCGAGCTTCTGAATGTTAACTCTCCCTGATAAGATGCCCGCAATGCAGGCTGCTCTTGATGCTATTCATCATTGTAATTTTATTATTGTTTTTCTTGGGCACCTCCCTTCAAGCCCTCAAACAAAGTGGAACACTAATGTTATTGTTGATTTGTTTGGGTATATTAGGAGGAACATCATGTGCATTTTCAAACTTGTCTACGGAGTTGGTCTGAGAGCGCTTCGCATGTTGTTCATGGATATCAATCCCTCGTGGACCAATAAACCATCAGATGCTGCCGGGATCGATAAAGGGAAGATGAAACTCACCAAAGAGGAAGAAGCAAGCTTCAATAAAGGAAACATTAAAGAATGGGACTTTTCGTTAATGATAAAAGTACTTCTCAACTCCGGGAGCTGTGTATTGGAAATAAACAAAAGACCTGACTTCACCCGTGCTTTGCAGGAATTGAGAATTGCCCGAAACAGATTGCTCGGACATCCCTCTACAGAGTCAATGTCCGATGACGATTTCAAAACCTTATGGCCTCATTTATCAAGTAACTTTGTCGTTCTTGGTGCTAATGAAAGTGATATTGCAGACATAATTCACCAGTCAGGTATCCATATGCATTATACTGCTACAGTACTGTTTATGAACACAATAACTATTTTCCCCAACCTTCTTGTACCTGCAGTACCACTAATTTTTTCCTGAGAGATACGTAAACTGGATACGTAAACAATTAAACAGAGAGTAAGAGATGTTCTCATTTCACTCTCAATGGTCTAACAAATGATGTAAATGCCCAATTATGCTTTAAAAAATCAATTCACAGGCCCCTGCGCTAACGGTATCGTTGTTTGGAGCTTTTCTGTTTATCGACAAAGCGATTCTAATCAGGAATCATACTTTATTAAACAAAATATCTCAGACTTGTTTTCAATATGCTGGGTTCTACTTCACCAAAGGTACAACAACAACACTAACATGTACTCTTT